TTCCAAAGAGCAGACATTTATTTTTAGCAGACCTCCTGCTGAAGCCTGAAAAGTGTGGTTCTGATGTTTTCCTTATTCTAAATTTAAAAAGTGTTGGGAATTGTGGTGCGTGTGTCAGTCTGTATCATGCCCGAATCCATTCTAATTCTGGGGTTCCAGCAAGCGTTAAAATCTAACAACGGATTCCATTGCTGAATTAGCCAGGCAAGGTCCTAGTCAGGCCCGTCTTACCCATAGAGGCTAGTGGTGTGGGGTGCCAGGTGGTGTGGGGTGCCAGAGGGCGCCAGGTGAGAGTCTGGAGAACACCGAACGAGTGAGCTGAGTGAAGAAGAAGAAGAGTTTGGATTTGATATCCCGCTTTATCACTACCCGAAGGAGTCTCAAAGCGGCTAACAATCTCCTTTCCCTTCCTCCCCCACAACAAACACTCTGTGAGGTGAGTGGGGCTGAGAGACTTCACAGAAGTGTGACTGGCCCAAGGTCACCCAGCAGCTGCATGTGGAGGAGCGGAGACGTGAACCCGGTTCCCCAGATGACGAGACTACCGCTCTTAACCACTACACCACACTGAGCAAGGGTGCGTGCGCCGCTCCTGCCGAATTCCCCCCTTTTAGTCTGCAGGCGCCGAATTCTGCTTGCTTGGTGCAGGCCCTCTCGCTGCCTGCCATGGCCACCGCGGCACGAACCGCCCAGCTGAGCCGGGAGGCGCCACATCCAGCCTCCGCTTCTTTCCCAGTGGAGGAGCCATCCTCCAACCGCCGCCCGCCTCCTCCAGCCCTAAAAAAAGGCCGACAACTCTGGGAAAGGGGAGGGAGCGCCGGAGGGATCTTTGCACCACAGCGCCAGATATGCTTACGACCTGGCCACAGTGATCCATGCGACGGTCACCTCCAGGCTTGACTACTGTAATTCGCTCTACGCGGGGCTGCCCTTGAAGCTGTCCCAGAAACTCCAGCGGGTGCAGAATGCTGCAGCGAGGCTCCTCACGGGGTCTCTGCTATGGGAGAATATTCACCCAGTGCTTTTCCAGCTGCATTGGCTTCCAGTGGAGTACAGGGTCAGATTTAAGGTGCTGGTTTTGACCTTTAAAACCCTTCATGGCCTAGGACCCTCGTACCTACGGGACCACCTCTCCCGGTATGCCCCACGGAGAGCCTCAAGGTCCATAAATAACAACACCCTAGTGGTCCCGGGCCCTAAGGAAGTTAGATTAGCTTCAACCAGAGCCAGGGCCTTTTCAACACCTCATGAGACCAGGGCCCTGCAGGATCTGATTTCTTTTAAGACAGAGTTGTTCCGCCTGGCCTTTGGCTTGGAGCCAATTTGATTCCCTCCCCCTCTTTCTTTTTTCTTTTCCTTTCTCCTCCTGTGATGAGGCTACATTTTAATATTTTAATGTTTCAATATTTTAATGTTGTATTTTAATCTTGTTTTTAAGTTGTATTCATTCAACATGTTTTTATTATTGGTTGTTAGCCGCCCTGAGCCTGGCCTTGGCTGGGGAGGGCAGAGTATAAATAAAAAATATTATTACAGTGGTGCCCCGCAAGACGAATGCCTCGCAAGACGGAAAAACCGCTAGACGAAAGGGTTTTCCGTTTTGAAGTTGCTTCGCAGGACGAATTCCCCTATGGGCTTGCTTCGCAAGACAAAAATACCTTATGAGTCTTGAGGTTTTTTTCGCTTTCCCTTTATCTAATCTGCTAAGCCTTTAATAGCCTTTAATAGCCTTTTAGCAGCTAATCCCCTAAGCCTTTAAGCCTTTAATAGCCGCTAAACCGCTAATAGCGCTAATAGCGCTAATCCGTCAATGGGCTTGCTTCGCAAGACGAAAAAACCGCTAGACGAAGACTCTCGCGGAACGGATTAATTTCGTCTTGCGAGGCACCACTGTATTATTATTATTATTAAGACGGTCCTGGTCCTAGTTACCACGTAAGTCTGACAAAGGAAGTGACTCCGTGCCAGAGGGCAAATGGGTGGGTCCCCTCCCTCTCCTGGCTGGTAGCAAGAAGCACAATAGTCAGGGTTGTGAGAGAGAGAGCTGGGCTGGAAGCAGGCTGCAGGCAGACAGGGAGAGCCATGCTGGATTTCTGCTGGGATCCAAGGCCACGACTATGGGAGAAGCAAGACCCTCTTGGGGTGTGAATGCTGCGAGCGCCTCCATCGTAGACTCAGGCTGTATATATGTGTAAATAACGCATATATCTTAAAGATACAGTAGTACCTCGGGTTACATACACTTCAGGTTACAGACTCCGCTAACCCAGAAATAGTACCTCAGGTTAAGAACTTTGCTTCAGGATAAGAACACAAATTGTGCTCCTGCGGCGCGGCAGCAGCAGGAGGCCCCATTAGCTAAAGGTTATGAACAGCTTCAGGTTAAGAACAGACCTCCGGAATGAATTAAGTACTTAACCTGAGGTACCACTGTACTGCAGTCTCTGTTGTCCCCAGGAAACCACACCCGGAACCCTTGGAATCTGACCCACTTGGGAGGGCACACAACAATATCAGACATGTAGACATTTGGGCATGTTGCCCATTGACAGCTAGTTTAGGATCTGGAACATCAGAAATCCGTTTGGAGAAGTCTTTGATGGGGAGAGAGGAAGACAGGGCCGGCCCGAGACATTTTGGAACCTGAGGCGAACCCATTGGAACCAACTCCTAGGAGCTGACGTCCCTTTGCTCCCCCTCCCTAAAATATTTTAGGGCTTCAAAAAAGTTGGTGGGCATTGCCATGTTGCGTCATGTGACAGATGGTGCAGGGTGGGGCTTACCTGCGCAATATTTTATTCAAGTTGGCGCCCCTGGGCGAACAGCAACATGGTTCCCCACCAGGGAAGAAGGCATGAGGGAAGATCTATATCAGGAACAAGCTGAGGGGCATGAAGATCGACTTCGGGATCCACTGCCCTTGCAATTTCAGCCGCCAGAGGCAGTTGCCTCACCTTGCTTCATGGTTGGGCCAGCTCTGAGGGAGACAAAGTTCTGAGAGACAAGCCACACCGCACCAGCCAGCTCAGTGGCTGCCCCGAAGGGTGCAGCCCGCATGGGGAAGACCAGGCAGGGAGTTGGGGAGCAGCCACAGAGCAGGAGCATCCACCGCCCAACTGGCACCCCTGAGAGAAAACGGTCTCGGTGGGAACAAATACAAATACCTTTACAGTGGTACCTTGGGTTAAGTACTTAATTTGTTCTGGAGGTCTGTTCATAACCTGAAACTGTTCTTAACCTGAAGCACCACTTTAGCTAATGGGGTCTCCTGCTGCTGCTGCCGCGCCGCTGGAGCCCGATTTCTGTTCTCATACTGAAGCAAAGTTCTTAACCTGAAGCACTATTTCTGGGTTAGCGGAGTCTGCAACCTGAAGTGTATGTAACCTGAAGCATATGTAACCTGAGGTACCACTGTATTGGCATGTCGAGTTAAAACATTTCAAAACACTAGGATAAATTTAAAAGGGACAGGAGTGAGGCTGTCAAGGATCACAAGGTACCCTGTCTATTACCTATATGTCAAACAGATTGATGACGACGTCAACTTTGGCTCCCTAAAAAAAGCTCAACAACCTTGGTCAATCCAATGGGTAGATCACTGCCAGTTTTTTTTATAGTGCGAGTAGATCGCAGTCTCTTGGAAGTTGGAGGGATGATTCATTAAGAACCCTTTCAGGTAAGATGGAGGTTAAAAAGGAAGCCACTGGGCAGGGCTGTCTTAAGCATATGTGACACCAGGGCGCAAAGATCCGCCCGGCGCCCCCCCCCAGGTTGCCCAGTCCCAGGCGTGCTGGCTGGCTGCCCCAGCATCTCGCTGGCTCGGTCACCCCCGAACTTGCGGCCAGAGCCGCCCGCAGCAGAAGAGCCCGCCGCGGGCCTCTGACTGATGGATGGGCTCTTCCCCGGACTCAACTCTCAGGCCCCAGACTCTCAGCCTGGTGCCCATGAGAGCCCGGAGCCCGAGTGCCCCACACCCCTACCGCCTATGGGTAAGACGGCCCTGCCACGGGGGCAGTAAAGTCCTTGTCCCGATCTGCTAGGAGGAACCTCATTTGGCTTTCTCTCAGAGCCGTGGGTCGCAGGTCCAATATCTTGCTCAACATCGGTTTGCGGAGTTTGCTGTGCAAAGGGCAGTCCAAAAGAATATGGTCCAGTGAATCTGGTAAGCCCTGATTGCAGGCACACAGGCGGACTTGATAAGGAATTTGCTAATATCTACCTGTGGTCACTGAGGGACGCGGGTGGCGCTGTGGTCTAGACCACAGAGCCTAGGACTTGCTGATCAGAAGGTTGGCGGTTCGAATCCCCGCTACGGGGTGAGCTCCTGTTGCTCGGTCCCTGCTCCTGCCAACCTAGCAGTTCGAAAGCACATCAAAGTGCAAGTAGATAAATAGGTACCGCTCCGGCGGGAAGGTAAACGGCGTTTCCGTGCGCTGCTCTGGTTCGCCAGAAGTGGCTTAGTCATGCTGGCCACACGACCCAGAAAAACTGTCTGCGGACAAACGTTGGCTCCCTCGGCCAGTAAAGCAAGATGAGCGCCCAACCCCAGAGTCGGTCACGACTGGACCTAATGGTCAGGGGTCCCTTTTCCTTTACCTGTGGTCACTGCGGAAGGGAAAGCGTTTAGTCTCGGTGGGAAAGTTCAGGGGGCAGCTGCCCTGGTTCGTCGCCCAGCAGCGCCAAAAACCCGCACACGCCACGCCGTCTCTTGAGGCAGACGGGCGCCTAACACCCACGGCCACCAAAGAGGGGAAAGCCCGAGGGGGGGCTTCCCGCCGGCTGCCTTTCCCGCCCTGTTCTTCAGGTAGGCTGCCGCGGGCTCCTCCTCGCAGTCCAGCCGAAGGGCCGCCCCTCGAGGGCTTCGTGCGCCCTGGGCGCAAAGACGCACCGCCCCTTCTCCGCCGCTGGGGGCCGCCGGCCAGCCCAGCCCAGCCGGCCAGCCCAGCCCTCTCAGTCAGGCGGGGCAGGCAGGCAGGCAGGCAGGCGGACTGGCTGTCTGGCAAGGCTGGCGAGCGAGCGAGAGAGCGAGCGGAGCGGAGCAGAGCCGCCCGCGCCTCTGCCCAGAAGCGCTCCAGCGGCGCCAAGGAGCAGGTAAGCGGCCGGCTCCTCCGCGCCATCCCCGGCGGGTACCGCCAGCTTAACCGGAGGGCGGCGCGCCTCGCGGGACCCTAGAAGCGGCGTCGGGTTGCGGGAAGGGAAGCCCGAGGGGAGGCGGAGCGGCTGCTCCGGGCTGCTGTCGGGGCAAACCCGGTTAGGAAAGGGGAAACGGTGCGCAAAAATGGTTCTTCCGAGGCGCGCTCGGCGCGCCTTCCGAGGTGGCGGGCGGTGCTGGGGCAGGGCTGGCTTTTCCGGAGGGGGAGAGGAGCTGCCCTCTCCGCTGAGGACCCTCCGCGAGTGTCCCTCTCCTCCCGACTCCTTGCAGGGCACGGGGCCGCCACTTCGGGGACCCAGAACAGGAGACCCCCGGCCAGCCCACGGAGCAGCATGCATCTGGAGGATGGCTGAGGCGGGCCGAGGAAGCGCTGCCACCACGACCCACGGCGGGCTGCCCCGAAGCGAGAGGAGAGGAATGATTGCTGCGTGGGGAGCCTGGTCTTGCTTTTTCCTGGTCGCCACTGTGCACAGCCTCCCTGCAGCCAGGATTCCTGTTCCAGACCCCGAAGAAACGCCGACAAGAGCACCATTAGGTAAGGAAGCAGGAGGGCTTCTTTTCCCAGTTATGCTTTATTGCATTTTTAAGCATTTCACGGATGCATTCCAAAACGTAAGAATTTTTTTCTTTTCTTTCATCCACTTCCCATCCCGTTTTCTGTAGTTTCTTATTTCTGCACCCCTATCTCCTCTCTCTTATAACATAACCCTAATTACAATGATCTCTCATTCCCTCTGTTGCTCATAGTTCAAATCCTGATCACGAATCCATCATGCTATAATAGTCCCGAAAAAGGCTTCCATTCTTCAACAAAACAATAATCATTAGGTTCTCTCGTTTTAGCTGTTAGCTTTGCTGATTCCTCAGAGTCCATCATTTTACTTATCCATTCCTCTTCAGTGGGAATTCCTCCTTCCTCTCCTTTTTGCGCATAAGGAATCCTAGCTGCTGTCATTACATACATAAACAGCTTAATCGTCTTTTTTGGAAGCACAGGACAGCATGAATATAGTTGACAAGTTTGGGGTTTTTTTATTGGTTGTTTTTTTTATTATTATTCCATGGTATACAGGCTAAAAAGGTTATAAGTCTTTTTAAAATGGGAACACGCTTTGGATGTCTACCTGCCTGAAAGGGTCCCAGTGTCTGATCCCAGAAGACTTGGCTTCAGTTTGGCAACTTTTCCTTTCCAATGCCATCCCCCTGTGCGCAGTTTTACAGTGCCATAGGACTTTGTAGTTTTTGTTGCAAAAGAGAAACACAGCTATGCCTCTTAAGTTTGCTCTCTTGAGAAGTACGCAAGAATAGAATTGCTTCTGTTGCCTCCAGAACGGTCTGCTCTGCACGTTTGCGATACTTTCCCTGCATACTTGCAAACTGCTGCTGGATCCACCAGAAGTATTCCAACACCAAACTGTTACAGGTCAAGGGCAAAGTCTCCAATAATAAACTGAAGCACCTCAAATGGTTATTGTAGCATTAACCAAATGACAAATGCTAGGGTGTATGCACTTAGATGCCTGTGGCTTCACAGAAAAGCGTAACTTGATTTCCATGCTGGAAATAGTGGGTGTTCGGCCCACACAAAAAATCTTTGTACTTTTGAAATTTGAAAATCTGGACTTGAAAGAAACAAGTCCTTCTTTCAAATCCTTTTTTCTAGTCTCACATGCAATGAAGTGTTCTGTGCATTGTAGTGTTACATCTCCCAGCCAAATGCTGCGTTTAAGGGAATGGAGGAACAGGGTTGTTTGGGGGTCTTTGGGAAACTAGAAATTGAAACAAGAGAGACATGAACATTTGTGCTGAACATTTTAAATATCCAAATGACTCAATTTTAAATATCTAACTGACTCAGTTTATTTTAAGCGGGAAACTCATTGTAAAATATTGCTTAAACTAAACATTTGGAGAGAGAGTTAATCGTTTCCCCCTTTGTTAGCAGACAGTAAAAGTCAGTGTATACATCTGTATACACCATGCACAAAAAGTTCTATCTGTGTCAGGTTTCCATTGTTTGGGAAAGAGATGAAACATGCTTAGCAAACAAATGAGGGTGGAATAAATGTGCTTCATGGCAGCTATTCACACCGGGACATTATTTCCCTTCTGTTTTCCTGGTACAGCTATAGATCACCCAGGGCAGTGCTAGTTTTCAAAGAAGAGAGGTGCCGGAACTCACCATGAACACCTCCCTCTTTCTCTTAGAATACCAATGGTGCCCACCTGATAGGTGCCGAAATTGAGTTCCGTCTATGGGGGGGGGGGACACCTGACCCAGGGTCATTGTTTTATTTTCAAAAAAAGTTTGACTAAAATGCTGGGTTCTCCATGTAGATTGCCTGGCTCGTTTCCCCACAACTAAATTGGTTGAATAATGGAGCAGCGTCTCTTCAATTTGATCCAAGTGGATAAGTTTTGTACTGTATATGGAACAAGCTGTATGCCTTGTAGAACAGTCCAGAAACTCACTAGGTATACAGTCAGTTTGTTGATCCAGTGTTTGCTCCTTCTTTCCTAGTGGACTGACCTTGTTCTGAGCTTTTAAACCAATTCCTTTGGAGTATGTAGCCACATTTTGTAAGGTTCAGAATGGGACCTCTGAACAAGCAAGTTTAGGACTGAGTTCCTTCACTGTACAGTATTGTACTGTACTGCTATTATGACTACTGATAATGTAGCTACACTACCATTCTGAAGGAATAGGTACTTGAATGGTGTACATATTTTTAGAATGTTAAGATGGAAGGGTCCAGCAGAGATGTCTTAGAATGATTAAATCCCTAGATTGGTTCTACAAAATTGCTTTCTGGCAATAGTATTTTCATTTCTTTCCGTTTTCAAAGAGGTAGAACTGCCCAGCTGTATAGACTCCGATGGCAGTCTTAGTCTTTAGGCAGTCTTAAGGGCCTTTTCATACATTACGTTGTATGTGTGTGTGTGATTTTCATTCTAAAAGCATGCACTTAAAAATATAAATGCAACGAACATGTATTGTACAAATATAGCAGGATCGGCTTGGGCTTATTGTCAGATATACGCTACCAAGAAGGGCTCTACCTGAGTGCGACTGTATTTTATTTCCAAGAACTGTATCTCGGACTAGGGATCTAAGAGTGCAGTTTGCTGAGCACAGAAGTTGGTATAATCCCAGTGGAATAAACGGCAACAAGTGGTTTCAGATTGTTAAGTAAAATGCACGTTGGTCCCAATGGTTCCCAATGCTTAGCAGTACAAGCAAAGTTGCACTAAGCTTTGTAGTGTGTCTATTTGGGCAAAGAAGGATGGTTAGCATAGATAGATAGATAGATAGATAGATGATATAGTGGTGTTTGATTGATCATTCCCTGTTTTTGAACGAACTATCAATATAAGATGGTCCATAAGAAAAGGTTCTGTTGAATCACTTGTATATAGAAGACAGAAATTCACAGCCAAGCAAAACACAGGTGTTTACTTTTGAATCTGTAAATTGCACAGTCACAAGCAAACACTTTCTCCTGGTCAAATGGGCCGTGGGGGTACTGATTCATTACTGAGGCTTGTTGTTCAGCCGCTTTTGCCTTTAACACAGCTCAAGACCTTATTTTCCATAAAGGGGCTTGGAAGCATTTTTCCCCAGTGATCTAATTCTCCACACGGGGCTGTGAAAGTTGTAACAGCTACTGCCTTGTGCTTCTGCTCAGCTACATAAAACACACATTGAAAGGAGGCATTCTGGAGGTATGTGTATGTTTGCTAATATGAATACTAGCTATTAGTGGAGGTGGTGCAAATTCTGACATCTCTACAGGGAGGTGTTCTGCTGTTAGCAGGAAGAAGGCAGATGGTGGGGCTGCTGCTGAATAGAATCCGAACTGAAAATACTGGGGGCCTCATTTGGGCTTCATTTCTCTCGTCTCCTTTTTCTCAGGACTGCTGCAAGAACAATGTCATTATTTTTTTTATGAATGAAAGTGGAGAGGCAAGGCAGAATTGACCGTGTATGTCATTCACTCGCAATGGCAGAGATGATTAGGGAGGTCAGTGAACTTGTTTGCAGCCTTGAACATGTGGTCACTCTATTCAGCCGCCACAGAATAGGCGTTGGAATAAAATAAAAAAAGCTCCTGCAATTTGCATTCTTATTCAGATAAAGATATTACTGGGTACGATCAGTGAATGTCAAGTAGTGCTTACTGTGTTGTTAGACAGCAGACAGATAAAAATAAAAGCGGCACATTTTAAGGAGTTTGTGAGGTGCTCTGTCCCAATTGTATTGTGGTTTCCACAACACCCATTTTAGTTCTTTTCCACAGAAAAAAAATCCCATTGCCCCGTTACAAACGAAACTCCCCCTCCCCTTATCTTACCCATTAAGTGTTCTGGATCTAATGATATTCTTGAGACAGAATGTTTATTAGCTGGCAGATAAAAGTATCTGTAATATTCAAAGAGCAACAAATATGTTTTATTTTATTGTTATTAAACATTTATACCACCCTTCATCTGAGAATCAGAGGGTGGTTTACAGTATAGAATACATAACAAAGTAACAAACAGAACAACAATCCCATACTTTTGGGGAGAAAACTATTTGAACCATACAGTTATTTTATTGAAATAGCTATATGCTGCTTTTCAGCCCAGGGGTTCTCTGAGCAGCTTACAGTAGTTTGAAAAAGCAACCCATTGACAATTACAACTTCTTTATTTAAAAAACCAGAAGAGCACCCCAGAAAAGCTTCTTTTTAAAACAAAACAAAACACCAGGGTCATACCAGCATTAAAAGTGCGAACTTAAAAGCAAAATAACCCCTCTGTTAGGAATAAACTGGAGCAGATTTTGACATTAAAACAAGTGGGGGAGATAATAATAATAATAATAATAATAATAATAATAATAATAATAATTTATTATTTATACCCCGCCCATCTGGCTGGGTTTCCCCAGCCACTCTGGGCGGCTTCCAACCAAACACTAAAATACAATAACCTATTAAACATTAAAAGCTTCTCTGAACAGGGCTGCCTTTAGATGTCTTCTAAAAGTTTGGTAGTTATTTTTCTCTTTGACATCTAGTGAGAGGGCGTTCCACAGGGCGGGTGCCACTACCGAGAAGGCCCTCTGCCTGGTTCCCTGTAGCTTTGCTTCTCTTAGTGAGGGAACCGCCAGAAGGCCCTCGGCGCTGGACCTCAGTGTCTGGGCAGAACGATGGAGGTGGAGATGCTCCTTCAGGTATACTAGACCGAGACCGTTTAGCAGAGTGCAGGTATCTTGTGTTTGGTCTTGATACATGCGTAGTGAAGAAGTGTAATTTGTAGGTAGGAAGGCCTAGGAACCCCTTGGGTCACCTTTGAGCACGTCAGAATTCCTGCTCAGTGCAGAGACATTGCTCATTTTCCTTATAGGAATGGCTGAATTGGTCAAGGAGAAGTTGATGCCTCTTCGTCAACACGTTGGGACGGTACAATATTCCCAACATAGTCACTGAGCTAGTTTGGACAATAAGCCAGGAGATCAGAAGCATTCATTTTCACTTTAGATTCAACACAGCTCGCTGTTTTGTCTGAACCCAACACAGCGTGGTTATTATGAGCAGTAGCTTGCTTAAAGCAAGCCGGCGTGAAACCATGGATTGTGAAATGGTCCTGTTTCAACAAACCGTAGTTACAATGAACCACAGTTATGGGTTCAGACAGAACGCTAATGGAAACTAAAGCTTGTGGCTACACCAGGAGAGAGAAGCTCCAAAGCCCGAGGTTAGCTGAAGCTTGTTCCCATTGTGGTAAACCGTGGTTTATTGTGATGCCTGAACTCGCCCCCTGATTCTTCTGAGAAAGAAAGACTCCTATACCTTTTCTGCTGGGAAAGAAAAGTGCAGCAGCTAAAGCAACTAAGATGTTTCTTTCTTGGGAGAATTGCCTTTTTTCTTTCACTCTGTTCCTGTAGGAAATATACTTTGATTAAGTTGTACAGCTGGAAACAGAAGCATATCAGGCTGCCAAGTGCAGATGCAGTCATCCAAAAAGGGCTGCTGGGTATCTTTTATTCCTTTCAAATGGATATTGTGCAAGTGGGATGGGCCGGCCAACCTGTGATGTGTGGCCGTCATGCAGCAAAGCTTGAGCAGGGACTGAATCCTGAGCTCCTGTTTGGTCTTACTGTGTTCAGTGGCCAAGTTTACATTGTCTGTTGCTGTTTTTATGTGGATTTTCTGTAAAGAAAGAGGTTAAAACATGGATTTCTGTAGCGGAGTTCGGTTTTCGCAGGTTCTAATAAGAAGGACTTGCTTTAAGTTGCTATAAATCACAAGCAAAATCACATCGTTGACATCGTAATTGGAACCTGACACTTTCATAACAAGCTGCTGTATGGCATGAACAAGATTTGTAATCTTGCTGCGTTTAATTATTATTATTATTTTTGGAGCCGTTTTTGTTTTCTTAAAAAAACAACAACAATCATATCTAATTATATTTTTATCTGCTGACAGTCTATATCAGGCTTCCTCAAACTCAGCCCTCCAGATGTTTTTGGCCTACAACTCCCATGATCCCTAGCTAGCAGCACGAGTGGTCAGGGATGATGGGAATTGTGGTCTCAAAACATCTGCAGGGCCGAGTTTGAAGAAGACTGGACTATATTGTATTCTGCTTGTAGCAGCGTAGTTTCTTGACACTGATTGGCTGAGCTGCTGTGATGGCATGGAACATTCCTACTTGAGGAACAAGGTTTTAGCAACAAAGGTTTCACAGCCTGGCTTCTGTTAGAAAGGATAGGTCTTAGCCTTTGGGGGATAGGCATCCCTTATATAGTGTGGTGTAAAGGCATACAGGGGATGCAGGTGGCGCTGTGGTCTAAACCACTGAGCCTAGGGCTTGCCGATCAGAAGGTCGGCAGTTCGAATCCCTGTGACAGGGTGAGCTCCCGTTGCTCGGTCCCTGCTCCTGCCAACCTAGCAGTTCGAAAGGACGTCAAAGTGCAAGTAGATAAATAGGTACCACTCCAGCGGGAAGGTAAACGGCGTTTCCGTGTGCTGCTCTGGTTTCGCGAGAAGTGGCTTAGTCATGCTGGCCACATGACCCGGAAAAACTGCCTGCGGACAAACGCCAGCTCCCTCGGCCAGTAAAGTGAGATGAGCGTTGCAACCCCAGAGTCGTTTGCGACTGGACTTAACTGTCAAAGGCATACAAGGCAACAGCCTTGCTGAGCCTAAGCAGGTCTTGGCCTTGATTGGTTTTCCACCTGGGAAGCACATGCCTTGGGAAATGTAGCTTAATGAAATAGGTCCCTTCCAACTCTACAATTCTATGAGTCTATGGTTCTATTAAATGATACAGGCATGTAGACAGAAGATCTGGCCAGGGCAGGTGAGGGACTGGAAAGGTGGGGAGAAAGAGAACGCAGCAGATATCAGAGAGCCCAGAGGCTAGGTGGAAAGGGTCACAGCAAGTAGCAGAGTTAGATCAAGGTGTGTGACCCAAGTGCAGATAGAAGCATCATAAGCTTGAGACTGAGAAGACTTGGGGACTGAGGGCCAGGGCACATAAAGGCTGTGCAGGGTTGCCAAGTCTAGACCCTGAGAGGGTTGCACAGAAGGCTGACTCTGGCATTATTGTCTGGCATTGGCTCTCAGTGCGTTTCCGAGCACAATTCAAAGTGTTGGTGTTGACCTTTAAAGCCCTAAACGGCCTCGGCCCAGTATACCTGTAGGAGCGTCTCCACCCCATCGTTCTGCCCGGACACTGAGGTCCAGCGCTGAGGGCCTTCTGGCGGTTCCCTCATTGCGAGAAGCAAAGCTACAGGGAACCAGGCAGAGGGCCTTCTCAGTAGTGGCACCCACCCTGTGGAACGCCCTCCCATCAGATGTTAAAGAGATAAACAACTACCTGACATTCAGAAGATATCTTAAGGCAGCCCTGTTCAGTTTTTAATGTGTGACATTTTAGTGTATTTTTGGTCTCTGTGGAAGCCTCCCAGAGTGGCTGGGGAAACCCAGCCAGATGGGCGGGGTACAAATAATAAATTATTATTATTATTATTTTATCAGCACATCTGTGGTTAAGAGGTAGTGAGATTATGCTAGGCACTGGAATTCACATACACATTTGAACAAACCAGCTCTTTGATTGTAAGCTTCCTGTATTATCGGATTGAAACTTAACTCGGTGTTGATAAAATTGTGTTGTTTTTTTAAGCTAGAGGATGGGCAGAGCCTTAATTATTACTTTAATTTTTAGCTTCTTCTGTGTGAATGTATTGGCCTCATCCTTATTTTGGTGGATTCCCCCACCCCACCCCCGGTTGCCTCCACCATCAAAACAAGGGGAAACTTGTAAGATACATTGCAGTGAAGTCATTATGACTACAAGTGATTCTAACTTTTAGAATTGGTGCCTGAGTTTGCTTATTTTCCTCTTTCTTCCTCATCCCCTATTTTCCTTCCTGTGTTGTGTCTTTTAGATTCTAACCCACCCACAGGCAGATACCATCTTGCTTTTATTGATCTTGGGGAAACTACTCTTGGAACCTTTTGCGTGTTCAGACCCAGAGACCTCCCCCCTAAATAAATACACACTTGACTCGAATTTTAGTTTTGGTTTTTGGCAGAATTTAGGCCACAACTTTATTGATTACAGAAAGTGACTGGTTGCATAGGCTCTGGTTCGACTAGCTCCCTGCCATGCAGGTAGCGCTGACCCAGAGCTCTATCATAGGTCAGACAAAGATGAACACCTGAGGTAGGGGAAAAGCCCGGGAACAGACTCTGTTCACTCCCCCAGATGCTCCCCTGGACTCAGGCATGGGCACACCCCCCTCTAAGGGGTTGACCAAACCATCGAGTCCCTGGATTCCTTTAACGGAATACCCTTCACATAGGGATGGTGAGAGCGTTCTCCCATCCCTATCACCTGAACCAGAGCCTATCTGCAGCCTTACAAGTTGTGACGATTTGCTACACAGCAGGCGAAACCCAAATGGCAACAGCCAATCAGCCAAGTGGGGGAAATTCCTGCCTTGCCCCTGTCCCAACGACACACGACGGCATAGCAAGGTCAATCACAAAATACCCTAAATATAGGGAAAGATGGGCGGGTGTTCTGTTTGCATGAGCCGAAAGAGAATCTCTGGGTCACATGCAAGGGGTTAAATAGGTCCCTCGAACCGTTTAGACTGCACCCCATTGGCCAGAGTACACCCAGCAGCAAGGGACCTACCAATTGGGCGTTGTGGCTATCCAGTAGACCCACCCACAACCAGGAAGTCAGTCTCCAGGTCTCACCGCAACACATTCCCTCTTTTAAGGAGGACACAATTTCCGTGAAAAACAACAACAACCATGCCTTAAATAAATATAAATAAATAAATTTAGTCTTGCAGCGGTGAAGGTGCTACATTTTTCAGCCTGCCTGTGTTGGCAAAGCCATCCTAAACAAGAGGTGTTTTCTGAATGTTGTGAACAAGGCAGGAGGTTGTTGGTTGCTATTGTAAGCTACCGAAGGCCACTCTCGTTTTAGATGATATTTCAGATATCTGTTTCCTTCTTCTCTTTGCCACATGCAAAGCGGGGAGCAGGATTGCAAGTGCTTCCATGTTCAGCAAAGGTGATCAGGAGAATTCCTGCATGGCTGGGATTCCTGATTGTTTGGAGGAATCCTAAGTGTATTTCTGGTTGAATGCATGGCTGCTGTCTGCCCTCTGCACATTGTCCCTGTGTGGTAAGAATGAATAAAAAAGGGCCCATCTCGTTTTGCTTCTGCTCTCTTGCCTTCAGTTCACAGAAGACAGGCCTATGGAAAGGAATTAGACACAATAATTAAATGGACCCTCTGTGTGTCAATTCATAGCTGTCAACTTACAGATTTGAAAATAAGGAACCAGCAGCCTCGAAAATAAGGAATCAGCAGCCAAAATAAGGGATTTTTCCGGGCACAGGTAGGTTCAACTTCTGAGCCCCTCCGAGCCAAAGGCAGAAAGCCCAGCCAGCAGCCAAACGAAGCCTCAAGCGGTGGTTCCCACAACGCAGCAACCCGGCAAAGGGGATGCAGCAAGGAAAACTACCGTCACCTCTCCGCTGGGAAGCGCTGAGCAAAGGCGAGTCCCCAGGCAACGCGGCCGACTTGATCGGCACAAGGCATGCAAGCTCCACACCCCAGTCATTCTTAGACTCCTTATTGGGTGAGCAACGCAGCCAAGCAACACAGTTGGAGCCTCCCTCCTCCCTGGCCGGCAGGGAGGGAGGGAGAATAGCTGCTTCCTTTGAAACTTGGGAAATTTAAGGGACATCATCAATAAGGGACAACAGCGGGACACGTCGCTGGGATAAGGGACTTTCCCGCCAAATAAGGGACTGTTGACAGCTATGTGTCAGTTGTGTAGGGTGGGGCTGGGGACAATCAAGAAAAGGGAAGGTTGCTTTCCTCATTCTCTCCCAGGAGGTTTCCTGGGAGCATCTGGGTCGCCATGGCTGGAAAGGGGATGCTCAATGGGTTATTCAGCCAGGCTGCTCTTATTTTATTTGCTTCCTTTAAAACATTTATATTATTGTAAGCCGCCTAGAGATCTCTCTTATTTGGTGCCATATAAATATTGCTAATAAATACATGCTGGATCCCTTTCCGTAGTTCACAGTGGGTTACAATGAGATAATATATCCCGTATTTTTCCGCCTATAAGACGCCCCTGTGTATAAGACGGCCCCTATTTTGGGGGACTCCAAATTAAGAAAATACTCCTTAGCACTACCTGTGTATAAGACGAGCCCCAATTTTAAACCTAATTTTTTGGTTTAAAAAAACTAGTTTTATGCATGGAAAAATACAGTCGGTGGGTGTGTGTGTGTGTGTGTGTGTGTGTTGTCATTTACTGCAGAGTTTGTTAAGCTACCTGTTCTGAGAAGTTGTATCTGATTTACAAGATAGAAATTCCTTAATAACAAATAAAATACTGGTTGTATTCAATAATAATAATAATAATAATCGTAAACGAGGTAGCCAACCAAACGAAAAACAGGGTGAAAGCTCTTCTGAAATCTACTGGCAACAATTAAAAAGAGAGGGAGAGAGAAAGAAAGAGAAAGAGCGAAACTGGTCCTAGAGCAAGCCCCATCCCCCAAAACTGGACTGTGGCTTTTGACTCTGTTTTTTCCTGCCCACCAAGGTGTTAGAGAAAATATGTTTCCCCCCCCCATCACCCTTCAGAAAAAAGTTCAGATCACAGCTAGAAATGTCTACCGCGCTGACCACAGGCAAACCTGCCTCCTCAGAGATATGAGCTTTGATTTGTCTGGGAAGTACAAATGTTCAAACAGAAAAGAACGAGTTTTATTTTATGGAAAAACTAACCATATTTGTTATAGACAAGGCTACTTAGTGTTTGCTATTATTACATTTTTGCTGTTTTTCAAATCTAAATGCAGCGGGTGGAAATATGTGGAACAGGCATGCTTAGTTCTATTTCCTGACTTTCATTTTTAAAAACCACTAAGGATCTAGTCCTCATCGCTGAGAGGCTATATCTGAAACAATGGGGCAATAGTATCTGAGGAACCAGAGGGGTACTTGGAAAAGTTTTCCTTTGGGTGGGCTGGGTGATGTTTCCTTTCCTGCAAAGTCTTTGCCCCTTCCCATGAGTAACGACAGCAGCATAAATTATGCAAATCAAGAGAAATGTGCAATTTTTGGGCGAAGAGTTTTGCGTGGTCACGTAACTTTTATCAGTATAAACATGGACCTTGTTGTGGCCAAGCCTTGAATACGGCATTAAAAACTCTGCCGTTCCATTATAGCTAGAGGCTAAAGAACGCGGGTGGCGCTGTGGGCTAAACCACAGAGCCTAGGACTTGTCGATCAGAATGTCAGCGGTTCAAATCCCAGCGACGGGGTGAGCTCCCGTTGCTCGGTCCCTGCTCCTGCCAACCTAGCAGTTCGAAAGCACGTCAAAGGGCAAGTAGATAAGTAGGTACCACTCTGGCGGGAAGGTAAACGACGTTTCCGTGCGCTGCTCTGGTTCGCCAGAAGTGGCTTAGTCATGCTGGCCACATGACCCGGAAGCTGTACGCCGGCTCCCTTGGCCAATAAAGCGAGATGAGCGCTGCAACCCCAGAGTTGGTCACGACTGGACCTAATGGTCAGGGGTCCCTTTACCTTTACCTTTAAAGAATACCAGCGTCGTCTGCTTGTGAGATTTCTCTTTGAGGAACAGTAGCAGGCCAAGACCTTTGGCATGTTGCGTCTCTTTTAACAGCCGTACCGCTATTGTACCCATCTGTGACTGTATACACCTAGCGCTTTTAAAAATATAATGTTGTTTGAGTTGTGCTTTATTTCCCCGCTTTGTGTATGACACACCCTCCTGTTTGTGATGCTATGGAGACTGTCAGGTGGGTGAGACAAGGGAACCTTTATACAGCGAATTTGATATTCATTACCCTCATAACCTTTGTCTTTAGTTAGCAGGAAGGCTTTGCGATATCAAAAGCAAACAAGGAGCCTGAGATATGAGAAGAGCAAAGCCTTAGGTAAACTTGGTAGTTAAATGTGAAAAGTAATCCGATTAAACTTACCCTGTCGTTCTTCTTTGGGGGCGGGTAGGGAACACACCATGTCTTGCTGTGTTGTGTAATGTGCCCTGTACAGTAAAAGCCTGTTTAGTTCTGCCTTCTTGTCTTGAAACTGTGCTGGTGCTTGGAAGAACATCATTTGCATCGATATGAAAAATAAGGGCGTGCATATTTTACTGGGATATATATTCCTAGGAAGTCTGGTGCCATTCTCATCCAATTCCAAATGAAGCCACTAGTGGTCCACTTCTGGGTTTGGGGTTGGGAAGGGAGGAATGTTTCCACACTGTTTGAGCTGGCATCTCAGGAACAGTGGATCTGCTGGGTAAGCGCTCAGGAGCCGGCTGATCTGGAGCTGCTGATTGGCTAGCTGAGGAGGGCTCTCATATTAAGATTGCTCATGAGTAGGTCCACAGGCAGGAATATCTCCAGTCCATCTCTGTGATGCCATTTAAGGTAAAGGGACCCCTGACCATTAGGTCCAGTCATGGCCGACTCTGGGGTTGCGGCGCTCATCTCGCTTTATTGGCCGAGGGAGCCGGTGTACAGCTTCCGGGTCATGTGGCCAGCATGACTAAGCTGCTTCTCGCGAACCAGAGCAGCGCACGGAAACGCCGTTTACCTTCCCGCTGGAGAGGTACCTATTTATCTACTTGCACTTTGTGCTTTCGAACTGCTAGGTTGGCAGGAGCAGGGACCGAGCAACGGGAGCTCACCCCGTCGCGGGGATTTGAACCGCCGACCTTCTGATCAGCTAGTCCTAGGTTCTGTGGTTTAACCCACAGCGCCACCCGCGTCCCTATGATGCCATTTGGTGGCCTGCAAAAAAGCGGGTGCTTGAGAACTCTACCCCTGTTCTTCTTGTCACACGTCTGGCTTCCTCTGCAAAGTTCTTCTCAGTTTCTCTAGTCTTTCCCTCCCTGCTCCCTCAGTTCCACCAGTTTTACGTTCACAGTACAGTCATACCTTGGAAGTTGAGCAGAATCCGTTTCGGAAGTCCGTTCGGCTTCCAAAACGTTCGGAAACCAAAGCGTGGTCTCTGATTGGCTGTAGGAAGCTCCGGCAGCCATTCGGAAGCCCCCCAAAATAGTTCACAAACCGGAACGGTCACTTCCGGGCTTACGGCGTTTGGGAGCCAAAACGTTCGAGAACTAAGCTGTTAGAAAACCAAGGTATGACTGTACTTTAGAAATCTTTCTTAAAAATCACCAGTGCTTTGCTGAGGTATATAAACAGGAAGGCACTGGACATAGTAAAAGATCCATCGCATCCTGGTCACTGTCTCTTCGAGCTCTTGCCGTCGGGACGGAGATACAGGACGATGAAGACAAGAACGAGCCGTCTTAAGAACAGCTTCTTCTCCAGAGTGATCTCGGCCCTGAATGGGAAGCCCGGACTTTGAAAGTCATCTAATCTCCCTTGCTGTATTATACTGTATTGTTTAATTAGTGTTTTTATGGAGCAGTCAAGTAATTTCGTTGTCCCCGAAGGGGGGCAATGACAATAAAGATATTATTATTATTATTATTATTATTATTATTATTATTATTAAACTACTCGGGAAAGGTTCTAGCCCAGCAGTGTACAGCCTCTGACCAGCAGGTCCCATTAGGCCTGGCAGGATTCCTGATTTGACCCACAAGGCTTTCTCCCCCAAACACCACCCTTTTCACTTCCTGCATTCCAAGTGTGGGGCGGGTGAAGACATGGCTATAGAACAACGATCAGGAACTACGTTGCTGTTACTCAACCTCCTTACATAGATCTTAGAGACCTCAGAACCAGGTCTCACGAGTAGATCTGAAAACCAGTAGCTCAAACTTGTGATTTGAAACTGAGCCAGCCAGTCTGCAACCAACTGAAGGTTTGTAATACAGTACATGATTATTATTATTATTATTATTATTATTATTACTATTATTTATTTATTTATTTATTTGTACCCCGCCCATCTGGCTGGGTTTCCGCAGCCGCTCGGGGATGCTTCCACAAAGACCAAAAATACGCTAAGATGTCACACATTAAAAACTTCCCTGAACAGGGCAGCATGAGTGGGAGCAGGGAATATTCCCCTCTTTGCAAACATATCTCTGGAGAGCAGCAGCAGCAGCAGAACATTCCAGGAGGATATGTGATAAACTTCTAGGTAAAGAAAGATCCCCATTGTATGAACTCCCACATTATTGGATCTTGAATAAGATGCTTTCCTATAGAGAGAGAGGACTGGCTTCCCCCCCTGCCTTTAAAAGACGAACTGGTGGTTGTCTCCAGTGGGTGACAAGGTTGGAAGAACCCCACCAGTCTTGCTCCACACAGCACCTGAGGACATCAGAGGCAGTGCATGATAAGGGTTTAATTTTCATTCCCCATCCCTTCTGGGTGAAGAGAGACCAGAGAACTCACAGAATTTGGATACTGGATTAAGTTGTGACTGGGGCTGATGGAAGTTGTGGTCTGAAACATCTGGACAACATCTGGTTGGAGATGTTTGCTGGTTGGAGAGGACTGTTATTATTATACTTATTTTACTATCAGGCTGCCTGTCACTACGCTTTTTACTATGTTTTTATCGTTGATGTTTTGGAATGTGTTTCTAATGTACATCGCCCTGATTTCTTTTGATAAAGGTCAGTATATTAATTGAAACAACAACAACAACAGCATGACTTTAGGGCTTTTTACTAGAAATGGGCAGCTGTATAAATGATGCACACCAGCACACTTCCTTAGCCATATCACTGCACAGCTAAACCTTCTGCAAAACAGGGGAACAAAACTAGAAAAAAGAGAGCCAATTAAAAATAATAATCCCGTTTTGACACGGATGAAAAGCTTCCAGTCTTGTTGTATTGAAGGCAATTTTATTCTGCCCCCAGCTTCAGTGAATGCCTGAAATAAATGTTCTAAAAAGTTGGGGGGCGGGGGCTGTTGCAGCACAAGATCAGCAAATGTATAGAAAGTACATAATATGAATAGTGATCTGAGCCTATACTTTTTTCCTGGAGATTCAGGTAGTGGGTGGTAGTGTGGGACTGTTTTAGCTTGCAGAAAGCGCTGGGGGAGAGAATTACAAAGCAGAGAAAACAGGGTTGTTTTTTTCCATAGAGGGAAAGGTCTGTCCCCTCCTCCTCATCCCGATATTTGGGCTTATATTCATGCAATCCAGGTGGTCTTGGTTTAACTTCCAGGGCAAGACATTCTAAGCTTGGTGGTTAGTTATTTTCTGAAGTATAAGGAAGGGGGCAACAGGGGGCAACTGACAAATGTTAGTATAAGTCCCTGACAGAGTGTCTGGAGTTCCGCTTTGAGCCATGTTCTCTGAACCGTTTAGACCACTGGAGGAAACCTGGAGAATTGAGTACAATGCCCCTGGGTACGCTTCCTAAGATCAACAAGTTCCTAGGAAGCGTGCCATGGGCTGGCTCTCCATAAACAGATTTCTGTTCGATCTCCTTTTGAATACCAAGTAGTGTTGAAAATGTGAAGCCTCTCAAACATACCATTTGCCTCCTTTTCAAAGCTTTACTCACCGACGGCTCCTAGTCCTGCTGCGTTCAGAACGCAATTTCCAGTTGGCATCAGAAACCATGGGTTTCATTTGAGGCAGCAACAGCTGGCAGTAGCAAGTACTGTAACTGGTTACCCTTTGGAAAAATCCACAACCCCAAGTGTGTTAAACAACTAAGACAAACTTTGTCCTTTCATTTTAAATTTTCATAGTAGATTTCCTCACAAAATATTGAGGGGAGGAGAAGTTTGGTCATTTGCTCTTATCTTACTCCTAACTTAAATGTAGATGACACATGATAGAGTTGCCGTACGTCTGGAATTTCCCGGACATATCCGGAATACTGCAGCCACAAGCAGTGTCCGGGTGGAGACTGGCAAAATGTCTGGGGAAATCGCCGGCAGTGTTGTTTTTGCCGATTTCCCTCAGAAATAGCTTTAAAATGTCAAATTTCTTTACAATTTTGTACCCCAAAAAAGCTCAAAAACTTTGGGCCAAAATAAAAAAAGCTTAACAACTTTGCCCCCCGCCAAAAAAATGAAAAAACCAGCTCCACAAATTTTCTGTCCAGATTTTCACCTTTTTGAAATATGACAGCCCTACACCAACCATCTATTTTTCTGCTTTTGGACTGCTAGAGCAAAGGTGATGGGAAATTGTTGTGATTGAGCCTATTTTTCCTTCTGGGGAGAAAGGGATTCTACAGTGTGTTGTCCACTGTCTTACTAGCCATTTCTTCACATTAGGCATTTTGTTCTGCCAGTGTTACACAGGATTAGTATTTCGTACCGCAGCTTGCAGACGGAACAGTACAATGGTGATAGTGTTGCTATTCCACTTCAGCAGGTCTAAGCTGAGTCTCTTCATTGGCAATCTCCATGCTTGAAGGAAAGGAGACAGTACTGACATAACTTGGAGTTTGAAAATACTGTCTCAATTTGCATAGTAATAAAAGGTTGTGACAATCTGATGAATGTAGTTAGCACTCTGTGCCTCAGCTAACATACAAAGCAGAAGTCTTGGTACACGCTGTACTTTCAGACAAGAAAACTTCTGCGGGAAACAAGCAGAGCTATTAGGATGGAGGTAAAAGTTGTTGTGAGTCCTCCCCGCCCCCCGCCCCCCCCCCGCCGCCTTTCGTCTTCGCCTCAAGCAAAGTTTGTTTTTAAGCAGACTGTCCAACTGTGTGTTTTATTTCTGAGCCTCATATGTCTTGAAAAAACACTGATTTAAATGTTTTCAATATTTCTGGCAAATGATTACTAGCATGGCATTGTTGCCGTTGGCAGATTTGCACTTTAATCTTGCAAAGTGCAAGGGAGTTGAGAGGGAAACAAAAAATTGGGAAGACCCTGTAGCTAGTTTGCGTACTTGAATCTCAAGAGAATTAAAATGGAGCTTTGCTGTTCTCCCACAGACTCTGTAAATAGTTAGTGCGCTCCTAGATCACAGCCCGTATAGGTCCGTATAGTAAAAGCTATGGTTTTCCCAGTAGTGATGTATGGAAGTGAGAGCTGGACCATAAAGAAGGCTGATCGCCGAAGGATTGATGCTTTTGAATTATGGTGCTGGAGGAGACTCTTGAGAGTCCCACGGACTGCAAGAAGATCAAACCTCTCCATTCTGAAGGAAATCAGCCCTGAGTGCTCACTGGAAGGACAGATCCTGAAGCTGAGGCTCCAATACTTTGGCCACCTTATGAGAAGAGAAGACTCCCTGGAAAAGACCCTGATGTTGGGAAAGATGGAGTGCACAAGGAGAAGGGGACGACAGAGGACGAGATGGTTGGATAGTGTTCTCGAAGCTACCAGCATGAGTTTGACCAAACTGCGGGAGGCAGTGGAAGACAGGAGTGCCTGGCGTGCTCTGGTCCATGGGGTCACGAAGAGTCGGACACAACTAAACGACTCAACAACAACAACAGATCAGAGCCTCATGCATCTTGATGGATGGGTGGGGTTTAGTTGCGTTGAAAGGGAAATCAGTGAGGAAAAGGGACAGGAGGACTGGAGAATCGTGTCCCTTCCAGTACAGTGAACAGATAGCACAATTAAAATGAAGCATTTGAATGGTGGGGAGGAGGCTGTAGAGTTGTCTTTGCTAAATTGTCCTTAGCCAGCCCGGTAAAAATAGTCATTTTGCACAGAGATGCCATACTAACGCCCAAGTGGGAAAATCTCAATAAAAAGGCTTTTGGTATTAGTCCCTTTCTGGTGATACAGCAGAGTGTGGGTTGAGATAAAGGTGGGTCCACATATGGTGGCTACAGCAAAGTTGTTCATTGGTTGCATTTGCGGAGGGAGCAGCCAAGGCAGTATCTTAGCACTGTTAGAAAAAGTAATGTTGCTAAAGTTAAATATGTGTGCCTGTCTTTATGGAGAGCATTGGCAGAAATAGGGAGCATAGTGTTGGACTCTTCCATTGAACAATTTTTTTTTAGGTTTTAGCTTGTTTTGCTGTTAAATCTTGTTCCAGAGATGTTATTTCACAAGTGAACTATATATCAGTGGCATGGGAAATGGTCAAACTTTATTGAATAATATGATTTGTTAAGTATTGTCTGCCAATCCGAAAGGACAGGGTTTTTGAGGATGAGAGGAACTGATGTGTGAAAAAAGTCGTGATTAAAGGTGTGTTGGATTAGGGGTAGCAGGCTATTACCCTGAATTAGTAATGACTGGTAGTTAACAAGAGTTGGATTCTGCCATCTCTTGGCTATGGGGCCGGCCCACCCGTGAGGCGATGTGAAGTGACTGCCTCAGGTGGCAGAATCCACGGAAGCAGCAGATACCGATGCAGATCTTCATTCAGGGCTGGCCCACCCAAGAGGCAAGATGAGGCAAGCAATGAGGATCCACAGAAGGAGCAAATCCTGATTCTGATCTTTATTTCCCACTTCTTCCTGATGTAGATCTTCACTCACCCTTCCTTCCCTGGCAGAGAAGGTGGCACCATTTTGTGGTTTGCCTCAGGGGCCAAGATGTTTTGAGCCAGCCCTGCTTGGCCACACACATTTGCTCAGTTGGGTTATTCTGGTTTCAGAGTGAATTCAGTGAGGAAGGCTGCAGCCCTCAGTAACCGAACAGGGTTAAAAACATGCAAGAAAGGTGAAGATTATATTAACATATTATAATACTTGCTGATGAATTTCAGCCATCATGGGAAACTGCTCAGTATTGAACCAGTGTGGTGTAGTGGTTAAGAGCGATAGTCTTGTAATCTGGGGAACCGGGTTCGCGTCTCCGCTCCTCCACATGCAGCTGCTGGGTGACCTTGGGCCAGTCACACTTCTCTGAAGTCTCTCAGCCCCACTCACCTCACAGAGTGCTTGTTGTGGGAGAGGAAGGGAAAGGAGAATGTTAGCCGCTTTGAGACTCCTGAAGGGGAGTGAAAGGTGGGATATCAAATCCAAATCCAAACAGTAATAAACCGGTTGCAAACAGAATTCTAGTATTATTATTATATTTTTTAAAATCCCAACATAATAAACCATGAATAGCTACAGCGTTTTCCAGTCCTAAAATCTACTACATTGCAAGTTTTTCTAAGATTAGGCAGCAGAAAGGCAACTGTGATCCAGACATGAACTGAAGTCAACTTGATGCTATCTGTTTACTGGAAACGAAACAAAAATTGTCATATTTGGATAGATTTCTTCTGCACCACTCTCTCTTTTAGCATGTGAATAGACTTTACATTGATAATTCAAGGGTTATGTTCCAGGTCTTTGTGTTGCAATAACTTCTAGCACACTCTTATAGCGCATTCTCGTCTTCACCAAAAGATTAGAACGTGGAACTCTGATTGCTTTGTTAAGAATAAAGTTTTCTCTCTTTGTTTATACAAAAATAACCAGTGCCTCGCTTGACATTGGAAAGCAAATGTTTTCACTCAGAATTACAAAAGTTGGCCAACAGCACAACTATCCTCTAGATCAGGCATCCCCAAACTCGGCCCTCCAGATGTTTTGGGACTGCAACTCCCATCACCCCTGACCACTGGTCCTGTTAGCTAGGAATGGTGGGAGTTGTAGTCCCGAAACATCTGGAGGGCTGAGTTTGGTGCCTGCTCTAGATGTACTACCGTATTTTTCACTCCATAAGGCGCACCGGACCATAAGGCGCACCTAGTTTTTAGAGGGGGAAATCAATATATATAAATATTATTCCCCCCCCCCGCCCCAAAGAGCAAAGAAGCCAAGACAGCGAGCGGGATGGATCCTGCTCACAGTCTTGGCTTCCTCTTTAGCCGTGAGCAACCTCTCCAGGCGGCCTCTCCCAGCCGGATCTGTGCTTTTATTTAAAATGCATCTCTGGGTTATTTGTGGGGCATAATAATTCATTCATTATTTTATTTTATTTTTTCAAAATATAGTCCGGCCCCCCACAAGGTCTGAGGGACAGTGGACTTGCCCCCTGCTGAAAAAGTTTGCTGACCCCTGCACTAAATTACCGTATTTTTTGCTCTATAAGACTCACTTTTTCCCTCCTGAAAAGTAAGGGGAGATGTGTGTGCGTCTTATGGAGCGAATGCAGGCTGCGCAGCTATCCCAGAAGCCAGAACAGCAAGAGGGATTGCTGCTTTCACTGTGCAGCGATCCCTCTTGCTGTTCTGGCTTCTGAGATTCAGAATATTTTTTTTCTTGTTTTCTTCCTCCAAAAACTAGGTGCGTCTTGTGGTCTGGTGCGTCTTATGGAGCGAAAGATACGGTATGGCTTAGTTAATGTTCTGAACAATAGCAGCTGACGCAGAGGCGGTGGTGGATATCTGACCTCCCGCCACTGGTGTTTCTGCAACTTACTGGGTGATGTGACTAGGATTTTGGTACAGTGCAAACACACCAGCAGGGTGAGCTGGATTTGTGCCGCTGGTATATTTGCACAGGGACGTGGGTGGCACTGTGGGTTAAACCACAGAGCCTAGGACTTGCCAATCAGAAGATCGGCGGTTCGAGTCCCCGCGACGGGGTGAGCTCCCGTTGCTCGGTCCCTGCTCCTGCCAACCTAGCAGTTCGAAAGCACAAAGTGCAAGTAGATAAATCGGTACCGCTCCAGCGGGAAGGTAAACGGTGTTTCCATGCGCTGCTCTGCTTTGCCAGAAGCGGCTTAGTCATGCTGGCCACATGACCCGGAAGCTGTACGCCGGCTCCCTCGGCCAATAAAGCGAGATGAGCGCCACAACCCCAGAGTCGGCCATGACTGGACCTAATGGTCAGGGGTCCCTTTAGCTTTATATTTGCACTACACTGACTTCCCCATCGCATTCCCCTTCCCCACCTTTGTAAGATGCAGCAGTTCCAATGAGGGAAGGTCAGGTAAGGGCCTCTACGTCTCCATGCTGCAAGGATGAATCACAGAAAGCTTTGGGCTCATGCATTGCCCTTTCCTCATTCGGCATGGCTGCAGGGAGGAGTTCAAAAACATTCTCGTCCATATTTAGACCGGCTGCAGCTTGTCGTGTCATCTAGACCTGATTAGTCTTAACTATGGTTTGGGGAAACCAGCCAACTTCAAACCATAATGTATGGAATTGGGTTGCTTTCACTAACCATAGTTAAAATTAGCCACAGTTTAGGGTTCAGATGTCATACTAATCTCTAGTTAATTTAAAACAGGTGGAGCTTCTGATCTCCGCCTTGCAACTATGCCAGCGAAGGAAATGCAGAAAGTGTACTTTCCCTTGAAACGAAATGACTGCATGCAAAACAGGCCTGTAATTCTCTTTAACAGAACGCGCCTTTGATAATCTCATGGACACAAGTTAGCATGAAGCTCTGCACCTTTCTAAGGAAGGGAGAAATTGGTCCTGGATTTTAAGATTTTTGACATTCAGAAAGAAGTTTTAGTGGTTGGGGGAAATCAGCCAATACATGCATTGGAACTGATGGTTTTAACTAGCTGTGTTGGAAAGTGAATTTCACTCTGAAAGTAGGACGGTTGTAGCTGGAATGACAATTAATGCCGTGTGGGCAAAATCTCTGCTGGAAGCCGGTATCTGAATAGAACAAGAACTCTGGCTCTCCCTACCAGTCCTTCCCTCCTCTTTCGTGATTTGGCCCTATATTGGCTGTTGAGTGTGGTGGCTTCCATTTTTAATTAGCCAGCTGGGCAAAATTTAGTTCATTGTGTCCCTTCAGTTAATTATCGTGAAACTGTTCTCTCTTCCCCCTCCCCCTCCCCCATTATAGAGCAGCCTGGGATTTGGCAATCTGGGGTCCAGCATTTTGCTTTTGAGGTATTATTGGGTGCCAGCTGTCTGCCTTAACTGAAGATTTGATCTAAGAGAAATTTAATCTAAAAAGGGGCAGGGAAGTCCAGAGGAACAGAGAACGTATACCTGCAGGATCTGCAAAACTTCATTCTTGAAAAACTAGGGGGGCAAACCGCCCCAGAAGGAGCACAAAGTTTCCCCCCACCTCCCACAAAGGCACTAGGGAAGTCTTAAGTGTCTTAATCAGATGAATTTAGATTTGTGTCCTTGCTAAGGGCTTTAAAGGCAGGACATTAAAGGCTGTAGACAACAAATGTAAGAATTAGGAACAAGGTAGACATCATGCTTTTCAAGAACCTGTCACACAGAAGAAGACAAAGAGTAATTCTCTGCCGCCCCACAAGGTAGGACCAGCTAGAGAGTCTTAAGACTTAAAGTAACATTTAAGTAAGTTTTCGGAAGAATTTATAGCTGCCAGAGGCAGCACAAGCGTTCTCCCAGGCCACCTCCCTCAGATTGCCTTTCTCTGAGGAAGGGAGTCGTCCCACTGAAGGAAGCAGAGAGGAAAGATGGAGGTGGATTGACTCCTAGCACTGCCTCTGCGTCAGCAGAGCAAAACTTGTGAAAAGTAAGCAGGGAGGAGAGGAAGAAGAAGAAGAAGAAGAAGAAGAAGAGTCTGGATTTGATATCCCGCTTTTTGTTGTTGTTTATTCGCTTAGTCGTGTCCGACTCTTCGTGACCCCATGGACCAAAGCACGCCAGGCACTCCTGTCTTCCACTGCCTCCCACAGTTTGGTCAAACTCATGCTGGTAGCTTCAAGAACACTATACAACCATCTCGGCCTCTGTCGTCCCCCTTCTCCTCCATCTTTCCCAACATCAGGGTCTTTTCCAGGGAGTCTTCTCTTCTCATGAGGTGGCCAAAGTATTGGAGCCTCAGCTTCACGATCTGTCCTTCCAGTGAGCACTCAGGGCTGATTTCCTTCAGAATGGAGAGGTTTGATCTTCTTGCAGTCCATGGGACTCTCAAGAGTCTCCTCCAGCACCATAATTCAAAAGCATCAATTCTTCGACGATCAGCCTTTTTTATGGTCCAGCTCTCACTTCCATACATCACTACTGGGAAAACCATGGCTTTAACTATACGGACCTTTGTTGGTAAGGTGATATCTCTGCTCTGAAGAAGGTAGAGTTGCCATATTCCCAAAAGTGAAAATCTGGACAAAGTTGTTGAGCATTTCTTTCTTTCTTTCTTTCTTTCTTTCTTTCTTTCTTTCTTTTTTGTCAAAGTTATTGAGCTACAACAATTGTAAAAGAATTTTTAAATTAAAAAAAATACCCCACTTGCCATACAACCTGTTTTCACCAATTCAGAGAAAATCTGTCCGGACGCCATTTGAAAGCATGTTTCCCAGCAGTGTCCAGGATAATCCAGATGCATGGCAGCCCTGAAGAAAACTCATTTCACAGCCATGCAGCAAGGGAGCAGTCTTTCATTGCCTTTGGTTCAGCGACTGTCGTGTGTATAAACAGAGTGGTACTGGGTCTCAAGCTTGCTTGGCAGCTAGGCAACCTATCACAAAGTGCTCTTCAGTTCTACAGTTTCCTAAAAATGAGAGGAAAAGCAGTCTGCATGCCTAGAGGCATCAACATATTTAATTGATGTATTCCACAAATCAGCTCCGGAATGGAAAAGATTCTTGGCAGAGAAGGCAAGAAATATATGCAGGAAAACGAGAGGGTGCGAGAGGCAGATGAAATAGGAAATCTGCTAGACGGAAGGAAGCACATAGAAGAAACACTGGTGCCTGTGAAAGGGTGGAGAAGCAGGAGATAAAGGGGAAGTGGCTGGTGGTGGCAGGAGCCAGAGGGCAGCTGAGTTAGTAGATGGAGGCATGGGAAGGAGAGGAGAGATGGGTGACCCAGAACCAGGGGAGAGGAAGCTTGTGACTCATGAAAAGCAAGGGCGAACAAATGAGAGAGAGACTCTCCGACAGGTCTAAACCACTGAACCTCTTGGGCTTGCTGATCAGAAGGTCGGTGGTTCGAATCCCTGCAAAGGGGTAAGCTCCTGTTGCTCTGTCCCAGCTCCTGCCAACCTAGCAGTTCAAAAACACGCCAGTGCAAGTAGATAAATAGGTACCACTGCAGCAGGAAGGTAAATGGCATTTCCATGTGCTCTAGTTTCCGTCGTGGTGTTCCGTTGCTCCAGAAGCAATTTAGTCCTGCTGGCCACATGACCCAGAAAGTGCTCTGTGGACAAACGCCGGCTCCCTTGGCCTGAAAGCGAGATGAGCGCCACAAACCCATAGTTGCCTTTGACTGAACTTAACCGTCCAGGTGTCCTTTACCTTTACCTAGAATATGGTTGTGATCATGTTTAGATATTCTGAGTAAACTAGAATTGTATGGCATCTTTTCCATTTTCTTTCCTTGCAGATTATTTAAGGACCGATACAACATTCCTTGAAGAACTGGTGGTTGGCAGTGGCGAAAACATCGAACTCCTGTGTAACTCTCCGGTCTCTTCTATGTCTGTCTTCTGGTATAAAGATGGCATTGGGATTTCACCTACTAACCGAACTCATCTTGTCCAGAAGTTGTTAAGGATTATCAATGTATCTTACGATGACTCTGGCCTCTACAGCTGTAAGCCAAGGCACTCCACTGAAATGCTCAGGAACTTCACAGTACGAGTAACAGGTGAGTTCAGTCCCCCCCCCCCGTTTTCTCTTTGCTTTTCTGCCAATCACCTGGATCCATGCTCACATCCCCAAATCAAAAGTGCATTTTAAAGAGTTTTGCATCTGGTTCTAATCTGATCTGAAAATCAAATTGCTTTGACCAGTGTTGATTGGCCAATGTTGTTTCCTTTTATATATATATAATTTTTATTGATTTTAACGTATAAATTATAAAATGTACCACAAAACTTATCACTTATACAATCTTTTTAGGCTTCCATCAGCACCTCTGATGATCCACCGTTTTAACCACTTCTTATGCATTTCTTAACTTTATATTGCCTTTACATCTCTTAACAAATCATCCTTCCTCTTCTCCATTTTTGCAATACTTCCAATAATCTCCTCACAAAACTTCTTGCAAACCTACAAACGTCGTCTGATCTTCACAAATACTTTTCAAATAGTCCATAAATTTACTCCAGTCTTCCGTGAATTTCTGGTCCCGCCGGTTTCGAATCCTTCCTGTTAGTTTATCTAGTTCTGCATAGTCCATTAACTTCATCCTCCATTCTTCAATCGTCGGCAATTCTTCTTGCTTCCATTTTTGGACCAATGTTGTTTCGCATTATCCAACAAAGTTTGTGATACTGTTTAGTCTGCCTAGGTTGCAGCTTCCTGACTTGAAAAGTGTTAGGTTAACAAAGAAGCTACAGACTGCTAACTCAGTTCTGGAATGCTCTCTGTGGAATAACAGGAGGACCCCAGGTGCTTGGACATGGATGTGAATGATTTTTCCACTATTGTAGTTTGTCTACCTTTGGTCTCACCTGTGGCCCCTAGCCGCTTCTTGGGAATGGCTTTGAATGGCCAGCTAAACTGGGCAAGGGTAGCCCGTGGGTCTCAAACCCTTGGACTTCCCCTGCATGTGAAGACAGGTTCTGGCTGATTGAGCAGACGAGGCCAGTTTCTACACCTGCTGTAGAGGGGCAGATGGGGCTCGTCAGCCAGAGAAGGTAGCCCATCTAGGAGAAGGAAAGCTCTGGTCCAAACTTCCACTGCCTTTTGGGATATCTTTGGGAGGAGGAGAAGGCTAAGGAGTGAACCCTACACCAGTAAGGAGTGGTGTCCCTAAGACTGCTGGATGGTGCCTTGTACGCCTCCTTCCGGCAACAGCAAGGCCAAGAGGGATGTCTTGTTGTCGGGGCAGCCCAGGACCTCCATAAAAATTTGAGCTCCCAGGAGGTCCCTTGGGTGCTCCAAACACAGCAGCTTGACTTCATCCCTGGAGACGCACTCCATTGTCTCTTGACTGTCTCTCTCTTGGTTGTGGGCAAACTGGGGAGAGGGGAGAGAAATGATGGGGTGGAACCCATGGCACTTGCTCAAGAATCCAGAGGTTTTCACGGTGGTGGGCAACCCCCAGAGGAGATGTGAGAAGGGAACGTCGCTGCTGAGTATTCTTGCATTATGGAGGGTGCATCTCTTTACCAACCTCCGTTTTCGTTTTGATCTTTTCATGATACACATTCAAGTTCACAGGCCCAATGTATAACGACCGGGAATGGGAAGAAATTTGATTCAGTTTGCATTTAAAGCTATCAAATCTATACTTTCTGAAGAGAACACTCCCCAACCATCAGCGTCAGTCTTCAAGGGGGCGAATGGAAAGGCCGTTCAGTTGACATCGCCAGTTAAATTGGGATGTTGCCCTGTGCAATCGCCTCTGCTTTTGAGCTAGCTGTGGATAATTATTATTATTATTATTTATTTATTTTTATTTATACCCCGCCCATCTGGCTGAGTTTCCCCAGCCACTCTGGGCGGCTCCCAATCAAATGTTAAAAACAATACAGCATTAAATATTAAAAACTTCCCTGAACAGGGCTGCCTTCAGATGTCTTTTAAAGATAGGATAGCTGCTTATTTCCTTCACATCTGAAGGGAGGGTGTTCCACAGGGTGGGCACCACTACTGAGAAGGCCCTCTGTCTCCTTACTTCACGCAATGAGGGAACCACCAGAAAGCCCTCAGCGCTGGATCTCAGTGCTAAACGATGGGGGTGGAGATGCTCCTTCAGGTATACAGGACCAAGGCCGTTTAGGGCTTTAAAGGTCAGCACCAACACTTTGAATTGTGCTCGGAAACGTACTGGGAGCCAATGCAGATCTCTCAGGACTGGTGTTATGTGGTCTCGGCGGCTGCTCCCAGTCACCATTCTAGCTGCCGCATTCTGGATTAGTTGCAGTTTCCGGGTCACCTTCAAAGGTAGCCCCACATAGAGCACATTGCAGTAGTCCAAGCAGGAGATAACTAGAGCATGCACCACTCTGGCGAGATAGTCCGCGGGCAGTAGGGTCTCAGCCCTCCGCATCAGATGTGGTGTTGTATTCTTGTGCAAAAGCGCCTAGGCAGGGCCAGCCAAAGGGTGGGAGTCAACATGCCATCCGACAGGTCTTGTGGCTTCTCGTGACAACACATCCCTATCACCCTAAAACATGATCGCAGCAGAGTGAGTGCTTCTCAGATAATGAATGACCCAAGGATGAAAGTGAAAAATACAGCATGAAACTGGTCCAACCGAAAAAATGATAGTTGCCTTTGATAAACAGCAGCAAAGGATGGGCATGCCATGCATGGCTCGAATGTAGGGTGTTGCTTTAGTTGCACCAGTGCAAAAACTGGGGGCTTCGACTGTGACTCGGTAAGCACAGTTTTTGAAAGGGAAGTCCCTTTGACTTCCAAATGGGTATGTTTCAGATTGAAACGGTAAGTAAGTAAGTAGGTAAATTTTTATTTATACCCCACCCTCCCCGGCCAAGACTGGCCTCAGGGTGGCTAACATCAAATATAAAATACACTAAAACACAATCAAACAATTGATTAAAATACAGCTTAAAAATTAGAATCAGGATAAAATTAAGTGATTGCCCACGAATTACAACCATAGGGGTCGGGAACCTCAAGTATTCATCCATGTTGGTCCCACATGAGCCGATAAAAGGGCCAAAGAGTTAACTTACAGGGTCCCATAGAGGGGGGGTCAAACTGGGCCCGGACTGAACGCCAGGTGGAACAACTCCGTCTTGCACGCCCTGCAGAAGGATGTCAAGTCCCGCAGGGCCCTGGTTTCCTGTGATAACCTGTTAACGCTTAATTAAAACCAGCTCAGTGGAAGCATATTCTCTTGGTACAGGGGCAGTTTTACACTCCTGGCAAATAGAAGGGGAAGAAATGGAGGCAGTGAGAGATTTTACTTTCTTGGGCTCCATGATCACTGCAGATGGTGACAGCAGCCACGAAATTAAAAGACGCCTGCTTCTTGGGAGAAAAGCAATGACAAACCTAGACAGCATCTTAAAAAGCAGAGACATCACCTTGCCAACAAAGGTCCGTATAGTTAAAGCTATGGTTTTCCCAGTAGTGATGTCTGGAAGTGAGAGCTGGACCATAAAGAAGGCTGATCGCCAAAGAACTGATGTTTTTGAATTATGGTCCTGGAGGAGACTCTTGAGAGTCCCATGGACTGCAAGAAGATCAAACCTATCCATTCTTAAGGAAATCAGCCCTGAGTGCTCACTGGAACGACAGATCCTGAAGCTGAGACTCCAATACTTTGGCCACCTCATGAGAGGAGAAGACTCCCTGGAAAAGGTCCTGATGTTGGGAAAGATTGAGGGCACAAGGAGAAGTGGACGACAGAGGACGAGATGGTTGGACAGTGTTCTCGAAGCTACAAACATGAGTTTGACCAAGCTGCGGGAGGCAGTGGAAGACAGAAGTGCCTGGCGTTCTCTGGTCCATGGGGTCATGAAGAGTCGGACAGGACTAAACGACTAAACAACAACAGTGGAAGCATATTCTCTTGGTACAGGGGCAGTTTTACATTATGCAATGTAAATGAAAGAGTACTGAAAAAAACAATATATTGCTGCATGTTATATATCTTTATTGCCACACCCTCAGCTGGAATGTTACATTCAGGTTGTGGTTTCCAAAGAAATTTTGAATTTCAAGAACTTCCAAAGAGCAGAAGAGAACATTCAAAGCAACGTGGAAGAGCAAAAAGGACCTAGAGATATTTTCATGTTACGACAACGGACTGTAAATATAGAGTCCGCGTAGCTGCACAGGGGCAATAAACATGATCTTGCTTGTTTTTTTTCATTGGCAGTGCCTGGCTCTTGGCAGTGGATAATTCTAATACGAACATGATTTTGCCAAGCTGATTTCCTCAGCAAAACCACTTTTATACTGGTCATCGACAAGCCGCCGACTTAAAACGAGCTTGTGAGCCTTTCAAAACTGTGAAAACGGAAACGATTAGAATGTGCCAATTGGTTTACAAAACCTCAAATTGGTTTACAAAATATAGATGGTAAAATCAAGAAAAATTCACAACCCCACTTTAAGGCATACAAAAGTTAAAAGTTAAAATACTAAAACAGATTAAAATTACCTCAACTTTCTAAGCAGCTGGGTAGGCTTGTCTATACAAGTATGTCTTAAACAGGTACTGAAAAGTGTACAGTGAAGGCACATGCTTGATTTTAAGCAGAGGCTTGACAGCCATATGTCAGGAGTGCTTTGATGGTGTTTCCTGCTTGGCAGGGGGTTGAACTTGATGGCCCTTGTGGTCTATTCCAACTCTATGATTCTATGATTCTATGATTCTATGATTCTATGATCTCAATAGGCAGGCAGTTCCAAAGTTGTAGGTGCTGCCACACTAAACGAGAGAGTTCTTATGAAAGGGTACCTGTGCGTTGCCCCTGTTTATTTTGGATGAGAGTTGACGTGAAAGAGATTTTTTTATAACTATCAAAGACGATACGTTTTCATTCTTTTTATTTGAGTTTTTAAAAGCAGACTACAAAAACCTCAGTCAATAGGTTCCCTTGTAGTTATGTTATGTGTAGCAGCCACCCAGGCGATCTGCGTAAAATGCCATCCTTTCAGTTGTTCCATTTTTCTCCTCATGTGGGAGCTTGTCATTTCACCAGATTTCTTCAGGGACAATTTCTTTGGGTACATCTTTGCTCGAACTGTTTATATATAAAGGTTTTCTGACCATCCTCATTTTGTAGTAAAGTGCAAACAAACGGGGACGTTGTTTTTTTTTATGATGGAATTGAGATTTTGGTTGGTTTTCATTAGCGCCTTTTAACAGAAGTGGCTAAGTAGAGTGGAACAACCACCCCAACTTCCCAGCAATTGCGTCACTATTTCTTACTGGGAGGGGGGGGGTGAAGAGGTCTGTTTTAGCTGATGGCAGACTAAATGTGAGCAGCAGTTGATTTGACTCCTAAAAAAGCAATTGCAGTCTTAGGCTGCATAAACAGAAGCTGTGTCCAGATAGCAAGAAATAATAATTCCACTGTCCTTTACTGGTCTTGCTGTATTTTGAGTACAGTGGTACCTCGGTTTATTAACTTAATCCGTTCTGGAAGTCCGTTCTTAAACCAAAGCTGTTCTTAAACCAAGGAGAGCTTTCCCTTATGAGGCCTCCCGCTGCCAGTCCCCTTCCACCATTCAGATTCCATTCTTAGACTGAGGTAAAGTTCATAAACCGGGACACCTACCTCCGGTTTTGCGGAGTTCGTAAACCGAATAGTTTGTAAACAGGGCTGTTCTTAAACCGAGGTACCACTGTACTGCCTCTAGTTCAGAATGCCCTACTTTAAGGACATTGATAGAACTGAACCACCTGTGGTTTTTAATTTCCTTTGTTCTAAAGATCATTATTGATATTCTGGGCTTAGCCGGACTGTATCCCTGTGTTTGTGGATGAGTGGATTTTTGTGTTAGTAAGTTCAGAAGTAAAAGTTGAGTTCAGAAGATCACAGCTTTATTGGGATAACGTTGGGATGTGCCAATTAATACGTTTTGATAATGGAAAATCATTGCAGGAATGAATTGAAAATTTTGCCTCCACAAAATGTAATTTCCACCCCTCCCTTGCTTCTCTTTCAAGATTCTCCATCATCAGGTGATGATGAAGAGGAAGATGAAGATGAAGATGACTCTGAAGATGGAGGTAAATATCTGGGGTTTGGGACACATGCAAAGTAATTCTCAAGAATGCTTATACTAGCTAAACTACTAGCATCAATGGGGCTTGGAACTGTTGGAATCATTTGTGCAGATGGGGGGGAGAGATTGGCATATAGGCTCCAGTGATTTCAACCTTTGTTTTACAATATCTAGCACTGAGTCAAAACTTTTCAGTGTTTCAATGTTTTTACTGTTACCTTTTTGAGTGGTTATGCTACTGGCACCAAAGACCTCAATTTCCTCAGTTGTTTTCTAAGGGCAGCAATCCATTCTTCACTAGAGATAATTTTTAAAAAGAGTTTCAGAATTAATCAGGAAGCCCTTTTTTAGAAGATTGGGTGTGTAAACTCTTCTTCTGTTTCTGTGGCTCCCCCATTGCTGTCCTTAAATAGCAACTGAATTGTGGGGGGGGGGGGGTTTCCATGCAACATATTGTGTTTGCTTCTACCACTGCCTTAATTTGGAGTCAATATGCGATATTTGTAACAGTGCCAAGGAAGAGTGCTGCCTACTTAAAGAAAATCATGGGAAATACCTGGGAAGGACAGTGGTATTTCAAAACCACTGCATTCAAAGGTAGCAGAACCCTTTAAAATTGAAATCACTAAGAATTTTTAAAAGTCTTTTTGTTTTTTCCTATGTATGAACTAGGGTTATTTGGGACAATGGGATGAAGTGCTTTGCACTTCACACATACCTATGCACTGAATTGGTGCACTGATTATTAACGTGATTTTGCTGACCTCTTTGCTGACTGCTGGGACGTGGGTGGTGCTGTGGGTTAAACCACAGAGCCTAGGGCTTGCCGATCAGAAGTTCGGCGGTTCGAATCCCCGCGACGGAGTGAGCTCCCGTTCCTCAGTCCCTGCTCCTGCCAACCTAGCAGTTTGAAAGCACGCCAGTGCAAGTAGATAAATAGGTACCGCTCCAGCGGTAAGGTAAACGGCGTTTCCGTGCACTGCTCTGGTTCGCCAGAAAAAGAGGGATAAGTATTCTTACTTTAAAGGACCATTATTAGGTAAGATTAGATTTAGCATCTGATCCAGCAAACAAGATTCTCAAACAAGAGACGCACCCTATTTCCTCTCCTACATGATTAACTCCTTTGTGGGTGGCGCTGTGGGTTAAAGGGCCTAGGACTTGCCGATCAGAAGGTCGCGGTTCGAACCCCCACGACGGGGTGAGCTCCCGTTGCTCGGTCCCAGCTCCTGCCCACCTAGCAGTTCGAAAGCATGTCAAAGTGCAAGTAGATAAATAGGTACCGCTCCAGCGGGAAGGTAAACGGTGTTTCCGTGCGCTGCTCTGGTTTGCCAGAAGCGGCTTAGTCATGCTGGCCACATGACCCGGAAGCTGTACGCCGGCTCACTCGGCCAGTAAAGCGAGATGAGCGCCACAACCCCAGAGTCGGCCACGACTGGACCTAATGGTCAGGGGCCCCTTTACCTTTACCTATGCTGACTGCTGCCACTCAGTCCATGTGCACTGGCCTTCCGTACACCTTCTTGCAAACAGACGAGGCGCTTCTTTTGAGGTGCTTCCTGTGACGGCATTCTGATCGCTGGAGGCCCTCTTCTGAAGCACCTTGGGAAGAAATTTCTTTAGTGCTTATTGTTGCTTGTTGTCTCTTTTTTCTGAGATCTTTCTGTTGTGTGTCGAGACCCTGAAGCCACCCCCTCGTTGATGAATAAGACACAAGGACATGGATATTAGGTTAATGGTTATTGGGCAAATTTAGGCCACAACTTTATTGGTTACAGAATGTGAGCGGTATTGGCTTAGGCATTGGAGTTGACCTGACTATAGCTGACTCCTGCCCGTCACGCAGGGAGTCCAGTAAGGGTCAACCACCGGTAGGGGGAGCCCCGTCGATGCAAACCAACTCAAACTCCCCCTGGCTTCCCGATGGGGTCGTGACATAGCCCTAGCCCCGCCCCGAGCTTCGGACAAGATCCACACCCCTAGATTCCTTTAACGGAATACCCTTCAGCTTGGAGGGGCAGGTGATGGCCACACCTCCCCTGCCCCATCATAAGGTCAACCAATGCCTAACCGCCAAACCTTACAAAGTTGCGACGATTGCTACAAGGTAGGCGAAAACCAAATGGCCCGTGCCAGGTTGCCAAGTGGAAAAATTCCTACTAGGCCCCTCAAGGGCGACCAACCGAGGTCCATAGCAAGGCCAATGTTGAAACCTGAAAATAGGGAGGGCAGGTGGGAGATCGAGGAGGCGAGCCAAGAGGAAGCTCTCCAGCTCGTGTTACGTTGAAATGGGGCCCGGCAACGCCCCCCAGCCAGTGGATTGGCTGGCTGGAGATGATGTGGCCGGGAACTCCCCCGGAGGGGAGTGGTTGGCCACGTGGTCCACCGCAACTCCTCCCCACTGGGAAGTGGAGTGGATTTGCCCACCTTTCTTGACTTGCTGAGCTCAGCATTTTACTGAGGAGAGAGCTTTCTCATTCATATAGCCTGAGGACCTTAATCCGATGCTAACTTGGCATGGCGTTTGTTTTTCATTTCACTGAGGTCACTTTGGAGCCGTTTCAGTTCTGTCAAGAATTGGGTCTCATCAGCAAGCTTCTCCGAGGCTCAAATGACAACTACCTTGCTCTTTCCCAACCTATGAAAACAACAATGATTTTGCTGAAACTAAATCTAGCTGTAGTAGTTTGGCTGCTGTTCCACATAATAGATCGCATCACATGCTTGCCAACAGACATGGTGTGTTTCTTCAGTTGCTCTGCTTTGTGTCTACAGTTGCTCCTTACTGGACCCGTCTCGAGATAATGGATCGGAAGCTTCTGGCTGTTCCTGCTGCAAACACCGTTCGCTTTCGCTGCCCGGCTGCTGGAAATCCCTCTCCTTCTATACACTGGCTGAAAAATGGCAAAGAATTCAAGGGAGAGCACCGTATTGGGGGCATCAAAGTAAGACGTCAGCGGTCTAAACATTGATTTGGTCCATTCCTTAACCTCCAGCTTTGAAAACCTCTTGGAATTGTCGCACCTGAAGTTTTGCCCACTGAACAATTTTGAAAGGGCTGTTGGATATGGGATCCACCACTTTTACATCATACATCATTTCCTTCCCAGTCTGTACTTCTTTATAGCCAAACTGGTTTGCAGATTCTCTCCTTGGGTATAATTTTTAGAATGCAAAATGTGATGTGGATACTGTCATAAACTGAATATATTGGTGAGACAGTTGAAGCATATGAACAGCGTTGTAGGTATTCCCCATGTATTTGGATGAATTATTAGATTCAGGTTGTTCTTGAATCATTCAGCCCAGACACTGAGGTCCAGCTCCGAGGGCCTTCTGGCGGTTCCCTCACTGCGAGAAGTGAGATTACAGGGAACCAGGCAGAGGGCCTTCTCGGTAGCGGCACCTACCCTGTGGAACGCTCTCCCATCAGATGTCAAGGAAATAAACAACTATCTGACTTTTAGAAGATATCTGAAGGCAGCCCTGTTTAGGGGAGTTTTTAATGTTTGATGTTTTATTGTGCTTTTAATATTCTGTTGGAGCTGCTCAAAGTGGCTGGGGAAACCCAGCCAGATGGGCAGGGTATAAATAAATTATTATTATTATTATTATTATTATTATTATTATGTTCCCCAACCCCTAGCTGCAGCCCGTTTACAAATTTCGTGAGAATTTTCCTATGTTGCTGAACCTAGTGTATGTACAAAAAATACCAGGAAGCATGTCTGCCACTTTGAGAAAGCAAAGTAATACTGTTAGCTTTAAACTAGCACATTTGCCGTGATTAACATCCTGAGGAATTAAATGAATGCTCATTCCTCAAAAGTTTGTTTGGTTCATGTGAATAATCCCCAATCCCATTTATCGGGCCCTATAAAAGGAGAGTGGAGTGTTTTTTGGGGGGGGGCGGTTCAAGAGTTGTTTTGGCTATGATCAAATACTTCTTCCTGACCATTCTGATGTAGGAAATTACTGAAGTTTTGTTTGAGATTAATTCTCACATTAACTAGCTGCAGACTACATATTTAACAGCACAGGAATAGGTTTCCGTCGGGATATTAAACTTTTGATAGAAAGTCTTTAAAATGGGATCAGAGCTGAGATTGACTCGGCTTCCTTGTTGCTTTAGTACTTTTAGCAACCAGGTTCCAAATCTGAATTCCTTTTGCCGTATTTCACTTCACTCTCTTCTGAGATAGATCCTGCAAAGGAGGCTGATTTGTGGTTATTCTTCATTTCCCCCTCTGCAGTTGCGACATCAGCAGTGGAGCCTCGTCATGGAAAGTGTGGTTCCATCAGATCGAGGCAACTACACCTGTGTGGTGCGGAATAAATATGGCATCATTTGGCATACCTACCAGCTTGATGTTCTTGGTAAGTGTTCTTTCTGCCTGTTTGCACCCGGTGGACAGTGTTACTCAGGTGGCTTGGGGCTGGGGGTGGACGTGATTTAGTTCCTTCCCGCTGGGCTTTCTACTTACTGGCCTAGTAGTCACAAGTCTGCACAACTGCAGCCTCCAGAATTCAAGGGCAGCCTCACATACAGTGCATTGTTGTTGTTGTTTAGTCGTGTCCGACTCTTTGTGACCCCATGGACCAGAGCACACCAGGCACTCCTGTCTTCCACTGTTTCCCACAGTTTGGTCAAACTCATGCTGGTAGCTTCGAGAGCACTGTCCAACCATCTCGTCCTCTGTCGTCCCCTTCTCCTTGTACCCTCCATCTTTCCCAGCATCAGGGTCTTTTCCAGGGAGTCTTCTCTTCACATGAGGTGGCCAAAGTATTGGAGCCTCAGCTTCACGATCTGTCCTTCCAGTGGCTGATTTCCTTCAGGATGGACAGGTTTGATCTTCTTGCAGTCCATGGGACTCTCAAGAGTCTCCTCCAGCACCATAATTCAAAAGCATCAATTCTTCGGCGATCAGCCTTCTTGATGGTCCAGCTCTCACTTCCATACATCACTACTGGGAAAACCATGGCTTTAACCATATGGACCTTTGTTGGCAAGGTGATGTCTCTGCTTTTTAAGATGCTGTCTAGGTTTGTCATTGCTTTTCTCCCAAGAAGCAGGCGTCTTTTAATTTCGTGGCTGCTGTCACCATCTGCAGTGATCATGGAGCCCAAGAAAATAAAATCTCTCACTGCCTCCATTTCTTGCCCTTCTATTTGCCAGGAGGTGATGGGCCCAGTGGCCATGATCTTCGTTTTTTTGATGTTGTGCTCCAGACCATATTTTGCGCTCTCCTCTTTCACCCTCATTAAAAGGTTCTTTAATTCCTTAAGAGGTTCTTTAATTCCATACAGTGCATTACAGTCGTCCAAAGGGACTGGTGCTTGCATATGGCTTATGCAACGTACTCTGACTGCAGAATTTGGATTCCCTTGGGGCTGAATGGGTATTTGTTGATGCCGCCTCCGCAGAGCCCTGTCTTTTGTTATTTGTCTCTTTCTGGCTGTTAGGTTATAGCTATATGTGGCCAAGAGAACTGGGCCTGGAGTCAACATGCAGCAAATGTCAGGGCCCGTGGTGCTCAGAGGAACCATTGGGGGTTAAGCCACCACTACCTTCTTAACTTTTTTCTTTTAGCCCGGGATTCATCAGAGAAGTGTAAAACGAAGTGACTGCAATCCCTTCTCTCAGTGCTTCTCTGTCAAATGTTGGGCTCAGTGTCATCACCTGTCTCTGGCTCCCAAGGATGCTGGCCCTGGAGATAATTATTTTGCCTTGAGAAAAGCCTCCACTGCCCAGTATTATTTTAATTTACCTTCCTTGTGTGATTCCGCTGAGCATATACCTGTCTTTCTTATGGTCTGAGCTTAGACCAAGACTGTATGCTGCCATGCTAATGTAAAAAGGTAAAGGTAAAGGACCCCTGACAGTTAAGTCCAGTCGCGAATGACTCTGGGGTTGCGGCGCTCATCTCGCTTTACTGGCCGAGGGAGCCGGCGTTTGTCCGCAGATAGTTTTTCTGGGTCATGTGGCCAGCATGACTAAGCCGCTTCTGGTGAAACCGGCACAGCACACGGAAATGCCGTTTACCTTCCCACCGGAGTGGTACCTATTTATCTACTTGCACTTTGATGTGCTTTCGAACTGCTAGGTTGGCAGGAGCAGGGACCGAGCAACAGGAGCTCACCCCGTCGCAGGGATTCGAACCGCCGACCTTCTGATCACCAAGCCCTAGGCTCTGTGGTTTAGACCACAGCACCACCGCTGATGCTTAATCTGAGATTCTGCACTGTATAGAATAACAAGTCAAAGCACCAACATCGTCTTGCCATAAATCGGTTGCCCTGCAGTTGTTTACAGCGGATCCTTCCTCTGACTGAATTCGCACAGCAGCATTCAAAGGCTTTCCAAAAAAAGAACCATCTTCCAAAAGAGCGCTCTCTATATATCAGGTTCCCAATGAACTACTGGAAAAGAGCCAGCTCATTCCTCCTGTGTTTTCTTCTGCAGAAAGATCACCCCACCGTCCTATTCTCCAGGCAGGATTGCCTGCTAACCAGACTGTGGTGATTGGGAGTGATGTTAAATTCCTGTGCAAAGTGTACAGCGATGCCCAGCCTCACATCCAGTGGCTGAAACACGTGGAGGTCAATGGAAGCAAATATGGACCAGATGGGACTCCGTATGTCACTGTCCTAAAGGTTGGTACACAGCTACACATCCCCTCTATGGCCATTGCATGCTAGAGTTTGACCTATACTCTTGAGGCACCGCCTCACAGCAGTGAATACTTCTGGAACCTCTTGATTTTGGCATTATTGACACTAAAGGCACATACCTTAAAAGCAGGCAGAAAGCCATGTATCACTCTAATTTCCCCCCAAATTTGCAGGTACACCTGGGGGGAAAATCTTCTGCAAAATCCAAAATATGATAGGGCTACTACCAGACTTGTGAGAAGCTGGTATAGCATAATGGTTAAGAGACTGCAGCTGCAATCCTAATCCCATTTACCTAGAAGTCGGCTGCAATGAATTTAATAGAACTTTCTGAGAAGATATGGTTAGGATTGCATCAGTCAGGAAATCTCTGGTTGAGCCTCGCTCCTGCCATGATCTTGTTAGGTGGTCTTAGGCAAGCCACCCCTTCTTAGCCTCAAATCCCAGCATTCACTGTCAGGCAACAGAGAAGTTTATACTAACTTGCCTTACAGGGTCATTGTAAGTATTGCAGCTTGATAACACATGTTGAAAGCTTGAATCATAGACCCATAGAATTGTATGTTTGGGAGGGACACCAGCAGTCATCTAGTCCAAACCCCTACAATGGTAGGAATCACTTGAAAACACGGTCCAAATGAAAAAGGGGTGGCGCTGTGGGTTAAACCACAGAGCCTAGGACTTGCCGATCAGAAGGTCAGCGGTTCGAATCCCCGCGTTGCTTGGTCCCTGCTCCTGCCAACCTAGCAGTTCGAAGTACAAGTAGATAAATAGGTACCACTCCGGCGGGAAGGTAAACAGCGTTTCCATGCGCTGCTCTGGTTCGCCAGAAGCGGCTTAGTCATGCTGGCCACATGATCCGGAAGCTGTACGCCGGCTCCCTCGGCCAGTAAAGCGAGATGAGCGCCGCAACCCCAGAGTCGGTCACGACTGGACCTAATGGTCAGGGGTCCCTGTACCTTTACCTTTATGTTTGTATGGAGAGTGATGGAATGTAAAAGCACCACTCTATTTCAACATAAAAGATAGGGAGAAATAACAGAATTCATAACAGGCTGTTAAAATTGTATATACTTTGGTCCAGTTGAAGTTTGCAAGCTGTTCTTCAGAAACAGCCCCTCGCAGTGCACATCATGGTAATCCAATCTAGGTGTGACTAGGGCATGGATGATGGAAGCCAGGTCTGTAGGACAGAGTGCAGCTGCCATACCAGCCAAAACAACCACCTGCCTTTCAATGTCAAGTGGAACCCCCCCAAGTTGGAAATTTACTTTTTAAGGAGGAGTGCAAATCCATCCAAAACCTGATTCCAGATTGGAATCCCCAGCTTTGATGTCTATGGCAGATCCATTCCTTGATCCAGTCCAGGATTCCCGAATTATGTGGACTGAGCATAGACTTGTGGAGCTACAGAGAGGAACACCAGTCCCTATGTAACTGGGAGCTAGGAAAGGGATCTAAACTAAACTTCTTCATCTAACAAGCATCACTGATGGGGCACTTTTGTGGCTCCCCACAAACGTTGGCCTTTACTAGCCTTCAGTGAGGCAGGGCCTGCCCTGCCAGCAGAGGCTCGGGAGGAATCATTACTGCCATCTTTCAAATAATCTTCCGAAAACTGTGCTGTTTACGCAGGCCTTTACAACATGATTCCCCCTCCTTCCTTAACCAACCAGCATTTACTGATGTTTTTATTGAGGCAGACCTAACCATGATCTTATAAATGGCCTTGATATAGTTCTATGAAAGTGCAAACTATTACCGTATTTTTCACTCTGTAAGATGCACTTTTTCCCTCCTAAAAAGTAAGGCGAAATGTGTGTGCATCTTATGGAGCGAATGCAGGCTGTGCAGCTATCCCAGAAGCCAGAACAGCGAGAGGGATTGCTGTGCAGCGCTCCCTCTCGCTGTTCTAGCTTCTGGCTTAGCCACGCTCTGTCCCTTCCCCCACCTCCCGGAAAAGCCCCCAAGAGCCGCGCTCCCTTTAAAGAGCCGCGCGGAACGTGTGTGTGGCTCTTGGGGGCTTTTCCCCGAGGAGGGAGAAAGGCAGCCCGTCAGTGACAGGCTGCCCTTCACCCTCCTCAGGGAAAAGCCTGCAAGCGCCGCACACACGCTCCACGCGGCTCTTTAAAGGGAGCGCTGAGCAGAGCCTGGGATGCATACAGCGCTCCCTGTTCAGCACTCCCTTTAAAGAATATTTTTTTCTTGCATTCCCCCTTTAAAGACTGGGTGCGTCTTATGGTCAGGTGCATCTTATGGAGCGAAAAATACGGTAATACTTCAGCAGATAAATGATAAAAGGCGAGATAATGTGGATCCTTAAAACACCCCATAGGCAAGTATCCACAGGGTGGGGCAGCAGTCTGCCAACTGATCCTGAGATCCCTCTTTAAAATGAAGGGGCAACTGTGCTCCCCAAAATATGCATGAGGACGGGATACAGTTTTTATAGCTGCCCATAGCTCCATCTTCTTGTGTTTGTAAGCTTGCATTTGGCTTTCTCAGCTCTTCGTGTCCAGCTCTAGCAAAACTACATTTCTGACATACCTTCGAGGCATCCAAGCAAGTACTGTTCTCTTGGAAGATCGTGAAGATCTCATGATCGTTACGCAAGCCGAACATCAGGACCTTGGCAGATCACTCAGCAGCCTGGGTGCAAGTGAAGCAGGCAAATTGAACCATTCCCCAGGCCCACAGTGAATCCCAGACACTTGCTGAGTTTTCCCCCCTGCCTAAACCACGATCATGGCCACGGGCTTCTAGCACAGCCTTAACCAACCTGGCAACCTCTCTAAATATTTTGGACTACAACTCCCATAAGCCCCAGCCATCACAGAGCTGAATTAAGTCCGTTGGGAGTCCATCTTGAGGGCTCCCAGGTTCGTGAAGTTTGACCAAGATGGATTCCTTTTCATTCTTCGCTTTAGTCTGTGTGACACAACCCGTGTCTTGGCTAGATTTGGCCAGCTAAGGATATTTGCAAATAACGAGCAAATCAGCATGAAGATGATCCTTCAGGGAGGGGTAGCCAACATTCAGTAATGGGAGCTGGAGACTCATCAGTACAGTGGTACCTCAGGTTACATATGCTTCAGGTTACATATGCTTCAGGTTACAGACTCCACTAACCCAGAAATAGTGCTTCAGGTTAAGAACTTTGCTTCAGGATGAGAACAGAAATCGTGCTCCGGCGGCGGCAGCAGGAGGCCCCATTAGCTAAAGTGGTGCTTCAGGTTAAGAACAGTTTCAGGTTAAGAACAGACCTCCGGAACGAATTAAGTACTTAACCCGAGGTACCACTGTATTGGCTATCCCTGTTTTAACCACTATAACCCTGGTCCCCCAGGTGAACGTGAAAGGAAATCTCCGTTAGTAGCTGCAACACTTACTGGCTTGTCAGGTGCAAGTAAACTCTGAAAACTGCAGCAAATTGAAGGGAGCTCATTTTTAAAAACGAGAACCTTCAGCCGAAGAAAATTTTCAAATGAGCAGCTTCACAAGCTGCTTAAAAAATGAAAGAAAGAAACTCCGGTTTGGGGGGGTGGGGACAGGACACGGAATTTGGCTCCCTAGCAAAATCAGAGAGTCCCTTTTGGTCAAGTAATGTGTACATGTTTAAAAAAGAGCCGAGAAGCAGAAATTCAGTCCTGTCTGTCTAATGTGTGATGCAGAGATATTGCTTGGTTTACTGAAGTTGAGGTTTCTGTCTATTCTGCAGTCTCTGATCAGTGCAAACGCTGAAGCCGATGCTTACCTAAATTTGTCTAAAGTGACAGAACAAGATGAAGGCGAATATCTATGTAGAGCCAACAATTTCGTAGGCAGAGCCGAAAAATCATTTTGGCTCCACATTGACAAATCAAAACCAGGTAAACCCTCGACTCTGTCCCAAAGGCTTAGCAACTGCAAGAATGAGCTGTAACGCTTGAAGATGCTAGTCGTTTTAAAAATTAATATTTTGTAGTCTTTCCTGTGTATGTCATGATGTCACTACTTATATATTAAGATAATAAAATGCTTTTTTAAAAACAAATCAGTTGCAAAGAAAAAATTCCCACATTGATGACTGTCTGACTTTGCTCATTACATCTTTATGGCTTCGAGTTGCATGTTAACGACCTGAACTCTCATAACCTTATTATAATTTATAGATAGGCTTTACCGATTTCATTGTTCGTTGAACTCTAAAAATCTCCTGCACATCAAATTCAGGTATCAGGGAGGAAGAGAAAACTTCCCTGCAGTTAAAACAATGTACAGGCCAGTAACTGAAAGATCTCTGACGGAAACTGAGAAAGAGGCAGACAATTCCTTCTCCAGCTTACATCAGGAATCTTTCAGTAATTTGGCATGTAAGTGTGATGAAAATCACCAGAAGTGGGGAACGAGTTACAAGTCACTGGTTTCAAATTTGATGTTTGGGTGGGTTGGGGGGAAATCCTGATCAATTTTACATTTTTAAAAGTTAAGCTCTCTTTCCCCCATGCTTAACTCATTACTCACATTAACTGCATTTTATCCTTGCTCCTTCCCCTTACTTACTCTCTTTCCCTGTCTCCCTGCCCAGCCATACTAACCAAAAGACAGTCATATATATGTGGAGGAAATTTTTTCATTCTTACGCTTTTGCTTGCATGCATTATTAGTGGGACAGAGTAAGAGCCTGGTGAAGGGAACTCCTTGCTTTTTAAACAACTGGTTGTGGTAGGGCATGAGGATAAGCTACTGGCCTCTCAAATATTGTAAATCTGCTTTTGAAATTTGCCTGAGCATCTGTGTTGCCTTCTCTGGAAATTTGGCTTTGGAATCCTGTGGGTTTCCCCCTTCCCCCCCTTCCTTCTTTATCTTGTGTATTTTTTTTCTCCCTCCGTAGACAGCAGGTGTTAACAAAACAGATAAGGAGCTAGAAATTCTGTACTTACGCAATGTTACTTTTGAGGACGCTGGGGCATATACTTGTCTTGCTGGGAATTCTATTGGGTTTACACACCATACTGCTTGGCTGACGGTATTACCAGGTACTTCGGCTCTGTCACTTTTTCCCTTTCCTTTCTTAAGGGCCTCGGCGCCCACTTCCGAAATGCCAAATTCTTGAGCAGTAGATGAGTGTTACTCTTATAGCCAGCTTGCGCTGAAGCACACTTCACCTTTTCTGCGATATGTAACTTGTTAACCAAGTTGGCAGCCAATGCTTCGATTTCTCACTCCAGAATGAAGTTGCATCTAAGTGGGCAGGTGCAATGCTCATGGCTCAGTCTCAAAATGGCCGTCATCTATTGAGATGTGATGCACAATTTTACCTCCATAGTACCACCAGTTTGTTTCAGACTATGTGCCGCTCAAGCATTTGACATTTCTGTATCTTGACTTTATGAATTGGGTGGCTTTTAATATCGTTGAATCTGATTAAAAGTGCTTCTTTGGCTAGATTGGGTCCGTATTTAGTTTTGGAGAACACCAAGGCCTTCTGTGTCATAAATCCTACACAGTACGGCCTATAGCATTGACAGCTAATTTCCCATAATGTTCTTGGTGGAGGCTAACTATTGCTGAACAAAATCTCTCATGCTTCCACTGCACAATCACCAGTCTTTCTAATACCTGTAGGCTTCTGTTGGGTGGGAATGTTGAAGCTCTGTTACGAATGAATGCCACATCATGACAACAATTGAGAACATGTGCTCTGTAAATTCATTTTCATTAAATACCTTTATCTGTGCTAGCTCCATAGAGTTTATTGGGTACCATTTCACCCCAGGAGCAGTATATGATTTCTCCAGTAGAGATTCGGCAGGCACAAACAGATCTTTTGAAGACCTTTCTATGTAGATAGGCCTGTGTAACTCTAAATTATTATTTTTAATCAACCAGTCATTTCAATATTTTTTTTTTACTATTTTCATGGTGTTTTAAGTCATATTGCTGTACACCGCCGTATTGTATTGTACGAATTGGCGTTGTATGAATACTTTTATTAGTAAATAATGCTTTGTGTCTCTTACCTTGAAAAGCATTTTCTACAAAAACCTATCAGAAACTTTTGATAGACAATTTTATTAAATTCTGTAGGTAGTGGTGGTGATTACCTCAGAATCGGGCTCAGTATTCTACCCATTTTATTACTGAGTAATGAAACAGGATCCACGACATCATTCCCCCAACTGGTTTCCTCCAGATGTTTGGGACTACAGTTCCCATAAGCCCCTGGCAGCACAGCCACACATTAACTCAGTCCCACATGTGGCAGAGCAGTAGAGTGCTTTTCAATGTCCCAGGACACAATCCTTTATTTTTGCTTAAACAGACTTGGATAGTCCAATGATCCAGAGCATATGGGAGTTTTAAGTGTATCAGTAATAGAAGTTTTGTTTGTGTGTTAAAAGAGAGGGAGTTGTGGAGAAGGTAGATGCATTTTAATGTGCACTCTGCATATAACAGGCTGAGTTACATATCTTACGGGCCACGTACAAAAACCAGGTATTCCATGGGGTATACTTTCATTAACAAACGGTGTCAAACAAAGAACAAGGCTAAATGAAAATTGTCTTACACGATCAGCCTATGCTTGGTGTTTAAGTCCTAGAAACTCTATAGATTTCCAAGCAAGACTGAAGAAACCGGAGTTTGTTTGAAAAAACAGCCAACCAGCCAACTTTAAGCCCTTCTGTTTTACTTATGTATCGTTGCAACTGAATCAAATACTAATGCACGACTTACAGTGCCTTTAGGAAACCAAACTATCTATTCAAGATTCTTCAGGCATTCAATATGGCTAACTAAAAATACATATTTTAGGGAAATAATGCATGTAAAACACATTTCCCCCCCATGATTATTATTATTTTTAATCTATGGGGGGGGGACAGAACAATTTGCTGCAAAATTGACACAGAAATTAAATTGGTTGATCTGTTCACCCCTGTTAACAACATGACAAACCTTTGTGGCACGTAGATTCAGAACATTACTTTGAGCACAAAAACATATTTAATTTTGCCACAGTTACCTAGTTCCGCTCAATTGTTTTGTGGCAACTGATTGGAATAATAATAATAATAATAATAATAATAATAATAAATTTATTTATATCCCGCCCTCCCCAGCCGAAGCCGGGCTCAGGGCGGCTAACAACAATAAAATAATACAACATTCTAAAATCATTTCATTATAGAATTAATTCAAATCAAATTGATGGCAACCATTGGGCTAGAGTTCTGTGAGGATGACCAAAGGAGGGGGTCAGGCTGTGCCCTGGCCAAAGGCCTGGTGGAACAGCTCCGTCTTGCAGGCTCTGTGGAAAGATATCAAGTCCCGCAGAGCCCTAGTCTCTTGTGACAGAGCGTTCCACCAGATCGGAGCCACAGCCGAAAAAGCCCTGGCTCTGGTTGAGGCCAGCCTAACCTCTCTGTGGCCTGGGACCTTCAAGATGTTTTTGTTTGAAGACCGTAAGTTCCTCTGTGGGACATACCAGGAGAGGCGGTCCTGTAGGTACGAGGGTCCTAGGCCGTATAGGGCTTTGAAAGACAACTCTTTCTCTTTTGGGATGTCACAGGCATTCTGTAGAATATTAGGTGTTTGCACTTGGCCTCTAAGATGCCTACTCTACCACACAAGGCATTGTGCTGGAGAACATACACTTTGCTGGGTGTTTGGGGTGTGTGGTCCAGATTTACTAGGTATTGTCTGAATTGAACTGCCTGTCTCCCATTCAGATTCCTAACATATCTCTATTACTCTGCAGCGGAAAAGCGAGTTGCCGTGGACGATTCCAGTTCCCTTTATGCAGGCATCCTCAGCTATGGGACTGGCTTTGTTCTTTTCATCTTGGTGGCCGTGGTGGTGGTTATCTATAGAATTAAAAGGCCCTCCAAAAAACCGATTAGCACCACTACTGTTCAGAAAGTCTCCAAGTTCCCACTCAAGAGACAGGTAACAGAAAGTAGATACAAGGTTCCTATTCCTTCCTTATATCTTTCCTTCCCCTTTGCAATCTTCTGTCTAGATCAGAAACTTGCCCTGGTGATTTATGTCTCTGGAAGCTCTAAGTGAGATCTTTGAACGCTGTTAGCAGGAAATGGTTTTATCCACCTATTTTATCTTTGTTTTCATGATTTAAAAACAAAACAAGTGTGTAAAATATGGCCTGAAAATCTGGTGGTGATTTAAAATGTTCTGGTTTATAGATCCTGGTTTTCTTTATCTGGTTCTGCTGAGCTCTGACATTTATATAGTGTGTTAAACAGACCTGCTGGCTGAGAAAAAGGTGTAGACCTTTCCTGTTGGCATAGTTCTGTGCTAGCAAAAGAAGACACAACTGAACATGATTCTGCCCCAATGATGTAATTTGAATACAGTATTAGCCCTCTTTCTGGTGGGTGCTGTTGTGCATATGAAGTCTTGACCTCCACATTGTGTAGCAGCAGAACTGGAGGCACAGGGAAGGTCAAGTACCAGTAGTGCAGGGCTCACCTGGTATGGGAGATGGCAGATCTTGAAGGGGGCAATTTTCCATTTGCTAGACGTTTGTTTCTCCTTTGTTCGAGCTTCAATCATTGCTGCATTAGCTGAATCAAAAGTGGTGACTTCTCTAACAATGAAGTCTTGAGAAAGCGGAAGTGTGGAGTCTCACTCTTGGGCTATGTGTTTTTCCTATGCACTGGAAATGTTTTCTCAGGTGGGGAGATCTTTGATGGGAAGCAATAGAATCGCCACTGGCAGAGGTAGATGGCTTGAGGAGCAGACCTAGGTTCTGGCAGGCTGATAATATTCCAAGAGTTAGCAGATTCACTCCAGTTAGAAGATGAGACAGATTATATTGCATGTCTGCATGTTGCAGCTATTTCCCCTGTCAGCTAAACACCGTTGTGGAATTTGGGAGCTGTGCTGATTTAAAACAAAGTATGAGGGACGCAGGTGGCAAGCCTAGGACTTGCCAATCAGAAGGTCGGCAGTTCAAATCCCGCGACGGGGTGAGCTCCCGTTGCTCGGTCCCTGCTCCTGCCAATCTAGCAGTTCGAAAGCACGGCAAAAAGTGCAAGTTGATAAATAGGTACCGTTCCGGCGGGAAGGTAAATGGCATTTCCGTGCGCTGCTCTGGTTCGCCAGAAGCGCCTTAGTCATGCTGGCCACATGACCCGGAAGCTGTACGCTGGCTCCCTCGGCCAGTAAAGCGAGATGAGCGCCGCAACCCCAGAGTCGGCCACGACTGGACCTAATGGTCAGGGGTCCCTTTACCTTTTTATGAGCTTGACATTTGCATATTAAGAGAGGAAGAACCGTGTGTCCATATTGCAGATTATTGAATGCAGCAAAGATTCTTCAGCTAATGCCCTTTTGCTATTCTCTTTCTATGACCTTATATGCTTCCTAATAGAAGCTGTTGGCAATAACACCTCCTTTGCTGTATTCAAGCAGGTATCTTTGGAGTCCAACTCCTCCATGAATTCCAATACTCCTCTAGTCAGGATCACCCGCCTTTCCTCCAGTGATGGACCAATGCTGGCAAACGTCTCAGAGCTTGAGCTGCCCGCTGACCCTAAGTGGGAACTGGCAAGGTCTCGGTGAGTAAAATGTCGTTTTGAGCTGGTTGACTCTTATTTAAGTCTTTAATATACCACCTTTCACACAGCATCCCGAGTTACATGCTGACGTCTTTGCTTGTGTGTTTTGCTTCAGCCTGACTCTAGGAAAGCCACTGGGCGAAGGCTGCTTTGGTCAAGTAGTAATGGCGGAAGCAATGGGGATCGATAAAGAGAAACCGAACAAGCCTATCACTGTTGCTGTCAAGATGCTGAAAGGTACTGAGAACAGAGAATGGCAAGAACTAGTCTCCCACAGGCCTCTGCTCTCCATATTTTTCCTGATTTTCAGCCCTCCCCTGGGTTCCTCTGCATTGGTTTCTCCCAGGTTTCCCACCCATAGCTGTCAACCGTCCCTTATTTGGCGGGAAACTCCCTTATCCCAGCGCCGTTTCCCGCTGCTGTCCCTTATTGATGATGTCCCTTAAATTTCCCGGGTTTCAAAGGAAGCAGCTCCTCTCCCTCCCTCCCTGCCGGCCAGGGAGGAGGGAGGCTCCAGTTGTGTTGCTTGGCTGCGTTGCTCACCCAATAAGGAGTCTAAGAACGACTGGGGGGTGGAGCTTGCATGCCTTGTGCCGATCAAATCAGCCGCGTTGCCTGGGGACTTGCCTTTGCTCAGTGCTTCCCAGCGGAGAGGTGACGGTGGTTTTCCTTGCTGCATCCGCTTTGCCGGGTTGCTGCGCTGTGGGAACCACTGCTTGAGGCTTTGTTTGGCTGCTGGCTGGGCTTTCTGCCTTTGGCTCGGAGGGGCTCAGAAGTTGAACCTACCTGTGCTTGGAAAATCCCTTATTTCGGCTGCTGATCCCTTATTTTCAAATCTGTAAGTTGACAGCTATGTTTCCCGTCTGCTGTGCCATCTCTCAGACTTCCGGGGCCCTGATTAGCTTGCCCACCCCCTTGCCAAGCTGTCCTACCTCTTTATAACCTTATGTCAGGCTACACCCTCTCGTTCTTCTGCGACGATTCCTCTAGTTTCACCTCACAAGTTGTCTTAAAAGAAAAGAAGCCCCAATGGCTGCTTCTTGCCCTATTTGTTTATGTCTGTATTTATTTTCAAGCTGCTGAAAGGAAAGAAACACGATAGAGAGGAAATAGTAAGCAGTGTATGCATAGCTGTCAACTTACAGATTTGAAAATAAGGGACCAGCAGCCTCGAAAATAAGGGATCAGCAGCCAAAATAAGGGATTTTGGCTTAGCTTAAACATCAATCCGCCACTGATGGAGCCATGCTGCTTGGGCTGCGACTGACTGTGTTTTGCAGAGGGTTGGACTAGATGATCCTAAGGGTCTACAACTCCGACCAAAGAAAAGTGGCAGACAAAACTGATGAACGACGCCCAGATGGCAAAGCTTACAGGCAGAATTAGAAACCAGGAAGAGGACCTCTTTAATAAAGAATGGGGAAAGTTTATAATTTAGTTGAAAAGCTATTGTCAAGAGTTACATACATTGGTAGGATTGACAGAAAACTTGTAGTAAAAATTTGAACTATGGATGGACAAATGATTTATAAAAATAGAGTTATGAAAGGGACGCAGAGGGGGAAATCACTACATTAAGATGCTGCACTGGTTGGAGGGGATGCTAAGCAGCATGTCGTGGCGGAAGTCTCGCAAGAGAGGGGCTGCCTGCCCGCCCGCTGCCACCCGTCTCCTCACAACGCGCCCCTGAGGGGGAAAAGGGAGAGACAGAGACGCGGCAGCTCGTGCACACTCTCTCTCGCAGCGGAGGACCCCGAGCCGCTGCTTCCCTCTCAAGCCGGGCGAGCATGAAACCCGGGAAATTTAAGGGACATCATCAATAAGGGACAGCAGCGGGACACGGCACTGGGATAAGGGAGTTTCCTGCCAAATAAGGGACGGTTGACAGCTAAGAGTGTATGGGGTGCAGGAATAATTTAATTCAAATTGGTGGCTCTCCTCATCCTTCAACCAGGAGTCGTATATTAACATTATTAATATTATTTCTGTTGTGACAGTTTTGAAACGTTGTCAGTGTTTAAGCAGAAGAGCAGCTCTACTTGACTGGGTTCATCCAGCTCCTTCTCCTGCTTAAGCATGCCACTGAAAAGTGAGGTTCCCCCACCACATTTCACCAGAACTCCTATCTTTGTAAATGAAGGGATATACGTTTTATATAAAATCATATAAATTTGGCATAGTAATAATAATTTTATTGAATTATTGGAAGGCCTTACCAGGCACCTGAGCCCATTGTATGGTGTAATCCAGAGTTCCCCAAACTTGGGACTCCGTCTGTTTTTGAACTACAATCCCCATCATCCCTAGCGGGCAGGATCAGATCTGGAAGCATCCTTTAATTCACCAAGTTGGTGTACCTGGCTTAGATGAGAGGCACCTCATGGGGACAGAGGTTGCTGGTCATATATGCAGCCAGTTCCAGTGCAAAGCAGCCAACGAAGAACTTGGGGTGTTCTTGAAGTATATGCACCAAAGTCTGAGTAGACATGGGCTGTATGGCAACGAGTGAATTCCATCCATGGCACATAATAAAACTCTGCTTTTCCTGATTGCGTCTCTTCCCTTTCCTGTATAGATGATGCCACGGACAAAGATCTTTCCGACTTAGTCTCAGAAATGGAAATGATGAAGATGATTGGGAAGCACAAGAACATCATTAATCTCTTGGGGGCCTGCACACAGGATGGTATGTTCCCAGGGCTCATGGTTGTGGCGGTTGATGAAGGTGGTCATATTATACATACTGTTGCCTGGTCTGTTTTCAGTGTTTATAATTTGCATGCATGCTCTCCCTCATGCCTCTTTGCTGCAATCTCTGTGAGAAGCCGAAAATCTTCCGTTCTGGAAGAGACGTGCCAGATTGTTGTTGTTTAGCCGTTTAGTCGTGTCTGACTCTTCGTGACCCCATGGACCAGAGCACGCCAGGCACTCCTGTCTTCCACTGCCCCCCGCAGTTTGGTCAAACTCATGCTGGTAGCTTCAAGAACAGTATCCAACCATCTGGTCCTCTGTCGTTCCCTTCTCCTTGTGCCCTCCATCTTTCCCAACATCAGGGTCTTTTCCAGGGAGTCTTCTCTTCTCATGAGGTGGCCAAAGTATTGGAGCCTCAGCTTCACGATCTGTCCTTCCAGTGAGCACTCAGGGCTGATTTCCTTCAGAATGGATCGGTTTGATCTTCTTGCAGTCCATGGTTATTGTTTTCTCCCAAGAAGCAGGCGTCTTTTAATTTCGTGACCGCTGTCACCATCTGCAGTGATCATGGAGCCCAAGAAAGTAAGATCTCTCACTGCCTCCATTTCTTCCCCTTCTATTTGCCAGGAGGTGATGGGACCAGTGGCCATGATCTTTGTTTTTTGATGCTGAGCTTCAAACCATATTTTGCGCTCTCCTCTTTCACCCTCATTAAAAGGTTCTTTAATTCCTCCTCACTTTCTGCCATCAGTGTTGTGTCATCTACCACAGTCTAAATGGGCTTCTGTTTAGTGGCTTAAATGAGTTTCATGGATGCTTTGAGTCCTCTGCTATAGACCAGGAGCAGGGGGCTTTTTCTGGCTGGCAGGCCAGATTGTTACCTCCACATCCCTTGGTGGACCAAATTTGGTAGGTGGGCAGGACCTATCAAACTATACAGGGCTGTTGGCATATTTGAAAGGCCCCCAGTCCTTCCACCCACCTTGACACTGTCACCCTCTAATTTGGCACCATTGTTGCTGGGTTTTATGTGTGTTTGTTTCATCTGAGGGTGGTGGAGCACTCTTCTTCTCTTGCTTACAGCGCACCCACATGTCACCGGTCTTCTCACATCTACACCTGATGTGTGGCTGGGGAGATCCAGGAGACTGCCTGCCAACAAGCTGCGAAGTAAAGAGCCCAGTGTGTAAATGGCTTCTAGCCTTGATGGAGGCTCTGGTCTGCCTCCATGGTCAGATGCAATAACACTTCTAAATACCAGTTGCTGAAAACCACAGGAAGGGAGAGTAGTTAAAACGTTTTTCTTGAAACAGATGACACTATGATGTAATAATAATAATAATAATAATTTATTATTTATACCCCGCCCATCTGGCTGGGTTTCCCCAGCCACTCTGGGCGGCTTCCAACTGAATATTAAAAACAATACAGCATCAGATATTAAAAACTTCCCAAAACAGGTCTGCCTTCAGATGTATTTTAAAAGTAAAATAGTTGTTTATTGCCTTGGCATCAGCTGGGAGGGCGTTCCACAGGGCAGGCACCACTACCGAGAAGGCCCTCTGTCTGGTTCCCTGTAACCTCACTTCTCGCAGCAAGGGAACCGCCAGAAGGCCCTCGGCGCTGGATCTCAGTGTTCGGGCTGAACGATGAGGGTGGAGACATTGCTTCAGGTATATAGGACCGAGGCCGTTTAGGGCATTAAAGGTCAGCACCAACACTTTGAATTGTGCTCAGAAACGTACTGGGAGCCAATGTAGGTCTTTCAAGACCGGTGTTATGTGGTCTCGGCGGCTGCTCCCAGTCACCAGTCTAGCTGCCGCATTCTGGATTAATCGCAGTTTCCGAGTCACCTTCAAAGGTAGCCCCACGTAGAGTGCATTGCGGTAGTCCAAGCGGGAGATACCCTATTTTTTGCTCTATAAGACTCACTTTTTCCCTCCTAAAAAGCAAGGGGAAACGTGTGTGCTTCTTATGGAGCGAATGCAGGCTGCGCAGCTATCCCAGAAGCCAGAACAGCAAGAGGGATCGCTGCTTTCACTGTGCAGCAATCCCTCTTGCTGTTCTGGCTTCTGAGATTCAGAATATTTTTTTTCTTGTTTTCCTCCTCCAAAAACTAGGTGTGTCTTGTGGTCTGGTGCTTCTTATAGAGCGAAAAATACGGTAACTAGAGCATGCACCACTCTGACAAAACAGTCTGCGGGCAAGTAGGGTCTCAGCCTGCATACCAGATGGAGTTGATAGACAACTTCCCTGGACACAGAATTGACCTGCTCCTCCATGGACAGCTGTGAGTCCAAAATGACTCCCAGGCTGCGCACCTGGTCCTTCAGGGGCACAGTTACCCCATTCAGGATCAGGGAGTCCCCCACACCCACCCGCCCCCATCCCCCCAAAACAATACTTCTGTCTTGTCAGGTCTGAACACTCATCCCCCAACACCACTTGCGAGCATTGGAGCAGCCAGGAGACTTCTGCATTTGCCTGCACTTGGACCTCAGGTCCTTCTTGGTAGCCCTCCTGCCATCGTCAGGAAAACAGGATTTCTCTTAGCTGCACAGCCCTTTCTGATGAGCAGCATGGAAGTATTCCGACCCAGCTGGACCCAAAAGTGCCTCTTCTCTTGTGTTTTCTCTATCTAAAGCTGTCACAGTAGTCACTGCTCTGCCCATCATTAATGCATCCATTCTTTCTTTTTTAAAAAAAAAAAAAATTATTCAAAATTATAACAAGACATATTATCCAAAAACATATCATCCTTGTTTTTCCCCCCATTTTTCCTCACTCCCCCCCTCCCACACAACCCACCCCCACCCCCGACTTCCCTCAGTTCCAGTCTTTGGTTTCTCTAAGAATGCTGTTTTCTGCATGTTACAAAGTTGTATAGATCCTCAAACTATTTAGCTGATTATTATCAATAAAAAGTTTGTGAATGTTTATTCAAGGAGTCCAGTTCGCTTTGTTGCATCTTCAGATACTTTGTAAAGGGTTCCCATTCATCCTTAAAGTCACAGTTATCCTTGTCCCGTAGCTTATATGTCAGTTTTGCCAGTTCTGCATAGTCCATCAGTTTTTCTTGCCACGATTCTTTAGTTGGGGTTTCTTCAGTCTTCCATCCTTGTGCTACCAGAACTCTCGCAGCCGTTGTCGCATACATGAAGATGTTTTTCAACTTTTTTGGCAGGTCTTTCCCTACAATTCCCAACAAAAATGCCTCGGGTTTCTTAACAAATGTTAAATGGAACACTTAATGCATCCATTCTGAAGTGCCTGCCTTCTAGACTCAGAGGGGGAGGAACAAGCCAGGATACATGCAGAAATATCTTCTTGCCACTCATCAGAATGGTAGCTTGTCAGCACGAAAGAGTTCATTTTGGATAAAAATATATTGTTTTTACTCCAGGTCCTCTCTATGTGCTGGTGGAATATGCATCAAAGGGGAACTTGCGAGAATACCTTAGAGCCCGCAGGCCACCTGGCATGGATTACTCTTTCGATACCTGCAAGCTGCCTGAGGAGCAGCTAACATTTAAAGACTTAGTCTCCTGCGCCTACCAGGTGGCACGAGGGATGGAGTACCTGGCATCTCAGAAAGTAAGTAGCGTGCAGCTTTATAAGAAACTAGGGGTTGTCCCCCTATTTGCCAACTCCACCCAGCTCTCCATCTCCCTAGACCTTGCTGGAGGACAAAATCCCAAGAAAAATCCCTTAGACCAGGTGCAAGGAATAATAATAATAATAATAATAATAATAATAATAATAATAATAATTTATTATTTATTCCCCAGCCACTCTGGGTGGCTTCCAACAAAAATACAATAGTCTGTCAAACGTTAAAAGCCTCCCTAAACAGGGCTGCCTTCAGATGTCTTCTAAAAGTCTGGTAGTTGTTGTTCTCTTTGACATCTGGTGGGAGGGTATTCCACAGGGCGAGTGCCACTGCTGAGAAGGCCCTCTGCCTGGTTCCCTGTAACTTGGCTTCTCGCAGCAAGGGAAGCGCCAGAAGGCCCTCGGCGCTGGACCTCAGTGTCTGGGCAGAACGATGGGGGTGGAGATCCTCCTTCAGGTATACTGGACCAAAGTCCTTTAGGGCTTTAAAGGTCAGCACCAACACTTTGAATTGTGCTCGGAAACGTACTGGGAGCCAATGTAGGTATTTCAAGACCGGTGTTATGTGGTCTCGGCAGCTGCTCCCAGTCACCAGCCTAGCCGCCGTATTCTGGATTAGTTGTAGTTTCCGGGTCACCTTCAAAGGTAGCTCCACATAGAGCGCATTGCAGTAGTCCAAGCAAGAGATAACCAGAGCATGCACCACTCTGGCGAGACAGTTTGCGGACAGGTAGGGTCTCAGCCTGCATACCAGATGGAGCTGGTAAACAGCTGTCCTGAACACAGAATTGACCTGCACCTCCATGGACAGCTGCGAGGGGCACAGTTACCCCATTCAGGACCACGGCGTCTTCCACACCTGCCCGCCTCCCGCCCCCCCAAAACAGTACTTCTGTCTTGTCAGGACTCAATCTGTTAGCCACCATCCATCCTCCAACCTTCTCCAGACACTCACACAGGACCTTCACCGCCTTCACTGGTTCTGATTTGAAAGAGAGGTAGAGCTGTGTATTATCCACATACTGATGGACACTCAGCCCAAACCCCCTGATGATCTCTCCCAACACGTAGATGTTGAAAAGCATGGGGGAGAGGGCAGAACCCTGAGGCACCCCACAAGTGAGAGCCATGGAGTCTGAACACTCATCCCCCACCACCACTTTCTGAACTTGGCCCAGGAACCTTTTTGGCTCTCTCCTCATAGGTCAACATTAACAGATGGGCGGGGCAATCCACATGTCAATAATGTGGTGTTATTGTGACCTCACACGATTGGTGGGTTGCCCACCTGTCTAAATCCCAGCATCAGAGGTTAAAAGGGGCAGTGCAGGAAGACTTTGCAAAGCCCACCCCTCGCTGATACTTGCAACCTTTTGCAATTCCCCTCAACTCCTCCTTCACACTCTCAAGGTTGAAGGTGCAAAAGAAAAGAGCAAGGAAGATCAGCAACCTCAGCTACCTCCCTCCCATCAACAAACAGGTTGCTACAAAGCAGTTCATTCTGCACAAAGGATTAAATGGCACCCCGCTGCCTTGAACTTAGAACAGATGATGCAGCGGCTCATAAACTGTTATGTACCGAAGTTCTCACCCTGGGCCAGCAGGGGGATACTGTAGATAGTTATGCAAATGAAGGATCAAAAGTGACGTTCAGTGTTTGGATAGTTTCAGAAAGTTGCTACAGTTACATTGTTCTGGAGCTCTATATAAGCAGGCTGACTGAGCCCTTCAGTTCAGCTCTGTTCTGGCCTTTGAATAAACAAGAGCTGTTTGAAGAATCGCTGTGTCATCTGATATGTTCGCCCACAACTTAACATAAACAATATATGGTCGTTATTTCATTTTGTAAACATCTTATTCAATGCACGTTTCTTGGGTCCCACCCCCCCATTCTTTTTCAGTGTATCCATAGGGACTTGGCAGCTAGAAATGTTTTGGTCACAGAAGACAATGTGATGAAGATAGCTGACTTTGGCCTTGCCAGAGATGTTCACAACATTGATTATTACAAGAAGACAACCAATGTGAGTGAAAAGCTCTCAAACGTGAAGCTATTCTGGCTACTTAAAGAGCTGGACATCTTGTGGGCATTAAATAGCTTTGCCTTGCATTCTTTTTTAGCAATTCAGGTGAAAGTGAGGTCCTGGGTTTTACTTGAATGTTCACTGTATTCCGTTTTGTAAGTCAGTAACTCAGTTGGCTTCTGAGAGAGAGATTAATACAACTTGTTACACACATTCTGGACACCTTGCAGTTTCAAGTCCACAAACAAAACCCAATCTAATTTTGTTCAGTACAGTGGTACTTGCCTCGCAAGACAAAAAACTCGCTAGACGAAAGGGTTTTTTGTTTTTTGAGCTGCTTCGCAAGATGATTTTCCCTATGGGCCTGCTTTGCAAGACGGAAACGTCTTGCAAGTTTGTTTCCTTTTTCTTAACACCGTTAATACAGTTGCGACTTGACTTCGAGGAGCAACTCATAGAACATGGTGTGGTAGCCTTTTTTGAGGTTTTTAAAGACTTTGGTGATTTTTGAAGCTTTTCCAAAACTTTCCCGACACCGTGCTTCGCAAGACGAAAAAAATCGCAAGACAACAAAACTCGCGGAACGAATTAATTTCGTCTTGCGAGGCACCACTGTATAGGCTAGAAATAACACATTTATTCTTAAACTAACATTAAAAACTATCCCAACTTTCAGAAAAACATTTCTGACCAAAGGTGAGAATTCATATATATATATATACTACAAACAGAAAAGGGATCTAACAAAGGAATTATTCAAAAGTCAAACTTCTTCAGCCATGTGATTTATTCATTTTAACTGAGAAGTATTCGCAGTTTCGGCTGCATCTGGCAATAGGTATAGCTGTACTGGGCAAATACTCAGTGCTTTTTTTCTGGGCGTACTCAAGGTTGCACAGTACTGGTACCTTTTTTTCAAATGTTAAAAGTGTGGCACAATTGGAATGAATTTCAGGAACCAAAATGTTTTTTCAGTGCAGCCTGAGCAGGAGCAGTGAACGAGATTATAGTTGATTGTTGTAGCTTATCTTCACTTACCCCACCCTGCTCACAGTTGTGAAGAATATTCCTACACTATGAATGGTCCGTGTCACCATTAAGAAAAAGAGGTAGGAATAGATCAATATATATGTGGACTATCCCTGGACCAAGTGACTTTCCTTCAAGTTCTCAAAGTTCTTAACCTAGCTCAAGGTAGTCATCTGAAATAGCCGGACATTTAACTGAGAATCAATCACAGTCAGCCCATCATTTGAAAAATAAGACTTTAGAGTCGTCTTACCACCAAAATGGCAACTAGGCATTCTGTTTTGGAGACTGTAACCTTGGTTTAAGGAGCCATTTGTGCCTAGCTTATACCGTATTTTTCGCCCTATAGGGCGCACCGGCCCATAGGGTGCACCTAGTTTTTGGGGGGGGAAATAAAGGGGAAAAATTATTTTTCCCCCAGGTGCGGGGCTGGGGCGGGGGAAGCCCGAGCTTCCCCCGACCCCAGCCCCCAGAACAGGCTGCTCTCCGTAAGCCGTGGGAGGGCTCCCGCGGCTTGCGCAGAGCTACCCGAAGCCCGGGCGCGACTGCTCAGCACGCCCAGGCTTTGGGATAGAGGCAACTCTGCGCAAGCCGTGGGAGCCCGGCGGGAACTCCTGCGGGCTCCCAAGGCTTGCGGATAGCTTCCTGAATCCTGGAGAGCGAGAGGGGTCGGTGCGCACCGATGCCTCTCGCTCTCCAGGCTTCAGCAAAAGCCTGCATTCGCCCCATAGGACACACACACATTTCCCCTTCATTTTTGGAGAGGGGAAAGTGCGTCCTATAGGGCGAAAATACGGTATATCTGCGTTCCTAACTTCACTGTACTCAAATACAGTCGTATCTTGGAAGCCGAACGCCTTGGCTCCTGAACAAATCGGTTCCCGAACGATCGAAACCCGGAAGAGTGTTCCAGTTTTGGATGATTTTCGGAAGCTGAATGTCCGGTGCAGCTTCCGATTGGCTGCAGGACGTTCCTGCAGCCAATCGGAAGCTGCATTTTGGTTTTCGAAGGGTTCTGGGAGTCGAACGGACTCCCGGAATGCATTCTGTTTGAAAACCAAGGTACCACTGCACCATCTCATACTGTGTTGTGTTTGTGGCTGCGAAGCCTTTGCCTCCACACTGCCTGTGTCAGGGAGGAGGGAAAGAGTGTGGTCAGAGGGTTAGGAGAGAAGGGCGGCAGAGACAGCGTAGTGGCTAAAGCCTTCTCCCATGACCCCTTGAGGTGAGGGATGTCGTATGACTTCAGGGCACTAAACACCTTGCACGGAAGGATGCAATTAGTATGAAGAGAAAGTAATTGTGGACTGTGGGGGTCAAATAGCTTGATCAGTTCACCCATGTTCATTATTTGTTTGGCCTGGTCACTAAGGAAAATGTTTCAGGCTGGATTATAGTTGAATGTTCAGTTGGTGCCAGAATGGCTGGGTGAAATTGCTGATGGATCTTTCCTTTTCATCTCCCTAAATTACAGGGTCGACTGCCTGTGAAATGGATGGCTCCAGAAGCATTGTTTGACCGTGTGTATACGCACCAGAGTGATGTGTAAGCACTGCCCGCGTTTTTAAACAGCGAAAGCAAAAAAAGCGAAACACAAAAGTCATGGGAACAATTGTAATGCCAAGCTGAGACGGGATCTTGTCAATATGTGCATGAATAATTTTGAATTCACCGATGTAGTGGAAAACTTAACAAAGAGTAATAGACAGGCTGTCAGCTACCTGATTAAATGCTCATCTTAATTTCAGACTAGGTGTCTGGGATTTCTATTGAGCTGCCTCAACAGAGATCTGCAAGTGCCTAGTAAAAAAAAAATATGGCTCAGGCAATTAGTCATTCTATTGATGACTTGTTAGCTGTGCATGGCTGCCCAGAAACAAAACAGAAGCCCCCACCTTCATCTCCTTTCCCAAAAGTCTCATTGAATTCTAAAACCTTTGGTTCCCAGATGGTCCTTCGGAGTGCTGCTATGGGAGATCTTCACTTTGGGAGGGTCCCCCTACCCAGGAATTCCAGTTGAGGAACTCTTCAAACTCCTAAAGGAAGGCCATCGCATGGATAAGCCAGCAAACTGCACCCACGATTTGTAAGTTGTCCGTCTGGAAACAACTTCCATTTTTGTAAGACATGTTTCTGAGTCTGAGGAGAAGGGGGTGTCTTTAATTCAACTGCTTCAGTCCCACATTCTCTCTCTTTGTGTGTGTATCTCTTGGTGCCACCTCTACCTCAATCCCTGCTATGAAGGGTCTTCTTCCTGCTTTCATGTGCACACACACACACACACACACAGTAAAGGTTTCTTGATGTTTTGATAGCCACGTAAGGCTATTGCTATGCCATGATTGAGAGTTGGGCTAGACTCAAAAGTAGGGTGAAGTCAACCAACCAACCATAGAAACTGCAGCTGATGCCTTCAATAAAATACTATAAGGCAGACTTACTTGCAACTGGTTGTCTTGACTCCATTTTGAGTCCAGCCCAACTCTCAGTCATGGCATAGTGAGCAACACAAACCTATTTTCCACCAGGCTTAGTTGGACTTTGAATGCACATGGAATGATTGTGAGCCGTGAGAACAAACCAAAGCACACAATAGAAATGAAAAAAGTGGGGAGGGAGGAGGAAAGAAAACATTGGTGCAGCTACTCCTTCTCCAATCAGTGGAAGGGACCAGGCTGGTCTCCTTCCTGACAGGACGATCTTCCCGGGGGAGAGGCTCTCTCAGGGGCTCTTGGACTCTGGCCATGGTGTGCCTCCCTTCAGCTTCACAGTGATGAGTAGCAATGAGTGATTGAAACTCTTTTATTTCCTTTCATTTTAAGCCGACCGCTCTTTGGTGAATCATTAGAAAGTCTGGCCGTGTGTGTGCACATGCATGCATAAAAACAAGGAACCGTTCCAGTCCTTTTGTCCGTTTTATATCTCTCGCTGCTGTTTCGTAGGATAGCGTTTGGCTCAAGCTTCGGTTTCACGGCCTTCCATTTCTTTTTGAGTGTAAGATTTTGGAATCCCGGCGAATGCCCATGTCCTTCCTAAACATTTGCCCTATATTCTCCCTTTCCCCAGGTACATGATTATGAGGGAGTGCTGGCATGCTGTTCCTTCCCAGCGGCCAACCTTTAAGCAACTAGTTGAAGACCTGGATAGAGTCCTGATAGTGACCTCAACTGATGTGAGTATTGCCTTACTTTCTGGCACGCTGGGGCTAATTTGCACCTGCCTCTCAAAGTTTAGATGCTTTATTCAAACATGCATGAGTCTTAAAGAAATAAAACCTCGATATACAGTGGTACCTCGCAAGACGAATGCCTCGCAAGACAGAAAACTCGCTAGACGAAAGGGTTTTTTGTTTTTTGAGCTGCTTCGCAAGACGATTTTCCCTATGGGCTTGCTTCGCAAGACGGAAACGTCTTGCAAGTTTGTTCCTTTTTCTTAACACCGTTAATACAGTTGCGACTTGACTTCGAGGAGCAACTCATAGAACGCGGTGTGGTAGCCTTTTTTTGAGGTTTTTAAAGACTTTGGTGATTTTTGAAGCTTTTCCAAAACTTTCCCGACACCGTGCTTCGCAGGACGAAAAAAATCGCAAGACGACAAAACTCGCGGAACGAATTAATTTCGTCTTGCGAGGCACCACTGTACATTTCCAAAATATAAGATAAAAGACAAATAAAATAAAACCTACATACAGCAACAGTGTTTTGGGTAGCGTAGGCTCCTATGATGTAAGTCATGGGTCCCGCCTGCTAGCCTGCTCCCTAAAATATCGCTGGTGTGCTTATTTCTATATATTGGGTGCCTATTCTGGTTGCTTGGCAACATGTGCAAATGGCTTTAGATACCTATCAGGTCCATAAATTACCATATAGCATATATTCAGCACACAAAAAGCGACAATTTGTTGTTGACAAAGGACAGCTGGACATATAAAGGGCCCCATTACCTTCAGTAGCTTAGGGCCTCATCAAACCTAAATCCGGCCCTGCCTGCAGCAAACTCTGCTCCCTTCTGCTTTGCCCCTGCCCCGTCTCGGTAAACTGCAATGGCGTGTGGCATTGTGGGAAATGAGGTCAGCAATGCAACCACTACCAGTGCTTGGAATCATCGCAGCCCTCACCACAGATCTTCATGGGCAGAGACCAGGGTATTTTGCAACCAAGATGTGGAACTCCCAGTTCTAACCTAATAATAATAATAATAATAATAATAATAATAATAATAATAATTTATTATTTATACCCCGCCCATCTGGCTGGGCTTCCCCAGCCACTCTGGGCGGCTTCCGAAAAAATATTAAAAAACTGTAATACATCAAACATTAAAAGCTTCCCTAAACAGGGCTGCCTTCAGATGTCTTCTAAAAGTCTGGTAGTTGTTGTTCTCTTTGACATCTAGTGGGAGGGTGTTCCACAGGGAGGGTGCCACTACCGAGAAGGCCCCCTGCATGGTTCCCTGTAACTTGGCTTCTCGCAGTGAGGGAACCGCCAGAAGGCCCTCGGTGCTGGACCTCAGTGTCCTGGCAGAACGATGGGGGTGGAGACGCTCCTTCAAGTCTACTGGACCGAGGCCGTTTAGGGCTTGAAAGGTCATCACCAACACTTTAAATTGTGCTTGGAAACGTACTGGGAGCCAATATATGTCTTTCAAGACTGTTGTTATGTGGTCTCGGCGGCCATTCCCAGTCACCAGTCTAGCTGCCGCATTCTGAATTAGTTGTAGTTTCCGGGTCACCTTCAAAGGTAGCCCCACGTAGAGCGCATTGCAGTAGTCCAAGCGAGAGATAACCAGAGCATGCACCACTCTGGCAAGACAGTCTGTGGGCAGGTAGGGTCTCAGCCTGCATACCAGATGGAGTTGATAGACAACTTCCCTGGACACAGATTTGACATGCGCCTCCATGGACAGCTGTGAGTCCAAAATGACTCCCAGGCTGCGCACCTGGTCCTTCAGGGGCACAGTTACCCCATTCAGGACCAGGGAGTCCTCCACACCTGCCCGCCTCCTGTCCCCCAAAAACAGTACTTCTGTCTTGTCAGGATTCAACCTCAATCTGTTAGCCGCCATCCTAACCTAACCTAAGGCATGAGATATCACTACAAAAGAGTCACCGATTTCTCCCTCTCTTATTATCCGTGCCATTGTTCTTCTTGCAGGAGTACATTGACCTGTCGGTGCCTTTTGAGCAATATTCGCCTGCTGAACAGGATACCCAGAGTGCCTGCTCTTCAGGAGACGACTCTGTATTTGCACACGACCTTCTCTCCGATGAGCCCTGTCTTCCCAAACAGCAAGGAAACGGCATCATCAGGACATGATGGCAGACACCCGCAAGGAAGAGACTCGTGAATGTACGTTTTTGGGGAAGTCCGGGAGAAAAACCTGAGGAAGGATTTCATTGCTCTGCTCCGTGGCGCAGAAGATTTGTATTGCCGCGAAGCCGTACAAATTCCCCCTGTTTTGTTATTTGAAAAACCGAACCAGCGGCAGCACTGTTTGGTCCGAAGGAACGAATTTTGTGCAGGTTAGCAGCATTCAGGCAGAGAATGCCTTACCTAGAGGGTGCTGAACCCGCAGCCTCCAATCAGATTTCCACTGTGATTTTTTTGTGCCTGCAGTGCCAGGGTGGGACGTGGGGTTTGTTTTTTTCATCTTTTAAAGAGAAAAGCACGTAAAGAATGTAGGAATTCCTTTTCAGAATGCAATCATCACATTAATCTTTTCGGTGGAGCTCGGAAGCCCCATTGCCTGCAGGGATTCATACATTTATGTAAATATATTTGGGAATATATAGATATATATTCACCATCCGCTTTGGAGGAATTTGAAAGCCATTCTGAAGAGTTCGCCGCTCTTAAAAAGTATTAGTCCACTTAAAAAGTTGCCTTGGATTGGCCACAGTGAAGAATTAGCTGCATCTTGCACTAACGTCAGGAACAGATTAAAATAATATATGCAGACAGGAAAGAACTTGACTGGAGGTGTTGCAAGGTGTAATTAAAAAAAAACGGGGGGGGTCACTTTTTGTGTATGAGTGCATTGTGGTGAACTTGTTCTATATTTTCCCAGCGGGTTGCTTATATATTGTAAGCAGCGTTGGACCCAAATCTTGCTACGTGCTCTATTTATTTTTCTGACTTTCCAGTGTGTTTAGAAATTCTACAATGGGGCGTCAAATTTCTCGCAACGAATTTCCACAACCTTTTCCCCCAAAGGTTCTTTTCCTCTACCAGCAGATACTTGGAGAACGTAATTACGGGTACCTGTAAACAAAGCTCCTTTTAACGTATCACAAAAAGTTCCTATTCGCTCGCGTTGTTTTTATGTATGTTTGCATGTGTGTGGAAACCATTAATGCAGCCGCTAGCCAGACGGAAAGAGAATTTCTACAAGACTGAAACCTTTCTATCTAGAACATACTGATTTAAGAGGGTGGTTGTTGTTTTTTATCTCGCCTGCTTTCTTGTGTTTTTAAAAAATTATATTTTAACATCATGTATATTTGTAAAATTATTTATAGATATTAACATATTCTGTTCCTCGGTTTAAATTGTTTAGTGTTAATGTATACATTAATTTTTTCACAAAATCTGAGGTTTTAACTTATTGAAAGTATGGGAAGATAAATTAATCAATATTTTTCTTCTGAGTTTGTGGGAAATATTAAAAGAATGTATAGCTGTACAGTCGTATAACAAATCACTGTTAATACTAGATTTTTCTTTTCAAATAAAACAAATAAGTTTTCCCTGGGTTGCAGTAAGTATATATGCATTCTGTAATACATTAGTGTTAAATCCAAACAGATGGCAGCAGAGATTATTTTTACTTCTGTGTAAGAACCAAGAAATCTTTCATCGCTTTTACCACTGTGCATTAAGGGAGGGGGTGGGAGTGAGTGCATTTTTTATATTTTTTGAATGAAGGTGTTCTTTGTGGTGGACTTGATGACAGGTATGCAGCGAAGCTGAAAGTTGACTGCAAATGATGAGTGTGTTTGAGGGGTTTTCCCCCCTCTTACCAGTCCCATTTATATTTTCCTGCTGGAGAAATGGGGATAAAATAATATTTAAATTATAAGTAAGGAAAGTTTGATTGTAGTCTTTGAGCCTAACATTTCATTTGGAAGGGGAGGGGGATGGCAACAGTGCCCAGTTTTGTACATTGAAAAACTATGTGTGCTAGACAATTCTGTCAAAGCACTTTCGATAACCAGGAGACATACAAAATGGAATAAGACCAATAGAATTGTAAATGCTAGGACCTTTTAACTCTTCCCACCACAGAGAAAGATGTCTATAGTGATCCTGAGATGTTTCTCTCTTCCATCTCCAGATCGTAAATTTCACTGAAGTAACAAGATAGTCCCCATTCCAGTTTGCTACTCATTCTATAATAAGGATTTTATCAAAATAGTTAATTTATAGTGAAGTTTCAAAGAGGTTTTTTTAAAAAATATATATATATATATATATAGATTTATATAGATAACTACTTTTTGCAATAAAGAATTATTGTATTTTCCTACAGTGTATGCTAGTTTTGTACATTCCAAGAATCTGAAAAGTTGCTGTTCAATCCAGAACAATGTACAAATGTGTGCCTGAGTTCATTTAGATATTATAAATATATAAGCGTTATATATAAATATATATAATTTATTGAGTTTTTACAAAGATGTATTGTTGTAAACTTGCCCAGTCTTTTAACATTCAGCTCTTATGCAATTTTATAGCCAGGATTTTAAAAGCTTAAACTTTTCTTTAAATCTTTTTTATGATTGCTATTATTCCTGCTGATTTCACAAGCTATACGTTTACATGATTTGATATTTTGAGGAAAAGCTTCTTTATCTTCTAGTTTCTGTATTATTATGTTTGCTTGGCAGATGCGGCTGCTAAAAGATGTGAAACAAACCAACACTGCTTTGCCTTTGTTTGCCTGGCCTCAAAATAAAAAAGGAAAGTTGAATGTAATTTCGCCTCTCAATTCATTTCTCAGTCTCTAAAGAGTCTTTTCAAGAGCAAACCTTCGCTTTCGCATAGTATTTCATGTATCCAGTGGCGTATGAAGGTCAGGTGGTACCCGGTGCAGAAAATTTCTTGTCACCGCCCACATTGAAATTGTTAAAAGAAGGAAAAATAAGATACTTACAATTGCAAGTGTTATTTTCTGGTTTATTTACTTAACATTGTGAGCATAAGCACTTAAAATCTTTTTTTCACGATGAGAATTTCTTATGGATGATTTTTTTTACTTAATTTCGCCATTTTGCAGCCTACTGTGGATGTGGGCTACAGGCAGCTAAGGTGCTTTGTGAGTACAACTGCAAAAAACAAGCACCAGTGTGGATATGCCCCCACTCTTAAAAGAGCTGACCAAGACGAGCCAGTGGCGGAGGAAGGGGGGTGTGGGCCGCCCCGAGTGTCATCATTGGGGGGGGGGGTAACAAAATGACAAAAATATGAGGGCGTTTTTTTTTTAATGGGCTCACAAAACTTTGGAGTTCAGTCAACAAACGTTACAAAACGTGGCTGGCACTCTGCCATAGCTGTCAACTTACAGATTTGAAAATAGGGGACCAGCAGCCTCGAAAATAAGGGATCAGCAGCCAAAATAAGGGATTTTGCTTAGTTTATACATAAATCTGGCACTGATGGAGCCATGCGGCTTTGGCTGTGACTGACTGTGTTTTGCAGGGGGTTTGACTAGATGATCCTAAGGGTCTACAACTCCCACCAAAGAAGAGTGGCAGGCAAAACTGATGAACGACATTGAGATGGCAAAGCTTACAGGCAGAATTAGAAACCAGGAAGAGGACCTCTTTAATAAAGAATGGGGAAAGTTTATAATTTATTTGAAAAGCTATTGTCAAGAGTTACATACATTGGTAGGATTGACAGAAATCTTGTAGTAAAAATTTGAACTATGGATGGACAAATGATTTATAAAAATAGAGTTATGAAAGGGATGCAGAGGGGGAAATCACTACATTAAGATGCTGCACTGGTTGGAGGGGATGCTAAGCAGCACGTCGGGGCTGCCGTCGTCCTGGGGTGAGGAGTTCCATCGGCCATTCCCCGCCCGAGAGAGAGGGAGAGAGACTCTCGCCCACGCCGCCCGCGAGCCCGGCATGAGGCGGTTGTGGCGCCACCACGGCCCTGAAGCGCCACCCTTCTGAGTCCCTCCCTATCCCCTCCTCTTCCTCCTCCCTCAGGCCGCCTCCTCAGCTGCCGCTGCCGCCTCCAGCTTCCCCTGGCAGCGCGGCAGAAATCTTGCAAGAGAGGGGCTGCCTGCCCGCCCGCCGCCACCCATCTCCTCACAATGTGTCCCTGAGGGGGGAAAGGGAGAGACGGAGACGCGGCAGCTTGTGCGCGCGCTCTCTCACACGGCAGAGGACCCCAAGCCGCTGCTTCCCTCCCGAGCCGGGCAAGCATGAAACCTGGGAAATTTAAGGGACATTATCAATAAGGGGCAGCAGAGGGACACGGCGCCGGGATAAGGGAGTTTCCCGCCAAATAAGGGACGGTTGACAGCTATGCACTGGGCGCCACACTGCAGGGGCTGGCACTTACCGCGGGGCCTGCCGCATGCATCTCTCACGGGAGTGACGTAGTGACTTGAGGGCCTGCAGGCTCCGCGCTGTCTGGAACGGCAGCGTGGGACTTGCGCCTGCCCTCCACCTCTCCCTTAGCCGTCCTACAGCTGAGGGGAGGTGGCGGAGAGGCGCCACGCAGCATGCCGCACCCCCATGGGCAGCTCGCCCCAACCCCGGCTGCAGGGCATACATTCCGCACTCGGCACCCGAGCAGCTATCTACGCTGCTGAGAAGAGCCCTGCTGAATCCCATCTAGAACAGAATCCTGTTCTCACAGTGGCCAGCTAGACGCCTACAGAAAACCCCCAAAACAACAACAAACCTCTGGTTACGTGAAGCATATTCAATAAACACCCAAGACGTAACAGGCTGTACGTTTGAAAAAATAATATATACTATTCATTACATTGAATTGTAGATTTCAACAGAAGTCGCTCATAAAGTTCAACGGAAAAAAGTAGAAGACCCAGTGGATCAGTTCATTCTCTAATCAGTTTATGCATAAGGTCCATATATGTGAAAGTGTCTATTCCACCTGGCTGTTCATAGAGTCCAGCAATCCACACAAAAGGTTGTTGCAGTTCCACAGAATCCTTTCACAGTCTTAAGACAATATTTCCAGAATATTAGCCTTGTTTCACCGTCTTGGGCTTCATCAGTAGTACAAACTCCAGGTAATGCAAATAAATACAATACTGTAATCTCTCACATTTTTACAGCAAAAATTATATAAAAACCGTAAACAACTGTACATACCATATATGATAACACAGGACAGTGGATCTTATAGCATAGTAGTAGATGCTGTAAGCAGAAACTTTTACAGAGTAGAGTTATATGGAGAACCACAATATTGATGCCTTGAGGAAACCCTCAAGCATATACTTTCCAATACATGAATAGGCAAACTAAGGCCCGGGGGGGGGGCTGGATCTGGCCCAATCACCTTCTAAATCTGGCCTGCGGATGGTCTGGGAATCAGCGTGTTTTTACATGAGTTGAATGTGTGCTTTTATTTAAAATGCATCTATGAGTTATTTGTGGGGCATAGGAATTCGTTCATTTCCCCCCCCCCAGAATATAGTCCGGCCCCCCACAAGGTCTGAGGGACAATGGACCGACCCCCTGCTGAAAGTTTGCTGAACCCTGTTCCAATACATACTTACCCACCAGCAGGATCTTGCACCTTTGCTGGGGCTATGTACACACCTTTGAAAGGCACGATATTATTGCATCATATATCTGTGTGTGTTATTGTTGTTGTTTAGTCGTTTAGTCGTGTCTGACTCTTCGTGACCCCATGGACCAGAGCACGCCAGGCACTCCAGTCTTCCACTGCCTCCCGCAGTTTGGTCAAACTCTTGCTGGCATCTTCAAGAACACTGTCCAACCATCTCGTCCTCTGTCGTCCCCTTCTCCTTGTGCCCTCCATCTTTCCCAACATCAGGGTCTTTTCCAGGGAGTCTTCTCTTCTCATGAGGTGGCCAAAGTATTGCAGCCTCAGCTTCAGGATGTGTGTGTGTGTGTGTGTGTGTGTGTGTGTGTGTGTGTGTTTTAACATATCATTTTCAACAGTAATTAAACATACTTTTACATCTTATTCATTTTTTTTTTACTTCCATCAATCCTATCTGAAAATTTTCCAATCTAATCTCTTACGGTATTATTGCATCTTGCCCTCTCCCCACCCCAGTTGTGCGGCAACTGAAATGTCTGTGGGTGCTTCCAGCTGTGGGTGCTTCCTCCCAGCTTCCCCACACGCCGCCCCTGCCCCTGCTACGCCACCCAGAGCCTCTCAGCGGCCTGGCCTGCCTGCCCCCTGCGTGTCACTGGTGCTCTTTGCATAGGCGGCGCTCCCCGCCGGCAGCCCCCTTTATAGGTTCTCCCCTCACACCAGCCGAGGCCAGAGCAGGAGCGCGAGGAGAGGCAGGCATGCAGTGCGCCACAGCCCCGCGTCCTTTCGCCCCCCCCTCTTCTTTTCCCTCCTCCTCCTCCTCCTGCAATAGCAGCAGTGCCACCACCAGCATCACCTTCAGTTGCTCTGAGGCAGCTGCCCAGGCAGGAGTGGCGTGGCGCAGCGTCCCTTACCTTGGAAATTTTTTATTTATTTATTTTAAAAACACATATTTTTGCCATTTTGTCACCCCCTCAGTGATGACACCCAGGGCAGCCCACACACCCCTTCCTACGCCTCTGCCTTCAGGTGTCTTCTAAAAGTCAGATAGTTGTTTATTTCCTTGACATCTGACTGGAGGGTGTTCCACAGGGTGGGCGCCACCACCAAGAAGGCCCTCTGCCTGGTTCCCAGTAAGCTCACTTCTTGCAATGAGGGAACCACCGGAAGGCCCTCGGAGCTGGACCTCAGTGTCCGGGCAGAACGATGGGGTTGAAGACGCTCCTTCAGGTATACTGGGCTGTTCAAGGGGCAGTGCTGGATTAAGCCCTGTGGAGGCCCCTGGGCGGTCAAAATCTGGGTGGGGGGTAGGCCTTGTGCATACGCTGGAATAAAATTGAACTAACAAAGCTTGGTTGTTGTTTTCTTTCAAGATCAAATCAATATTATTTTTATCCATTGGGGGACCCCAAAGAGTGTGGGGCCCATAGGCCGGTGCCTACTCTGCCTATTTGGTAATCCGGCCCGGCCCCTTTGGCTGCAGGAGAGAGAAGAAACGGAAGTTGAGGGACGCCTCCTGATGCGCTGCAGCTGTTCCCTACAATGAAATGGAAGGCTCAACATTTGTCAGGCACTTTTGGATGCTCAGCAGCCCTGTGTGGTTACAACAACCCTGTAAAGTAGGCCAGTGCTATGCGCTCCCCAAATTGCAGCTGAATCCCTCGCAGATTGGCATCCAACCTCTGCTTAAAAGCCTCCAAGGAAGGAGAGTCCACCACCATCCCAGAGAGTCTTACCATCAGAAAGTTCTTCCTAATGTTTAGTCCTAATCTCCTCTCCTGCCCTCCTCTCTGGAGCAGCAGAAAACAAGCTTGCTCCCTCTTGCAGCCCTCAGATATTGGATATCAGATATGGCTCTCCTCTCTCCTCTCAGTCTCCTCTTCTCCAGGCTAAAGATACCCAGCTGCCTCAACCGTTCCTCATGAGGCTTGGTATCCAACTGCCTCAACTGTTCCTCATCAGGCTTGGTTTCCAACTGCCTCAACCATTCCTCATCAGGCTTGGCTTCCAGACCCTTCATCATCCTGGTTGCCCTCCTCTGCTTACCTTCCAGCTGCTCAATATCCTTCTTCAACTAGCCTGCACTGACTGGCAACAACTCTCTGGGGTTTTGGATGGGGGGGACATTTGCAGCCCCCCCCCCCCGGAGATGCCACCCAGGACAGAAGACCTACATGCAAGGCAAATGGTCCAATCCTGTGCTATGGAGACCTCTGGCCTGCCTTGAAGGATGTGGGGATGGTCTCACTTTGGAAATGGGGCTGCAGGAAGAAGGGTGTGAAATGCCGACATGAATCTGTTGAGAGAAGATGCAGCCCAGCTGCAGGTGGAACAGCAGGTGCCTCCAAGTTCTGACAGTGGAGCATCCCCTCTCAGGAGGGGCCAGGGCCAGGTGGGGGTTGCCACGGTGACAAGGACCTGCCCTCCTTTGTGACATCACTTGCTTCTCCCTTAAAAGCCACACACTTGCAGGAGGCCATTGTGGGTTAGTAGTGAGGCGGGTTGAGTAGTAGAGAGATGTGATGGTGGTGGCGGTTGGAGATGATAAGGAGAGGTGTTCACTTGATTGTTATTTTGATTGTTATGTGATTTATTACTTTTATTTGAGTCATTTGATTTTATTTATTTTTATTTTATTATTTTACTTTTTTATTTTAACACTTATTTTTCTTTTTTCTTTTACTTTTTGGTTCTTTATATTCATATTTTTTATTTTACATTTTTATTTTGTGCACATTTTTTATATATTTTGTATATATTTTGTGCATAGAGGAGTAGTTAGCGGTAAGTGTAGGGTTGGGGCAGGGGTTAGGCTTAGGCTTAGGGCTGCGGGTGGGGATGGGGTCAGAGTTAAGCTTGGGTGGGTATTTTAGATAGCTAGTTTAGAGAGGAGGGTGGGAATTTTCTGTGAACAAAATGTGCAGACTGTAAGTAGCATTCCTCTGCTTTCTCTTGGTCTCCTGGGGGCGGGGTGTGAGTCCTGGGGTCCCCTGCACAGCCTTAGCTCTCTGGAAATCAACCCGGCCAGTCTTCTCCAGAGAGCTCAGCTCCTCCACACTCTTTCCCTGCCTTCCCCTTTTCTCTCCCCTCTCATCATTTACATTTACTAGGACAGTCCTAGCCCACTTTCCTCCCAGGAGCTCAAAGTGGCCTTCATGGTTCTCCCTGCCACCAATTGTTGTCTTCACAGCAGCCCTGCAAAGTAGGCTAGGCTGGCCCAAGGTCCACCAGGGAGCTTCATGGCTGAGTGAGGATTCGAACCCTGCTCTCCCAGGTCCTCCTAGTCCAACCCTCCAACCACCACACCTCTGCCTGGCTCCATTTTGCATCTCTCCAGTTGCCCCATGACCTTGGCCTTCTCCCCCTTCCTGGGGGTCTCTCTGGCTCCAAGGAAGACCCCACCCCCTTCCTCATGTTCTGCTCCTCTTCTGGGATACCTTCATGCTTGGAGGACCCTCCCAGGGGTCTCCACCCTCTCCAGGAAGGGCAAGGCTGTCCTAAAACAACGAAGCAAAGCAGCCCTTTAACAGCTGGCAATGCCTGTCTTTCCTTTGGGCTGGAGCTCTTGAACCCAGCGCACTTGGGGGCTCCTTTCTCTCTATGCCAGCCCTTTGTGCTCTGGGCTGCGTCTTTCCAGCTCTGGTGATGCCCTTTCAGGTCACTGAACGGCAGAGAGATGGAAGGAATTGGGCCAGACGCCCCTCCTCACACACAAACACCCCCAAGAATTGGGACTGCCGACTTCTGAGTCGCTCTCTCTGCTCGTCTCTTCTACGTTCAGGTGCTTAAGACGCCTGATGGGCCACAGCAACAGGGTGGCCCCCCTGCAAGGCCCGGAGCAGCCTGTGGCGTCAGGTGAGCAAGTGGCTGTGGCGTTTGCACAGAGCCCCCGGTCGTTCCACGGGCTATTGACCCTGCACCACCACGGCTTATCTCTTCCACTGCCCCCAACCAGTTTTCCCCAGTAATATATTCAGACTCAGTCAGGTTGCAACGGATTAACAAAGATTCCAGGTTATTGTGAACGCAAACAAGTTTTAAATACTTTGAAACACTGTAATCCGATTCTCTCTCTCTGTCTCTAACTCACTCTGCCTACCACCCACAAGAAACCAACCGAACTAACTGCCCTAAGCCCTGTGTTGAGCCTTAAGCAGTTAGGCTCGGCCCCTGGGCTTTCTTACTGGTCAGCCTATTAACTCTTTCTCTCTCTCCCCCACTATGACATCTCCATCATGAGTGGGCCATGATGGCCCACAGTGGCCCTCCTTTTTGGGACAGGGGAGGGCAGGAATGGGCTGGGGGGGCAGCTAGTAAAAAGATGCACAGAACCAGACGGCTTGATCCGACCCAAGGTCCATCTGGGCCAGCGTCTGGAAATGCCCCCCCCCAGCAACCACCCCGTTTTGTGGGGTCCGATGGAGGAAGCAGGGGGCTGGGCTGTGGGGCAAGGCGGGGGGGCAGTTGTCAGCAGGAGGGGCACCTTCCCTGGGGAGCCATGTTCTGGGGGCAGGAGGCCAGGATTGGCCCCCAAGGCCTGGGGTGTCCCTCCCCTGTAGTAGGGCTTTGAAAACTCTTGGAATAGCCTTGCCAGGGGCTCAGGGACGAACTCACCTGTCCCCATGTCCTTCTCTTTGCAGATGTGCTGGGGTTCCACATCCCTTCCCTAGCGGTGAGTATTGGATAAAACAAGAGCAGAGAGCGGATCCCTCAGACCTGCCCCCCGCTGCCTGGGCTCTTTGCCCCCCACTCTGCACTCTCAGATACGGAGGAGCCCTCCCCCCACGAGGAACTGATAGCCTGACTTTTGCATTTTAGCTTCCATCCCCCCAAGACCTGGGGCCGGATCCAGCCCTATCGCCTTATAAATCCGGTCCACGGACTGTTCGGGAATCAGCGTGTTTTTACATGAGTAGAATGTGTCCTTTTATTTAAAATGCATCTCTGGTTTATTTGTGGGGCATAGGAATTTGTTCATTATTATTTTTCCAAAATATAGTCCGGCCCACCACATGGTCTGAGGGATGGTGGACCGGCCCACAGCTGAAAAAGGTTGCTGATCCCTGCTCTGGTTTGACTTACCTACTCTGCTCCCTAGCCCTGCAAGGACGAGAGGACAGTGAAGCTAAATGGAGGCAGGTCCACACCATACACATAAAACATGGCACGCACACACACACATTCCCGAGTCCTGGGAATTGTAGTTTGTTAAGGATGCTGGCAATCGTGGCTCTGTGAGGGGGAAACTTTGGGGGAAGTGTTGCTGTTGAGTCGTTTAGTTGTGTCCGACTCTTCATGACCCCATGGGCCAGAGCACGCCAGGCACTCCTGTCTTCCACTGCCTCCTGCAGTTTGCTCAAACTCATGCTGGTAACTTCGAGAACACTGTCCAACCATCTGGTCCTCTGTCGTCCCCTTCTCCTTGTGCCCTACATCTTTCCCAACATCAGGGTCTTTTCCAGGGAGTCTTCTCTTCTCATGAGGTGGCCAAAGTATTGGAGCCTCAGCTTCAGGATCTGTCCTTCCAGTGAGCACTCAGGGCTGATTTCCTTCAGAATGGAGAGGTTTGATCTTCTTGCAGTCCATGGGACTCTCAAGAGTCTCCTCCAGCACCAATGTGCTTTAAATGTGCTTTGGATGTGTTTTAAATATATGGTGTGGATCTGACATAAAAGTTTTAGGACAGCACAATATGAGACTGTAGCAGCGGCGGAGGAAGCCTCTTGGGCACCTGGGGCAGCGTGCCCAGGGGTGGGATGAACCACCCATAGGGGTGGGGCACTGTGTCCATAGGGATGGAACGGGGCGCACAGCATCCCACGCTGTCCCCATGGGCGCCGCGGCGCCCCCCGTCCCTATGGACGCTGTGCACCCCATGCGGTGTCATCCTGTGCTGTCCCTATACGTGCCACGGGGGGCACGGCGCTCATAGGGAGGAGATGGGGCGTGCAGCGGGGCCTCAGCCACCCTATAGCTGGAGGGGAGGCAGCGGGCAGACAGTGGAGCCTGCAGACCCGAAGACACGTGGCTCATGCACACTGCAGCCCTCGTGGTGACGAGTGCCGCCCGCCATTTTGTCACACACACACCCCCATTAGGGTGACACCCGGGGTAGACCGCACCATCCGCACCCCCCTTCCTATGCCCCTGCAGGTACAGTAATACCTCATGTTACGTTTGCTTCATGTTACTCTGCTGGTCCCGAGGGTTAACCATGTGGCGGGGTCCGAGTCCAGTCCGAGGTTGAGGGTGCAGTATGGAGGCTGTCCATCAAAGCTGAAGCTGGGTCCAAGGCAGGGAGTCGGGTGAGGTCAGGAACTCTGGCAGAAGAGCAGGACAGGGTGCAGGCAGGAACAGGCTACCAACAATGTTGCCCTTGCAACCTGGGACTGGGGCTGGCTGGCTTTTATCTGCCCCGAGGCATAGGGCGGCCCCGGTCCACAGGTGACTTGCCTCTCCTGGCCTGGAGGCAAGCACTCCTCCTGCGGGAACTTAGTTCCCTCCGCCTCTCTGCCCTGAGCCTCTGCAGCTCAGGAGAGGCTGGAGGGTTACCGGACCCAGAGGCAACCTCAACTTCCCCTGACGGGGCTGAGAGTGGAGCACCTGCAGGCAATGGGTCCTCCATCACCTCAGGGGCCAGAGCAGACTCAGCTGGTGCCTGCACCTGAGGATCCAGCACAGGTGAGGACCCTTCAGACTCAAGGCCCAGCCCCAGCTCAGCTGGTTCTGGAGGCGGGGAATCCTGTGCAGGCTGGGATTCCTCAGGTTCAGCCTCCGAGTCTGAATCCCAGGCCATCACAGTTACATTCTTTCAGGTCACATCCCGCAGTGACCCAGAAGTACCAGAAAGGGTTACTTCCAGGTTTCTCCTCTCGCGCACGTGCAGAAGTGCAAAATGACATCACGTTCACGTGCAGAAGCGTCAAATCACAACCCGTGCATGCGCAGGCGCACCGCTGCGGGTTGCGCTCTTTTCATGTTGCGAACGGGGCTCTGAACGGATCCCATTTGCAACCAGAGGTACCACTGTATCTAGATGCATCGAAATTAGAATACTTCAGACAAGGGATGTTTTAAAACTATGCCCATGAGTAGTGTGGAAGGTGTGGAAATGGAGAATAAAGCAACCCATCGTCATGTTATAAAAGAGGGAATCTTTTCATCTTCACATGGGAAAGATTGTAAAAGCACAAGATGTTGGATTAGGCTAGTGGTCCATGTGGTCCAGCTTTCTTTTATCACAATGGTCAACCAGATGTTGTGGACAAACCGCAGGCTACAGAGCTGCTATCCCAGCCCAACAAGAGTGGCTCCTTTTCCTCTCAGGGGCATTGGAAGTTACTGAATTGCATGGTTTTATTAATAAAACATGGTCTTCCTCATTTTCCGCCTTTGTGAAAATCTGTCCCTTGCAATCTTTGCAGAAACTTCAGCTGCTCCATAAATACTCTAATTAGAGATATTTTAACATCTACATTCTACTTGGTTGTTTTACCATCATTCTGTGAGCTTACTACATTGCCAAAAGCAGAGGACATCGACTTGCAGAGTATTTGTATATGCTAATTTAGAAACAGCATAATTTAAACAGAAATACAGTCCATCTTCCCCGTAGTGCTATGTGTTGCTTTAATGTGGATGGGCAACTTCAGGCCTACTGATGCTTTTCCTTCCTAGAGTTCTTTATCTTTCAACTTGGACCACCCAGCCCTTCAGTTGGTCCTTTGACAGCTTTCAAATCTGTAAAGAAGCCCTCTTCTTCCTCCTCAGCCTAAAATAACTGCATTCTGGGTCAAATGCATGTGTTCGTTTTAAAGATATTGGTGATGGGCATTTGTTGGCAATTCTCTTTTCTGAACTTCAGAACTTTGGCTTAAGAGGTGCCTTAGGTTACACTTTATTCATATATATATATATATATATATATATATATATATATATATATATGTTTTGTGCTTATGCCATTTAATCTAATCTAATGTTCCAGCTGACACTTACCGTATTTTTCACTCTATAAGACGCACCAGACCATAAGACACACCTAGTTTTTGGAGGAGGAAAAAAAATCAACAATAAATTCTGAATCCCAGAAGCCAGAACAGCAAGAGGGATTGCTGTGCAGTGGAAGCAGCAATCCCTCTTGCTGTTCTGGCTTCTGGGATAGCTGCGCAGCCTGCATTCGCTCCATAATATGCACACACATTTCCCCTTACTTTTTAGGAGGGAAAAAGTGAGTCTTATAGAGCAAAAAATACGGTATTTTGTATTCAGGGAAGTCCATAAGGATTTGTTGGAATAAGTTGCACAGGGCTGCAATATACAGATAGTAGACTGATACTGCTAGACCACTTAAAAACATTTAAACTGAAAAAGAAAAGAAAATCTGCACCTGAATTATAAAAAGCTCAAAACCCTTTCTTTGCTGCCATCTTTTGCTTTTGTTCCGGCTGGGGTGGAAAGACACTGTTGCCCATTCGCATCTATGCTAAAATCCTGGAGTTCTCCATTGACAGCTGTCGCTTCCATCCTGAAAACAGCATTCACAGCAAAACTGGAAGTTCCCTTTCCATGCAACAAGATAATACGTTTTCCCATCACTCTGCATGCATCCTAAACTTACATTCTTGCATCAGTGAACCTTTCGACATCGGATCCTGCTGGCTTCATAATGTGGCAAGGCGTATTGATGCTTGCAGCAAATAATCTGTTTAGTATGCAGATTGAAGGTTGCTGGAGGCAAACTGCAATTGCAGCAAGGTAACACTTCTGGGAAAATTCCTGACAAGCCTGCATTGGTACAGCGGACGGTTCCTGCAGAAATCACAGGAGAGGAGGCTTGTGACATGTGCTGGCCGGACCCAAGAGGACCTGTCAGGATTTGACTGCAAAGAGGGTGACTGCTGTTTGTGACCCACAAACCACTCCACCGTCGCTGACTCTGTTATGTACTGAAGTTCTCACCCTGGGCCTGCAGGGGGATACTGTAGATAGTTTTCACTCAGGTCCACATATGCAAGTAAGGGATCGAAAGTGACGTTCCGTGATTGGATAGTTAATAATAATAATAATAATAATAATAATAATAATAATAATAATATTTTTTTTATTTATACCCCGCCCTCCCCAGCCATGGCCGGGCTCAGAGCGGCTTACAAGCAATAATAAAAACAAGATGAATGATTACAACTTAAAAACAAAATAAAATACAACATTAAAATATTGGAACATTAAAATATTAAAATGTAGCCTCATCGCAGGAGGAGAAGGAAAAGAAAAAGAAAGAGAGGGAGGGAGGGAATCAAATTGGCTCCAAGCCAAAGGCCAGGCGGAACAACTCTGTCTTACAGGCCCTGCGGAAAGAAATCAGATCCCTCAGGGCCCTGGTCTCATGAGGCAGAGAGTTCCACCAGGCCAGAGCCAGAGTTGAGTTGAGCCAGAGTTACAGAAAATGGTTACTGTTGCGTTCTAGCGGAGCTCTATATAAGCAGGCTGGCTGAACCCTTCAGTTCAGTTCTGTGCTGGCCTGTGAATAAACAAGAGCTGTTTGAAGAATCGCTGTGTCGTCTGATATGTTCACCCACAACTTAACAGACTCTGTAGCCTTCCTTAGGACTTCTGCACTAGAAGAGGAATCAGGCCTTCAGGGTGCTTGCCACAGCCCCCTGCCAGCTTTGAGAGACCCTGAACAAGATGCCCTCTGGGCAGCGGCGTAGCGTGGGTTGTCAGCACCCGGGGCAAGGCAAGTAATTTGCGCCCCCTAACCCGGGGCAAGGCAAGTAATTTGCGCCCCCTAACCCGGGGCAAGGCAAGTAATTTGCGCCCCCTAACCCAGGGCAAGGCAAGTAATTTGCGCCCCCTAACCCCTAACCTGCCGCCGCTGCCAGCTTCTTCTTGCTGCTGCCTGGGCTGGTCTGGTGTGGTTCTCTCCCGTGCTCAGCGCTGCGCTGGGCGGCCGCTGCACTGTCCCTCCCCCAGATAGTCCCTTGCTCTCTCTCCGCACCGCACGCCTGGCACCCATCCCCTCCACAGTGGGCGGCGACCCAGCGGCTCGGATCGGATTCGCACAGCCAGCACTGCAGTGAGAGAGAGTGAGTGAGCCAGGTAGGGGCAGAGAGCTGCAAGTGCGAGCGCCCCCCCCCAGATGTTGCGCCCGGTGCGGCCGGCCCCCCCCACACCCCCACGCTACGCCACTGCCTCTGGGCCATTCCCTCCGCAGCGCAATTTCGCCTCCTCACCCCACCCGCACTCACCTTTCTGGTAAGAAGGGACTCTTGCCCGCTTCTTAGACCCTTCTGCTTTGCACATCTTCTTTCAAAACCTCTCATAGCATTGCACCCGGCAGCACACCTGAAAAGTTAGAGTGAGCCTCACACAAAGCTCATTTTGCAATGGTGCTTAACACATTTCCCCCCGACTTTGGAAGATTAGTACAATATGGGATACTGCCTGCATGGCTAAGTTAACAAAAATGGTGTGCGTGAGGAAATTGTGGAGAAATTGAGTGTTGTGTTTTTCTTTTTAACGGGGCACAGGAGCTTTGGAGGGTATGATAATAATAATAATTTATCATTTATACCCCGCCCATCTGGCTGGGTTTCCCCAGCCACTCTGGGCGGCTTCCAACAAAATATAAAAAATACAATAAAACATCAGACATTGAAAACTTCCCTAAACAGGGCTGCCTTCAGATGTCTTCTAAAAGTCAGGTAGTTGTTTATTTCCTTGACATCTGGTGGGAGGGCATTCCACAGGGCAGGTGCCACTACCGAGAAGGCCCTCTGCCTGGTTCCCTGTAACTTCGCTTCTTGCAGTGAGGGAACCGCCAGAAGGCCCTTGGCGCTGGGCCTCAGTGGCCAGGCTGAACGACGGGGGTGAAGACACTCCTTTAGGTATTCTGGGCCAAGGCCAATTAGGGCTTTAAAGAGAATGAAGGCACAGGAACAAGGCTGGCCCAGGATGTCTTGCCACCCTGGGCAAAACCTACTTTCTCCTCCACAGCCCTTCTGGCAGCTGTGAGGGGCCACAGCTCCCTCCCCAGTTGTCCAAAGGCTGACACTGTTGTGTATTGAGTCAAAGGATTTTATATCTGTATTATTATTGTCTGTATTTGCATTAGGGTAAAGTAACTGCCTTTTGGTTCCAGAGGGTACAGCTACTATTGGTTCATTTAAGCTGCTGTATTTGGATCCTCTGTCTTATTGGTTCCCTCCAAAAGGCAGGACTGTGATTGCCTGATATTGTTCCCTCCAAAATGTATCCTTTCTTGCTAGTTCCCTGTCCCTATAAATGTAGCTTTCCTCTCCCCAGTCTTCAGTCTTGTTGCTTTAATAAAGAAGTGTTACTAGAGAACTGTCTCCAGCATGTTATATCAGGAGAGCTGAAATCACAAACCCCACGTCACAACAACTGGCGACGAAGGATGGGATCCGGAATGCTGAGGAGCGGTTAAACGCAGCCCTGCCTCAGAGTCCGGATTGCAGCTAAGAACAAGACTCACTGACCAGCTGAGAAGACGACCCTGCCACAGGACAATGGAGAGTCCAAGGGTATTGGAGCCCTTCCAGCCATCAGAGCCCGACACGTGGGAAGACTACGTCGAACGCTTCGAGTTCTTCGCAGAGGCTCAAGGGATCACCGATGCCAGCAAAAGAAGGGCCACATTCCTGAGCTACTGTGGGCCTGAGACCTTCAAGCTGGCCAAGGCATTGCTTGCTCCAGCGAAGCTAAGTGAGACATCTCTCAAAGATATTCTTGCCTGCCTAACAAGCCACTTGGCGCCTACTGAGACCAAGATGGCTCGGCGGATGGAGTTTCATAAGAGGCAGCAGCATGCTGGGGAGTCTGTATCTGCATTTCTGGCTGAACTGCGGAAGCTCGCTCAGCACTGCGACTTCCAAAATCTGGAAGAGACTCTCCTGGATCGGTTTATCGGTGGTCTGAGCAGCAAGAAGGCCAGAAGACGCATCGTGGCTAAAGAAGAGGTTACCCTTGCTTCAGCCTTGAAGGAGGCCACCGCCACGGAGAATTATGAAAGAGAGGAGCTTGATGCCAGTCGCAAGGCCCCTAAGCCACAGATAGAAGTTGCGCATGCCATGGACGAGCTAGAGGCTACTCCGAGCCAGAGCCCAGTCCGTGGGGTCGAGTCAGTGAGTCAGGCCTGCACAGTGCACAAAGATCACCGAGGCAGGTGCCCAGGTTGTGGCGGAAACCATGAGCGGAAGAGTTGTCGTTTCCGGGATGCTATGTGCCGGACGTGCGGGAAGACAGGTCACATCGCCAGGGTCTGTAGATCGGCGGCGTTGGGAGCGACAGGAGCACCTAGACCGGAGCATCGCAGACCGCCCGCAGCAACCCATTTTCTAAAGGACTGCCACTACGTTACGGAGATCAACGGGAGGGTCGTGCAGTTCCCAGCACAAGGCAAGGCACACGTCAAGGTGAAGATTGAGGGTCAGCAGTGCGACATGGAGGTGGACTCCGGATCTGGATTCACTATCGTGTCGGACCAGACCGCGAGGACATTCTTCCCCAGGGGTAAGTTGCCCCTCTGGAACCCTTCCCGGCAACCTTGCAGTCATACTCAGCGGGCCGCATCCATGTTATGGGAATGTGTGCCGTGAGAGTACAGTTCCGGGACAAACAGGCTGTACTCAAACTGGTGATTGCGAAGGGCAGTCGCCCCAGTCTCCTGGGCACTGACTGGTTCCCCGCCCTGGGACTGAGTATATCAGGGCTTAATTCAATCCAAACCTGCCCTGAGATGAGCGAGGCATTATGCAAAGAATTTGCTGGTCTCTTTAATGGAAAACTGGGTTGTTATAAAGGGCCCCCAGTTGACTTCGAGTTGGACCCTGGGGTGGCCCCAATCCGACTCAAACCAAGGCGAGTGCCATTTGCACTGCAACCCAAGATCGAAGCAGAGCTGGATAAATTGGTCAAGCAGGGAGTTCTCTCACCCGTGGACTCTGCTAAGTGGGAGACTCCAATCGTCACGCCCTTAAAGCAAATGGGGAAGTCAGGATCTGTGCAGATTACAAATGTACTATCAATAAGGCACTCAGGGGAAACTCATACCCCATTCCAGTCGTATCACATCTGTTGGCTAAACTGGCTGGGGGCAAGGTGTTCGCCAAAATTGACCTGGCACAAGCTTACCAACAGCTGCCAGTAACCCCACAATCAGCGGAAGCACAGACTATTGTCACACATAAAGGGGCGTTCAGAGTTAACAGATTACAATTTGGAGTTTGTGTGGCCCCAGGGATTTTTCAAGGGCTCATGGAACACCTGTTAAGAGGTCTGCCGGGGTCTTGCCATTTTTTGATGACGTTTTGATTGCTGGAAAAGACCCACAGGAACTGGTTGCGCGTGTTCGTGCAGTGTTGCTCAAGTTCAAGGAGGTGGGGTTGCAACTGGAAAAGGAAAAATGCAGTTTTGGGGTGCCAACTGTGGATTTCTTGGGGTTTAAAATTGATGCATCAGGCATCCACCCCACAGATGCTAAGATTAAGGCCATCATCGAGGCGCCACGACCACAGAACAAGACGGAGTTGCAGTCATTCCTGGGACTTATTAACTTTTATCATTCGTTCTTACCCCAGAAAGCTTCGGTAGCTGAACCATTACATAGACTGTTGCAGAAAAAGACTGTGTGGCGATGGGGGCAGGGGCAGCAGAAGGCTTTTGACTCCTTGCGAGGAATGCTGAGTAGCAGGAGTGTCCTTGCTCATTATGACGAGTCAAAGCCTCTGGTCCTGGCATGTGATGCCTCTCAATACGGCCTGGGGGCGGTGCTAAGTCATAGGGAACCGGATGGGTCGGAAAAGCCCATCTCTTTCTATTCCCGTACGTTGTCGCCCACGGAGCGCAACTATGCTCAAATTGACAAAGAGGCGCTTGCAATTGTGGCAGGAATCAAAAGTTCCATGATTATGTGTACGGTCGCCATTTCTACATTGAAACGGACCACAAGCCACTGTTAGGTTGTTCAACCCGAACAAACAAACGCCACAAATTCTCTCCCCAGAATGTTACGTTGGTCTATATTCCTGAACGGGTTCCAGTACACCTTGACCCATGTGCCGGGGAAACGGTTGTGCCACGCGGATGCGCTGAGTCGATTGCCCCTTCCTGGCGGGAGCACTGAGGATCCTGCTCCAGCGGAGCACATAATGATGCTGGAAACACTTCCGGGGCTCCTGTAACGGCTACTGATATAGCTGAGAAAACGAGGAAAGATGCTGTTCTCTCCCGTGTGCTCACTTGGGTGGGGAGGGGTGGCCAGGTGGTCCGCATGAAGACAAATTCAGGCCTTATGCGACTAGGCAGCACGAGTTGTCCATGCATAAGGGTTGTCTCCTGTGGGGAGATAGGGTCATCATCCCAGCACCACTGAGAAACAGGGTTCTTGAGACGCTTCACATGGGACACCCGGGAATGGTCAGGATGAAGTCGCTAGCCCGATGTTATGTGTGGTGGCCTGGAATGGACCAGAACATAGAACAATGGGTACGAACATGCAAGGCATGCCAAGAGGTGCGGCCAGAAGTGGCCAGAGCACCAGTCCACTGGTGGGAGCAGTCCAGATCTCCCTGGAGCCGGCTGCACTTAGATTTTGCTGGGCCATTCCAAGGAAAGGTCTTTTTGGTTATCGTTGATGCATATTCCAAATGGTTAGAAGTGGCGATGGTCCCTAGCATGGCATCAGCTGCCGTCATCAAGGTGTTGAGGCAGCTGTTTGCAACCCACGGGTTACCTGAGACCATTGTATCAGATAATGGGGCAGCTTTTGTATCCCAAGAATTCAGGGCATTCTTGGCTGATAACTTCATAAGAGGGGTCACATCCGCGCCCTTTCACCCATCCTCCAATGGGCAGGCTGAGCGCATGGTAAGAACAGCCAAAGAATCCATTGCGCGCTTAATGGAGGGTAACTGGTCAGCTCGCATCGCGCGAATGTTATTTTTGCAGCATGCGACGCCGTGTACCGCAACGGGCAAGTCGCCAGCTGAGCTGCTCTTGGGTAGGAGACTGGTAACGGTGCTGGATTATGTCCACCCGGATAAAATGCCAAACCATAATTCAAGAGCAACCCCCCAGGCTGAGACTGACACAACAAGGTATCTCGCCCTGAAGATCTGGTCTGGGTGAGGAACTATTCACGAGGTTCGCGGTGGGTGGCTGGTGTGGTCACCCGGGCTAGTGGACCTGTGTCCTATTATGTGACCTTGGAAAATGGGCAAGTGTGGAAGAGACATATAGATCAGCTGAGGCGCCGGGCGCTCAGCAGGGAGGAGCCAGATAATTCATCCCAGGCTAACGACGCAGAGCCGCAAGACCAGAGTGAAAATGGCCCAGAGGTGCAAGCACCAGGGGCTTTAACAAATGAACCAGGGTCTGCTAGTCCTCACGATGACGAGGTACAGATAGGGGACCCTGAGATGTCGGGGACTCCATCTGTTCCTGACGAAACCCCTAGAGCAGCCCCTCTACCACAGGTAACACCCAATCCAGAACCTGCAACACCTGTTGTCAGGAGATCAAGTAGAAGTTGTAGGCCCCCACAGTACCTGAGAGATTACGTCTGCTGTGCTCACTAGGGGGGAAGGGGTGTTGTGTATTGAGTCAAAGGATTTTATATCTGTATTATTATTGTCTGTATTTGCATTAGGGTAAAGTAACTGCCTTTTGGTTCCAGAGGGTACAGCTACTATTGGTTCATTTAAGCTGCTGTATTTGGATCCTCTGTCTTATTGGTTCCCTCCAAAAGGCAGGACTGTGATTGCCTGATATTGTTCCCTCCAAAATGTATCCTTTCTTGCTAGTTCCCTGTCCCTATAAATGTAGCTTTCCTCTCCCCAGTCTTTAGTCTTGTTGCTTTTATAAAGAAGTGTTACTAGAGAACTGTCTCCAGCATGTTATATCAGGAGAGCTGAAATCACAAACCCACGTCACAACAGACACCATGCCTTACTTTGATTATGGGCATGCTGGCCCTGCAAAAGAAATCAGCTGACCTATGTTGGAAGCCACTTCCAATGAAGAGCAGCCTCCATTGCTACAAAATGCAAACTGGGCCTGTGTTGATCAAACATACAGCCTTCTGAAAACATTGTCCTAACTATGCCCGAGTATGCAGTGTCAGACTCTGCAGTGGCAGAAAATATTTGGGTAGCTCCAGCCAAGTCTTTGGGAGATATTAATGAGTGTGACAAATACCTTTTCTAGGGTAAAGTCCTTTGAAATAGCTTTAGGCTATTTGACCATCTTGTAAGTTTGACAGTGTGGGAAGACAGCTCAAGTGGAAATAGAAATAACAAGTCGATTCAGCTCAGACCAACAGAATATGCGGTGAGCTCAGCAGTATTTCCCCCCGGCCTTTCAAGAACAAAGAGGAAAAGACTGCTCTGCTCATCAGCTTGTAGTTGGTTTAGGGTGGAATTCCAAGGGATTAGCAGGAAAGAACTCTTCTGGACTCCTATAAGCATGGCTCGTGGAGCATTAAACATTTTAGACCAAAGTATTTTGGCTTCCAATAGCACATTAGCCCAAACAGAGGTCTGCTAAACATAATTTCACACGTCAATAAACACCAGTGTTTAAAGCAATTTTCAAAATTGTACTTTAGCCAAAGGGTTTAGGCTGCTAATACCAAACCAAAATGCTTGTCTTGGTTTCAGACACCCTGGAATATACATGAGAACATGTTGAATCCAAGAATACCACAGTCAGAGAAGCAAGGACAATGGGAAGTGGGTTCTTCCAGCGAGATCTTGTGAGATCTTCCAAGAGTTCCATGAGATCTCATGAAATCTCACCAGAAGCCACCACTGTGTGACCCTAGTAAGCAAGGCCTAGTTGGGGATGGGGACACAGCACCTTCTCATTTCGTCCCCACCCACAAGCTGTGCACACGCTCCTGTCCAGAACACACGTGTAACTCATTTGAACAGAGGAACCACCCACAAACAGTATCTCAGTCTTATCTAGATCGACCTTCAGTTTGTTGGCTATCATGCTGTCCATTACTGAGATGTGCCACGAATTTGCTGGGATAAGCAACTTGTGGGCAGCGCAAGATGGAGCTGGACTGGACCTACTAAACATCTTCCAAGACAACAATGCCCATTTACACCACAAAGAACTCATAACCTACCTACTTTCAGCAGCCAGAAACACCATAACCAGACACTGGAGAGACCTGTCAGGAGTAAGCACGGACCAATGGGACCAAATAGTATGGGAAACAGCCCTACTAGAAAAATTAACCAGTAAACAGAAACTGACACGGAGACAAACAGAAGAAGACGCCTTTACCCCGGTATGGCTCCCCTTTATCACATACACAGCCCAACAATAATCCACCAACAGCATACAAATCAATATGGCTAACCTGATCCAAAACACCCACCCACCCCACTCACACACAAAAACAAAGATCACCACAGCCAATCACAAACAAACAACTGCACCCTAGGCCAACCCCAACCTCTCTCACCACCAAAGGAACACAAGTGAACAGCACAAGCATCGCTGACACCAAACCCTACATACATTAAGCATAACAGAAACATCTCCACCCGACCCCACCCCCACCCATCTTTCCCCCCTCCACCCCTTATTTTCCCCTAATGTCTCAACAAATGAAACTGATTTGTAAAAATGTTACATGGAAAAAATACAAGAGACATTACACATACTTCTGTAAAACAAGAAAATCTTTAATAAAAATTAAAAAAAATGAAATTGAAGACGGCCATCCTTTTTATATAGGGAATACTTTGAAAGGTATGCTAAACACTCCATTGCAGTCGATGATATTTTAACTTGCATCACGATTCTCTATGATAAATACTGCCTTTAAAGGACCCTCCTGCTGTGGAAACCTTTGTTTTGTTTTGTTTTAATTAGGACATGTATGAACACAACACATACAGGGTGTGTGCATGTCAGCAACTTTCTGAAATTCTGATGAAAAGCAACGCCAACATTAAAATGTTAAAGGCCTGTTGTTTCTTGCCACACATGCACTGCAGAAATATCAGAGTCCGCACCCAGTTATTTTGAGGGATCAAATATTTGGGGAGGCAGAACCAGAACACATTTAAAAAAGATCCCGCCCTTTGAACCTTTGCCTAATGACAGGATCAAACCGCCCGGGGGTTCAGAATAGTTAAAAATAGGGCCTGCCGCACATGTACACATAAGACCTGAAGAGTTAGATGGCAACAAGCAGAAACCTGCGTTCCTTCCAGCTTGATAGCTGGTTCTTAAAAAACCATCAGCAAACATTTACTTCAAGTTTACATTCTGTTGTTTGACCTGGGGCACATTCACCCAAAAGCAGGGTGAGTAATGCTTAACAAACTTTTTCTCTCTTTTAGCCACCACACAACACAAACGCGTATGTAGAAACTTCACATGGTCGCATACTTTGAGGTTTAACAGGTCCTGTCCTGTTTTCATTTCAGCATTCACGTGCGCCTCATGTTTAAAGCGAGGTGGAGAAGCACTTTTTTCGGTTGTTTAGCTTGGGGAAGAAGCAGTTGCAGGTATAAGAAAAAGAGGGTCTGTGCTGTTTGCAGAACATCTCCATTCAAACATTTATCCCGCAAGTAGCCAGGCCTCTTTCCTATGGGAGAACTTCATTTATCCAATTCTTTACAGAATAACTGTTTCAGATAAATATTAGATCCACAATTAATTTGGCACAGAAGTTTCAAAGCAATTTGCAAAATAAAACACGGTATCAGATATAAATACTAGTAGACTGGGTACTCAAACCAAGCAAGGTCCTTAACCTTGTATACTACTTCTTCTTCTTCTTTTGACATAAATTGTCAAAATAGGTTGTAGTTCACTCTGAGTTGCCTTTGGCAAGAAAAATTGACTGATGAAAGCAATAAATAATAATGATGATGATGACAAAACTGTTCAGAGAGCTGGAGCAAACTGATGGGATGGGAAATAATTAAAAATAATATATAATGTAATATAATATAATATAATATAATATAATATAATATAATATAATGATATGATGATATAATATAATGTAATAGCATAGCATATACTGCCTGACCTGATCAACATCCCATACCCTTTTAAAATGTGGCTCTTTTGGGGGAGGGTATTATTGGGTATAAGGGACGCAGGTGGCGCTGTGGGTTAAACCACAGAGCCTAGGACTTGCCGATCAGAAGGCCGGCGGTTCGAATCCCCGCAACGGGATGAGCTCCCGTTGCTCGGTCCCTGCTCCTGCCAAGCTAGCAGTTCAAAAGCACGTCAAAGTGCAAGTAGATAAATAGGTACCGCTCCGGCGGGAAGGTAAACGGCATTTCCGTGCGCTACTCTGATTCACCAGAAGCGGCTTAGTCATGCTGGCCACATGACCCAGAAGCTGTACGCCAGATCCCTCGGACAATAAAGCGAGATGAGCGCCACAACCCCAGAGTCGGTCACGACTGGACCTGATGGTCAGGGGTCCCTTTAGCTTTACCTTTTTTAAAAATATATATATATATATTTATTAAAATTTCAAAAAAAGAAAAATCACATTAATGAGAAAATTAACAATAAAAAGGAAAAATACAAAATACAAAGAAGAAAAAACAGTTAAAAACAGTTCCATCTTTTCATCACTTCTTTTACATTTACTTGTTTCCCGGAGGTTTTCCTCATACCTCCCTCTTTTGTATTGCAATTCAATTTGTTAATCCAGCAATTCCTTTCCCTCCTTTTCCTTTAGCTTTACCTATTATTGGGGATTGCTTTTATTTTTATTATATATACTGTGATCTTTTTATGTGTACCGCCCTGAGACCTCCGGGTATTGGGCAGTATATAAATTCAATCAATCAATCAATCAATCAATCAATCAATCACTCAGTCAGTCAATAATGATAATGATAATATTGTTGGTGAAGTGAGCAAAAAGCTCATTACATAATTAAAAGGAATATGGCAAAGCAATTACCACTTTGAAGATTTATGTTCTGACCGTAATAGGACAAAGAACCATGTTCAGGAATGACAAAATGCCATTGCGCTTTTTCAATGGTCTGCCCTCAGGGGGTGTCTTCAGAAAGCTACTTTTTCTTGGCCCATGAATGAGCTATCGAGGAATCAGCAGTGATGGACCAAGATGCTTAAAAACATTATTCGGAGCATCAGGAACACAATGGTGCAGTCCAGCTTCTGTTGAATATTCAGTTCTGTCAATTCAAGTGCTTTTTGAGGGACCTGTTTATACCTCAAGGTGGGATAAGGCAGATTCATCGAGCTGTAGAGATTATTAAAAGAGAAATCAGGCAACAGAAGAAATACCTTCCAGGTTTTTACCCCCAGCATACTTACATGACATTGGCATTATTAAAAAGCCATCTGGAACCTCAAGTACATTAAAATTTAAACCAATCTTCCACTGTGGATTGAATCCAAATAGAAATAAAGGTGGAGCTGGTAATAAAAAAAGCCTGCCGTAATATCCACAGCACACTACGTCTCCGAGGATTCTCTATTCAATTCCCCCCCCCCCCGTTTTCTACCCCCTTCCCCCCCTCCAAATATCAGCTGGCACTCCATGCCCACTGGGCTTGTTCAAATTTTATCAGGCTGTTCTGGAGTTTATTCCCCATTGGGTCCCGTCCCCCCCCAAAAAATATTTTTGTACTTCCATACACCTCACTGCTCTCGAGTCTCCCTCTTGTGAATGGACTATTTCGGCCATATCAATATCTATATCAGGAGTCAGCAGACTTTTTCAGCAGGGGGCCGGTCCACTGTCCCTCAGACCTTGTGGGGGGCCAGACTATAATTTGAAAAAACAAAAGAAAAAACAAATTCCTATGCCCCACAAATAACCCAGAGATGCATTTTAAATAAAAGGACACATTCTACTCATGTAAGAGCCATAGCTGTCAACCGTCCCTTATTTGGCAGGACAGTCCCTTATCCCAGCGCCGTGTCCCGCTGCTGTCCCTTATTGATGATGTCCCTTAAATTTCCCGGGTTTCAAAGGAAACATCTCCTCTCCCTCCCTCCCTGCCAGCCAGGGAGGAGGGAGGCTCCAACTGTGTTGCTTGGCTGCGTTGCTCACCCAATAAGGAGTCTAAGAACGACTGGGGGGTGGAGCTTGCATGCCTTGTGCCGATCAAATCGGCCGCATTGCCTGGGGACTCGCCTTTGCTCAGCGCTTCCCAGCGGAGAGGTGATGGTGGTATTCCTTGCTGCATCCCCTTTGCCGGGTTGCTGTGTTGTGGGAACCACCGCTTGAGGTTTCGTTTGGCTGCTGGCTGGGCTTTCTGCCTTTGGCTCGGAGGGGCTCAGAAGTCTAACCTACCTGTGCTTGGAAAATCCCTTATTTTGGCTGCTGATCCCTTATTTTCAAGGCTGCTGGTCCCTTATTTTCAAATCTGTAAGTTGACAGCTAAGAACACGCTGATTCCCGGACCATCCGCGGGCCGGATTTAGAAGGCGGTTGGACCGGATCCAGCCCCCGGGCCTTAGTTTGCCTACCCATGATCAATATCAAGAAAAGAGATATTGCTATTTGTACATACAGGTGGGGCTCCACAATAAGACGTATCTCTAGTGTGCATGTCTTACCTGAGCCCGAGAGGGTTGGAAAATAAGGGATCAGCAGCCAAAATAAAGACAAGTTTATATTAAAGACAGGAGCACCTGCTCTACTTTGGATATTATTTCATATGCGATTGTCTTTCCTTTCTTTTTTAATGTTGGAACATTTAAAAGTGCAAACAGTCTGGATGGATTATAATGATGCAATTGCAACCAAGCCCAGCCTGCAAGGGAGCCCACACTCGGGGCTTTCATTTATGGCTTGTTTGTTTTTTAAATATTCTAGCCCTCCTGGAAGGAAAGTTATAAAACAAAATGGGTAGGCAATTTCTGTGAGATGAATCAGACATGCTCATTTTAATCTATAAACAGCTTTGATTGAAGCAGCAAGTATCACTGAGTAGAAGGCTGCATCACTAAATTTGACAAGCATATTAAGTAGAATCGCCTTTAAAAAAAGAACAATGGCAGAGAACATTGGCCGTATGGTCTGTGGATCTTAAAACAATATAAAAATAAAGCTGCAACCTGGATGCCTGAAAATCTTGTAGCAAAATCCAGCAACACACAATTCACTCAAGCAGTGGGGGCAGGGGGCAATTGGTACAGTTTGGGGCTGCTGAAGTTGATTGATTGATTGATTGATTGATTGATTGATTGATTATTAGATTGGGTAATTGAAGAGTTTATTTTGCATTCTGGATTGCAACCTACGAGTTCATCTGACACAAAAACAGCCTACATTCTAATTAAGAAATATGGTTATGTTTGGTATGCATTTTTACGAAAGGGGAGGGGGAATATAAACAGAAAATTCAAGATTGGTATTTTCAGGTTCTTGATGCTGGTACAACTCATTGTGGCTTTTAAAGAGACGTTATAGCTCTGACACTCAAATGAGATTTACATCTACCACACAGTGATATAAAAGTGGATGTGCCCAGGAATTGAAATAGTTAGTTGCTGAGACTCCGTCTGTTCCTGGAAAATCCAGAGACCAGCACAGCAAAGTATTTAACCAACAGAGGCCCAGTCCTTCAGGAGTCACAAGTTGGCAAGAGGTTTATTTCCATTTTTAAAATTTAAAAGAGTTTTAACCCACCCTTCATCTCAAGCCACCCCAGAGCTGGATGACACAATAAAGTAAGTAAGTTTCATCAAGGGTGTCTTGCCTGTCTCCCACAATTTCTTAATAGCTGGCTGTTTCTGACAAACGTTGGTTCCTGTGAAAAAATGGCGTCAAAGAACAAGGACTGCTCTGAAGGTTGCCTGTATCAGCGTCTGAGCAGCCTATTTGTGTAAATCTCTTGGCAAGCAGCTCAAGAGAGTGGTAAATGTTGCTTCCATTACATTTGTTTTGTGTGTCAGACACTATAAATACGACTTCTGTTCATTCGATTCCTAAAGCTCTGCAGTGCCATCTAGTGAAAGTAAGAAATCTGTCCAGATGTATCGGCTTCAAGCAAAAGCTAACGTGTGCAGAAGAACTAGACGACAGAATGTCAGTGCTAAAAAACATATAAGGAGGTGGGGGGGCGGAATCAAAAGAAAATTAAAATGTTTTGGTGCCCGCAGCAGAGGGCTAGGGTAGGGCACAGTTTGGAGTCTTGGACTGATCCATAAATCAATAATTTTGAATTTTATACAGGAAGTTCTTGCCACTTGGTATGTTTGATTCCCCCTTTACAGCGGGTGGTGCTATGGTCTAAACCACGGAGCCCAGGGCTTGCTGATCGGAAGGTTGGCGGTTCGAATCCCTGCGACGAGGTGAGCTCCTGTTGCTCGGTCCCAGCTCCTGCCAACCTAGCAGTTCGAAAGCACGTAAAAGTGCAAGTAGATAAATAGGTACCACTCCGGCGGGAAGGTAAACGGCGTTTCCGTGCGCTGCTCCAGTTTCACCAGAAGCGGCTTGGTCATGCTGGTCACGTGACCCGGAAAAAGTGCCTGCGGACAAATGTCAGCTCCCTCGGCCAGTAAAGTGAGATGAGCACCACAACCCCAGAGTTGTAACTGTCAGGGGTCCTTTACCTTACACTAGCGACTTTTTCTAGAGCAGGGGGACAGAACCTTTAGCCCGGGGGCCAAATATGGCCCTTAAAGGCCAGAGAGACCCCTTACCCCCTCTTCCAATGCCTTTGGCTGGCTAATATGCATCTGCATGGAGAGATGGAAACACGTGGAGGTGTAGAAACCTCTCTCCTTTTGCGTGATTGGAATGTAGCCTAGTGCATCGAGGTCAGAGTGACGTTCAGGGCTCCAGCCATTCCTGGCCCTTTCCACTCCTGGCATCCTAGCGCCCCCCCCCCTTTTAGTCACTCTGTCACAAGAGACTAGGGCCCTGCGGGACTTGACATCTTTCCGCAGGGCCTGCAAGACAGAGCTGTTCCGCCAGGCCTTTGGTTTGGACTCAGTCTGACCCTTATGTTTCCCTTCCCTTATGGTTTTGATCTATGGGCTACTTTTAAAATGAGGCTGCATTTTAAACTGTATTTTAACCTGTATTTTTTTTGGGGGGGGGGAATCCTATTATGTTTTTATTGTAATTTTACTGGTGTTAGCCACCCTGAGCCCGGCTCTGGTAGGGTATAAATCAAATTTATTATTACTATTATTATTATTGATCAGTCATTCCAAGTTTAGAGCCTATATGCAAACATATGAAGTCACATTCGTACCTCAGAAGTCAAATGGAATCCGTTCCGGGAGTCCATTTGACTTCCAAAACGTTCAGAAATCAAGGCGTGGCTTCCAATTGGCTGCTGCAAGCTCCTGCAGCCAATTGGAAGTTGCAGAAGTTGCGTCGGACGTTTGGGTTCCAAAGAACGTTCGCAAACCAGAACACTCACTCGCAAGGCGTTTGGGATCCAAGGTACAACTGTATTCCCCCCTCTCAACATGTGCAATACTTTACACTTGGTTACAAAGAACCATACAGTGGTACCTCAGTTTAAGAACAGTCCAGTTTAAGAACAATTTGGTTTACAAACTCCGTAAAACCGGTAGGTTTGAGAACTTTACCTTGGTCTAAGAATGGAATCCGAACGGTGGAAGGGCTCTGGTGGTGGGAGGCCTCATTAGGGAAAGTGCACCTCGGTTTAAGAACGGCTTCAGTTTAAGAACGGACTTCCGGAACGGATTAAGTTCATAAACCGAGGTATTTGCCATTTTTATGCTCATTCATCTAATTTTTGGAATTCCTTTTGCAGCTCCTCACAATCTTTCATTTTTACCACCCTGAAGCATTCCACGTCATCAGCAAAATTGTCCAGATCATTTAGGGAAGATGGCATAAAATAAAATTAACATTCTTTTTTTAAAAAAAGCAAAATGCGTACATCAAAAACTTTAACCAGTTTTATTTTGCTGCACATTAAGAAGCAAGCAATGTATTCTGTTTGCAGTGATCGACAAGTATTGACAGATTTGTTCTTTTGTTAATAAATAATCCAACATTTAAAGGTGGAATAAGTATACTTTTATTTAATAATGTCTGGGCTTCGTGTAATAATTTAACCGTAAAAAGGTAGAAAAGTTCTTTTATACACATCAAAGCACAAAAACATCACTAGCATTGCACATTTAGATTTAATTACACACGTATCTTGCATCATGGTGGCACAAGTCTTTTTTCCAGAGACAGTATATCTGCATTCTAGAAAAAGCAACAGGGGAATTCTCATTAACATGAAATCCTAATATGCTAGTTTGGTGCCTAGAAATGGGAAGGCTTGGAAAAAAACTGGAAAGGGGAGGGCAGGTTTTCTTCAAAGCCATTGGAAAACCTGGGCTTTTTTCCAATTTTCCAGGCCTTTTTTCCAGGCCTTCCAATCTCTATTGGTGCCTGCCTGTTTTGCCAGGCTGCTTTGCTTTCCAGAATACTCTTAACAGAACATGAGCATCTACTATTTAGAGAAAACTATGTTTTTCCAGGCATCTACTTATGGATTTGAATGCATCAGAATAAAGTATTTGGGGATTTTTGCAAGTTGTGTGTGTCTGTGTCAGTATCACACACAATGGAGTGCAGTATACTTCCCAAAGCAAGGCCAGTATTTCCTTTTTAACCACACAAGGACCTCTATGTACACGTCGCAGCAGCTTAAACTTGCATCCCTTGTCAATAACTATGGTTTTAAGAAAATATATATTATGCAATCCCAAGACATACACCAAGATATAACGGAAGTAATAAGAGTTGGAACCTTATGACCCCAAACTGGATCATCTATCAGACGGTCCCTCAAAGATGATGTACAAGCCAGCATCTATATAGGCATTGCCTAAGCCATCCTGATATGAAATGCAAGACTGACGGTTTGCTCTGCCGCCCTCGTTCTCAGTTTAACAGGAAACAATTTAGAAAAACTAGGAGAAATCAGCTCCTCAAGACCCTTTAAGCCAAATTTTGTGTGTGCATGTTCACTGAATCAAGTGGCAAGATGGTTCTCTCCTCTTACTCCCAACCCTGGAATTTCAAAAGCACAAGGGGAAAGAGACACTTCGGCTGTTTTTGTGGCATCTGTTTCTTCGTTCAGTCCCATCTCATGGCATTTTCAAACCAGGTCCCAGGGAACTCTAGGACTTCTCTGGAACTTGTCACGGATCCCTCAATATAAAGATCAATGTTGGTGGAGAAGCATCTCCAAAAGCTTCCCCACTGCTATTGGCCTTTTCATTTGAGGTGCGTCTTGGGCAGATGCAAGACTACAGCAGGAGCCAACAGGAAAAGAGAGAGAGGAGAGAAAATGTACAAACCCAAGGACAGACCAAGGCAGTTCTTGACTGCCAAATCAGTTTGGGAAAGTGCTGCCTAAAGTCAGAAACGTTGATCACCATTCTATAGTGTGAAGGATGACTACAGCTGATCGCTGTATTTGCTTTGGGTCAATTCAGTGCCTACATTTAGATATCTGTACCAGATTACAAGTTCTCAAATGTGTACACTTCCCATCAAATCTTAAAAGGGAGAGGCGTGTGCAAAATTAAGTGCACGTATCTTTATAATATTTGAAAATGCAAGTCCGATCCTTTCCCAGTTGCTGCTTTCGAGCACGTCAGAGGAACAAGCACACGTTCATGTGACTTGACGTAAAAGCTCTACCAAGCTAGGTAAATGTAAAATAGGAATCAGCTCATAGAACTACCTTCCATGAAGAAAGGGTGTTACAGTATTCCCTCAAATATGACTTATTTTAGCAAACAACTCTGGTTTTAAGAAGATAACGTATGGCAGTCCTATGTGCGAAGTGCATTTTTCAGGATGGGACGGTGCCCAGTAGATCTGGTGTAGCCAACATGAAGACCAAAACAAATGGAGGGCACTACATTGGCTAGCCCTGGTGTAGGCAATACTAACCTAGATGAACCAATGGTCTGACCTGGTATAAGGTAGCTTTATGAATTTGCATTATATGCAATTATAATGAAGCAGCATAAACTGCCTTCCAATAAGCACTCCCAGGGCAGAGCTTACATTTTTTAAAATGGCACAAACTATGTGACACCCAAGAAGCAACATTAAAATGTACCGTATTTTTCGCTCTATAGGAGGCACCCGACCATAGGACGCACCTTGTTTTAGAGGGGGAGAACAAGGGTGAAAAATCTCCCCCTCTAAAACAAGGTGCGTTTTGTGCGTTCACCCGAAGCCTCCGCTCTGGAGGCTTCAGGCGGCTACCTTGGAAGCCTGGGAAGCGAGAGGGGTCAGTGCGCACTGACCCCTCTCGCTCTCCAGGCTTCAGTGAAGGCAACCCGAAGCCTCAGGAGCGCGGTGGGAGCGCTCCCTCTGCGCTTCGGAGGCTTCGCGTTGCTATTGCTGAAGCCAAGGAGCCTGCATTCGCTCCATAGGACGCACACACATTTCCCCTTCATTTTTGGAGGGGAAAAAGTGCGTCCTATAGAGCGAAAAATACGGTAATCTACTCTCCCTCTCTCTCTCCCACCCAACACCACTTTGAATAAACTTTTTATTCCTTAAAGGGCAAATTGTGGACAAAATATTTACCTCCTCTTGATTAAAATGCTAGGTACCAGACAAATTGGTTTTGGGGGCTTAATCTTGTCCAAGCATTGCCAGTTGACCACCTCTGGTCTTGTCTCATCTAAAGCAGGACCATACACTCATGAGACAGCTTAGGCATTTCATACCACAATGTGTACTACAGGGGGGAAACGGACTCCTGGCTATTCAAGAAAACTAAGCTACTCCATCTAATCACTAAATTAATTTGAGTGGGAGAGGGGAAGAAGATAATTATTTGCCAACTCCTAACATGATGATCAATCAAGACCATCAGAGGGAATGAATTTCATCAATTTTGTGAACCTGAGACTCGTCTCTCCCCTCAAACAATTGGTACAATACAAACAACCGGGACCAGTCATTACGTATGAATGTATCCAAGAGCAGCACACGGCAAATTCATTTCTGTAGAAAAATATATTTGGAACCTAAAAATGTTCACATGATTATTCCAGATATGGGATTGTACCCAACATTAGTCAGGCTCAGAGAAGACCCACTGAAACCCTAATAGGACTGACATAAGTAGATTAATTTCAGTGGCTATATTCTGAGTAAAACAGAGTTGGATGCAACCCATAGATGCTGTGCAATGAACAGCAATCTCATACAGAAACCTGAAAGTTCCCACTTATCAGCCCTGAATTAGAATCCTGGGTTACAATTTTCCATGAGAAAGGGGGTTGCAATTATTTTTTTTAATAAATAGCTTGTGCATTTTACTTTCAGACCTCATAAGAAACAAACACTACTATATCAAATCACAGGTACAAAAACACCTTGCACTACAAATGCCCTTTCTGGTATCCTAAGTCTAAATATAGTAGAACAACTGGCAAAGAACACCCCAGGAATATCTCAAAGTACTGGCTATCGTTTCCCCCCTGTTGTTCAAAAGTACAGCTCTAAATAAAACTTGCAACTTTTAAGAATTCTCAGAAATTTAGCACAGCAGTCCACCACTAGTACACAATGCTTTAAAAACCAGCTCATTTTCCTCCAGTCCTGTTTAAAGAGAGGAAATTACTGGGCATTATGGATGGCATAGAACCTTAAATGTGGGTAAAAGTAAATTTCCCAGTGGGGAAACACGCACACCTTTCCTAAGAGGAGTCTGAACACCCTCTGAGCTTCAGGTGGACCTCGCAATGCAGAGCCTCAGCTGCAATCCCTTCCAGACGCAGCTACTCCCTTCCCCATAATTGCAAGAGGGAGGGTTGTGACTCAGTCCAAGATTCCCAATAGATGTTTGGCACTGTGGTGCCAGCACCTTGAGTGCAACGATTTAGGTGTGATATAGGTCCTCCCACCCATCAATGCTTGTATCCAGGCTGTTCTTACAGCCACATCAACAGTCTAACTGATGCCTCAACTGGATCCTACCAACTGCATTTTGTTTCCATTGTTGCCTGGTTTTGGGTAGAGCGGGGAGGGCCTTCAAGTGGTTGGTATCACAAGGAGTACAACAGCGTCTTCACTCAGAACAGAACTGAGTGTAAACAAATGAAGTTCGCATTCGAGCCCAATCAAGACCAAATTAGCTAGTCTGATGGAAGCTCATTCAAAATCAAGACCGGGGAGCCAAACTGTCACTATTGGGTATTGTTGTTGTCTTTTACTAATCAGGATATGGAAGTCCACCATGAATACCTTCCCAATCTGAAGTTACTGATATTATGCACGCAGACAACAAATTTTGTGTGGCTGCTTTAACATCTCACTCACATTCTAAATTATAAATCTACAGCCTGACATTCGATTCCAACATCTTCTGCAATAATGCAGAGATACAAATATACAAGTGCCCTATTAACAAATTTTGCTGGCACAACAAATTCATGGATCATAAAGTGCAATTGTATTAATAAATATTCAGCCACCAACTATGCTACCCACTGCATGATTCATCTTTTAATCCAAATTGCACATGTATACCACACACCTTTGATCCCTTTTGCCAATTTGCCCCAAGAACATTGCTGCTAAACGCAATTCAGTAATCATGGTCCATCATGCAGAACGTGAGAATTTTAACTTTCTACAGAAGTGTATCATTTCAAATCCAAATTCTACCACATGCTTTTTTCCCCGCACTGTGCTTGACATTCACAAAAAACCGAGATTTTTACGACAGCAAAGTATTACTTCAGCAGTCCTGGCAGAAAACTACCTGCAATTTAAATTGAAAGGAATTGTAACAGAGAAGTTGCCAAAAGTGAAAGCAAGCACTTGCAGAAGATCTTTGGTACCTGTATAAAGTCAACTGTAATCAATGGGAATTGAAAGGACACAGATCGAAATAGGACGTTGGCAATAAATTTGGACATAGGTGGGCTGTCAGATGATGAACTGAAATTATTGAATATCTTGACATCTAAACAGAAAAAAATTCCCGAACTGAACACTTTTTTCATGCAACTTATTTCTCAGGTTCTGGAACCACAGGGTGATAGCCAATGTTGTTCATTCACTGGTGGAAGAAAATTAGTTGGCTAGACAGGGAAGCCAAGTAGTTCAGGGCAATTCTACCTCCCTCCCTCCTTCCCTGAAAATTCCCTCCAGGGAAATGGGTCGGATTTGCAGGAGTTGTCTCCCCACCTTTCTATGGATAACCTTCTTCCATCAGCAGACAGTCAAAAATAGATACCACCCATAAATACCACAACTGCAATTTATGAAAGGTGATAAATATTTTTTTTCCCTTGGACTACTGGTTACAAAAAAGAATGTTTAATCCAATACAACAAGGAATCCGCAGCTTAGCAGTCCTTTGAGTTGCATCCAGGTTCCTTTCCTCTCCAGAAAGGCATCCTTTACATGCAGCCCTTTGCACTACATCTCAAAAAGCCAGCTACTCAAACTAAATGTCATTGATTTCAGAATGAATTGCTTTCTGGGAAATTGGCTTCAGAGCATCCTTAGCCCCATTGGAAAACAAAGAAAAGCCAATATGAATATTTTAAAGCTCGAGTTACCAAAACAGTGTTCATATCCAGCTCAATTAACTGCTACTACTAAATGACTCGAGGTGATAACAAAAAAGGTCAAATGAAAACCTGAAGTATGCAGTGAAAAGGTTATTTTTGTACCATGTTCCTAATTAACTGGGTCAGTCATTTCAGATCTGTGCTGATGTTCCACGCACAGAGATGTGACTTTCACAATTTCCAATGAACAAAAATAATCAACACAAAATGGACACTTCCTTTACACATAAATAAGACACACATACAGAGCTGCACTTTCAAAATGTTTAAATGTTTAAAAGTCTGGTTTCCTCCTCGTTTTAATTTTAAAAAAATGCAGTTTACTTCATCAAGAAGTCTTTTAATTGCTAGGGTTAAAGGCATCTTTAAGGAAGTGAGTGAGGGGTGGCTTGGGTGACTGCCTTCAGTCAAGGCATAAAAGCTTTCAGGGCCCTCCCCTCTCTCTACCTATGTGTCCCTTATGTAGCCTTCAGATCCACAGGGAAGAGGGTGTGTAGGGATCTGGAGAAATGCAGCTGCTGAGATTGCTGGTTGCCCTGTGGCTTTTAAAAATGACAGAAGTCTGATAGGATTTCCTATTACAAATTGCAACGGGAGGGAGACCAGAGAGAGCGTAGCAGAAGTATGGGAAAAATTAAAGCAGAGCAAGGAACTGAGTGGGATATTGCTGCAATCCCCCTTATATTTGATTTTCTGCATGTACATTATTTAGCGTTGAGAAGCTGGCAAAGTGTGGGGTGGTGTTTTGTTGTTTTTAAAGCATTTGAGCATGTTAAAAATTTCTAAAGTTCTAAAAGTGTAACTCTGGAGGGTGTGCTAGGCCAACACAACGACAGCACTTTCAGAACTAATGTGTTTGCTATATAAGCCCTTTTGAAGCTTCATTAAAAAATAATAATGGGAATTTAAGATATTTTCGGATGGTTTATATACTGCTAATTTTGCTGAACAGAATTTTACCTCTTTGCCAAGTACGGAAGAATAACTGCATGCCAAGTATACGTAATATTATTTAACCAAAAAATGCAAATTCCTTGCACAATGCAAGGAAATTCCTAATTTGTATCATGATCTGGGGACAATAAAATGTACTGAATCACTACAGAATACTAAAGAGTACACAAAATTCCACAAGGAGGAATACATTATTTAAAGACCAAGACTGCTCTCATCTTCCTGGAATGATAAATTGCCCATGTTTGATCAGGGAAAAGTTTCATTCTGCCTACCCAACTTCTTATTATTTCCTGATTAACCTATAGATCAATAATGTTCATCATCTCACAGATAGGAGGTGCTGGACAAGGTAACATAAGATGTTCCACTTCATTCAGCCTTGAAATCAAATTGAAGACTAATTCATTAATTCTTGACTTCTAGAGCTTCCTTCTCAGTCTTTTCTTTAATTTTCTCTTTTTCTTCTAGTTTTTCCTCTTTCTGCAACAGTGACATGATCTCTGCGACTTGGTTAGTAGAAATATCAATATCTTCTTTGTCGATGAGTTCTACCACCTATGCAAATATAAACATATGTTAAATGCATAAGTTACATTGTGCTTTATTCACAATTTTTATGAAACTCTACAATTAAGGAGGAAAATAAGTGAAGCATATATGCCAAAAATGATTTGTAATGTCAACCACAGCCCAATTTCAAAATAGTGTGTTGAATCCAAAAGGACAGTGTGGTATTTTCCAAAGAAGTAAGATTGTTGTTGACATGAGACTGTATAAATTACAATACAAGGGGGCTGGGTACGTTTAGCCTGGAGAAGAGAAGACTGAAAATTGTTTTGATGCTGCTCTGATTTTATAAACTTGTATATTGTTCAACCTCAATTAGACTTTTGTTTATAAGCTCTGAATCTATATCGCATTTTTACAATTTAACCAAACCATAGAATGCACCATACTGCCACAAATTAAGCCAAACTATTTTCATTCTAAGGTCAATTAATTTAAGGGAGGTTTTTTTCTTCTTCTAAGTCTTAAATTTGTTAAAACAAATTGTTTAAACAACACAAATAACAAACATTAAACAAAACAGGTTACATTCTTCAGCAGACTCACCTTGGAAACATCATCTATGTCAATCTTTCCATCTTTATTTTCATCTAGTGCTTGGGCAAGCCTGTTTAGTTTGCTTTCTGGTATCTTCTGAATCTGTTTCATCACATTGATAAGCTCATTGATACTGATGATATTCTCCCTAAATGGGAAACACAACCTGTATACAGCAAGTAGTTACTACAAGGGGTTTTCAAAAAAACAAACAAACTATATGGCACTAGCCATATTCCATACTGAAAACCAGGGACGGCACATTTATATTCAACTTGATTTAAAAAACTGAAATAAACCAAGACATGCTACTACAGAACCTATGAGGTAACCTGCTTTTTCAGAAAAAGGCAGTACAGCCTAGCTCTTTTTCTTATAACCCTAACAAGTATTCTGCTTCAGGACTTTAGAAACATATACCCAACAAATCCCCTTTGGAGGAGAAAACAGCTTGGCCACTACTATATTTCAAAAAATGTTAAGGTCTATGTCCTGCTAAGGACCAGTCTTAAGAGAAATCTTGCTAAACCTCAAGGAACGCCAGTGATTTCTGAGATGCTTGAGAACCAGTGATAATTTACATTTCATTATTTTCTACTATTTAGAAGCAACATATTTTTTAATTACTTGTTTGATGGCATATCATCCCTTACATTTGTCTTGTAGTAATTTTGATTGGGATTATTAAAATTTAGCTCAAGAAAAGCGTCATAAATTACTTTTGCTTATTTAGTGGGAGTTATTAGTATATGAATTACAGGGAACCAGAACCAAAACTAGTGCTTCCTAATATTTCAACATGAGTTGATTCCAGACAAGGGCATAATATTGTAAACAGGTGTTGACTTATTGCGGCTAGGTCATTGGCAAAGGCTTTTTTTATTAAAAAAAAACCCCATCAGATTTCTCCCAGAAAGGGCAAATCTAGATAAAGCAGGTAGAAAATATGGGCTGATAATAATAATAATAATAATAATAATAATAATTTATTATTTATACCCCGCCCATCTGGCTGGGCTTCCCCAGCCACTCTGGGTGGCTTCCAAAAAATATTAAAATATTGTAATACATCAAACATTAAAAGCTTCCCCAAACAGGGCTGCCTTCAGATGTCTTCTAAAAGTCTGGTAGTTGTTGTTCTCTTTGACATCTGGTGGGAGGGCGCTCCACAGGGAGGGCGCCACTACTGAGAAAGCCCTCTGCCTGGTTCCCTGTAACCTCACTTCTCGCAGTGAGGGAACCGCCAGAAGGCCCTCGGCGCTGGACCTCAGTGTCCGGGTAGACCGATGGGGGTGGAGACGCTCCTTCAGATATACTGGACCGAGACCGTTTAGGGCTTTAATGGGCTTTTAGGTCAGCACCAACACTTTGAATTGTGCTCGGAAATGTACTGGGAGCCAACGTAGGTCTTTCAAGACCAGTGTTATATGGTCTTCTGTCCCCCAAAAACAGTACTTCTGTCTTGTCAGGATTCAATCTCAATCTGTTAGCCGCCATCCATCCTCCAACCTCATTGTGCCATTAAAAAAAATCTATGGGGCAACTGCCCTTTGAATACTGTGGGCAATTCCATGTTGTGGAGCAGCACAAGGTTCCAAAGGCAACCAAAATTATTAAGGGGATGGAGCAGCTCCCCAAAGAGGAAAAGTTAAAGCATTTGGGATTTTTAGTTTAGAGAAAAGGTCAGGAAGAGGCAAAATTACACAAGTGTAGAAAATTATGCATGGAAGAGTGGATAGAATTTGTTTTTCTCCCTCTCTGGTGATACTGGAGTCCCTCTCACATAACCTGGGCTCAGCTAATGGAACTGAACGTGGACAGATTCAACTCAGGTGGCTTTAAAAGATTAGACAAATTCATAGGAGTCAATGGTTTAAGTGGAATAATGAGATCAATAAATTAAAGTGGAAATAAAATTTGGTATTATATGATTTTGTATGTTTTGTAATAAGCATGTACTTGGTCTCATTCACTATTTAGGTTATGATTAGAATAAATTATCCATGTAAATAATTTGGAACTGATACGCAAGAGTTCAGACTGAAAAAGTCTGAGAGGCACTTCCTTCTGCAAAGGAATCAACCCATATTCACAAGTACAATCCCCTACTTGTATCACCTGACACTTACCCAATGGGAGGGCTAGCACTACTGTCCAGCTGTCCATCCACCACTTTTTGTTCTGTCTCCAACTCCGTGATAATTTTGTCAATCTGTCCAATCATTCGGTTCACTCTTTTAGTCAATCTCTTGCTTGCTTTAGACTCTTCAACTATTTCTTCTTCTCCCTCCTTAGACAACTCCTTGATCTCTTGCAAATCCTGAGGATCAAACAAACAACATGGTTCATAAAACCATAGTATTTAGCAAAAATCAGAGGTATCTGGTGCATTGGATGCTGCATGTACATCCAAAAGACAACTGCAGAATATCAAGGTTATGGTAAGACAGAAGAGAGTTAGGAATATTTTTAAATACAGTATTCCTATTCCTGGGGGCTACTTTTTAAAGCATCTTGTTGAATGGCTACGTAGTTCTCCACTTAAGCATCCCCTACAGCAGGAGTGAGAAACATTTTTCTCAACCCTGGCAAGCTCACCTCGCTTGTCAATCACACCAGGTAATATGCTTTGCAGCCCTATCTGTTGGGAACTCAACATGCAGTACAGCCCTGCACTGCTCTTTGAACCTCTGGGTTTCAGGAGCAGCACATAGCTGTCAACCGTCCCTTATTTGGTGGGAAACTCCCTTATCCCAGCGCCGTGTCCTGCTGCTGTCCCTTATTGATGATGTCCCTTAAATTTCCCGGGTTTCAAAGGAAGCAGCTCCTCTCCCTCCCTCCCTCCCTGCCAGCCAGGGAGGAGCGAGGCTCCAACTGTGTTGCTTGGCTGCATTGCTCACCCAATAAGGAGTCTAAGAACGACTGGGGGGTGGAGCTTGCATGCTTTGTGCCGATCAAATCAGCCGTGTTGCCTGGGGACTCGCCTTTGCTCAGCGCTTCCCAGCAGAGAGGTGACAGTGGTTTTCCTTGCTGCATCCCCTTTGCCGGGTTGCTGCGCTGTGGGAACCACCGCTTGAGGCTTCTTTTGGCTGCTGATACCTTATTTTCGAGGCTGCTGGTCCCTTATTTTCAAATCTGTAAGTTGACAGCTATGGTCAACATGGAGCAACAAGAAGCAGCTGGCCACCACCATGGATACCCTTTTCACTATCACAGCAGCTGGTGGATTCAAGGAAGGGGGTCTGGTGTGGCCTTAAAGAGATCGATTTGTGACAAATCAAAAAGCTATGGGGGTTCAGACCTCACTTCGGGCTTGTACTCAGGTGCTTGGAAAAGTTATTTGTCTTTCAGCCTCACTAGTCTGCATTCTGTGAGAGAGGGGTTTACTGAGTGGCCATACTCACCACAGAAGCCCTGTTATGACACGGCCAAGGACACTCTCAAAATTCATACCTCACTATATTCCTGCACATCATCTCTGAGCTCCTCAAGCTCCTCCTTTTCCTTTGTTAGCGATTTCTTTTGTTCCTTCAGTTTACTACAAGCATCACTTAACAAGTCAATCTCTTCTTTGGTTATTTCTTCACCCTAAAAAAAAATTGGGGGAGGGAGAGAAATGAAATAATTGTTATAAAGAGAGAGTCCCTTCCAGAAAACGGTTGGAACTACTCTTATGTTTTCAACATCTTTATTTTACCTTTTTAATAAAAAAAATAAAATAAGTAATTCCATGGGAAATCCAGAACTTTCTGATCATCAAGATGTGTATAGATAAACGATGATACTAATAGCACAAGATTATAATTACCTGTCCTATATTAGAGATGTTAAATGATCTTAAAATAACTAGACCCCTAATTAATAGGATTGCTTAATGCAGTATATACAGGCTGAGTGAAAAATCAACCCAGACTCCCAAACTTCTACCCGTCACAAATGCAACAGACACAGTGCAAGCTGTGAGATGTGCAATCATCTTGTCCAACCAAAATAGAGAGAAGTGATGTGCTTAGGTGGCGGGCTCTGTTGAAAAAGCACCACCATGACATAGTTTTTCCATGTCTATCAGACAACACCCACTTTACATGCCAGCATGGTTTATCTCCATGCTGAACAGGATTCAGAAAGGTATGAAATGGGGACAAAAATGCTATTTTCCCCTTGTATGTCTATATATTGCTTTATATGTGCGACATGAGTTGCATCTATCACCTGCATGAACCACTTGCCCTTTCAACAGTGTACCTGCTCTCTTATCTGGACTACAAAAGTTGTTCATGTAACGTATGATGTAGCTGTAAGTTAAGGAAGGTGGAAGCCATCGTTACAAAATCTTCTGGAGATACCTTGCAGGTTTTCTTGGATAACAGTTTCATATGTGGCTCATGCATAAAGTCCAACATACAAGTTTCCTTTACACTCCCAGAGGGTTTCAAAAGCAATTGCTATTGGTTGAGATGAAAACCAGAGAATGCACAATCACTGGCCAAGTCCTCTCTGGGCAAAAGGGGAAGTCTGAAGATCTGTATATAGTTTCTGACTCCATGAAACAATCTTCTACAAGATTTTTTAATACTTGCAAGAGAGAAAAGGCAGCAATTGTGTTGTGCCTTTTTCTTGTCAGTACTTATTTTTCTCCGCACTGCCTAGCATAACTAAGCCCGCTTCTGGGGGGCTGAGAAAGAGGAGAAGATGGAAATTTGCTAGAAAAAGTAACGGATAGTGCTTGTGGAGAAAGAGGCACATTAAGTTTTCCAGTAAGAAATTTCATCAAAGTACTAAAGCCTAAAATAAGGGTGGGGGGGTGGATCCTAGAATTCTCACACGCTTATACAAGTGTCCAGGCCAAGTGACATCACAGGAGGATCACTGATCACTTAGACCAGTGTTTCTCAAAGTTGGGTCTCCAGCTGTTGTTGGACTACAACTCCCATCATCCCTGGCCACTGGCCCTGCTAGCTAGGGATGATGGGAGTTGTATTCTGACATCAGCTAAAGGCCCAACTTTGAGAAACACAGACTTGTGTCTAAGACAACTATTGGGCACATCAGAGTTTGGAATTTAACAGAAATGATATTGCTCATAAGCCATTTTACTACTTCTAGTAGGTGCTTTTAATGTTCAAGTTTTCAATGTTCCAGAAATAAAAAAAGCATTCCTAACCTTAACACATAGCCACCACAGCCATGCTTCAAACTTTGCAGCATGAAAATAACAAGAACTAATAAGTAGACATCCATGCTCTTACGACTACTTCTATGCAAGAGGTACACAATTACTAAATTATAAAGCTATGAAGTACACCAGTGGTGGCCAACTCTTTTTGGAAAATGTACCACAAGTTAATTGCAAACTACTTGATAGGGTCACTTTTTATGCCATAACTAGGTTCACATGACCTTCAGAAGAACCACAATCTCCCACAGCCTCCGGGCCCAAGTTGGCTACCCATGAAGTACGCTATACAGAATGCTAAACTATACTATACAAGATTACTACACAACAAGAGCAAATATATATTATGCACTGTGATTAATTTATAAATATTAGAAAAAGCTAATCAATCTAGTTAAGAATATGATACAGAAACCTCCATGTCAAATCTTCCATATCTACTAACCCAGATAGTACATTTCAAGGAAGTGTGAATTCTTGCTATTGTTGAAACAGAGATAAGCCGGCAGGATTAACCCATAAAACCACAACTGTTGTTGTTTTTTAAGTGGGTGCTGAAGAATCTAAATGAAAAATACCAAATGAAGATCTCTTTCAAGCCAATATACTCTTCACTGGGGAATATTAAGACTAGTGGAAAGAATTGAAAGAGTCTCCTAACCACTCAGGTTTGGAAGTAGCCTAACCACCTTATTTTAATTATTTTAACCAGTTCTTGAGCAAAGAGGCTTCCCAAAATCTATAGCTTAGAATGTGTGGGCCTTGTTGGACTCCCAATGAGCAGAAATGATGGGAGATAACAGTCCATGAACACATGAAGGACTACAGGTTCCTATCCCTAATATAGACAGTAGAGAGCCTGTACCTATAATTTTTCTTAATGGACAATTTGGAGAATTTTAAACTTGTTTCAAGTGCAGTGCAGCTCTGCAACCTCCACCAAAATGATCTTTCAAAGCAACCCCAAAATGCAAGAGATCTTGGGCACCATGAAACATACACGGAGCTCTGAATGGAAGCAATCTTAACTGAATACTGGTATATACAGGCGTACACTTAGTGTGAATCTGCATCTTTCATAACTGGATTCATTACCTAATTTAGACAGAATTAACAACCACCCCAGAGGCACTGTTCATTGCATAATTTACACAGGAGACCCAAAACGTAGTCCTGATTTACTGTCACCTGCACAGTAGCTAACTATGTCCCCAGGTTTCAGCCACTTACAAAGTTCTGCAAATGAAAAACACCTGTAATTAAAAAAAACAACAGCAGCTCTTCCACAAAATCTATTGAGTTTCTTGGATGAGAGTTAATCTTGCAACAGCCCAACGTGGAAAGTATTGTGGTGCGTTGCAGTATATTCGCTCTCAGCCTTGCCCACTATTCACCTTGATGCCCTCCAATACGGGTGCTGTATCTTTCAAAGTCTCTGAATGCAGGGTCAAGTCCACCTTTGCCAGTTCTTGTTCGGTATCCACAGCTATCTTGCTCTCCTTTATATGCACAGCTGAAGTATCAAGATCTATTGCATCCACCTCCTTCTAAAACACAAAGTGACAACATCGTATGAAACCCGGAATTTAAAAACACATTTTGAACACGACCCCAAGTTCCACCTTTGAAGCTCTATGCATGGCATTTGACAGTTCCAACACATGTTCTTCATGGGGAGAGAAGGAATTATATCAGTTGTTGTCTCTGGCTGGTGAGTGGGACTAATTTCATTTCACCTTCATGTTTGCATTTGCAGGGTAGCTGAAAGGGCAGGAAAGAGGAGGAGTTCTTGATCCACTGGGTAGTGGTACAGGTTGATGCCCCTCCCAATGATATAATTTTTGCTGAGAGAGAGGGGAAAGAATTCTGCCAGCAGCTTTTGATTGGGGCCAGGTTGCTTCTGTATGTGCAATATAATGATCATTATTGGAAAGGCAATACAGTGGTACCTCGGATTACATACGCTTCAGGTTACATACGTTTCAGGTTACAGACTCCGCTAACCCAGAAATAGTGCTTCAGGTTAAGAACTTTGCTTCAGGATGAGAACAGAAATCATGCTCCGGCAGCACAGCAGCAGAAGGAGGCCCCATTAGCTAAAGTGGTCTTCAGGTTAAGAACAGTTTCAGGTTAAGTACGGACCTCCGGAACAAATTAAGTACTTCACCCGAGGTACCACTGTATGTAGGAAGAGACTCTACAGGCAGCAGCTCCTGTAACACTAAACTCCTTTCAATCTTTTTTTTTGGGGGGGGGTAGAAACCATAGACTTTCCTCTTTCACAAAGGATTATAGAAGGTTTGTGCAGAATTGTGATACTAAAAATCAGAGCCTTTATAGTGAACCATTATTTTTTTTAATTAAAAAACAGTTGGGAGTTCGGCATAAGAAGTGCTTAAAACTATCCTGTAACCAGTGCAAGCTTACAACTTCCCCCTACTTTTACATATCAAACCCCTGATCTGTGTGATTAAGCTTCTGAAACAGTTGCAGAAAAAAATGTATGCATCCAAGTGCCCCTTTGCAACGTGACCATCATATGTATTTATTATTGTATTTATTATATGTATTTATTATGTATTTGGAAGTTGCCCATTTGGAAGAAGTGCAAAATCAACTTCGCAGACAGTTAAGGGAGACTGGGGAAAAAGTCAATTTTAAATAAGGATGGAGTAAAGCGTTTACAACCAACACTGGTGCCTTTTTAAAGAGCCTACCCTTTCAGCGACCTGAAGAGTCTCTTTGGCCTTCTCAGCAGCTTCTGACAGCCTTTCCAATTCTTTTTCTTGGTTTTCTTTCCTAATAGCTTCTTCCTCCTGAAGGGTTGCCTCCAGTCTGGCTTTATTGTCCACTTTTTCTCCTTCCACTTCTGCCGCTTTAACTTGAGCTTCTTTGGCCTAAAACAAAAATAAAAAACCAATCAACTTTCCAGATTTTACACTGTTCTATAAGAATTTTAACAGAAGAATAAACTTAGTACTAGCAGTCTGGTCTAGCTGTTTACTTCTGCATTCTACAATGTAAGAAAGCTCCCACCAATCCTATACTGCTCACTCACACAGGGTGCAAGAAGAGTAATACTTAAAAGTGCAAAATGGGCCATCCCCAGCACTAGAATTATACTACAGTGAATATACTGGCTGTAGCAGAGAAAGCCCCCTAAGGAACAAAGATTTTAGATTTAATGGTGTTAACAGAACGTAGTTGCAATTTAAATAAGACATACCACACTTTCAGGTAGTGTTTGCAGGGTTGTTTTAAGCTGGTCAGCTGGTGAAAGAGTATCTGGAAGGTACATAGCTCTGGATAAAATAAGCAGTGAAGTTGGGATTTCCTGGTTCAGATGCAAGTCTAACCACTGCAATTAAAAGATAAAGTATTAGAACAGTACATCTTTCTGCACTCCAAAACACTTATGAACTGGGTAAATCAACCTTAATCCATTTATTTTTCAACTGCTAGTGAACTTCTGAATAAAAGTGCTGCTCATCAAGGATTTGGGGCAGGAGAATATCATGTTAAACAGATATCTGATAACAGATAGTCTTTCCTAGGTAAACAACTCTCAGTGTGGGACACTGATATGAGTTTGCGGCAAGTATATTTGCCTCATAGCAACATACCTGCTCAATGCAAAGATTGTGGACATCACAGGACTAGGAGGGTTGGAAAGGTATGACAGTGGGGTAGGAGAGCAGAAAAAATGACAACATAGTTCACATCTGGCAACCAATGGGTAGACGAGCCTAAAAAGCTTGGGACACTAATTTTCACGGCCCTCTTGTGGCTATGTGGCTCAGGCGTCAACTCTGGCAGTGTTGGAAGGCCTTTGCTCTAGGAAGCTTAGTTTGGTCAGAATAGAGTATACATTTCTAGGTTTAATGCTAAATACATTTCTTCTGGTACAACCTCTCCTCCTCCCGGAGGGGAGGGATTGTGACCGGGAACTGATTCCCGCGATGCGCAGGGGGCGTTCCGGTCCCTGCTTGCCACTGTCGCGCCACACCCCCCGGAACGGCACCCAATCGGGTGGCAGCTCGGGGGCATGGTTTAGTCGCTCAAATGCGGCCGTGCCAGCTTTCCCTGCCATTGCGCTGCCGGAATTCTTCAAGTCACCCACCCACCACTCCCTTTAGTGCGTAGCTTCTCGCTTGACCTTGCTATGGACCTATGGTTGGTCGCCTTGGTTGTCCGGGGGGCCTAGTAGGAGTTTTTTCCCAATTGGCAAATTGGCACCAGCCTCTTGGTTTTTTCGCCTACCTCGTAGCAATCGTCACAACTTTCTCAGTATTTGGCGGTTAGGCATTGGAATGTGTTGTTGGTGTGTGGAAGGGCAGGGTGTGGCCATTGCCTATCCCTTCACTCATGGGTATTCCGTTAAAGGAATCCAGTGGTCATGGATCCTGTCCGATGTCCTGCGTGGTTGGAGGCCATGGCACGACCCCCGGTGACATCAGGGGAGAGCTTATAGTTGTATTTGCATCAACAGGCTCCCCCTACTGGTGGTTAACCCTAGACAGACTCACCCCTCTCCGAGTGGGTGGAGTCAAAATTTAGTGTTGGTCCAATGCCTAAGCCAATACCTCTCACATGCTGTAATCAATAAAGTTGTGGCCTTTTCTAGCCCATTAACCTTATATACTGTGTCCACGTGTCTTTATTATTCATGAGCGGGAGGCGGGTCCTCGAATCACAAATGAAGGACCAAGAGGCAATGCCAAAACACACACAGCATGAGCTGCTTTTGGGTGATTGAAAGCTCATGCCCCTTCTTTCTTCATCAGTACCTGCTTAAGCTGATCCCTCAAACGGTCTTCTGTTACGCCAAGCGCTCTCATGCCTCTTGCACGACATGCTGCTTGTAGCTCTTTAACCGTCAGGCTATCCACATTTTCCTCAGCGATCAGCTAGACAGACACAAATATCAATAACTATACTCATCACTGTGAAGAAATTATCTTTGTCACCTAATAATACAATCATTACAAGAAAGCAGGATATCATTACAGGATGGAATTCGGTTTAGTGCCAAACAAGGGCTGCCAAGTATGTTCTAATCAACTGTTCTATGTTTCGTGGTAAGATTATAGCTGCCCCATAGCAAGTCTAATTGTGAAAAAGACCCAACATTCCCAGATGAATGAAATTCTGCATTCCACAATGCAGTTGCTTAAAGTAATTTTAAAAGCCATTAGAAACAACAGAAGCAACTGGAAAATTTGTAGCAAAAGGGAATTCTCTTACTTTATCATCTGCTTTTATAGATCTCAACCTCATTATTAGCTGAAAACGTAGAAAATTATTTGTCCCGATTGACTGAAGTTCTAACAGTTTACAGAGAGCAACCAACTGAGGTCTTGTGAGATTATCAAGGGTTAGCTCATCTTCAAATAGTTTAGAGAATCGTAAAATTTCTTCATTGCTTGGTCTTTCACCAGTTTCACGGATCTGAAAGTAGAAAACACATGTTATAAGACTTAAAGCTACATTCTCTCAACTTTTATTTAAGAAATGTGCAGTTCTTTAATAACATATGGGCTAAGTCTCAGTCTCATGACTCCACACTTATGTAATTTGGAATCAAGTGAAAAATTCAGTTTTCCTTTGAAGCAACGGCCATAGCACCTACATATAACTCTATCAGACAAGCAAGAAGAATTGCCACCATTCAAGTACGCATCCCAGCCAGGCACTTAAGGAGGATGCAGAGCAGGCCCAGAGAACACAGGTCTTAGGTTTCCCACCCTCGTTGACCAATTCATGCCAAAGCAGGAAGTTCACAGCTACAACATCCATGGTAGGCTGTTATCCGACCTCTGCTTAAAAGCCTCTACACAAAAGGAAAAGGGTTATTCGCTACTGCTGCTAGATTTTTGATACACTGAGAATAGGAGGTGCAATGCAGGTGGCAATCACTGACAACCCCAACTCCAGTCTGAACGTTCTGTAGCTGGACAAAGGCAAGCACACATTTGAGTGGGGCAGGCCATAAGCTTACTTTCCATGCACTGCTCCGCATAGGAAGAATGCTGTACTGAATTAGCTGTACTGAATGAAGCAGTGTTGTCATCTTAAATTGGTTGTTAACCAGACTGGACAAGCTGTATTTCAACAGTTTTGAAAGTGGGGGCTTATACATGGAAGAACACTGTATGTGCTCATTACATTTTTTAAAATCTGAAGCTATCTCTTTTTAAAGTAACCTGTAGCAGTTAAAAGTATTTGGGTCCCCTATCCTGCAATTCTCTTTTAAATGTCTATCATTTTCATTTGATAGACATGCACAGTGGAAATGTGGTATGGCATGGATCTCAGACCCTTCTTGCCATGATAATCAGAAGTGACCTGCCAGTGGAACAGAGGCTCAAAGCTAGATTCCTGGCAACCACAGCATTGCCACTTACCAGGAGGGAAAGGGGGAAAATAGCAGGGAGGTCAATGCAGCTCCTTCACCATGCTGACCTCCCAGCCTCCCCTTCTCTCAGTAAACAGCAGCACCCCTGTTGCCAGGAAGCCAGTGTCATTAATCTTCCCCACAGAGTAAATCACTTCTGGTGACCAGAAACCACAACCAACTGCCTTGGAGGTCTGATAGCTGAATCCACTGGAAATGAAGAGGGATTCAGCATAGATAGCTCTAAGGAGGAGGACAAAAGGCTGTCAAACTCTGAACCTAAAACTTTTGGACGGGGAGCAAGTCAACCCACCAATCACCAAAAACTCCCATTGGAAAAATTTAAAGAAATAATTTGGTGTGATTCAACAGTGCATGGCTTCAAGCCTGACTACCATCTCTAATGGTATAAAATACGTTTGGCAAGGATACAAGAAAGTACAGTGGTACCTCGGGTTACGTACTTAATTCGTTCTGGAGGTCCGTTCTTAACCTGAAACTGTTCTTAACCTGAAGCACCACTTTAGCCGCACCGCCGCCGCGTGATTTCTGTTCTCATCCTGAAGCAAAGTTCTTAACCTGAAGCACTATTTCTGGGTTAGCGGAGTCTGTAACCTGAAGCGTATGTAACCTGAAGCGTATGTAACCCGAGGTACCACTGTACCTTTTCAGTAGTCATGCCTAGGGTTTGAAACTCTCTCCCAAGGGGGCATGTTTAGTGCCTTTCACCAGCATTAAAGAGCCAGTGAAATCAAAAATCCAAACTCTCTAAATTCCCACCAGCAAATGGAGGCCTTCTTGTCTGGGCAAGTCTTTAGACCGCCGGATTTGTTTTTCTGCTTCTGATTTTTGATTGGCTGCTCTTCTTACACACCTGCACTTGCTTTCAATTAGTCTTTTTAATTGCGGTTGTATGTGGCTTTTTGACATTAACTTCTATACTGCATTATATATTACTGTTGTTCAACACCTTGGGTGCTTAATGCAGAAAGGCAAAGTATGAGTGAAACCTAATGTTGTGGAAACCCCCTGGAGTAAATTTTGAAGCGGCTGCAGGGAGAAAGAAGGTGGTGAAGTCCCATTTCACTAATACACCATCAGTAAAAAAAGGAATATTTTACCTTTTGAAAGAAGGTGGAAAAGTCTTTAGTAACATTGCCTTTGGCTGCTTTATTTTTTAAGGCGATCTCTTCAATGGTATCTTGAAGAAATTTAGCCAGTTCAAGCTTCACTCTAAGCTCTTTCTTCAATCTCTCTTCCTAAGAAGTAAATAACAAATTGGGTTCCATGACGGAAAAAAAGTGGAATACAACTGGAATTTAATCAATAAGAACATCTGTTTTGCCACAAAGTATTAAACTGCTGATTCATATTTTAGTTACCTTCTTAGACTTTGTCTCAAATGTTGAAGGGAGCATATTGGGGAACAGCTTTAAAGCTACGGGAAGCAGGAATTCCATGAAAGGAACAACAAGAAAGACTAGGAAAGGGACCAACCGAAAGAGATCAGCACATATCCGAAGGAACTGTAAGCAACAAATAAGCAAGGAGATTAGTAACCATAAAAACAAGTCAATATGACATAGCATGTCATCCATAGTATGATATTTATTTGTATTCTGCATTATTTTCCAACAACTTTTGGTATATAGAAAAACCATCTTAACATCAATTTGTTAGAAGATAATGAACTGAATTGCAAGGTAATATTTTTGCACTCCTGTTACATTCAAATCAGCTTTCATTTTAAACCAGACTCCTTTCTCCTTAATTTACAAATTGAAATGTTCGCTTTTTGCTTATGCTGTAAAGTCTCTTATATATGTATTTCAGCTACAATAGTTGAAGCAGTGGTGTGGTACCTATTACTGAATACACTTATTTTATCTATGGCTTTGAGTAAGTATAATGAAGAAATTTACAATTGTAAAAGTTAGAGAAAGGAGGCAACTAATAAACACACTGAACTTTGAAGCACTGAGCTCTATATAGTCAATCTTTCAGTTTGACATTAGTTAACACTAGTTAATATTAGCCCTGGACCAGTCTGAGGGCAATAGTGCCTTCTCTGGCTGCCTCTTTCCTCCCTGCTCTGGGCACTGGCAGCCGAGGGAGCTGCAGCAGTTTCACCCCAGTGCCTCACAGGGCCGGGGGCCAATGCTCCTTGCTTCCATGTACTGGGGGCAGAGAGAGCTCTGGTGGTTTCAGGTTCAATGCTCCTTCCTTTTCAACACCACGATATATCACTATACTGTGATGTTTACCTGGTGATACATTGCAAAATTGAAAAGCTGGTGTCGCCCAGCCCTAGTTATTTCATAGATCAACTCAATAGCAATAAATAACTACCTGACATTTCGAAGGCATCTTAAGGCAGCCCTGTTCAGGGAAGCTTTTAATCTGTGATATTTTACTGTATTTTTTGTTTCTATGGAAGCCGCCCAGAGTGGCTGGGGAAACCCAGCCAGATGGGCGGGGTACAAATAATAAATTATTATTATTATTATTATTATTAGGTCCTTAGATTCTTTAAACTCTTGTGGACATAGTGGTTTGGATGCTAGCTTGCCTTCTAGAAATAAAACAGAGATAGAATCACACAACCAGACTATCCTCTGGCGCTCCCTAAAAATCTACTACTGAGAGATGGGGAATCCCTGGGAATGGTGCAGCATTGTATAGTGGTTAGAGTGTTGGCCCATGACCTGTAAGACCAGGGTTCAAATTCCCAGTTGGTCATGAAGCTCACTGGGTGGCCTTGGACCATTCACTCTCTCTCAGCCTAACCTACCTCACAGGGTTGTTCTGGAGATTAAAACAAGAGGGAGAGAACCAAATACATCACCTTGAACACCTTGGAGAAAAGGGTAGGATATAAACACCATAGATAATAATAAATACAGGTGTTGGAGGGGGCTGTAGATGGAAGGGGAACTTGCTCCTCCTTGCACAAACAGAAATGCAACTTGGGTTGAAGCCATTATATGAAATGTTGTTGTTTTTTAAAAAAATAAAAATTAAATAGTAGTTTTAAATGTATTTTAGTCTAACCCCAACATCTTTTAAATCACTATATACTTCAGGTGTATGCATAGGTTGTATACATTGAAAGAAAGAAAAATACAAATCGTTCAACTGTTAACTTTAGTTTGCTATTACCTCTAATAAGAGGTAAAGAACAAGAGCGAGTCACTAGAATGGCTGCACAAAAAAGCACTGTTACCTGTTAACAGTGTTAAAGAAATAAATGCATAGCAATTTTCTTTACAACAGTAAAAGCAAGAGAACCAGTGTCAAAGATGCAGAACTTGTGGCTAGTCAGAAGTTGTCAGATTATAGCTTCCATCATCCCTGAACTCTGGCCATGCCAGCTGGGAGATGAAGTCCAACATCTGGAGAGTCACAGGTTCTCCGTGGCTGAGCCATATAAGGGAACACTTGATGATGGAGTCCCCAGCATGCACTATTAGAGTTTTCCCTTGTACTGTATGATTTTTAAATACTGAATGATGTGTTGAAATGAAAATGTGAAATCTTAAGCCTAAATTTGCAAAATGAGAAGTGATAGTGCCTCGGAAACTGTATGCTATGACAAATAGTTTCCAGTGTCATGACAATGCTGCAAGCAAAAATTTCTGAAACCAGTGTTCGAAACTCCCATTGTTCTAGGAGCATTTTGCAACAGGGAATTTCAGTAGTGCAAGCAGTTTCTGGGCTCTGGGCGCAGTACTGCGTCTACAATTTCAGATTAAAACTGCAGGGTGGAAGGAAAGGAGGACCCTTTTCTGCCTCCCCCACTTCCAGCCACTCTCTGAAGACTGGAGAAGAGACCCTCTTAAGAATATTAGGGGGGTGGGCAGGGGAAGGACAAGACCATGTAAAAAATGAACATAATATTTTAGCTGTAGTTGATTCATTTTCAACTTTGTATTCTGGTTATAAAAAAGCACATCCAGACATTCATTGTTACGTCCATAACCTACATTTAAAGTACCACTTAGATCCTAGCTTTCATTTCTAAGTTTCTAACACTGTCTGAAACTATTCAACTGTTCAGAACATAAAAATAAAACTACAAAATTATTGCAATAGACTCGATTTTTGTTTTTCGATATGTAAAAATGTACAGCAATTTAAGCAGCAATCCTATACCCACTTACCTGGTAGGAAGCCCCATTGAACTGAACAGGGCTCACTTCTGAAAAGCATTATGTGGAGTAGCATAGCTAAAGAATATACAGATAACTTGCAGTTTACACTGATTTCACTTGTGTGGAAGCTTCCCAGGGTCCTCCTGTGACCGTCCCTGAGCCCAGTAAACAGCCCTCTGCCTTGTGGAGGGGCAGTTTGGGAGTTCCTGTCTTTATGTGATTTTGTGTTTACATGTGGACCCCTAGAACTGAACCCTCACGTAAGCTGTGAGTTACCTGTACACCACTGAGGGCAAGTAGCTTAAGGACACTGGTCACTCAATATTTTTCTACCATGGGGTAGAAAAATTGTGCACACTTTTCTGGGTAAGAATATGCAAGCGATGTTCTGCTCCATTTAAATGCATATAGAAGCTGCTTTGTACAGTACACAGAAAAACCAAACACTTCAACAAATGTTCATGATGTTTTGTACAGCCATTTAAGGGGAAAAATGCATAAGCAGCCTCGGTCCAGTATACCTGAAGGAGCGTCTCAACCCCCATTGTTCTGCCTGGACATGAGGTCCAGCACCGAGGGCCTTCTGGCAGTTGAAGTAGCTTCGGGTTGAGCATTTTCGGGTTGCGCTCTGTGGCGACCCGGAAGTAATGAAACGCGTTACTTCCGGGTTTCACCCCTCGCACATGCGCAGACGCTCAAAATTACATCACACGCATGCGCGGAAGCGGCGAATCGCAACCCACGCAGACACGGGTTGCGTTCGCATCCAGAGGTACCACTGTATTTTAATATTTTGTTGGAAGCCGCCCAGAGTGGCTGGGGAAACCCAGATGGGCAGGGTATAAATATTAATAAATATTATTATTATTAATTATTTCAACCAGTGATATTCAAGGTGATGTGCATTTACTGGCAAAAATGTTTCAATAATATATTGCTAATGTCACTCTGTATAAACAATAAAACTGTTAACTCAGCTTTTAAGACATCTAAAATTGAATCACCGAAACAATACAATGGATTCAGTACCTGTCTCCGTTCTCGGCGGGATAAAGTGCTGCCATGAAGAATTCTCCAGAGCATCCTTGCAGCAATTTTTGTATCAATCCACAACAATCGAAAGCCATGATAGTAGTGCTTCAGTTCATCAACAATTCTCTGTCCTATAGATTTTTTAACTATGCTTTCTTCTACTGTTGGGCTATAAATTGGGCCCCCTTCTTCCAGTTTCTTATTTTTATCCTTGAGAGACTTAAGCGACTTTTCTACCACGGAGTCATCATAACGGGGTTGTGAAGAATGCCACTGTCGTACTGGAAGATAACATGGCCCCAAAACACCTCCATTAGCAGTCGGTGACCACAGGTCAAACGATCTCAAAGCTGTAAAGTGCCTTTGTCCTGATCCTTCAGTCCGATTGTAATCCCCTTTTGCAAAGCAAACGTAAACAGGAGAGGCACTGGTGCAATATTTAAAATGAGCTGTCCTGTAAAAAAAGAAGCGAGTGTTTGTATTTACATGGCACATCGTACTCCACAATTCTTCGCATTTACCTTTACCCTATGAGTATACAAAACTAAGATAGTGATATGAAGGACCATCCAAAAAGATTTGTATGAGTGGAGATATAAACCCAACACTCTTTCCACTACACCTTAAAGGCCCTCTGACAAAATCTATTCTGCTAAAAGACTTGCACACCACATCACAACTATCAAGTTCTTGTTTCATGCTTGACAAGTTTACAGCTTCGTTTAGCAAAGTGTGTTATATTAGGATTTACTCCAAACCTACAGAAAAGTTTGAAGCAAGATGAAATGCCTTTTACTTAGAATTCAGCAGCTAGAATTCACTCTCTCCGGACTATTACTTACAGCTGGGAATGGGAACCTCCGCCCCATTCTTGGCCTACCAAGGGGCTCAATGGGGCCCATGAGGACACTTTCCCCAAACTGTACCCGACCTGTAATCAGGTGGTATCACTGGTCTTGGCAACTTAAAAGGAAAGCACAGGGAAATTCCTACCCTATGAAGGGGGAGGTACTGGTGACCACAGATTAATAGGCTTGTTTAAAAAGGCCAGAAAGTTTGAGGAGCATTTCAATATATCCAGTTCAGTTTAAGCACTTATTTTATATACAGGCACACCCCCATTTCATGTGCATTCCACTCATGTGCAACTGCATTTATGCATGTTGTCACAAAATAACTGATTTGAACCAGGATATGCTGCCAAAATGGCACGAAAAGAGTAGAAGAAATGGAGAGCAGGGGCAGCAACATTATTTCTTGGGGGTAGGGGAGAAACTAGATAAGAAACCATGTCCAGCAACTTCCAAGACTAACAGGGAGAACGCCGAAAGGCCTCGCAGTGGTGCTGGGCCCCAGGAGCCACCTACCCCCAATTCAACTTTCCAGTCACCAGAGGCAGGCAGGGCACACGAGTAGAACAGCACGTTGCTGCCCAGGGAAGGTGGGTGGAATCTGCTGAGAGAGCCGCTTCCCAGCCTCTCTCAACACCACTCTCACCACTTTACGTGATTTCACATATACAAGTGGAGTCTGGGAACATAACCCATGTGCAAGTAGGGGGACACCTGTAATCATTTCTACTGTGGATGTCTGCATGATTAATTTGTTTCCTCGTACGTTATGAGGAAAATAAACTAATCTCTAACTTTTTGAACTATTGGGGAAACTCGGTTACTTTGGATTATTTATGATCAGCATCCCATTGAGGGAAAGTGATCTTCTGAATATGTTTACTTACGTATGATTTATTAGCCTCAGGGATGCACAGCTAAAACAAGCACGGTTTTCCAAATGACCTAGAAGTAAAAAATAAAATAAAAAAGAGTCTGTAAACCAGTAGATTGCAATACAATACATTGACCATTTGTAGCGGCACCAACATCAAAATATCTTTGTTCAATACTACTACACCACTGCAAACAGAAACATTAATATGTTGTATGCTCAGGACAGGTTACAAGAAGCCTTCAGGAGACTGGGTGATGAGCAAAGAAAGCAGATTATTCAAATAAAACTATATCGTAAGTCTCAAAGCCCAGCAATAACAGCAGCAAATGATTCAGTTTGATTTCATTTAATTTTTAACTTGTACACTCTCTTTCCTATGAAAATTTTCAATAGAACTAAAAACAAGTTGTCAAAATTCAAGAATTCATTTCACATTCAAGATTATAAACTAGAATCAACAAACAGAACAAAATCACCCCATCAATTGCAAAATGTTAAATAAGCTGCACTGTAGTGCCTCTCACTCTCCAAAACATTATACATTTTATGTTTCTAGAAGCTATACTGTATGTCGTTCAAATATTAATTTTAAAATTATATATGTGGATAATTATTTAAATACCTGTGGTTAGGCAACTGTATGTATTGTCTTTATATGTAGTTTTAATATATGAATGATACACACTTGTACTGAGATGTGCTCTGCTTTATTTGTTTTTAAAAATGGATTTTTAATTATTATTTATTTTGCAATTTGTTTTTTAATGTCAATCTACAGTTACACCTTGCAATACTTAAGGCATAGCCATTAGTGGATAACAGACCATTCTTAGAAGCACTTAAGGCTACTTAAGAAGCACATACAAGATAAGATTAGCAATGAGATTCTAAGGGGATTTTAGAAAGAAAACAAGTGATTATCTTATTAAAGCTGAAAAAACACACAATAAAACTAATAAGAAAAATATGCAGACCACAACAAAATGCAATCAAACAAAGCCAGTGTATGGCATACAACTGTTAGTATAAGGAAAAGGCAGGAGACAGAAATGCTTCTAAATTAGATCTGGGGATTAGTCACACTAGGAATACTCTGCAACTGCACATGTGCCATGTTTCACCTGAGATTTGGCACCTCACACAAAGCCTAGAGTAAACAGAAAGGCACGAGAGTGTCTGAAGTTTTCTACTGTTTAAAAATAAATACGTTTGTAGCCTTCATTGTTGCAGATATCTTTAAAGTCTTCAAAAGGATATCGTGTTGAAGTGATAACATTTCTGTATCATGAATGACTAAATGCACAGCCTAGACACTTTTCCACCTAATTATCACCAGACACTAAGTCACATCACAAAGACTAGTTCTATAGGTCTCAGACATTAATTACACCACAAAGTATGTACATTCAGAAGTCTGTTCCCAGTAATCTTTGAGATATATTTTATACACCCATCAGTTTAATGGTCCCCAGATCAAAGTTCACTGAACACTTCACCTGAAGGAGTCATTGAATCATATTTTCAAAGGTTTCATAAAGAAGCTGCACTTAGAACAGTGAATAGAGGATTAACTAGTGCCATGCCAGTTCATCAGCTCCATCTTGCACCCTCCGGATGCAATCATTAGGCTGGGGTCCTCTATTCCGATGGCTTCATAATGAAATTAAGTCTTTAAGCTTCTGAATACTGACTGCAGCCCAAGGTGTGTACCTCCTTAAAGAGAACATGCCTCCTATGAGACTCACGACTTTAACCTAGACTAGCAGCTGCTAGCACGGGGACTGGGAATGAAACAGTGAAACTGCAATTGACTGGTGCTCAAATTCAGAGTGTCAATAACCTTCATGACGTTAAGCCTAGAAGCATTCCAAGGCTTTGCTTCATGCTATTATTTTACTTATTTGATCCCTACATGGCTATTTTTGGACATCACAGCAACCTGAATTGTACTAGAACACCAGACTCAATATTAACTCCAGGGTGCATCACCATTCCTTCTCACCTGCATAAAGGCACAACAGAATGCAAACTATCCCACAAGCAAAGACCTGTATAATATGCACTATACCAATAACCTAAGCTGAAGATGGCAACACACTCCACCAATCACATCAAGAGATATTAATATTGCAATATTGCACAATAATGCATTGCACCTAAAGCCATCTTAATGCAGAGTCAGGTCATAAACCTCTATTGCCCAGTTCCAGGCACTCTGGAGAGCCAGTGGTGGCAGAGTGATTAGTGGCAGACTAGGACCTGCGAGAGACCAGGGCTCAAATCCCCCCACTCAGCCATGAAGCTCTCTAGGTAAACTTGGGGACCAGTTGCTGCCTCTCAACCTAACTCTACCTCACAGGGTGGTGGTGAGGAAGGAAGGAGGTGAATTAATTATTATTATTATTATTATTACTATTATTATTATTATTATTTATACTACGCCCATCTGGCTTGGTTTCCCCAACCACTCCAGGCAGCTTCCAACAGAGGAGTAAAAACAGATTAAAACTTCAAACATTAAAAACTTCCCTAAACAGGGCTGCCTTCAGATGTCTTCTCAAAGTCAGATAGTTGTTTATTTCCTTAACATATGATGGGAGGGTGTTCCACAGGGCAGGTGCCACTACCGTGAAGGCCCTCTGCCTGGTTTCCTGTAATCTCACTTCTTGCAGTGAGGGAACCGCCAGAAGGCCCTTGGAGGTGGACCTCAGTGTCCGAGCTGAACAATGGGGGTGGAGACGCTCCTTCAGGTATACTGGGCCGAGGCCATTTAGGGCTTTAAAGAGAATGAAGGCACAGGAACAAGGCTGGCCGTTTAGCGATTTAAAAGTCAGTTCCCTCACTGCAAGAAGTAAGATTACAGGAAACCAGGCAGAGGGCCTTTGAATTGTGCTGGGAAACATACTGGGAGCCAATGCAGGTCTTGAAGGACCGGTGTAATATGGTCTCGGCAGCCACTCCCAGTCACCAGTCTGGCTGCCGCATTCTGGATTAGTTGTAGTTTCCAGGTCACCTTCAAAGGTAGCCCCACATAGAGTGCATTGCAGTAGTCCAAGCGGGAGATAACCAGAGCATGCACCACTCTGGCGAGACAGTCTGCGGGCAGAACCACCCAACTCCACCTCCAGCTCTTTGGAGAAAAGGGTGGGATATAAAGGCAGTGCAAGGCAATCAGCCACACTCTGGCAGCAGCTCTCTGGAGACTCAGGCACAAGAGACCAGAGTTCAAATCCCGCTCAGGCATGAAAGCTCACTGGGGTGACCTTGGCAGCCTGTCAACTCAACTCTACCTCACAGGGTTGTTCTTGTAGCCGGGATTAAATGAGTAAGAGGGAGCAAAGCTCCTCGGAGAAAACGGTGGGATATAAATCCAAGTAGTAAGTAAGTAAACAAATAAACAAACACGCTGTGACAGCAGCCTTTCCAAACTATGGGTCCCCGGTGGTTGTTGGACTACGACTCCCATGATTCCTAGCTATCACGGCCGGCGGTGGGGGACGATGGGAGTTGTAGTTCCTCAACACCCGGAACGGTTACCGGCGCCGGAGGCTCAGGGCCTTCTCGAAGCCACGATGAGGGGGCTCTAAGGCTGACTTCTTGCAGCCGCTCCCCCTCACGGAGCCCCCCCCACCGGCGCCAGGCCCGGCTGTCCCCACCGCTTTCCTTCTCCCGCTCCCCGGTCCGACGCCGCCCTCACCGGCCTCGGGCTCCCAGCGCAGGCGCCTGGGGACGGAGCAGGCGCCCCGGCCGCAGCGCGCCAGCAGCACGAACGCCATCTCTCCACCCGCAGGACGAGGCTGCCGGTCCGGCCTAGAGAGCCGCGTCCGCTCGCTCGCCTCGCCGGGCCACTTTTCTCCTCAGGAGCCGCCCGCGCGGGGTGGAGACGGAGCCAGGTGCATGCTGGGAGAGGGAGTCTTCCGAGGGAGGGGAGAAGCGGCGCACGCCGGGAAGCGGAGCCCGGCGGCTCGAAGCGATTCCCGCGGAATCCCGTTGGACGGCCGAGGGGCCAATCGGAGCCGCCGGCTCCTGATACGCTGAGCCCGAGCCGCGCCTGGAGCCTGCGGGGCGGCTCCGGGCGCCATTTTTGTCTTTTTACCTCATCCCTTGAGGGGAAGCGGCGGTTTCCTCACGGGGAGCGGGAAAATTTATAGAGGCGGCTGCAATGGGATGCCTCTCCCCGCCTAAACTTAAGGGCGGCAGGAAACTCCGGGGGGGGGGGTTCATTGTTTTGTTTGTTACTGCGTTATGTTAGGATTACTGTATTATTATTATTACATTTGTAGCCTCTTTTTCCTCCGTGTAGCCCATGGTTTTCACAACATTATAAACAAACAAACATAAATCATAGCTTTATTGAAAATTACACTTATTAACATTTTTAGGTGACTTCCTCACTTCCCCATGGTTGAATTTCATTGCATATCCTTTTAACGGTTTTCCAAATCACAGTTCTTATAAAATTTAACTTAAACATTAACATCCTTAGATCTTCACATTATGAAATTAAACATATTAATTCATCCCTTAACATAAATAAAATCCTAAGCCAATTAAGTATCTGCAAGCTGTTTTCAGTTAATTTAACAACATATTTAACGAAGTAATCATTAAATTTAATCCACTCTTGATACTCCTCCTTCTGGTCGCGGACTCTTCCAGTTAGGTCGGCTAGCTCTGAAAAATCCATCATCTTCATCTGCCATTCTTCTATTGCTGGTAATTCTTGGGTGTAGCCCGTGTTTAGCTTCACAACAATGACCCTGTGGCACAGGCTAGGCCGAGAGAGGCAATGAACATCACACCCAGCGAGCTTCAAGGGAACATTTGAACCCAGGGCTCTCCCAGGTCCGATTCCAGCACTCTGACCTCTACACCACGTGCTATTATTCTAGAAAAAAGAGGTGCCTCTTATAATGGGAATGGCACCCAACTGAGAGGTGCCAAAGCTGAGTTTAAGTTAGTTCTGGCTGGGGGAAAAAGCCCTACATTGAACTACAACTGGCCTAGGACAAAAAACCATGTGGCACTCGCCACTTTTCCCCCCCAGGATGACAAGGAACCATAAGTAAGCAATCCAGGGGTTTCGTTAGTTGGTCCCCTACAAATCCACCTAGCAGTAAACCTCATCCAGTTCAGAGCATCTCCTTAAATAAAGTAAATTAATCAGGCTGGGCAAACCATAGAACTGTAGAGTTGGAAGTGACCGGGAGAGACAACTAGCCCACCCCCATGCAGAAATCTCAGCTAAAGCATCCATGACAAAGGGCCATCCAACCTCTGCTTAAAAACCTCCCAAGGAAGGAGTCCACCACCTTCCATGGGAGTTTGTTCCACTGTCAAACAGCTCTTGCTGTCACTTATTTCTGATGTTTAGTTGGAATCTCATTTCTTGTAGCTTGAAGCCATTGATTTGAGTCCTACCCTCGAGCAGGGGAAAACAAGCTTTTATCTTTAAAATTTTTAAATGGCTGTCATTTCTCCTCTCAACCTCCTCTTTTCCAGGCTAAACATACCCAATTCCCTCAACCTTCCCTCACAAGGCTTGGTTTCCAGACCCCTGATCATCCTGGTTGCCCTCATTTGCACAGATTTCATCTTGTCAACACCCTTCTTATTGTGGCTTCCAGAACAGTACTCCAGGTGTGGTTTGACCAAGACAGAATAGAGTAGACCTATGACTTACCAGGATCTGGACATTACAGTTGATGCAGTCTAGAATAGCATTAGCTTCTTTTCTTTTTCCCTTTTTGCTGCTGCATCACACTTGTTGGCTCATATTCAGCTAGAAGCTTACATTCATCCTCACTGAAATTCATTTTGATCGTTTTGGCCCAGTTCTCCAATCTGTTAAGTCGATATTGAATACCGGTGCTGTCTTCTGTGGCATTAACTACCCCTCCCAGTTTGGTGTCAGTCAACCAGCTACAAATCCACCTAACAGTTATTTTGTCTGGCCCACATTTTACCATATTAATTCCTGGATGTCAAGATCCAAGTTTGGTGCAAGTACTCCTTGGTGAGAACCCTAGCAGGGATTTAAAAATCACAAAATATGCAGCAAAGTAAAGCACAGAAACATAGGCTGTTAGACCTTTAATGTATGCCCTTGTGAGTTTCTTCAAGAGTTCCCTTCTTCCCCTGGTATAGAAAAAGACTACACACTTGTTAGTCTTTCATTTACTGTACTGTACTTACTAACTCTTCAAAGGTCATATTCATGTGCTTTTCCTCACAGTATTCAAAAAAAGTTGCACAGGCAATAAAATACGACTTAGTTACAGCAGTGAAAGTTCCTAAATTACTGGTATAGGAACACAATAATGGCTTGAAAGAGCCATCAGGTCTGAGCTGCGGCAACCAGCTCAGCCTGTCTTCACATATTAAGCTTTTCTAGTAGACTGAAGTGAAAATGGCCTTCATTATCTTTCTCTCAAGTTGCAGGGGAGTTACCTACCTAAGTCCGGTAGTACAGTTTCCTCAAGGCATTAACTCCTTCATGCATTAATTAAACTTAAGCATGTTGGTTATATGAGGCCATGCAACAAATGGAGGCTGGATGTGTTGTGGGCAGGGCCAGGATAAAAAATATCTAGATGGAGCAGAATGAATCTTCCTTTGGAAGTCAGTGCAGGAAAGGCTATTACAGAGTAAAGTACTGTAATATATTATACAGTAGGCAAAGCAAAGCCTTCAGCATTGTACAATGGGTGATGACTCTGGCAGTAATTCTTGGTGTGAAGAAAAGGGTGTTAGCAATTCACAAAAGTGTCCCTGTTTTCATTAATAAAATGGGTATACTTAGCCTGAAAAAGAGGATGATAGCCATCTTCAAATATCTAAAGAGCTGGAAGATGTAACAGAGCATGTAGGTTAATAAATCATAAAAGTTCAACGTTGACATTAACTGTTTAATAGCAAAAACACAATCTTCACAGACTTGGCTGAGTTTCAGGCCTAAATGAGCACAGCAGCTTATTCCATGTAGGCTGCATGTACTCCATGAAACCAGTTGCCCAGATTAAAGGCCCCACTTCCTAGTAGATGTATATGTCTCCTCTCCAGGGCTTTTCCCAAGCAATCAGAGACTGTTGTCTGTGTGCAGCCTGTCTTTGCTCTGCCCATTTCATGCCTCTCCTGGTTCTGGGAGTCAGGGGGAGGGAAGCTTGTTGCAGCAGGAGGTAGAGACACCCCTGACTGTTCACCAGCCAGACTCACCTCTGCCTCTTGACCTCCCTCCTGCCACTCACCTGCTTCAGTCTCCCATTCAGGACTTCTCCCTTCTCTCTCGACTTTCCTGGCTCACCAAGCCCTGTTACCTCGGCAGTTTTCAACACCTCTTCCAAGTCTTCTCCCTCTTTTCCTTCTGACTACTCATTTTTGTCCCACCACCGCTTCCCGGGCAGAGCCGTAGCTATTGGGGGTGGAGAGGGGAAATATACTCGGAGTCGAGAGTGGATTTCATGCTTTTTATTCAGCTCATGGTGTTGAGAAGGAATGGAAGTTCTCCCACAATATCTGCTTTATATACATTATTTACACAATGGGCTGCACATGACTGGCTAATTCCGGGATTTTCCTGTAGGCCAATCAATTTGTGGATTCACTTCCACCTGGAGCTGGATTGGGTGGCTCCTGCGGACCAATCATACTGCTGCATTGTTCTAGGACCAATCAGACTGCTGCATTCTGAATGCTTTTGTTCTAGGACCAATCAGACTGCTGCATTTTGGATCCTATTGTTCTAGGACCAATCAGACTGCTGCATTTTGGATCCTATTCAACTCAGTACATAACAGGAGGCTTGCTGGGATTTTTGCCCCAGGTGAAGCCTGCAAAGGGGCACCATTGAGTCTCCCAGCCTGTGTGCGGTGCCAAACTGGGTCTTTGACCAGGTGAAATAAAACCTAGTTTTGCCCCTGCCCTGGGCTCTGAGCCTTGTTCCCATGGCGTTCCTTGCACCATTCCTCAGCATCCATTACAGAAGATGGAGCAAGCTTGTTTCCTCCTTTCTCCTTTCAATGGATTTAAGTTACAAGAAAGGAATTTCCTCCTAAACATCAGGAAGAACTTCAGTCAGTAAGAGCTGTTGAACAGTGGAACTGACTCCCTCTGGAGCCGATGAACTGGACTCTCCTTCCTTGGAAGTTTTTAAGCAGAGATTGGATGGCCATCTGTCATGGATGCTTTAGCTGAGACTCCTGCATTGCAGGGGGTTGGACTAGATGACCCTCAGGGTCCCTTCCAACTCTAGGCTTGCACCATCAATCAAGCAACAGCTTTTCTGCTGCTTATCTTAATACCATTTTTTATAAGGATGCTGTTGGTGTTATTTAAATTTGTTAGGCACTTTCTCTTGCCTAAGGCAACCCAAAGCAACTTGCAACCAACCAACGAATCCACCCCACATATATGCATTAAAACCATGGGGGATAATAAATACGTTAAAAACCTCCCACCCGTTTTTATGTTCTTGTTATTACCGTTTTAATGCTGCGAAAGGCTCTGGAAAGGCTCCACATAAAACGGATTTTGTTATGGTTTCTTATGTTACAGTACCTATCTGTCTATTTATATCAAGAATATTATGATTTAAAATGGATTTTGCTACGGTTTTCTCAACGAAGAGCCTTGTGGGTGTGTACGGATATATACTGTAAAGCCAGGCAAGTACTTAAGGGTTCCGGATCGCGAGCTGTGGGCAGGTCAGCGCGCGATTCTCCTCCCTCCCTCCTCCTCCGCTCGCTCGCGTCCTGCCTCCGAATCGGGTCCACCTCCTTCTCCCCCCTCCCACCCGAGGGCGCCGCGTGCGCGCCCCTCCCCTCCGGCTTGCGCGGCTGGTTTGAATGAACCGCTTCGGGAGTTGCGGCGCGAAGGCGGCGCCGGCCAATCAGAGCGGCGCATTTTTCGCGCTGGTTTTGGGCTGCGGGGGGGGGGGCGGCGGCGGTGAGGCGCAGGAGGCGGAGACCAAAGGGGACGCTCGCTCGCTCGCTCGGTCTGTCGGCGGCCCGTTCGCTCTCTCGCTTGCTCGGGGGAGGAGGAGGGGGCGGCCGGGGAAGAAGGAGCCCACCGCCCGGGGAGAGACGAGGCGGCCGAGAGAAAGAGCGAGGCCCCCGCCTCAGAACGCCTCAGCAGCAGGTCAGTGGCGGGAGGGCGGCCGGGCCGGCCTCCCCTCAGGGGTTGCGGGGCGGGGGCGCGCCTGCCGTTCTTTCCCGCGCGCCCGTCTCCCGGGGGGGGGGGGTCTCCGGGTCCCGCCTGCCTCCTTCCGAGGCGGGAGGCGGGCTTCCCTCACCCGAGGCACGGAGCCGCTTTTTCCACCTCAGGCGCCTCCTCTCCTTCCCGGCCTCGGGGGGTTCCGGCGCCCCCTCGCACCCCCCACCCCAGAAAGACGCCCCCGGAGCCGGCCGCTTCCCCGCGCCGGGGTCGGGGCGCCTTCCTGCTCCGCCTCTGCGGGAGACGTAACTCGGGAAGAAAGGGTCAGAAGTGGGAACGGGGCCCGGAGTTGGGAGGGTCTCGGGGGAGGACGGGGGCCGGGGCGGGCTGGGAGGCTTTTCTCCTCCCTCGGCCTCGCGACCCGGTTGTGGGGTCGCCCGCTCGAGGGCTTCCCTTGGCCGGAGGCAGCAGCTGCCGCCGCCGCCGCTTCTTGCCTGGGCTGCGGGAGGGAGGGGGCGAGGATGCAACTCCGGGAACGTATGGGCAGGGAAGGAAGCCATGTTTGATTCATTCCCCACCAAGGGAGCGCTGTGCGGTTGGGGATGCGGTGCGCCAGCCCTGCTGCTCGGCGTATGGGAAAGGGATGCAATAAGCCCTCCGAGGGCGCGCTCCCTCTTCGGCTTAAGCCTGGCTGTGAAGGGGGGCGATTGGCCTGGGAAGACCTTTTCTCCTGACCACCCACCAACCAAACCCCGCCCGCCCGCACATCGCCAGCTTGGCCCGATGTCCTTCTGGCAAGAAGGAAAGCCTCGGTCGCAGCTCCACTGGGGAAATGGGATTGCAAAGGACGCCTCTGGGGCTACTCCACAACGCAGCAGCTGCTGGGTTTTTTTTCCCCAGAGGGGAAGGGGGCCACACGGTCTTGCATCTCCTAGGACTGAAACGTTTCAGATTTTTTTTTTTTTTTTGCTAGGGAATTAAAAGCCAATAATAGATCGCTCTTTTATTTCGCGTTGCCACGTGCATGGGTTTCTGCATTCCTAGGGATGCGCAAGCCAGTCTGGGGCAATTGATCAGAGAGACCAACTTCCTAGGGTTTTGAAACCTAGGGCTTTTGGGTCACCTAATTAAAAGGCATGGAAGTGGGGAAATAGACTCTCCATTGAAGGCACCAGAGGTGCACACTTGCTGAATCTTTGTAATGTTAAATTGCTTTAATGTACAGTGCATTAATAGATTGGTTCTTCAGTCTCTTGAAATACAACATTTGCTGTGCAGCTGTTAGATGGTATTCAGTAAACAGTAAACTATGAGCTGACCTGAGGATTGCCCATAAAGTGCATCGTGCTCCCATGAGTTCACAATGAAAACATGACAAAGGAGGGGTGTGTAATTGCTAAAATGTGATGGGAATGGAAATCAAAAGGACTTTTAAAACTAGAGCATATAGCTAACATCTGTCTGCTTTAAAAGTGTGACGCTCTTTATACAGTTAATTTGTAGAGCATATTAAACTGGTCTGTTTAACAAAAATGTGAAATATTAGAACTCAGGTGTTGTTTTGCTTACAAAGGCTTGGATTTGATTCCTTCATTGGTACTTGGCAATTGATTTTGTTTGATTGGTCTCTTCTTGTTTTAGCTGTATAAACTGATTTATAATGGGTATCATTTATCACTATTCCCATGATTTTATACAAAAATCAATGCATGTTTAAATAACAAAAACAATTTGATTAAAAAATAGCCTGGTGATGCCTCAGAGCAGCAGTCATTGGTACATAGTACAATCCTATGGATGTATAAAAAGAAGTAAGCCCAACTGAGTTAAGAACCAATGGCAGCGAGGACTTTGGTGTTGAGAGCCAAGAAGCTCACTGAGTGACCTTGTGCCAATCACCATGTATTATGAAATATGAGGGCCTCTTAAATAATGTGGAACTCTTCTCCTGAGCCACCCTGAAGATCCCAGTAATCTGAGCAAAGCTCCAAATGCTTTTTGCAGTTTATTTTGTCATCTACCTGTCCAAGCAAAGCCGTGTTCTCCACTCCACCCTGCCCAGGGCTTGAAGCTGGATTTAAAAGAAGTCTTTTGTCCAAAAGAACCCACAGCTGAGCATAAGAAACCTAACAGTTTCTGTCCAGAATCTAATGGATTTTTTTTGCTCTCATCACTGCTCCAGTAAGATTTTACAATTCCATTTCTAATCATAGAATAGGAGAGTTGGAAGGGACCATGAGGATCATCTAGTTGGACCCCTGCAATCTTTTTGCTCACTGTGGGGTTCAAATCCTGAGATTAAGAGTCTCACGCCCTGCCAACTGAGCTATCCCACCCATCAGTGATGCCAACAGTACGCTGTATGTTGATTCAGTCCTCTGCTGCACTTGCAAAAGAGACACATTTGCTTGCATTTCGTGTTTCATGAAAACTTGTGCCCCCTTTTGCAGGTGAGCCCCCCTAAAATGCATGGGTTACTCTGCACAGGTAATAAGATATCTGAGATGCACAATATCAACAGATAGGGACACGGGTGGCACTGGGGTCTAAACCACTGAGTCTCTTGGGCTTGCTGATCAGAAGGTGGGTGGTTCGAATCCCCGCAACGGGATGAGCTTCCATTGTTCAGTCCCAGCTCCTGCCAACCTAGCAGTTCAGAAGCACGTCAAAGTGCAAGCAGTGGGAAGGTAAACGGCGTTTCCGTGCACTCTGGTTTCCATCACGGTGTTCGATTGCGCCAGACGCGGTTTAGTCATGCTAGCCACATGTCTGTGGACAAACGCCGACTCCCTTGACCTGAAAGCGAGATGAGCGCCACAACCCCATAGTCGCCTTTGACTGGACTTAACCGTCCAGGGATCATTTACCTTTTACCTTTACCTATCAACAGGTAAAGTTTTCCCAGCAATTGCATTCCCATATCAAAGGCTTACCCAGTTTAATTTCTGCCTGCCACATAGCTGTTAAAGGCACGAGAATCCTGTTCTACAGTGCCAAGCCTAAATCTTACAAGGAACTCAAGAATAAAAACAACAACAAAACATTTAGGCAACTTGATAATGTTTTTAAATTTAAAAATAGTAAAAAATAGACATTTGATTGTTCAGAAATGTAATATAACATTCATAGGCAAAAAAAGTGATGAGCCATTAATAATAAAAACATGCACAAAGCCAATTAAGCATTAACCCTCCATGCTTTGATTGCTACATCAATGAAATACTCTGAGCACGTTCAGGTTCACATTTTGAACTCATTTAACTCAATGTTTTTGCTCACTTCCTGCAAGTTGCTGGCTCAATCTAAGCTACACCACATGTCTCCTGTGAAAATATAGGAGGTATAAAATGGCTGCAAAAGGGGGCCTATAGTATTTGTATCATTGGCATCAAAATTTCGCTCCCTTATCCAGAGTGAGGCATCTTTGTACTATGAAGGGTCATGTTTTTCTTCCCATCTCTCCCCATATTAGCACAGTTCCACTTCAAGGCTAACTTATATTAATCTGGCCTGATTATTGTATGTTTAGCAGGATGCGTAAGATCCACTTGTATTCACCTGAGCTTATTCTCAGTTTGTTGTGGGCATTTATTCCTAAAATGAGTTATTGGGAAAGTGAGGAATGCAGTGATCCGCTTTCATTTTGGAAAGGCAGTATTCTTCCTAATTGCTCATTAAAAAAAAAAAGTTCTGTTAAAAATTTTATTTGATTTAATATACACCTCTTTTATAAAATAACTTTATGTTCTGTTTTGCCTTGATACTGATATTTTCATTATTGTGCCCCTTCCTAGCAAAGCCAAGACTGCAATCCTGCACCTACTTCTAGGAGTAAGTCCCATTAAACAAAAAGTAGGCATGTATTCAAAGAGTTCTTAATGAATGTCTGCACTCCAGATCCTTCTAATTTGCAAACCGTACATCAGTACCCCTGAACCAGGCTCTTGGTGGGCCTGTGTATAAAAGCTAAAGCCTTCTGATTTTCAGTGCAAGGTTTTTAATGTATAGTCTACAAATTTGGTTCTACACCCAACCACTTTTCACCTAAGTAGCTTACCTTTTCTATTTTTATGAATTCTGCATTTGCGATATTACCTACCTGCTTCTGTGTTAACAACTTCACTATATCTACCCACCATTATGCTGTGCTACAGTTGGCCCTCACAAATGCTTTTCTCACAGCAATCATATATGCTTTTTTATCCAGATGTATATCTCATTCATTTTAATTGAGGTTGTAGGCAACAACCAAATTACACATGTCAGATTGATGCGCAACTGGGCAGAACCCAGAAGTCACTTGATAAATGGCCCCAAAAGAGCCTAGAAAGCGTGAAAAAGTTGCAAAAACAGTGCCTAGCAATCCCACAAGCCTTTGCAATTGCGACCCCAGGAGCCCTTGCATTGACCGTTGAGGCCTGTGGAGAGTTTGAGCAAAAAGGTTTGGAGGGAGCAATTGTGGCAAAGTTTGGCATCTGGTAAGTGCTGCTGGTTTTTTCAAGGGTTTAGAGGGTGTTTGCAGGCTTTTCCAATAGCGTTTCACATAAATGTGCAGAGCCTTCCAACGTAAGTCCTGCGTAAATTGGGAGTTGCCTATACTCTCAAGCAGGCATGCACAGGAATGCATCTTATAAAGTGAGCAATAGGAGCTATTTTCATCATTGCTCACGGGAAAAACCATTCCTGAGCTTGCTTTAGCTGATGTGTTTTGCACATCCCTCCATGTCTGTTTTGAATACAGGTGTCCATAGTTTTAAGATGTGAATAGTATCCTATGCAGGGCACCAGTGTTTTCTCAATGGGGGTATTAACAAGGTTTTGCCTAATGAATGCTACAAATAAATTTCCTTCTTGCCAGTCAACACAGAGTACAGGAGCCTTTCTCAATCAGATGTTCTTGGACATCTTGCAACATCCCTGACCACTAGCCATGCTGGCTAGGTATGCTGGGAGTTATAGTCCAACAACATCTGGGGATCCAATGTTGAGAGAGGCTGTGTTACAGCATATAGCCCCCCCTTTTTGGCGGGGGGAGGTTTAGAACAGGCATAGGCAACCTTGGCCCTCCAGATGTTTTGGGACTACAATTCCCATCATCCCTCACCACTGGTCCTGTTAGCTAGGGATCGTGGGAGCTGTAGGCCAAAAACATCTGGAGGGCCGAGGTTGACTATGCCATGTTTAGAAGATAGTGTTAATTGACTACTTTTAACACCCAAAGGCCATTGGCCTTTGTGGTGCCTCAGGATTGTAACCAGTCTCCCATACTTTTTAATTCCTACATGAAACTTGCAAGAGAGGTCATCCAAAGGTTTGCAGATCACTAATCACATGGATTATCTAATGCTAATGGGAGGCAGGCAAAAAGTTAAAACTGGTGTCAGTTTTATCCAGATAAGATAAAGTATTGTTTGGGAAGACCACTGATGTGGATGGAGAGTTGCAGCTTGTTTTGTACAGAGTTGTTAGGTATGCAATTTAGGGCTATTTCTGAATCAGGTGACCTCAAGTGGCTAGGGGTGCCTTTAGCCTTAGGACTGCAACTGGCAAACCAGACTATCAGGAGAAAGCACAGCTGGCCTCGGCCACACATCTACTGGATATATCCAGATTAAACTGCTGTAATGTTCCTTATGTGCGTACCTGAAAACAGACTGGAAACATCAGCTGGTATAATTTTTGGGATTTTTGTTTGTTTGCTTTTGTATTTATACGTTTTTATTGCAATTTAGGTCCAACATTAAGAGGTATATGATTTTTAAAAACTATTGGAGCCAAGATTTTAATCCTTTAATGTTTTCCATTTTTGTGCAGTGGAGATGCTGGCTACCAAATTTATCTGCAATTTTTTTCCCCCCAATTACCCTTAAATTCCAATGAAGGCCCAGTAGAGATTTTCAGGAGTTTAGTGTAAAGACTAAAAACTAATCCCCTACCCTTATGCCCTAGGATCAACTACAACTTTTCTTCTATTATTACCCTGAGCCTTTAGGGCTTGATCAGCTAATAAATGTTAGAATTAGTGAGCCTGCAGCCAATTCAGACCTGAGTTCCCAATGTTTGCTCCAGAGAAATTGGGCTGTTATTGTAAAAGCTGTACAGCCGAAGAATCTCCCCCACCCCAATGATAGGATGCTGTTATGCAAATTCATATCCATCACCTGCTGATAGTAACTTGGTGGTATCAGAGATGAGCAAGTAAGGAATAGCCAGTACTGACATTTTTTCCAAATCTTCAGCATGCCTACAGTATACTGGTTATTTAATGGTTGTAACATCAGTGAATTGAAAATGCGAAAGGGCAGGACCTATAAATTCCTTTGTGCTATTTCTTGTTCCAGTGTAATCCACTTCTTGCTTACTTTTTGAATTATACTTCAATGTTGTCTTAATGTTTTATACTGTTAAGTGTGGCGATCTCCATCCCCCTTACGTTTTTTACTAATAATTTTTCATTGCTAATCTTTTTATTTTTTTATTTCATTTCATTACACTTACTCTTTCCCCATGTGTATTTATTGAATAAAATAAGTTTGTTTTGCCTTTGCAAAGCAAGCTCAAGCCTGCCTTCAACTATCATTTGTCTGCTTTTCTCTCTCTAAGGCTTCTCAGGCTTGTTCTTTATTTTTCTATTTTATCTTCTCTTTGGCTCGAAAGCTTTAGTGAGTAGTGCTTGTTGCTCCCTCTGCATTGATTTCTCATTAGTGAGTAGCATTTGGTGTCTCCTTTCCCCCTTTTTCTGTTATGTGGTGTGTGTTTGGATTTTTAGCAGCATTTGGCTTTCTTGTGTGAGTGTGTAGCAAGCATTTTCAGTAGTGTTTGCTGTTGCTCCTTTGTTTGGCATGGATGTCTGGTTAGCCCATGGGTAGGCAAACTAAGGCCCAGGGGCCGGATCCAGCCCAGTCGCCATCTAAATCTGGCCCGCAGACAGTCCTGGAATTAACGTATTTTTACATGAGTAGAATGTGTCCTTTTATTTAAAATGCATCTCTGGGTTATTTGTGGGGCATAGGAATTTGTTCTCTCCCCCCCCCTTCAAAATATAGTCTGGCCCCCCACAAGGTCTGAGGGACAGTGGACCAACCCCCTGCTGAAAAAGTTCACTGACCCCTGGGTTAGCCTTTCCCTGTCATTCTGTTGTAGTTCTCACTTCTTTTCCCTTCTCTTTACTCCCTCCACTATCTTGTTGACTCTTCCTCTTACATTGCCGCCTTTTAAAAAAATAATAAATCCCTCCTGTATATTTCTTTCTGTCTCTCTTTCGCTCTAGTGCTGTTTCTGTAGCAGGCCTGGCCTACCCATAAAGCAAGGTGAGGTGACTGCCTAGGGGAGCAGGATCCTCGGGGCATCAGATCCCAAAGTAGATCTTTCTTCCCCCTTGTGTTAACGTATAGATCTTCACTCCTCCTTCCCTGGCAGTGTTCAAAATTAGCATTTGGCAACTGATTATTGGTCATTTGTGACCAAGTGACGATGCTTAGGTGTCAGGAAGGCGCCTGACATGTCCACCATTGGGGATCATAGGATCTGGGCTGTTTCCACACACTACCATATCCTGTAGAATTCTGTCAGTTATATTTTATCTGCACAGTCAGAATGAATTTCAGGAACCGAATTGCCTTTTTCTGTGCATCCTGAGCAGGAGCAGTCGCCATTAAGAGAAAGAGGTTGGACTGTCCCTCGGTCAAATAACTTCTTTAAATTCTCAAAGCTCTTAACCTAGCTCAAAGTTGTCATCTGAACTAAGCCAAATGTTTAACTGATAATCAGTCACAGTTAGTCCATCATTTGAAAACAACTTTGGAGCGGTTGTACCTCAAAATGGAAACGATAGACATTCCAATTTGGCGACTGTAACCTTGGTTTTAAGGAGCCATTTGGGGCCAAGCTCATATACCTGAGTTTCTAACACTGTTCCCTGGTGGGGAACCACCATTTTGTGGTTTGCTTCAGGTGCCGAAATGTATTGGGCAGGCCCTGTTCTGTAGGATGGTGGTAGTTGATCGGGGGAGCAGATCTCTCTTCATTCTGCGAGATTCAGTCAGATGTGAGGCACTGCTACTGCCCCTTTTCCTTGTGCAGGAATGGTTTTCCTCCCAGACGTCCTGTATAGCTGTTGGATTCACTTCACCAAGGACATTTGTGTTATACCAGGGGTCAGCAAACTTTTTCAGCAGGGGGCCGGTCCACTGTCCCTCAAACCTTATGGGGAGCCGGACTATATTTGGGGGGGTGGGGTGGATGAATTCCTATGCCCCACAAATAAGCCAGAGATGCATTTTAAATAAAAGGACACATTCTACTCATGTAAAAACATACTGATTCCCAGACCGTCCGCGGACCAGATTTAGAAGGCAATTGGGCCGGATCAGGCCCGCCGCGGGGGCCTTAGTTTGCCTATCCATGTATTATACCCTTACTTGATGTAATGGCTTCCAAGGAGCCTACTTCAGTGACTCTTTGTGTTCCAGAGAGGGCAGCAGCTGGGAAGCTAGATTCACAGACCGCCCAACAGCAGAAATGATGGGAGAATCTGCAGTGATGCAGGCAGCTCCTAATTTCTAATAAGCTCAGGAGATCTTTTTGGGGAGTGTTCTTGTTGAAATGTTCAGTAGACTGGTGGCTGTTCTCCAATTGGACAACAATGTTCTGGCAGCCCTAGGTTGATATTGTCATTCAGTTTTATTGATGGCTGCTTCTGGAACTCACAGTAGAGCTTCTACAGTGGTGCCCCGCAAGACGAATGCCTCGCAAGACGGAAAACCCGCTAGACGAAAGGGTTTTCCGTTTTGGAGGTGCTTCGCAAAACGAATTTCCTATGGGCTTGCTTCGCAAGACAAAAATGTCTTGCGAGTTCCTGCGGGGTTTTTTTCCTCCCCCCCCCCTTTTTCCCAAGCCGGTAAGCCGCTTATCAGCTGATCCGCTAAACCGCTAATGGGCTTGCTTCGCAAGACGAAAAAACCGCAAGACGAAGAGACTCGCGGAACGGATTCTTTTCGTCTTGCGAGGCACCACTTTACATTCCTGCACTCCCAGGACATTGCTTGGTTCTTTCTGAGCAACTAGAGGCTGTGCCCATGGTTCTACTTGGGTCCTCACAGCTGTCTCTTGTGCTCTTTTTTTTTGTAGGAACTGTGTTCTGCAGGTTAGCCTCAGGTTCTTGATTGACCAATTTCTGGGACAGTGGAGCTTGCAGTGTCCTTGTCACAGAGTGCTGTTGTTTCAGTTGCACAACTACCAGGTGTCTTCGTTGGACGTGATACCTCAGTGTGTTTTGCATTTGCTATGTGGTAGCAGATTAAAGACCTATACTTCTTGCCACCTGAGTTTCTGTATCCCGTTAAGGAAGTCTGCTGGGTTACATTTCTCCTGTTGAAGAGAAAAGGTGTGTAGTTCTTTGAAATAGGTTATCCCACTTGCAGTAAGTAACCTTAAAAACATAAAATCTTGAGGGGAAATTATGTTACTATGTTGGGCAGAGATTCTGGAGAATCAGTGCTTTGCCATCTCTTGAGACAGTCAAGCCAGTTGTGCCTTAATTCCCTCCTGAATGTAGTTGCTCAACCTCAGACCCACAAAGACTCCTATCTCACTGTTGGTCCTTTGGTTTTATATCTTGGCTGCGAATGTGTGAGAAGCCCGGGTGGAAGCAGCAGAAGATGAGGGATTATCGAGATACATCTGCCACCAAGTGTCTCTGTAGGTCCTGTATTGGGCGGTGGACACCAGAGTCAAGTACCTTACATAATCTCTGCATGGGGTAAGGACTTCTGAGGGACCCCACAAATAATGGGGTAGGGACTTCTCAGGGAGTCACTGCAACATGAGGAACATGATCAGGGTACTGTGCTAAAGACCAGGCTTGTTACATTTTGTCTACTACTTCATTTCTAACTTGAGGTGGGAAAGGAACGGTTAGCAACGTGAAAAATTAAGGCTCCGTGTGCCTTTTCTGTAATTTCAGCACAGGAGTCGCAGACCTCTTTGAACCAGCAGGCATATTTTGAATTTTTAGAAAGTGCTGTGGGCACCAGTCACAAAATGGCTGCCATTGAAGTTTAGCATCATGCAATATGGCTGCTGTAGGTGTCGTGACACACTAACTGTTTCTTAACCCACCAAACCCTGAAAAGTTGACCTGCCACGTTAAGATTGCGATTACCGTATATACTTGTGTATAAGCCAACTTTTTCAGCACATTTTTTATGCTGAAAAAGCCCCCGTCGGCTTATACTTGAGTGAGGCGGAGGGACGAGCGCCGAGAAAGGAGCCTCTCCCAACCGCGGCTCCTATGCTTACTCTTGCGAGCGGCAGAGGCAGCTGTGTCCTTTCAAATGATTTCTCATGAACAGCCTCCACAGATCTTTGAAGGGAAACTTTTCATAGTCCATACCTCTTAAAATTGCAAAATGGATTTTGGAAGGATCAGGCAACAGGTCCCTCAGCAGTTAATTGATAACAAAATGCAGTAGCTGTCTAGGGACTGGCTGTGGAACACCTCATAATTAGCTCATTTTCACTGCCTGCACCAGGCTGAGTGCATGTCTCTTCTTTCTTAATGTTGCTGAAACTGTTTGCAAATGAGACAGAATCCAAGGTAAGCTGCTCTGGGTTTTTTCTTATGAGTAAGAGACTGGATTCAGGGAAGAAACAAGGCAGCAACTTCTCTTTGTGTAGAAATTGTACCGGATGTTGTTTTAGACTGCAGACCTTGCTTTTCCGTTTTTCGACCTGTTTTCACTTGACTGTGTAGCTTCTCACCAGCACAACGTGTTACATAATCCTTGCCTAATTTACCAGTAGCTGCTGTATTTCCCACCCTAGGCTTATGCTCGAGTCAGTAAGTTTTCCCAGTTTTTTGTGGTAAAATTAGGTGCCTTGGCTTATATTCGGGTCGGCTTATACTCCAGTATATACGGTATGTTGTGCTGGTACTAATTGCGGAGATCACACAGTATTGATTTCACACACAACGCTGTTGCTATCTAGTAACAGAGCATTCCCCAGTACTGGGGGGTGGGGGAATGTGCCCCACACCATACTTCCATGCATCTTTGTTTGTCTGTCTCTCTCTCGCACTCGCACACACATTCGCTCGCTCGCTCTTGCTTGTGTGCATACATACATATGAGACTGCATGTACATTTCTCCCTCACACACTTGGATGTATGCAGGAAATTTTCCAGGAGGGGGCAAAAAAATGAGGGCGGGGCACAAAGTAAAAGACTGAAAGGGTGCAACAGGCTAATTTCTCACAGAAAGTAAGAAGCGTTGTACCTGTACATTTTGTCTCATTTCATGTTCTAAAATTTCTATAAAGTTACTTTTTAAATAAAGTGAAAGTTGGGAATCTGAGGGTTGTGGTTTATCCTGGGGGCACCAAAGAAAGCCTTTACGGGCTCCTTGGTACCTGTGGCCGCAGTTGGTGGTCCCTGAATTAACACCTACCCCATTGTGAAAGCCACATCATAGAGCACATGATGGTTAATAGCTTACTTGCAGAATTAGCTTTGAATTCAGGTAGGTAGCCGTGTTGATCTGACACAGTAGAGAGATAGATATTGTCCAGTAGCACCTTAGAGACCAACTAAGTTTGTTCTTGGTATGAGCTTTCGTGTGCATGCACACTTCTTCAGATACAGCAGAAGTGTGCATGCACACAAAAGCTCATACCAAGAATAAACTTAAAGGTAAAGGGACCCCTGACTGTTAAGTCCAGTTGCAAACGACTCTGGGGTTGCGGCGCTCATCTTGCTTTACTGGCCGAGGGAGCCAGCGTTTGTCTGCAGACAGCTTCCAGGTCATGTGGCCAGCATGACTAAGCTGCTTCTGGCGAATCAGAGCAGTGAACGGAAACGCCATTTACCTTCCCGCCGGAGCGGTACCTATTTATCTACTTGCACTTGACGTGCTTTCGAACTGCTAGGTGGGCAGGAGCTGGGACCAAACAATGGGAGCTCACCCCGTCGCAGGGGTTCAAACCGCCGACCTTCTGATCAGCAAGCTCTCATCTCTGTGGTTTAGACCACAGCGCCACCCGCGTCCCATAGAGACTTAGTTGGTCTCTAAGGTGCTACTTAGGGACGCGGGGGTCCCTTTACCTTTAAGGTGCTACTGGACATTTTAAAAAAATTTTAAATATAGTTTTGAATTGTTACACATTGTAAAGCTTACTCAATAATTTATAAAAAATGTTTGTTTTTTATAAAACATGAAGAGAACAAGTCAGAGAAGTTATAAAGTTGATAATTACATTTCAGTATGCAAGTCCATTTCATTATTATTCAGTTTCCATAATGTTCATTGAGTTGAAGGGAGATAGTAAATATTTTTTGACATAGACATATATTCAATAAATTCATCAGCTTCTGCACTTTTTCTTTGTGCTTTAATTTTATAGGATCAATTTTTCATGAGGGCAGTCAGCCAAAGTTGACACAAAATTTCAAATAAATTAGTATGAGAGGTTTTTCATTGTTTCGCTATTCCCAATCTAGCTGCTGTTACCAATAAAATAATAGGACTTTTGAAAACCTTAGGTTGTACTGAGTTACTAAATATCATCAATAAGGCTAACTGTGAGTTAAGCTGAAAATTTTGGTTATTTATTAAAATTTGTATACCACCATTAATCTGTAGATCTCAGGACAGTTCACAATATAAAACTACAAGATAAAAAACACAAAATACATAATAAAAACAAGAACAAACCAATAGCCCACTCTCCCACCCATTCTGACCAAAAATTCAATAATACTTTGCAGGACCACCACATACAGTAAAATGTTCCTCTTTCGCTGCATTTTCTCCAACACATCAAGGTTATATTTGAATTTATTCAGTAAGATACCAGCAAAGTATCATTTTAATGGAATTTGCTTTAATTCTACCTGAAACTGCTTTAAATGTTCTATATGACATTCCACGGTTCATCTTTAATACAGTGGTGCCTCGCAAGACGAAATTAATCCGTTCCGCAAGAGTCTTCGTCTAGCGGTTTTTTCGTCTTGCGAAGCAAGCCCATTGATGGATTAGCGCTATTAGCGCTATCAGCTGTTTAGCGGCTATTAAAGGCTTAAAGGCTTAGGGGATTAGCTGCTAAAAGGCTATTAAAGGCTATTAAAGGCTTAGCAGATTAGATAAAGGGGAAAAGCGAAAAAAAATCTCTAGACTACGCAAGGTATTTTCGTCTTGCGAAGCAAGCCCATAGGGGAATTCGTCCTGCGAAGCAACTTCAAAACGGAAAACCCTTTCGTCTAGCGGTTTTTCCGTCTTGCGAGGCATTCGTCTTGCGGGGCACCACTGTATTCACTTGTAGGTTCCCAGGTTGTTTCTGAACTGGTATATGTATCCCATGTATTCTTCAATTAAGAATTTATAAGTTTCTGACAGAAGTTATTTGCTATTGTTTCCTGTTGAAATTACGAAAATTTCTAAAGTGCGAAGTGATATTTTTGCCTAATTGATTTGGAACCAAGTATGTTTAAGTTCTAATTGTAGTAGATCGCCTGATTTGGAGTTATTGCCAATATAAAAATCTTTGACACTGGGGATATATATAGATAGATAGATAGATATAGATATATAGATATATAGATATATACATACACACACACATATATACATACACACACACAATCCCCACCCCCAAAGAAGCATGACTTGTTTTAAAAAGGGAGTCTTAACTGATTTAGTTTTTTGAGATGGATGAATTAAATACTGAGGCCCTCTCAAGTTCTGTCTTGCTTTTCCAGGCATTTCCATTGTTATCAAAATTCTTTTTGTATTACTTTTTAGTATTGAAATTATATATTTTTATGTGAGATGCATTGTGGCATAATGGTAATCCTGGAATGCATATTCCTCTATTTATTGCATACTCAATACGTTGATAAGAATAATAAGAATAATAATATATTTATATGGTACCCACTCTGGGCGGCTTCCAGCAAAATATAAAAATGCAATAAAGCATTAAACATTTAAAACATCTGGATGCAGGGCTGTCTTTAGATGGCCTACAAAAGTCATCTCTTTAATATCTAATGGGAAGGTGTTCCACAGGGTAGGTACCACTACTTAGAAGGCCCTCTGTCTGGTACCCTATAACAGGTACGTCCAACAGGTAGATCGTGATCATTTTTGTCCTCTGCACCCCCAAAAAACAGGGCCTCCCTCCTCCCTAAAAAAAAGCTCAACAACCTTGACCTGAACCACAAAAAAGGGGGTAGATCACTGCCAGTTTTTCACTCTGTGAGTAGATCGCAGTCTCTTGCCGTACAACTTCACCTCTCATAGCGAGGGAATCACCAGAAGGCCCTCGGAGCTGGATCTCTGTCTGTGCTTAACAATCGGGGTGGAGACGCTCCTTCAGGTATACAGAGCCAAAGCCATTTAGGGCTTTAAAGGTCAACACCAACACTTTGAATTGTGCTCGGAAACGGACTGGGAGCCAATGTAGATCCTTTAGGACTGGTGTTATATGGTCCAAGTCAGCAGTCTAGCTGCTGCATTCTGGATTAGTTGTAGATTCTGAGTCACCTTCAAAGGTAGCCCCACGTTCATAAGAATGTGCAGCATCGTACAGCATGGTTTTTGATACCCTCTTTTTGTCTGAATTTATAGATGCAAGAATGATTTTTTCCTTGATCTCAGTGTGTACTATTAATAAGTATTGGTGATTTTTTGAAATTATAATAAAAATAGAATAATTCATCATTTGCACGATATGCTGACTGGGCATATAATCATTTTAATTGCTGCTATCCTTACAAGCCAAGAAAGTGAATAATTGTCCTATTCTTTTAGCTGTTATTTTATTTGCTGGATTAACAGTTGTAAATGAAATAGAAATGTTAAATTTCAGTGTTGGGGGATATCTACACCTAGGTATTTATTTATTTTTGCATATTTGCCAATTCGTTTCCTTCAGTTAAAGACCTGCTGTATATCCATATTCTTTAATTACATTCATTACATGTGGCATAACTTCATTTAGGTTCAAGATCATTAACACAATGTCATCTGCAAATAAATTAGCTAATGTGTTTCACCATCAGTAGCATTAGGATTATTGTGTAACGTGTTTGCCTTGGCAATGGAAACCTTGGCTAATAACATCGGCGACGATGGACAGCCATGTTTTGTTCCTTTATTTGCTTGAAAAGCATCAGAGTCCTATCTGTTACCTCTGATGAGTGTCTGGCTATTTTTAATATAAATATCTTTATATTTGAATGATTTGTCAATTCCCATAAATTCTAAGACCTTAAAAGAGAATCCCATTCCAATTTGTCAGAGGCCTTTGTCACATCAAATAACAAAGTGCCTTTGACTCTTTAAGATGAGTATGATGAATTACATTTAGTATGTGGCTGAAGGAATTAGCAGTTAATCGTGTTTTAATAAAACCAGTTTGCTCTAATTGTATGTATTTTGGTTCTAAATTTGAAGGATGTTCTATAAGAACATTTGAACAATTTAGCCTCAGTGTTAACTGGAAACACAGTACAGTCGTATTTAACTTGCGCAATTCCAACCCAGTGCAAAAAGAGATTTTAAGCTTTCTGCCTTGTTTGGGAAGCAACCTTGTTTAGACGAGGGGCGCAGGGTGCTCCCACAAGATCTCACGAGAACATCCCAGGGCCTCCAGGGTTGAGGCATGGAGAGGGCCTTGCTTCCCAAGCAAGGCAGAAATGCCTGGCACAAAAAGAACTTTTCAGCAAGGTTCTCCATGCCTGGCTCTGGAAGCCGCCTGATGGGGTGGTTCCCATGGTTTGAGTATATGTGTTTTTGCGTATAAGGTAAAGGTAAAGGTAAAGGGACCCCTGACCATTAGGTCCAGTCGTGACCGACTCTGGGGTTGTGGCGCTCATCTTGCTTTATTGGCCGAGGGAGCCAGCGTACAGCTTCTGGGTCATGTGGCCAGCATGACTAAGCTGCTTCTGGTGAACCAGAGCAGTGCATGGAAACGCTGTTTACCTTCCCGCCGGAGTGGTACCTATTTATCTACTTGCACTTTGATGTGCTTTCGAACTGCTAGGCTGGCAGGAGCAGGGACTGAGCAGTGGGAGCTCACCCCATCGCGGGGATTTGAACCGCCAACCTTCTGACCGGCAAGTCCTAGGCTCTGTGGTTTAACCCACAGCGCCACCGGAACCAAACCCCTGCATGCTTTATCCGTCTATGAGTCAACCTGTTCTTTATCTTTGTTTGGTTTAGGTAACACTATGATTCTGGTTCGTTTCCAGGACGATGGAATCTGTCCCCCTTCCTTAACTTCATTAAAGAGTTTTCCAGGTAGAGGCAATAGAATATTCTGAATTTCTAAATGCAAAGCTCCAGCAAAACCATTGGTTCCTGGTGCGTTGACTGGTTTAAGTTTAGATGCACATTTTAAATTTCTTCCTTTGAGATCAGTTTGTTTAAACAATGATTTGGAGCATATGATCTGCATTGCAGTCGACTGACTGACTGACTGACTGACTAAATTAATGAGGTGGGTGAAAAGCAGGCAAATGCAGCCATGTTGGGGCACGAGACATCACAACCCCTTTCTAGAGTCTGGCATTTCTCTTACAGCACTTAATTGTCTTGTTTGGTGGAGCTAATGGGGTAGAGGGGTTTGGCAAAGCCCTCAGATTTGCAGTTTTGAAGTGAATGGTGTCTCTTGTTCAGCCATTGATGAATTCTGAACCCTACTCACCTTTATTGACACATGAGAACCAGTGCTTGCCAGATTTCAAGATCCAGATAATGACTTCCTAAGGATAATCTAATGAACAGTAATGGTATTAGTGATCAAATAGTTTTAAAATTGGAAGTGTTAATGCTCTAAACTAGTTTGCCCTCAAAATGATATAAACCTGGTATAAATATAGTAAAAAGAGCCTCTGGTAAATAGAATGCCAACTTGCTTGAGTGGGGATGTTGCCTGGGTAGGTTTCTGACCGCGTGCTCTAAATTATATTAAGTAATATATACCAAAGCAGCATTCAAAATAAATAAATATTCTAATACTAATGGTTCTTCCTTTCTTTTTCTTCTGTTTTAATGCAGCGGTACAAAACTGGAAATCCTTTTGACTGAATGGATTTCAAAAGTAGCTCTCTGCTTCTAGCCAAAAAAAGGGTCAACCACATCAAAATGAAGCAAGTACCAGAGATCCTTGGAAATCCTACAGGGAAAACACAGAACTGTGAAGTGAATCGTGAGTGTTCTGTTTACCTGGGCAAAACACACCTTTCTGCTACACTACAGGAGGACGTTATGCCGAAATATAATGGCCACGATGCTCTCCCATTTATTCCTGCGGACAAACTGAAAGATCTCACTTCCCGTGTGTTTAATGGAGAATCGGCAACACAAGACACCAAGCTGCGCTTTGAGTCTGAGGATATTAAAGAACCTGCAACTCCACCTAACACTACACCTGTCAAGAATGGTTCTCCAGAGATTAAACTGAAAATCACTAAAACCTACATGAATGGAAAGCCTCTATTTGAATCTTCAATTTGTGGTGACAATGGAATAGATGTGTCTCAGGCAGAGGAAAATGAGCAAAAGCCAGCAAATAAGGAAAGGAGAAATAGAAAAAGAAGCATCAAATATGATTCCTTACTTGAACAGGGTTTTGTTGAAGCGGCATTAGCATCAAACACATCTAGTTCCTCTGATGAGAAGGTACAGGATTTATTTGCTACCTCTGCTCTTTGGGTAACTCGTGTCAGCCAAAGTTACCAATGTTTGACCTGTTTTTTCCTAACTGATCAGTCAGGTAGCAGCTGATAGCTCCTACAAGGTTCTGAGTTTCAGAGTCTATTAATAAGTCTAGCAAATGAAGTTGGAGAAGATAGACATGCATCCCCATGCTTCACTCATTTGAGTCCATTTCATCCTTTCCCTTCTCTGTCGCTCCCTAGAGTGAACTTGAGACAGACAATCTAATAACAGGGGAAGTTTTAATAATGTATTTAATGATAATGGACCATTAAGGTCCAGTTTTGAATCATATTATGAAAACAAATTTTTCATCTTCGTTTTGATGATGATGAAACAATTCCAGTTGAGGGGCTATTGGAGAGGGACTATTTGTATTAACTTTGATGCACCAAAACATCATCATCATAAACAATAACAATAATAATACCTATATTGTCATTGTACAACCTGTGAACAATGAAATTAAATGGGCCTTCTTCCCCCCCCCAACTCAGTCTCATTCCACTCTTTGTGCTTATTGAACAACACACCCCCTTGCAAGTCAGTTGTGCTATGTTATTTTCCGTTCAACAGCCTAACAGCCCACGGATAAAAGCTATTTTTTAGCCTCTTGGTACGGCTGATTATACTTCTATATCTCCTGCCCTACATGGGTAGCTAGCCAACATGGTGCCCTCCAGTTAAAATTCCCTTCAGCCCCAACCATCTTGGTTTAGCTACCTATGTTTAGATGGATTGTTTTACTGAGACATTGTGCTGTTCAGACTTTGTGCAACGGAATGCAAAATAAATCTAGCTTCTCTCACACACTCATTCTGAAGCACTTTGTTATTAATTATAAAGGTAACAAGGCTATACCAAGCAGCTTTGGTATAGCATTTTATGATCCGTAAAGAATATGTTTCATGGATGTGAAGGAGATAATTTTTCTCAGCTGGGCTTCTGCCTATGCTGCCCTTGAATTTTTAAAAAAGTTGTATTTGCTGTATTGAAGGGATAGCTCTCTAGGGTCGTTATTTGTACAGTTAGGTGACAAGTACCTTTGACTCAAAGTGTATGAATTTCCCAGCAAGAGACCAGGGGAAATAAACTTAGTGTCAGTATTGTTTGTTTCTTTTATGAGTTATTTATTTTGCCTTAAGTAGGTGTAATAATCGGAAGCCAGCTAGAAGCTAAGTTGTCCTTTCAATATGCAGCCCTGCAAGATGTTAGTAAAGTAGCAGAGGGGTCCATTTACCTCTGATCAATAAGAACCTCCATGTGCTTACTACAGATAACTTCTAATCCGTGGGCCACTTTTGGCCAGCTATGACATTTCCCACCAGAAACCCATACCCACCTGCCAGTCAGACTCTAAACAGGTTTCTGTGAAGTTGTACTCTCCCTGAAATGGCAGGTATAAAGTTTGCGTGTATTTCTTGATCTAAAATAGTCAATGTCCTATGTGGTTCAGAGGGTCTTTTAGTAGTGACTGCAGCCATTCCTGGACATGGATAGTCACGATGATTCACACTCTGGTAGTCTCCTAGTTGGATTACTGTAATGTGTTATATGTGGGACATTCCTTAAAGATGACTCAGAACGTCCAGTAAGTGAATAACACAGCTTCCAGCATTTTGACTGGTACATTCATGACTGCCCATGTCATAACAATTTTGGAAAAATCATACGTCTACCTACTTTATTCAGAGTCCAATTTAAGGTACTCGTGCTTTACCTTTCATGTATGCTCCTCTCCATGTGTGCACCTGCAGCCTCAAGTAGTACAATGCAAGAGGAGCTTTATGAGTTAATGTTATTGGATGTATAAACTAGCTTTAAATAGTACTGGCTTTCTGATACAGTACAGCATATGGAAAAATTGTTTGTTTGCTACCATTTAATTCTCTTGACAGCTTGAATGACAAAGGTTTCTTGAGAGTCCTTGCAGCCTTTGCATGTGGTGTTTGAAATTTTTCTGGAAGACTGACCAGAAAGAAAGTTCTTTGACCTTTCTAGAATGGTCCACAAACACACACTGTGATAACGGCCTTGGAGCTAGAAACTCAATTTTGTAAAATGAATACAGGGTTGAATCGCATAAGCACTGATAATATATCCTCAACCTATTTTATGCATGTACCTAAAAATGTCATGTGTCTGTACAGCAGATAAGAATTTTATTGGTGCATATGTCAGAAAGTCAGGACTCAGCCATTGCTCCCCACTGCACATGAAATGGCAAGTATATGCTTTTTGACACATGTGTGAAGTGGTACTGAGACTTGTGTTCCTGAAAATTCCAATAACAGTAATATCTAGGGGCTCTAAAGCAACAATTGATACCAGTTGTGGCTTTTGGTAGCTGTTGCTTCAACTCCTTTTACTTCCAGAGAAGCTGAGGCTCCCTTGTTCCTTTAAAATTGGAGTTCACTCTTCATTTCGAAGTAATATATTTTCCCTGTTACCAAATAACAGAAAGTTCATAGCCTTGAAAAAATATGATGGGTGCCCTGATAGTTGTATCCCTTTAGCTGTGGATCTGTGGCCCAAACTTAGTTCATATGGCTAAATGTTTTCATGAACATTCCAGTTAAAGTTACCATTCATTTGCAATGCTCCAGACACACAGTGTATTGTTACCAGTTAAGCGCGATTTATGGAACATTCTGCATTCCCTGTGCACTCAAATATGAAAATATTTTTGTTTGATCAAGTTGCTAGAATTTGTAAATGTCTGCCTTTTTCTTTCTCTAAAAAGATTCCTGCTAAAGAAGATTCTTCTTTACTACTTGGAAAAGATGACAAAACTCATGTATTGAAGTACAGTGTAGGAGACTTGGTATGGTCCAAAGTATCTGGCTATCCCTGGTGGCCGTGCATGATTTCAACTGATCCTCTTCTTTACAACTTCACAAAACTAAATGGTATGTCCTCTGTCTTTGGTAGTTTTGCATTTGCAGCTATTGCTATGTTAGGCCCAAAAACTAAAAGGAAAGCCACCAGTAAACTGGGATATTTTATGTGTCCCTGTTGGCTTAAATACACAAAGAAGATGTAAGCTTTACAAGTTGTACTGAGCTTTGTATTAGAAAAATAGCTAAAATAAATGTGAATAGTGTTGTAATTTGAATAAGATTATTACAGATATTTTGATCGTGGTGTATTGAACTGATCATTTATTACTCTTGAGGCAGGCTTCCTCAAACTCAGCCTTCCAGATGTTTTGGGACTACAACTCTCATGATCCCTAGCTAACAGGACCAGTGGTCAAGGGTGGTGGGAATTGTAGTCCCATAACATCTGGAGGGCCGAGTTCGCCTATGCCTGCTATAAACCTTGCCGTTGCACCTTCCTGTCATCCAGTGTAGGTGGAAGTTCTCCCAATAGTATAACAGAACCCAGTTATGTAGCTGTTTGCACTGTGAGATTGTCTTGGCCAAGCTGTAACTTTGTGTGTATCACGGTTGCTATTTTTCAATCTTTAGCCCCTCACTACTGAATGCTTCTGAAAAAAATTAACTGTTTGAGATTAGTAATATTATTGACTTTTGCAAGGCCTTTTTCAAAGGACTGCATTGAGTAATGCCCTATTTCTTTAAACTGTCCAGTTAAAACTAATTTATATTTCCAAACTACACACTCCCTCTCTCTCTGCATGTGTGTGACATAACAGAGTTCATATATTAAGATATCAAAGCCTGAAAGAAACAAAGTTTAATCCTTTTTCCATTTTTCATTAAATGTGTTTTTACATTTACGGTATGTATGTTTATATTAATATTTCTAGGTGAAAAAATACTTACATAAGTGTGCCTGCTACCTTTTTCAGGACAAAAGAAGAGCTTTCGCCAATATCATGTTCAATTCTTTGGAGATGCCCCAGAACGAGCATGGGTATTTGAGAAGAGTCTTGTACCATTCAAAGGAGAAGAGCAATTTGAGCAATTGTGCCAGGAAAGTGCAAAGCATTCCCTTACCAAAGCAGAGAAGATAAAGGTAAATATTAATGTGTTATGTTATTAATGTGTATGTGTTATTAACATAGCTGTTCAGTTATCTGCTTGAATGTTTACATGTGCCGCTGCATGCATGTGTATTTATTTATTTCAATTTATATAACGTCATTTATCCAAAGATCCCAGGATGGTATACAACATTAGTAACATAATTTACACATCATAATAACAGGCCATAGAATAAAGAGGATTGTTTTCACCTGGTTCCTAAAGATATGTAATGATGACACGAGGTGAGCCTCTCTCAAGAGGGCATTCTACAGATGCCACCACAGAAAAGGCCCGTTCTCATGTTGTCACATTTACAGTTTTAGCATAATGCCATAGCTCAGCCATGTTACTTCGTATGTCATGTTGTTATTGGGTGTATTACTGCTTCAGCCATGGCATATTTTTTTGCAAGTCATTGTTCCATGCACAATTCAGCATCCCTTGTTTAGTAGCATATATATTTTTTACGTTTTGGGAGTAAAAGCTCCATTTGAATATATTAATAGGAGACTGACATTTTTCATGATCCCTACGGGTAAGGGTTTCATTTCATTCTCTTTTGTTGGTGTTCTTCTCTGCAGATGTTAAAACCTGTTTCAGGAAAACTACGCCCCCAGTGGGAAATGGGTGTTAAGCAAGCAAAAGATGCATTGTCCCTGACAGCAGAGGAACGAAAAGTCAAGTACACCTTCATTTATGTTAGGGGAAGACCTCTTCTCAATCCTCAAGTGGCAAAAGAAGCAGGTCTTGCTGTAAAATCTCTGGAGGAAATGGATAAAATTTACACAGATGAAGACATTTCTCAGACTTTGAAATCAAAGAAAGAATCTGATATTCCTACCAAGAGGAGGAGGAGAGCAAAACTGCTTGCATTGAATGAATCAGACGAAGGCATTGAACCAGTTAAGAATATCACCCCTGAAAAAGTCCTTGAAGGCAGAGAAGCCAAAAGGAGCACAGGGTCTCCTGTTGCTAGGAAAAAAGTTGTTGCGTACACCCCACGAAACAGAAAGGGAGATGCAGTTTCTCAGTTCTTGGTTTTTTGTCAGAAGCACAGAGATGAGGTTTGTGCATTTGCCTTCAGAACTTGTATTACGAAGCTTAATTCATATGCATATCTGTTTTCCTTGTGATAATGTCCCAGAGGTGCCACAAGCACTCTTAATACATGAACTCTATCTGTTCTCTCATAAATATACACGCATGCACACATGTGTGCATACAGAAACCTATTAATATACACCATCTTTCCTTAAAGGAGATCAAGCATAATGCACAGGGTTAACTTATTTTCTCCTGCCATCAAATATGTGAAATAGTTTAAATTGAGAGAGTGACTTGTGATGGCCTAGAAGCATTTGATCCCCAAAGCAGCATTATGCATTGGCTTACCTGCATAAATGGGCTTTTTAATAAAAACAGAAGTCTTGGTTATTGAGGGTGGAACTGCGAACATTTCTTCAGTGTTGTGGTCAAGGTAGATAATGTAAACCAGTTCAGATCACATCGTCACCTCAGCCACTATTCTGTATACAGTGGTGCCTCGCAAGACGAAATTAATCCGTTCCGCGAGAGTCTTCGTCTAGCGGTTTTGGTTTTTTCGTCTTGCGAAGCAAGCCCATTGACGGATTAGCGCTATTAGAGGTTTAGCGGCTATTAAAGGCTTAAAGGTTTAGGGGATTAGCTGCTAAAAGGCTATTAAAGGCTTAGCAGATTAGATAAAGGGGGGGAAAAGCGAAAAAAAAATCTCAAGACTCGCAAGATATTTTCGTCTTGCGAAGCAAGCCCATAGGGGAATTCGTCCTGCGAAGCAACTTCAAAACGGAAAACCCTTTCGTCTAGCGGTTTTTCCGTCTTGCGAGGCATTCGTCTTGCGGGGCACCACTGTACAAACTTAAAGGGTTGTTCATCTCTGACCCAGTGTCTGTCTGTCTGTCTGTCTGTCTGTCTCCCTCCCTGCCCCCCTCCACCTATTTTAAATACATTGATAGTTCTGGGTTTTCTCTGGTGGGGCAGCTCAGTTTGGAGGGCAGATTTAGGTTGGAAAAACAGCATGGATGAAAGGTTAAGCCCTGTGTGTATTTTGCAGCCTCAATCATTACCTTGGCAGATGCTTTGAGGGAAAGGGGAATATGTGCTTGAATCTTATGTTTGTGTGTATAGAAACAGTGGTCTTGGTAACAGAGTACTCCTGGTGATGAAGAGATAATCATAAATTGAAAATGAGCACCTTCTGGTGGTATTTTAGTAAGGGAAACATACACCAAAATTTTCCAGGCAAAGGCCAAAGGTATCTGAGGCAACATGAGTACAGCTGTTAAAAGAGCTTGGCGCAGTTGCAAAGAACTTCCACTTTTGTTTTTGATTAATCACAGTTTAGTGTGTCACCCAAACCCTGAACTGTGGTTAATCTTAATTGTGGAAAGCTGGCGCAAGCCACCTTCATAATCAGTGGCTTGAAGTTGGCTTGTTACAAAATATTTACGATTAGCTGCAGCTTTTGTCTGCTTTTGGCTATCATGACAAGGTGTGGCAAGTCTGAAAAAGACCTCACCATTTATGGTTGGTTTAGAGAGAAACAAACTACAAGCCCAGGTTTGGATGATTAGGCAAGCCAGACTGGCCTGGTTTGTTCACAGTGGGGGAACCTTTTTCAGTGTTAGGACCACATTTCTTTGTGGGTAACATTTTGGAATCTTCATGAGTGGATGCAGCCAGATCCAAAAGTGGGTGAGGCCAGAGTCAAATGTAGGCAGACTTTCACCTTTTGCACAATAGGTTGCATTCCAGCCACACAAAAGCCAGACGTTTCAACCCCCTCTCCATTCCTCCATCCTCTTGTCTCCACACAAGCAAAAGGCATCACAGTTCAAGTACACATTCCAGCAGTTGAGGAGGGAGTGAAATAAAGGCAGTGAAGGGCATAGCCTGGCAAAGGGTAGCGGCCTAGAGAGTCCCAAAGCCTGGATAGAGGAGACTAAAGGGCTGCATTTGCCTGAGATTCACCGTCTCTATCTTCAACCATAGTACAAACCAGGCCATTATCACTGTCGTTTGTTCTGTAGATTTTTACCTATCAAAGAACAAAAATCAGTCTATCGCGAGAATTGTTCACTAGATTAAATATCTATAATTTGGTCGTTTTATTTTCACATTTTGAACAATTGAATAGTTTCTGACAGTGTTAGAAACTGAGATATGAAAGCTAGGAACCTAGATTATGGATGGAACAATGGAATGTCTAGGCATGCTTTTTTATAAGAAGACTACAAAGTTAAAAATGAATGAACGGCAGCTAAAATATTGTGTTCATTTTTCACATGGTCTAGTCCTTCTGTTGCCCACCCCTCCCCCCTAATATTCTTAAGAGGGTCTCTTATCCAGTCTTCAGAGAGGGACTGGAAGTGGGGAGGCAGAAAAAGGTCCTTTCCTTCCACTCTGCAGTTTTAATCTGAAATTGTAGATGCGCCCAGAGCTCAGAAACCTCTTGCACTAATGAAATTGCAAAATGCTCCTAGAACAATGGGGGGGGTTTCGAACACTGGTTTTCTCTCTCCCTACCACAGTTGGTTTGCATGGGATCCTCTGCTAAAATGATGGGGGTGGGGGCATCATTTTAGTAGGAAGTTCTGAGTCACACCCCTTCCTGATTCAGGGAGGGGCTATGCGTCAGAATCCCCTGCTGAAAGAGGGGGTTTCCCTCTATTGTTTTAGCAGAGGACTCCATGTATATTTGTACAGAACCCCCTCCCAAATCAGTGAGGGAAATGCCCCTTTTGGCAGCAGATGCAGATACGCCATGTGAAAAGTTTTGCTAAAGAGAAACACGTCCCTTTCCTGGTCTCTCACCCATCAGTCCTCCCAGCCATCATGGGTCCTGTAGTTTCAGCTGGGATGGAGTGGGAATGGCAGGATCTTAGGAAGGGGAAGAGGACCCCACAGCTGACAGTGGGGGAAAGTTCAGGTAGTGATAGAGAAGAGAGTCTTGCACTGCCGTTGCCAGATGCCAATCTCGGGGAGGCAGCATGAACTGGGCCAGTTCCTTCTCCATCTCTTCAGAGCCAAGTTCCCAGGTAGCCGAATAGGTAGCTGGAGTATGGGTGGAGCTGGTTGAATTGGAGGTGTGGTGAGAGCTGGAGAGTTCAACACAGGTCCCATCGCCGGTGCCCCTCCCAGCAGACATGCCCCTTCTCACTTGGGACCAGAGCGGGAGGGGCGAGTCCATTGTTGGGATGCCTTTGCTTATGTCTAGCTGTGTATCCAAAAACTCCTACTTATGGATCATTGAACCATATACTTAGAGCTGATGCTGAGACTGTGTGCTGATTTTATCAATAAAGCTTTCAGCATTTCCTGAGTTGAGATTTGGAGTGTTTCATCTGATGGTGAGAGTCAGGGCAGTGATGTCAGCTGATGGGTGGGTGGGTAGGTGGGGAGGGAGGGGGACTGCCTCACAGGTAAAATTTGGGCACCCACCCCCCACAGGCAGGCAGGTTCCTCATCCTCCCTTAAATTGACAAAATAGTTGGCATGTTCCATAAGAAACCCCCCAGCAGACCATCTTGATAACATATATTGAAACAAAAGGTGACAACCCTGGATGTTTGATATTTCCTTAAATGTATCCCATGTCTTCATGGAATGGTATGGACTCTGCTTTTAAATAACTATATAGTGGTGGTTTATTATACCTATATGAAATGATGTGTGCCCCTGCAAATTAGGTTGACACTTCAGGCTTCTGATGAGCTGGATTATAGTCCACAAAGCTTATGTCAGGGATGGGGAACTGGTTCTATCTGAGGGAACTTGCTCACACTCCATGGGCCATTTTGACTGCTGGGCGGGGTTACTGGTTTGTCAATCACTTGGTGTCATGTTCAAAACCCTGGAAGAAAATGGAGAATTATCTGCCTTGGTTGTCCTCTTGCCTTTTTCTGGTGTGTTGATTTTTTGACTGCTTTTGATACCATTGACCATGGCTTTTTTGTGGAGAGGCTGTTGGGAGTGGGTGGCATTGCTTTGCTAACTGGACGACCACTTAGGGAGTTTTGTACGACCCTGTGGAACCTTCAGTGTTGAGAAGCCAGAGTTTGATTTTATCCCCCATGCTGTTTAAAATGTATATGAAACCACTGAATGGGATCATCCGCCATTTTGGAGTGTGCTGTCAGCAATATGCTGATGCTGCACAGCTTTAGTTCTTTACGGCTGCAGGTGTAGCAGCAGGTGTGTCTTGCCTTAGTAATGGACTGGATGAAAGCCAATAAACTTAAGCTCAATCCAGACAAAACTGAGGAACTATTTGTGGGTGGTTACCTAGACCGGATGAGTGGGATGTGTCCTGCTCTAGATGGAGTTACCCTCTTTCTGAAGGAGCTAGTACATCACCAGTCTCAGGGTGATGGAGAACAGCTCTCCTAGCTCCTCCACTGTGGGTGCTGAGCAAGCTGCTGTCAGCTGCAATGCCCCAGAGCATGTAGCTGTTGGCAGTTCTTGGGCTGGGTTAAGCATTTCCTGCTGCAACATCACAGATCTTGTAGTTGCTGGGCCAACCCCTCCCTCCCATACTCATGGGTTGACTGAAGTGCTCTCAGCAGTGGTACCAAGCATGCAGTTGCTCAGCAGGGTGGCCTAGCAGTGTGATTCCCCCAGCATTAAATAAAGCACAGGGCGAAAATCTGTAAGCAAGGGCAAGCAAGGAGGAATTGCCTGAGTAACTGAATGAACTGCAGGCCTGCAGTATTGCCCAGAAAAGGCTAAGTTGAAGGTGGCTTTTTGCTCTGTTCTTCTGTGAGACGATGAAGAAAGGGTGAGAGAGCAGAGAATTCATGGCAGAGACAGGACTCAAACTTCCTGACTCATAGCTCAGTTTCTTGACCCCAGGCCATGGTGGCCTTCCACATGTTGCTGGACTACAACTCCCATCCTCCTTGACCATTGACTGTTTTGGCTGAGACAGATGGGACTTGGGTCTAACAGCACCTGGAGGATCACAGATGCTGTGCCAGATCAGAAGTTTTCCACTTCATAATTACAGATCATATTTACTTGTTTAGAAAAAAATGCTCCACTTTTCCTTATAAAATAAACTCAAAAATCTTTGTGCACAAATGGAAAAATAACATCAAGCACAATAAAATGTTCAAATTAATGTAAAGCCAGTTCAGATTACTAAATTATGCTAATAAGCATACATAAACGCATACAAATAAATATTTTGCCTTCTGGATCCCACAGTATGAAAAGGAACCTTAATCTTTACTTTATTACTTTTAGATGCAGAGTGTTAGTTTTAACTACGTATATGTTTTAATTCCTACTTTGAACAAGTATTATGTTTGTTCAGGTGATTGCTGAACATCCAGATGCCTCAAGTGACGAAATTGAAGAGCTGCTGGAATCACAGTGGAACATGCTTAGTGAAAAACAGAAAGCACGCTATAACACAAAATTTGCCATAGTGACCTCTCCTAAATCTGAAGAAGACACTGGTAAACGTAAAACTGTGCTAGTATACTCTAACTAAGTTTAATATATGTGGTGGTGTTAACCTAAGCACACAGCTTGAGACTTGTAGGGGGGCGGGCAGACTTTGCTGTTCTCCACTTCTAATTTTGGTGTGTCGTGATGATAGCCGTGAATGCAGTCTTTACAATAAAAGTCAATAATGTCTGCATTTCTTGGTCATTGTTCTGCGGAGTTTTTCTGTGTAAAACTACTGTTTAGATATTGCTGGTTTCTCATTCCCTTCCTGTCTATAAGCAGCTGCCTCACTGTTAGCAAAGTGAGAATGGTGGAAATGAGGAGAAATAATCTTAGCATTTAAATGTTATCATTAAACATAATCAAACTTCTTAAAATTACAGTGTCATTTGTAATTTTATTTCCCTTTATAATAAGTGAAACTGAGGACATGCATAAACATCAGAAATGCATGTTTCCAAATTATAAATGACCAATTGAGCACTGTGCTGGTCTTCTAGAATAGCATCACAGCCTGCAAGGCATTTTGGTTGGTTGGTTGATATTAACACTTCACTCAGTATCCCGATATAGTACTAAAAGTTCTTTGGAATAATGAATAAACCTGAAGGAAGAAGGGAGGGAATTATATTAGTGATCTTTCTCAGTAAAAGTAGTAGCTGTAGTAATAAAGTAATAAATATTTAGCATATTAACTTCATTAGATTATTATGGAAAATTTAAGCCATCAGGTTGCTGCTTTGGGCAATGAGTGGAATGAAGGTGTGTTTGACAGGTTTGTCAGTTTTGGAAAAAAATGTATAAAAAGTGCAGTCAGTTTTGTTATCTGTGTATGAAATAACATCTTGTGGGAAAGTTAACAGCTTTGTCTTAATGTGTAAAATAATGGATGTCTATTTTAAAACAAACAAACACAAACAAACAACACTGCACAACATTCTGTATCTCTAAAGGTTCATCACAGAAGAATATGGGCGAGGCCAAGCGTAAAGTGTTTCAAGAATCCCCTAAAAGGAGATCAAGATCCAGAAGTAATTGAAATCTGTGCTGTGTACTATTAATTCATTATGAGTAATTCTTAAGTCTGCCTTTTATGTAATTGCTCACAAATCATCGTTTTTCTCTCAGATGTTGTGTTCCTTTGGCTTCAGAATTTTTATGGCTCCCGAATTAAATACTTGAGTGCTGTAGTGCTGAGTTTTGTTCAACTTCCTGATAGCTTCGTCCTACAAAATAATCAAAATGAATATAGCTTATTTCATATCTATACAATATGTATTTCATGCCTGGGCATGTTTTTAGCAGTCTGCAAATGATCACCATTGTATGCCAGTATAGATTATGCCAATATATTATGTTCAGAAAGCACTGGCGTATATAATAACTGCTGGCTGTGGTATTTTTAAGCTTCCTAATTGACATGAATTATGCCTGGACAATTATCTAGCTGTAAAAAAAATAGTTTATTAGCATTTGTTACAGGATATCATATTATGTTCTGAAGTTGAAGTTCGGACTGTTACATGAAGCAGCTGCTCCTCAAGGCACTTCTGCTGAGATGGGGAAAGCAGTTGAGATGAAGTTCATTACTATTACTTTTTCCATATAGATTCAGACTGCTAAGAAGTTTGCCTTTTTTTAAAGTAAGTCTTTACACCAGAGCAGAGCTGTTGAAACATAGTTTGGCTGCTGATCCTTTTGTCTTGGAGCTACCTCTCTGTAACATGGAATTTGACTACTTCATCTCCCCTCAATATGTAAACATTCAGGGTGTTGATGGCATCTGTTCTTCTAGGCTTTGATTGAGACAGAACATTTAAGACGGGGTTTTCTTGGCCTTCGTACATAATAAATTCACATGCTACCTATATTGCTATCCGTCTGCCAAATTGTGGGAGAAATGGCACTAGCGATCTCACAGACAGGGGTAACTGAAGCCTTCTGTTGTATAAGACCTTAATTCCTGGAAGAAATTATTTTAAACCAAGAGTAAGACTTCAAATTGTGTGGGTCCATTGGTAAATTGCTTGAAACAAGAAAACGAATGTTAACTTGCGCAATAACCATGTGGTGTGTTTTGATAAGAAGCTTAGCCTTGAAAGATTTGTACTGTAAAACTAGTTTTAGAAACAGGACTTCCAAGCCCCAGGCTTTTAAGGGTTAATAAAGCATATTAAAACTGATGAAAACTAGATGAGTTCAAGATACTTTCTAAATGAGCTTTAGATCTTTTTCATGTAAGTTTCCCCCCATCCCCCTGCTCCAAGGTAACTTACATGGAAATAAAAGGAAACCAATAAAGAGGACAAGGAAACCTAAAGAAGATTTTGAACTTCAGGAACTTCCTAGGAAAAGGCTCAGGATGGATAAGAAGAATTACCTAAAGGTAACTACATTGTTGGCTTGTTTGGTACATTATAATAGCGCCAGAGTTGATTATATCTTTCGGTTTTTCAGAGTTTCTGTAGTGTTCTGCTTCACTGCAAACAAATGCATTAACTATGAGGTGGTTACTCAGAATGAATTTAGAACACAAGTTTGGGGTGTATTTGAATACATCCTCTAGGATGTCATATGCATCATTGAATGTGACTCTTTCTGGAACTTTTTGCCAAGTAAGTGGGAGAGGTGTTGTCAGGAAGCCAAGAGGGGGGGAAATAATGGACTGTATTTGGGAAAACAAGTAACTCACATGGCTCTTTTCCTCAGGAACACTATATAGGAATATCACTGCTTTAGAGAGCCATCGCTGCTTTTTTACTGCAGCATTCCCGGAGCACTAATCCTCTTTCCATCTGAGACCTATTTGCATATCTAACTACCCTTCACCACGAGCAAAGGGGCAGAAACGCTGAATTTTAATAGGCCTCAATTCCAGAATTAAGATGGACATAAATAAGTGAGAAAGAACGAGCATAGCTAGACCACACACCATTTCCACGTTTGGTTTAAACTCTCACTTGCTAATAATGTTCAACCAAAATTAGCTCTCCTGGAACTTAAGCTCATTAGATCTAGTCCTGCCATTTGGCAGAAGAGAACGCATCTTTGCCCTTTTCTGTGTGATGGCCTTTCACTTTTTAATAATGTCTTCTCCAGGCTAAACATACCCAGATCTTTTAAGCATGTCTCATGTTTTGTTTTCCATACCTCTGACCATCTTTGTTGCTCTTCTCTGAATGCATCCCAGTTTGTGCAGTGCAGAGCAATAGGGCAACTTTCTGAAATATTTTGCTATGCAAAATGTAATTGTACACTACAGTCATGTGCACACCAGTGGCCATCTTTAATACATAGATCAAGGGATATATTTTATAACAACCTTTTAAAACAAATTTTGAGGGTAAGACATGCATGCTTAAAATTGCTTTTAGTGTTGTGCAGTTCAGTATCAAAAATCAGTATACAATAAAGTAGGTTTCTGTGGGCTCCTGTTGATTGTGGGGCTGGTGTTTTCTCGGTTTGGATTAGAGTGCATTGACTTTCTGCTCTTTGATTCTATGAGTGCAGCAATTTCTCAGTTCTTGTTCATGATGGAGGTATTTGCACATAAACTGAAAATATGCATGAGGTGGGCTTTGTTGTTCTTACTCAAGGTGGCCCAGAATTTGCAGAACTGTTGGTTAAGTTACACTTTACGTAAGTAAAGCTTAATCTTAAACAAATGAGACTCTTACCTGAATGTGTACTCAGAATTTCAGCGTTAATCATTCATGGAATAATCCTTTAGACTATAAACGTACAACTTAGTATATTTAAGGCTTGATTCAGACATCTTTCTAGAGTGCAAATTTGGGGGGTTTGGGGTTCTGCTTGTTTGGAATTTGAGGATTCTGTTCCTGTTTAACAGCGTTCTGAACAACTGGGAGGGGAGAAGAAGGTTTAGGAACTGATGGATAGCCCTCATTTTCTTGAATATGGAGCTTTTCAACACCAGCCTGTCCTTTCCAACAAGTGCAACTGTCTTTCTTTTAAAAAATGCTGTTGGTCACTTTGCTCCAGCAAAGTGTCTATGATTTGCCCAATAAAGCAATATAAAAGATCTTGCAGATATTTGTTGCATAATGTTGAGAAAACAGCCCACAAATCTTAAGAGCCTTGTTTGTAAGTATTTTGGCTTCCAAGAGGTCAGCTGCCTCTGCCTCTTCAGAATGCTAAAGGGCTCCATTCCACAAGAATCCCAGCAGGAAGGAAAGCCTAGAACGAACTGGCTTTTGCCCCCTTGCTTAACCCATTTTTTATTTTTATTTTTTAGCCACCAGTCTTTCCATGCTCCTCCCCTGTCCAGGGAATAACTCCAGCCCTAACCCTTTCAGGAGCTGTTGCTGTGAGCTTGCCATACTTGGGGGTGGCAAGGGAAAGTACAGGTTGAGTGCTTCCTAGCCTTCGCTGACAGATGGTGCCGCTGCAGGCAGGGAGCCCTCCAGGGCTTTGAATGGGCTGAAGCAGCCTCTGTAATCGGCCACATTAAGAACATCATACTGTCCTTGGTAGTGCAGCATCGTGGATAACATTGCGACTTCTTGGTGCTTCTGTCGGTGCGTGTGAGAGAGAAATTCTTTCCTTTGGTTTCAGTTTTGTGCTGTTCTTTACACTGGATTAGGGTGTCCATGTGTCCTCTTTTTCCAGGACACATTCTCTTTCTCAGGGGTAAAATTTATGTCCGGGTGGATTTTTTTAAATTTGCCAAAATGTCTCTGGCTATACTTTCTGGATGAGACATAGACGTAACTGATGGTTGAAGTTACAGGTAGGTAGCTGTGTTGGTCGAAACAAAAATGAGACCAACTTAAGTTTGTTATTGGTATGAGCTTTCATGTGCTCATACCAATAACAAACTTAGTCTCTAAGGTGCTACTGGAAGCAATTTTTTTATGCTGGTTGAAGACTTGCTTTCTTCTTCTCTTCTCCTGCCCCCCTCAGCAATATATCACAGATTCTATTCTTCTTTCTTTGGTGATCGCTCATAGCCAAGTAAGATTGTCTTCCATAAACACGGTTTTAACAATGAGTCTGTAAGTGACTGTGGAGGCCAACCCTGGATCCATACGTCCTTCCACAGTGGGGAACATAGGTTTCCGGGCGGGAGTTGATCACAGTGTGGATTTGCCAAGCGTACCTTCCTCTTAGCATGTTTCTCCCTTACATCCTGAGTTTGAGTGTCTTCAAAGCCCATGACACCTTTGGTAAAGGCCGTTTGTTCTCCAGTTGGAGCGCTCGCAGGCAAATGTTTCCCATTTGTGAGTGGTTATACTACTTTTTTAAAAAAATGCCTTGAGACAGTCTTTAAACCTCTTTTGTTGACCACCAGCATTACACTTTCTATTTTTAAATTCGGAATAGATTATTTGCTCTGGAAGACGATAATCAGGCATCCACAGAACATGACCAGTAGGCGTATTTAAAATGAGAGTCATCATAGCATCCTCATTTTTGCCCTTCACAATCTGGCAACCATACACTGGAAATAAGTGAGCACCTTTTTGCGATGCAGTCTCTGCCACAATACTCGCTTTGTCCCTTTTCTATGAAATCAAAGCATGTGGTTATAACATGGTTTTTTAAAAAAAAAAAACAGTCTTCATTGAGAATAGAATTGGGTGGCCTTAACTTAGTGAACACCATGTAATTTCAAGCATAAATGGAACATTTCATACTTTTATCAAATTGACTTAATCAAAACAGAGTTTAGCACCTTCTAAAATTCATTATAGAAACCCTTGTATAAGCACCAGTCAGATTTATGATTACAAAAATACTGAGTTCTGGATAGACCATGCCTGCAACAGGTTTGTGTTTAACCTTTAATAATACTAATAAATGATTGTTGTGATTCCATATAAATGAGATGGATGTGTGTTTTTTTTTACCTTTGTAGTATCTTCTGTAGTTTTGTATTACAAAGACATTTGCCTGGTAATGTCCACATTTATCCAGATTAGGTTTTTTATTTTTTCATTTCATTTCATTTTTATTTTTATTTTGTAACAGAGGGAGACAAGCAATGACAAAACAGCAAAAGCAAACTCAGCTAAAGTCACAGAAACCTCTTCTTCACAAAAGAACCAGTCAGGTAATGTGGTCAGAACAAGCTTTGATGTAACATTTTCAATTAAATTCTTATAAATTCCAGTTGTTGAAGATTGCCAACTCCCTAGTTTGATGAAAAAGTGTGGCTTCTTCTAATATTGCGAAGAATGGGATTCATTAGACATACCTGGTAAAGTAGAGTGCAGTGAACCCCACCCCTCAGTCATTCTATGGGCTAGTTTTTAACATGCCACAGGATTCTTTGGCTTGGACCTGGTGGCGCACTTGGCAATGAACAGAGACCAGTTGTGTTTGCACAAAGTGGGATCTTACTGCCCATTTGGCCCCTTGCATCTACAGTGCCACAACACACCAGACATCGTGTTGGAAGACCCCCTGGCCCTCTGAAACAGCTTATACGAGACCAGAAACCTCTGTTCTGCTTGCAGTTCTTAGAATTCAAATTCAGACCTTTGTCATTCAATTAGCATTGCGTTTTTCCATGCTGTTTTGGTAGATTTAGTTCGACAGAGCAGTGATGAGGAGTGGGAGGTAGAGAGGTAAAGGTTAAGGGACCCCTGACCATTAGGTCCACTCGTGGCCTACTCTGGGGTTGTGGCACTCAGCTCGCTTTATTGGCCGAGGGAGCTGGCGTACAGCTTCCGGGTCATGTGGCCAGCATGACTAAGCCGCTTCTGGCGAACCAGAGCAGCACACAGAAATGCCATTTACCTTCCCGCCAGAGTGGTACCTATTTATCTACTTGCACTTTGATGTGCTTTCAAACTACTAGGTTGGCAGGGGCAGGGACTGAGCAATGGGAGCTCACCCCGTCGCGGGGATTCGAACCGCCGACCTTCTGATCGGCAAGTCCTAGGCTCTGTGGTTTAACCCACAGCGCCACCCACGTCCCTGGGAGGTAGAGAACCAGTCTCTAAAAGCTATTGGTCTAGATACACTTCCATGACAGTGCAATCCTAGATATGTGAGCTCAGAAGTAAGCCCCATTGTGCTCATGGAACATGCTTCGAGGTAAGAATGTATAGGTTTGTTGCTTAAAAAAGAAATCTGGGTGTTAAAGTGTGGCATGTTTCATCATAACTACTCCCACCATGAGGTTGTTTTTGAAATTATTTTATCCTTGAAAACAAATTTGCTAGTATTTTTTAAACCCCAGTTTCTACTTAATTGACAAATTGAGGAAAATCCAATACATGCTGCTCCACGTTCCCTAGAATACAAATTAATTAACAAGTGACAAATGTGCAGACTTGTTTAACTGAAGTGTTTCTTAACTATTAGTGCCTTTTGAAAGTGCTCTACAGTTCAGTACTGCGGTAGTTTAAAAAGTCCAGTGTAAAAGGTTCCCACACACTTGAGGGGAGGTTATCTACAGAATTCAAGAAAATGCGTTAGAATTCCAAGTTCACCTTGTAAACAAATTATTTTGCCGCAATGACAGGTCTTTCAGATGCATGTAAACCCCTGAAGAAGCGAAATCGGGCTTCAGCAGCAGAATCGTCAGATCTTGCCTATAGCAAAACTTCATCTCCTTCAGCTTCCTTAACTGAGAACGAGGTAAAAATATGAATGAATAGTGGCGTTCAGATAAAACACCATAACTTCTTTTTTTAAAAACCATTCACAAAATCCACATAAAACAAGGCGATGAAATTTAGAGCGAGGCATTTCTGTTCTGTGAACACCTCTCCTGCAGTTCACCGCCTCTCTTCTTGCTACACACTGGTAGACTGAGCTGTGCAAGGCAGGGAGAGGAGGAAGGGCTGGTGAATATCTGGCTCAGAAAGAAACTTCATCTCAGATGGGTCCAACAAAAACATTCCTCATACCCAAATGCTCGGGAAGAGATGCTCCTATCACATGCACAGTGTCTCCTGAAATAGCACTGGATAACTCAGTGCCACCCATGATTATCGTGACTTTCTTCCTTGGTCAGCCCCTTCTGTGTAGAACTCTGTATTGCTTTAAAACTATTAAAGGTAGAAGATTGAATTGAAAAGCACCTGGAAGAGCATACTTCAAGCTTCCGAGTCAGTATATAATACTTGGAATGTACATACAATTCAAGCTGTACTAGGACTAACGCAAGTTAAAATGCTGTGTAAAAATCGCAAAATCAAAGTTTGGCAACTTCTCTGAACATTTTAGAATACGTTTGTATGTTGGTGTATTAAGATATACTCAAAGCTAACCTGAAGGAGGAAAAAACCCCAACCAACTAAGGAGCTGCTTTACTTCCAAATGCATCTTATTCTGGTAAATTGTTACATAATTTCACATTAAATAGTATCATATATTTATGCCATCTTGTGTTTATATCAATGTTTTATGGAACTAATTGGAATAACTAAGGTATGTATCACAATGTATACAACAGTGTAAGTGTACATAGATTGAATAATCTCTATAAAAAGTTAAACACTCTGTTCCAAGATTATAGTTTATTTCAACTACACAGAAAGCTGTGTAATTATTGTTGCAGCGATGTAAATCACAGATTGCATGTATGGTTGCAATTTCGCTGTAAATACAGGCACGGTGTAACCAGCCTGGATAGCACGGTGCTGATAACACCAAGGTTGCCGTTTTGATCTCATAAGGGATAGCTGCATATTCCTTCATTGCAGGGGGTTTGACTAGATTATCCTCGGGGGCCCTTCCAGCTCTGATCCTATGTCTGGATAATGAATATGGCTCCTGAGAGAAGTAACAGAAGCTTCCCACCTCCTTCCCTGCGCTTCCCAAAACATTTCTTTGGATTTGGATTGTTGCTCTTGAACAAGGTGGGGTAGGGCTCAGGTTGTTGCTGGATCAGGCGGGAACCTATTTCTCAGCAGACGTGTAGAAGTGTACTGTTTGGATCCAAGTCATTATTTTTAGAGAATTCTATAAACGCACTGAACTAATATTCAGTTTGGGCCGTGCAACTTTAAGCCTCTCTTAGCTGGAGTCTGGGCTGGCTCTGGTTGCTTCGTATCCCCCACTCAGCTCTTGGTGTCCAGGCCCTCCTTTTGGACAGGAAAACAATCTTCAGTGTCACAGTGCCAGGTAGCATTTTCAGTGTAGCAAGTCTGAAGGTCTGAAAAATACTCATATAGACTTGGTTGACTGAACTACATCTGGCATGGTTTTCGATTGCACCTTCCCTTCCTCTGACTCCTTTTCCCTTTGGGCATTTGAAAGAGCCTACACTTCAGGCATACTGAAGTTTCTGGGGGTACAAATTATTCTGGGAGACACAGCAGCTCTCGCAGTGGCCCTAGGAGGAAACACTACAGGTGAAATGTCTGAAGATCTGATCAGTTCCATGATCAGTTCAATTACTCCAGTGCTGGATATCTCACCTATTTGAGATGAGAATAACCTAGCCTAGATGATGATCATGGATTCCTGGCTTGGTAGCTGGGGAAGTAGTTTTGAGAAGGAAACTGCTCGGTCTCACAGGGATTCTATAATGGCAATTTCCTGAAGCTGAGGGAGATTGTGGTGGCAGCTTGTTAGTACTTCTCAAGGCAAATGGAGGGACGTTGTGTTGCATCATGTAGACAGACAGCAAAGATCATTGTCACAATCTCCTAAATGAAGGCCTTCTGCTCTTCTGGGGTCCTGCAGGCAGTGGCCCCAAATACTTAATGAACAAACACCAATCCATTGGTTTCTGAATTCCAGAGAATATCCTTAGAGTAGTGACCAAGGTTGGGTAAGTGGTGATGTGACTTTTTCTTCTCTGTTTAGCAATCCACTGATACTTTTTTCATTAGGAGAAGTAGTAAGAGACAGTCAACCCACTAAGGGCAGATTGGCCAGTTGATTTCATAAACACCTTTCCTCCATTTCTTTATATCTCCTAGGCTAGCATAAAGTTCTGCGAGCAGCAGATAGGGATGTTCCTTACTGCTGCACAGTGCTGAGGAGACCATGGTTCTCAGATTCCAACATCCTCGTGGCTCTGTCATGCACTAGAATCAAAAGTATAAGCATTTAACCGCTTGGAGGTTGAAAAGAACCTCCCCCTAACCCATGATTACTCCAAACACGTCTTTGGTACATTTCTGGCTTGTTCTGTGACCAATAGTTCGTGGGATTGCAAGAAAGGATTCATCAGCAGGTTGGGTGGGTCTAGTAAGATCTCTTATAGAAGGGGTTTTGGAAGTCCTGGAGTTTCTGCAGGACAGTCTTAACACATTTTGCAGATAGGCTTCAGCTTTGGCTGACATTGTAGGCCCCTTGACATCTACTCCAGCTTCGCACTCTCATGTGCACCGGCTTCTGAGAACAGTGTTCCTCATTCTTCCCACAGCTTGTATAGTCCTTGTCTATCATAGTTCTTTGGGCACTAGCCAAAGCTCTTTCCAAGCTGTTAAAATTTTACATTTGTGTATGTGAATTTCCGTCCTGCTCTGCCTATACCAAAGGACAGTATACTTGCTCATGGCCTACTTCACTACAAAAGTGTGGCCGTACGCTAAACATAGTGAGATTTATTTTTATACTTTGCTTTTTAACCAAGGTTGGCTGTCAGGGTAGTTTACCATCAGAATCCGCATAGTACAATATAATTGGGATTATGTTAGAGTGCGTGTAGCAGTCTCTTCTGGACACTGGTGATAAAGTACATGATCTAAGTCCTTTTCTAGATGGAAGGGCACTGTAGGAGCTACAGAACTGATTTGACGGGGCAAAGCCTTAATTAACAGAAGTCTCTTTAAAATGGCCCTTGGCAAAAGAGGTACCCATGGCATTTCTGGATCTTTGGTTAGGAAATACATTACCATTTGAAATGCATAAACCCGTCAATCAGTTTCCTAATGTGTGAAGATGTACACACAGGGTTCAGGGGAGCCCTGAGGTGGCACCACTTGTGAGTAAGGAAGCCAGGGTGCCTTCTAGAATGTGGAAATCAATGGACAAACCACAGTAAAGCATTCTGTCCTGTGGGCAACCCCTGGATCACAGACCATATAAGTCCAACTGCTAGATTTTAGCGAGCCCTTGGGATCCCTTCCCCACCCATCAGCTGTTAAGTGGGGAGCATAAAGTGTGCAACTGCAGCTCCTTCCTCTGGAAGATGATAAAAGCAGAGAGGAAACATCCCAGCATAGAGGTATACTTGCGTTTCTTGAACATACACAAAAAACACCCTTGCAGTCTGCAAATTGCATATATGCAATTATTGGGATGCAAACTTCATTTTAATGTTTGAGGCTTTGAATAGCTGCAAGATAGGGCTCGCTATTCAACTCTGCATTTTTTATTTTTTGCATTCTTCTGGAATTTCTGAGTTTGGTTGGTTGGTTTGTTTTCCCTTGTTATGCAGTCATGATAAGATAAAGTGTGTTTCAGAGCTTTTTCATAAAGACAACTATGGATAAAATGGAAGAGGAAAGTTGAGTGCAGTTAAATATACATCTGTGTTACCATGGAACATTGCTTTGTATTCAGGTCTGGCACTTGTATATAGGAGTGCGGCTCCTGACCGCTTCCCATCCAAGTAATGTATCCCTCCTTCGCCCTGAACTAATGAGCCAGAGATACTCAGTGCTAGTCTTTTGAAAGAGAGAAACGTGTATCTATGACGCCGTGAACTCTTGGTCTAACAACTTCGAATTTGCAGGATCTGCAGTTCCTGCCTCTTCCCTCTGAAGATGACAGCCTTGAATCTAGACCGTGTAACTTGGAAGATGTGTCTTTATAGATAAATTCACAATCATGGGTTGGGTATTACTTTTTGGTAATTGGTAATGGAAATGCCCAATCTGAATATTTGAAATCCTTGCTATTTTTAAATGTACCTGTGCTAGATGCCCTATCACCCTTGAGTGGCAAAATGAGGATTCTGTTCTTGTGAATTAATGTGGATTTATGTCCATTTGGGAAGAAAGGGCTTATCTCTGCCTACCCTCTCTTGGTTCTGCTCCATTTCATGGTCTTATTCTTTCTGGGCTTTAGAAGGTTGAATTATTTCCCATAGTGCCTGGTCACTAGGTTATCATGTGTTCATTGAAAGCTGTACGACATCTCTAAAACTACTGAAGAGAAGTTTCTTATACTGTTAGAACTTTTCTCCATGAGCTCCATTTCATCAGTTAGGTTTGAGGCTAGTGGTTCTCAAAACATTTTGCAGCAGCAGAACCTTTCACTTTGAACAAAACTTCAATGGAACCGATGCAGCAAATTGATTTTAAAATGATTTTTGCTCCTCGCTGCTTCACCCCTCCCCCACGCGGTAACCTTCAGCAACAAACGGCAATGGAAAACCAGGAAAGACGACAATGCTTCCTGCTATTCAATTCCTGGAAAGCACAGCAAGGGAAGGAGAGAAGGAGAAGGGATTCCCAGGACATTTCTCCTGCCCCAGTAGTGCATTTAATCTCTTTGACTGTTGCAAAAATGGAAATTGCACATTGTTTGCAATTATCCGCCGTTACAAATACCTCCTTTGGGGTGAAGGTGATGGAGAGGGTTGTGGGGGAGCAGCTGCAAGCATTCTTGGGTGACACAGACTATTAATATCCATTCCAGTGCGGGTTCAGTGCTGGCCAGAGCAAGATGGGAGGAGCACGACTTTGCTCCTGGTTCTTGATCTCTTGCCGGCTTTTGATACTGTAGTCCGTTGTGTGTTCTTGAATGAGAATTGGGTGCAGAGTAGCAGTAGGAGAGTTCCTTTAAGTGCCATTGAATATCTGTCCGAAGCTGTTGGGGAGGAGTCATTAGGAGTTTGGGGTCAAGGGGCCACCAGTATGCTGATGACACTCAGCTCTTGTTTCTCCATAACATCTGAATCGGGAGAGGCCAGGCAGCCCTTGGACTAATACTTGGATGCAATGGTGAAGTGGATGAGGAAGAACAAGCTGAGCTTTGAATCCTGAGAAGACAGAGGCACTGTTGGTGAGTGGTTCCCATGTCTGAGAAATTAGTCAGTTGCCTGCCCTGGATGGCTTGCACTCCCCCTGAAGGAGCAGGTTCACGGCCTGGGGGTACGTCCGTATCCAGCTCTGTTGCTGGTGGCCGAGGTGGCCTCCGTGGCTAGAATTGCAGTCGGTATGACAGCTACGATCATTCCTGAGCTGGGAAAGCTTGGCCAACGTGGTTCATTGCAAGCTTTGAACTGTTTCCTTGCAAAACCAAGATCTGCTCCTTGAAGGGCTGGTCGTTTTGTGCCCGAGTGATACACTGCTGCTCAGACAGAGAAGACGGAGAGGGGGAGGCCGTTTGTCTCAGCTCCTCCTCCTTCCCTGTTAGTTGCCGTGACTCAGTTTCTCCCTGCGGTGGGGGTTGCCGCACAGCTGAAAAGCAGGTCAGCAGCTCCTCCTTCTGGCTAGCTACCATGGTGGTACATAGTGAGTAAGGCTCTTGGATCATCCCGCTCTCCCATTCCTGCTTCCAAACCCTTAGAAATAAATCATAGCAGGCAGGAGACAGTGTTCACCAGCAGCAGGAATGCTCAAGAATGCAATTCATTTTTAGGGGACAAAGGAAAAGAAAATAATTTTCAACACGTTTCTGGGTTAGGCTTCCAAAGACGGAAAGTATGTCTGCTTGAGAAGCTTACTTGTGTTAGTATCAGTTCTAGGCTGCCTGCCTCCCCCAGCCCCCCAAAAAGAGTTGCCCTATTACAAGGGAATATTGTGCCAGTCAAGCACTTTTGCATCTGTTTCCTCATTCTTGTTAGGTCTGTTAGGTAATTGTTCACCTAGGCAGATTTCCTATCAATAAAGCAGGAGTTACTTGCTACCTTCCTGTTGTTAATTTGATTTCTCACCTGCCCTTCACCATAAGGTCTTAGGGTTGTATTGGGCACTGTATTCAAAAATGGGTAATTTGCAGGTGTCGACTGCATTGGGTGTTGTGATACACTGTGCTATTGTTAAGTTTCACAAGCACTGCAAATAGGCAATGTGAACCTCTTGATTCCCATGACCTTTTTGAGGTTATCAGACTAAACAGATATTTTTCTTTGCCTTGCTCCTGGGTTGCTTTGCTTTATCAGCAGCATATAGTGATCTTGTGTATTCTACCAATTTTTATGTGAACAGCAAGGCTTGTTAAATTTTGTCTTGAAAGTGAACGGTGTGGTTTTTTTTGAGAATTCCTTTCCTGAATACCTTAAGCAAAGAAAATATTTGGCAGTTCATTTTTTTTAAGGTATATTCAGATATTCCTATCCTCTTCAAGCCAACATAATTCTTGTCTGTAGCAAAGTATACCACATGGAATTTGACAAGATAAGCCATTAAACCCCTTTGGCTTCAACAGTTGTCTTTGTGTTATATGGATAGATCTTATCTTATATGAGGATTAGGTTCCTGGGGACAGGGCGTCAAACGTTGTCAAGGGCAAAAGCTGAATAATTCCATTGGCTAAACAGCACCGTTAGTGTCTGAAAAATGAGAGTTTCGAGTTCTATGGTTCAATATATCCCGTAGGAGGGATGCCATCTTGCATCCAAATTGTAAATGACGTTTTAGTTGTGTTTTGACTGCAAACCTTCATGGTAAAATCAGCCAATTGCTTTTAGATCAGCTAGAAAATTATTTTGTATGATAACTTATTTTAGAAAAGTAGTCTGTACCACATCATTTCCTATATTAATAGGAAATGCCAAATGAGTGTTACGTGCATGCACAGTTATGTGTGTTTCTGCAACATGCTAAAACTTGTTTGTTATCTAACACGTACTGTACTTTTCTTTCCTGCACATACATCATCCAGCAATAAATATGAATAAGAACCAACAAAGCTTCTGTGAGTGTCCCAAGTGTCATTTTTGTAGCCTTCTTTCTATAGTAATAATTGTAGCCCCTTTCACCAAATGCCCAGGCAGGCTGATGTGATTCTTCATTCCTCCCCTTATGTTTCCCTAAATGCCTCCACTTTGCCTCTGCTCTCCGTTCCTCAGATTTCAGTTCACTTTGTGAACTTTGTGGTTTCACCTCTGTAGTACTCTTTTTCTAATGACCAAATGTGCTGGCCAAAGAAAGACATTAAATGCATCTTGGCATTTAATGCATAAGCAAAAAGCTACTGGATAGGGTATTGATATTTACCGGGAGTGTGACTGGCCGGTAAGGTTAGGTGAGGAGCCTAGTTTGTTAGTACAGGTTGTTTGGAATAACTATCTCTGTTGTTCTGTGGTTTTAAACATAGGTTTTATAGGAAGGGTCGTAGCTCAGTATAGATCACCTGCTGCTTTGCATGCTGGGTTCAATCCCTGGTATCTCCAGGTAGGTCTGGGAGATAATCTTGCTTTGAAACCCTAGATGGACCCAATGGTCTGACTCAGTATAATGGAGATTCCTAGGTTCCTATAGTTACAGATTAAAATGTTTTCTGGCTCCTACTTTAGAGATTATAAATTTCTAAAATCTCTATAATATTACTTTGCCATTATGCTCTTTTCACTGTAGGTTGTATTGCATATGAAATACAGTGGTGCCTCGCAAGACGAAATTAATTCGTTCCGCGAGTTTTGTCGTCTTGCGATTCTTTTCGTCTTGCGAAGCACGGTGTCGGGAAAGTTTTGGAAAAGCTTCAAAAATCACCAAAGTCTTTAAAAACCTCAAAAAAGGCTACCACACCGCGTTCTATGAGTTGCTCCTCGAAGTCAAGTCGCAACTGTATTAACGGTGTTAAGAAAAAGGAAACAAACTTGCAAGACGTTTCCGTCTTGCGAAGCAAGCCCATAGGGAAAATCGTCTTGCGAAGCAGCTCAAAAACCAAAAAACCCTTTCGTCTAGCGAGTTTTTCGCCTTGCGAGGCATTCGTCTTGCGGGGCACCACTGTACTGAATTACTAACAATAACGAAAGCTATTATATATATCCTAAATCCAGCTGTCGTATATTTAAAATGGTCTATGTGGTTGACGCTACAGTTCTGACATTTGCTTTAGAGCCTGGCTGGTTCCAGAGATTGATAAGGCTGTGCAAATGCAAAGGCCTAGCTTATAAAAATTCTCTTGATGTATTTCATTATATGACAGGCTTTTTGGAGATTTAAATATGAAAGCTGGGTATAGGGCCATTTCTCTGTCCAAAACCACCCAGTGAGGTGAGATTCAAACTGGAAATTTCCCAATTCCTATAGTTTAAGATATTCCAAATGTGTACCATAAATTCCTGGTGCTGTATTTTAAATTCATACTAGACATTAATTTTTATTTACCGTATTTTTTGCTCTATAAGACTCATTTTTTCCCTCCTAAAAAGTAAGGGGAAATGTGTGTGCGTTTTATGGAGCGAATGCAAGCTGCACAGCTATCCCAGAAGCCAGAACAGCAAGAGGGATTGCTGCTTTCACTGCGCAGCGATCCCTCTTGCTGTTCTGGCTTCTGAGATTCAGAATATTTTTTTTCTTGTTTTCCTCCTCCAAAAATTAGGTTTATCTTGTGGTCTGGTGCGTCTTATAGAGCGAAAAATCATGGTAGTTCTGACATTTTTTGTTGTTTCTTTTACCCTAGCAGACGTGGACATGGGTATAGCTTGGGTGCAGGCTTCGGTTCATGCGTATGCATTTGCACAGCACTTTGTATCCTCTTAGTGCTTGTCCAGTTGGCAGCAAACTCTTAATGTGGATGAAGTTGTGTATCTTCATTTCAGGAACCAGTAGTATGACTAGCTGTGTGCAACTAGAGCTGGGTGCTTTGTCTGTCCAGGCGTGTTTAAAAGGTTTCAAAAATTTAACGGTGCTTGTTTGTCATGTTCACTGTTCTCCTACATTAGCCCAAATCTTATATGATGTTTGCAGTACATACAATAGACTTTCGGAGATGACACTTGAAAGTAAATAGAGGATTGTTTACACAATAAACAGTTTATTTAAACCATAGATGTGCTGCCCTTTGCTTCGTGCCAGAAATCCAAGATGGCTAACTATAAGGCTTAGCATTGCAATATAGCATAATTTAAATACTGTGGAATTAAATATTATTATTTTTTAAATCCAGATTGCATCAGTGTGACAATAAAATGATATAAAAATCACGCCTAGCCCTAACAACAAAAGCCTTCTTAAAATGAAAGCTCTTACTTACTTTTAAGGAAGGGAGTTGAGATTACATCAAACCTCCCTGAGGCGTAAGAAGTCTGAATATTATCACCAAAAAAGATGTCTAATTTCAGAGAGTAGGGGGAGCAAGGCTTTGATGATGACTTAAGCATCTGAACAGGTACATACTGGGGACAAGTGGTCTCTTTCAGTTATCTGGCTCCAGACCATTTTCAGATTTTATAGGTTAATGCTAGCACTGTGAATTGGGTCATAAAAACAACTGGAAGCCCATGAAGTGCACGTTCTTATTTTTATTCTATGTACACCACTATTACTATATCTGTTTATCATCTCTCTCTCCAGCTTTTGTATGCTGTGCAACTTACAATAGAAATAATGTAAATATAAAACATAAAGCATAAAATCAAAGCGAAACAAATACAGAAAAAACATTTGCACACAGCACCCTCAAGATTATTATTATTTAACTAAAAACTGAGAGGCCTGGAGCACACATTTTTTTTGGAAGGCATGAGTAAACAGATAGATCTTCAGCTGGGGCCAGAATGGCCACACAGACTGTGCCAGGCTAGCTTCCCTGAAAAGGCTGTGTACTATTAACTGGTATTAAAAAAAGGTAAAGGACCCCTGACAGTTAAGTCCAGTCGCGAACGACTCTGGGGTTGCGGCGCTCATCTCTCTTTACTGGCCGAGGGAGCCGGCGTTTGTCCACAGACAGTTTTTCTGGGTCATGTGGCCAGCATGACTAAGCTGCTTCTGGCGAAAGCAGAGCAGCGCACGGAAACGCTGTTTACCTTCCCGCCGGAGCAGTACCTATTTATCTACTTGCACTTTGATATGCTTTCAAACTGCTAGGTGGTCAGGAGCTGGGACCAGCAACGGGAGCTCACCCCGTCGTGGGGATTCAAACAGCCAACCTTCCGATTGGCAAGCCCTAGGCTCAGTGGTTTAGACCACAGCGCCACCCGTGTCCCTAGTTCCATCCGCTACATACCGTTTACATGGTAGTGTTGTGTAAATAATGCCTTCCCTTAATACATTTCTTTGTACACTTCGTGCAAAGGTGGAAAAGTGGTTTAGACCACAGTGTATAGCCATTACCAAAACCAACCTCTTCCTGCTGCTAACCTGCCTTAAGTCATTTGGGGCGAGGAAGATGCGCCCCAAGCAGGGTCTCCAAAGAGGACCTTAAGTTTTGTGTAGCTAAATATGGGAGAAGGTGGTCTTTCAGGTAACCTCATCCCAAACCACTTAGGGATTTAAAGATGAAAGCCAATATTTCATTTTGGGCCCAGAAATGGACTGGAAGCCATCACAGCTGACAAAGCACAGTTTCTAGAGACTTACTTTTATAGGCAGCCTTACATACAATACATTGCTATGGTAAGTAGTAGGTTACTAGATTGTGGGGAATTGTGGTCAAGCCAACTCGATCCAGACAAGGTTACAGTTGGTGCATCAGTTGAAGCTGCTAAAAGATACTTCAAGCTGCAGATGTTACTTAAGCTTCCAACAACAGTGCTTTACTAAGCACCCCTAGATGGCACCTCCATCTAGAAAAGACTGGACATCATTCACTTGGATGGTTGGATGAATGAGCCACCAACCAACAAGACATTGTTTTTATCTCGATTGGAACTTGGTTTATTCACCCTTATCTAGCCAGTTCATCCAACCCATGCCCAAGCTCTGCTTCAGGACAACCACAGCATTTCCAGCATCTGATGAAAGAGAGAGATTAAAGTTGAGTGTCATTTGCATACTGGTGACACCTCAGAACAGATCTCCAGATGACCTCGTATTTCATGGAGATGCTAAACAGCATGGGTAAAAGAACAGAACCCTGCTGAACATCAAAGCACTACTGCCAGGGGATCCAGCAATAACTCCCCAGCACTGTCTTCTGGAAATGGCTATCCCAAAAGGAGCAGAACCATCAAGCAGTGCCTCCTGTCTCCCAGACATAATGTAGAAAGCTATATACAGAAGGCTGATTGTATCCAAAGCCACTGAGAGGTCCAGGAGAATTAATAAGGAAGCAGCCCTCTTGTCTTTTTCTCAACAAAGGTCATGCCAAACATAGTTTCTGCCCCAAAACTAGCCCTGAAACCCAACTAAAAATCCCAAAATGAGATTAGTGTAATCCAAACCTTTTTATTACTGATGTACTGATCTTTTGATCACCTTGGCCAGGAAGGGAATGTTCACCACTGACTTACAGGCTAGGTTTCTTCAGGGGTAATATAATAATGGCTTATTTTAAAGAAGCTGAGACTGCTGCCTCCATCAGACATTTGCAGCCCTTGTGGACCGACTCCCTGCTAGACAAAATAAGTAATGGATGGCAAGAGTCAAGAATACAAGTGGTTGACCAGACTCGCCCAGGCGCCTTGGCCACATCCTCAAGCTCCAATAACTCAAAAGTCATTCCACAAAACCAGATCAGACACTTCCACGATTGACGCTGCTTTAATTGTGGAGCCCAAGTCTTGACTGATACAGGCGACTATCCTCGGAGCATCTTGCAAACGCAGCACAGCTTTCTACTGTTGGTTCTGCAATCTCTTCCCTGGGCCGTATTTCAAAAGGTCCTACACCACATTGGAAAGCTCCTCTGGACAACATTGAAAGGGTGCAATGGGGGGGGGAGAATGGTTTCTACACTCCCATCACTAACTCAGAGTGGACTGATAATAGTCTCTCACTTCAGCCAGACTGTCGTGAGCCTTTTCCCACTTGTGACCCCGCTGTATTCCTGCTTGCTTCATTGCCCTCAGTTCCGGTGTGTACCAAGATGTTGCGTGGATTCTGCTCAGCAAAAGAGGGCACTCGGGAGCAATCAATGGCAACCACCCAAGTAATCCCTGAGGACCACTAGGGTTTCAGCAGCTATTCCAACCATAAATGCCAAAAAATATTCCAGAGCCCTTAGGAATTTATCAGTCTTTGGGAGGTGGGCCCCATTTCACAAGGCTCCCCCAACTCTGCAGAGGGATAAAACCACGAAAAGCCTAAAATACATTCCATTATATGTGGAAACTTGCTGGAAAAGTGGTATATAAATTGTGTAAATAAAGTTAACTTGTTTATTTTATTTTATTTTATTTTATTTTGTAATTTATATTCTAGACCTTTATATCTCCAGGCAGTGCAATTTAAAATAATGATGACAAAGCATATAAACTAATATAGGAAACTGGAACAATGTAAGCATTTTGGTGGGACAAAATTTTGGAGCTGGCTTGGAGGAATTAAAACCCTCAACCTTCTTGGCTGAGACTAGCTATTAACCCAGTTATTGATATTGTTGTCTGCTTGTGTTTATGTATGTTAATTTAAGCATTTATATCCTACCCTCTTGATGGAAAAGACCATTTAGGACAGCTTATAACATTTAAAATTGCATTTTCATAAAAACAGTAAGGAAGAGAGGAACAGCAGTTAAAACCAAACACAAATACATTATCTGCCACGTACAATGAACTGGAGAAAGTACTTTTTAGTGTGTTAGCTAATATGCAGCAGATTTAGCAAATAATTTTGGTAGTTCACAATAATATTGTGCAAAAGAATTCCTAGAATTTTTAGGGTTATGTAGATTTTGTACTTGTCAAATAACCACGAAGAAAATCTGAATTCTGCAAAGTTTGTAAGTATGCATGTTAAGGATATCACTCTCAGTGAAGGAGAGCGTCCTATATTGAGGCAATGCACATTCAATTTTCCTTCTGGGGAAAGAGTGCCACTTTAGTTACTGTGCTGTCCTCACTCTGAGAGAAAGCTCTTCGTAAGCTCTGAAAGCTGTATTCTGAACTCTCTATCAGTTTCTACACTTGCATGTTGGAATCACATTGTATATGCAGCCAGGTTGTAAGTTTTAAACACATTTAGCTAAATTTCATGATCTCAAATTCAACTGTCTGGATTTATGTCTTAGCATTTATTTCTCCCGAGCACCATCAACTGACTCTTAACGCTTCTTTGGCTTCCCCTCTCAATTCCCATTTCCTCGTTACCTTGGCTCAGAACCAGATCCTATCGTGGTCCACTGATAGTTCACTGGATATTGTTCTGTGCTGTTGGCAGAGACTCTGAAGCACTGCTAAATCTACAAGGGGATTTATTGCAGAACCACAGAGCTGTCATCTTCAGCAGACAGGACCCTCTTGGAACTTTTCTCTCTTCCAGTTTCTAATAACAATAATGATGAATTGAATCCAAGAATTGGTTTTTCCTGCTCCATTCTAAGTACCGTATTTTTTGCTCTATAAGACTCACTTTTTCCCTCCTAAAAAGTAAGGGGAAATATGTGTGCGTCTTATGGAGCAAATGCAGGCTGCACAGCTATCCCAGAAGCCAGAACAGCAAGAGGGATTGCTGCTTTCACTGCGCAGCGATCCCTCTTGCTGTTCTGGCTTCTGAGATTCAGAATATTTTTTTTCTTGTTTTCCTCCAAAAACTAGGTGCGTCTTGTGGTCTGGTGCGTCTTATCAAGCGAAAAATACGGTACTCTTAGACAGCCTATCCACTAGGAAGCACCCATGTCAGAATAGGAAACATTTCACTCACTGAGTAATTGACAGATGTTCCACTGAAATGTCATAAATGCTTTTTCTTTTTAGGACAATTTTCCTTTTGCTTATAGTAGAGCCTAGTCGATAACAGTGGGCCACGCACACTCATACTTGCAGGGGTCTTCTGTCACACAAAAAGGAGTTTGTTAAATGAGAATGCAAGAAAGTTTGGGCAGGATTCACCTAACACACCCCATCAGAGGAAGCCCTGTGCCGGGACTTGCACTTGCAAAATGGGGCTTTCCCCTCTCTCATGCCCCCTGACTGGCTCTGGGGAGGTTGGGAGAAGCCTTAGAACAGTGTGGGGGGCAGGGAGGGGAGTTGTTGTATCTGGCAAGCTGCAGTGCTTGCACAAACAGTATTTGGAAGAATGTGACATTGAATCCCACCTTTTATTAATTCTCCTTTAGATTTCAGACAGTCAAGGAGACGAGAGATCAGAGTCTCCTTATGAAAGTGCAGACGAAGGTCTTGCAGAAGCCTCTCTGTCGTACAAAAAGTCTGATCGTGGAGGAGCAACAAGGAAAGAATACGTTTGCCAGGTAAGGGAGACATCTTGTTTGGGTAGGCGACAGGTTGCAGTTTTATGTACAGTCGTACCTTGGAAGTCAAACAGCTTAGTTCCTGAATGTTTTTCCTCCTGAACGTCGCAAACCCAGAAATGACTGTTCCAGTTTGCAAACTATTTTTGGAAGCCAAACGTCCGACGCGGCTTCCGTGGCTTCCTGCAGCCAATCAGAAGCCGTACTTTGGTTTCTGTTTCACTTCTGAGGTACGACTGTACTCTGAAGTGATCTCTTATGCACTGCACTGTAGGCATAAATAGAATTGGGCAAGATTTTAATTGCTCTCACCAAAGGATCAAAAAGGTTGTTAATGAGTGGAGAGAGGAGGGTTTTCCTGTTCCTTTGCTCATACATACAGGAATGAAATTGTGGAATAGAAATGTGGTTTTAAATATGTCATAAAACTGAGAAGGACAGAAACAGTTCATCAGTATCCTGTACCCTTTTTCAACTCTTAACTTTTTTTCTTCTCATAGCTCTGTGAAAAGCCTGGAGACTTGCTGCTCTGTGAAGGACGGTGTTTTGGTGCTTTTCATGCAAGATGCACCGGGTTCTCTGGAAAGGCCTCGGAACACTTTATTTGCAGCGAATGCTCTTCAGGCAAGTCTTCGCTCATGCATGCCAGCAATATTTGCATATTTCGTTTGAAGAAATTATTATCTTTTAATGCCATGCTTACCTGAAGGATAAGATTTCCGTTATCAAGTTCACTCTAAGTTGTTTTTTCCCCCTCCTGCAGAAAACCTTTCTTATTTGGGATTGGTAAGGCTTTCCTCTGGTTTTCTTTGTTAGTGATCTGAAGGAGCTTTGCCTTCTCTTGCAAGTTTAGGACTTGGTTGAATTGCATGGGTAATCAGGAACAAGTTGCTCAGTAAACATTCCTTGCGGTGTTACTTTTTTCTGCTTGTGGTGCTTCTGTGATGGATTGTGTGACCCTGTCCCTTGGTTCTCAAACTAAATCCATTCCAGAAGTCCATTTCAGAAGTCCGTTCCAAAACCAAAGCATTCCAAAAACAAGGCGCATTTTCCCATAGAAATGAATGCAAAATGAATTCATCCGTTCCAGACTTTTAAAAGCAACCCCTAAAACAGCAATTTAACATGAATTTTACTATATAACAAGACCATTGATCTTTAAAATGAAAGCAGTAAACAATGTACTGCGGTCACACAATCAATCAATCAATCAATCTGTAGTTGAACTGGGTTCCACACAGTCACACACACACAAAAAGAGCTGCAAAAATAAATAGCAAAAATGGGCAGACCTCAGTGTAACACTCAAAACAGAAGCGTAACACTCAAAATGGAGCACGTTTGGCTTCTGAAAAACCAGAACACTTCTGGGTTTGCAGAGTTTGGGTTCCAAGTTGTTCAAGTTGAATCCTGACAAGACAGAAGTACTGTTTTTGGGGGACAGGGGGTGGGCTGGTGTGGAGGACTCCCTGGTCCTGAATAGGGTAACTGTGCCCCTGAAGGACCAGGTGCGCAGCCTGGGAGTCATTTTGGACTCACAGCTGTCCATGGAGGCGCAGGTCAATTCTGTATCCAGGGCAGCTGTCTACCAACTCCACCTGGTACGCAGGCTGAGACCCTACCTGCCCGCGGACTGTCTTGCCAGAGTGGTGCATGCTCTAGTTATCTCCCGCTTGGACTACTGCAATGCGCTCTACGTGGGGCTACCTTTGTAGGTGACTCGGAAACTACAACTAATCCAGAATGCGGCAGCTAGACTGGTGACTGGGGGCAGCCGCCGAGACCACATAACACCGGTCTTGAAAGACCTACATTGGCTCCCAGTACGTTTCCGAGCACAATTCAAAGTGCTGGTGTTGACCTTTAAAGCCCTAAACGGCCTCGGCCCAGTATACCTGGAGGAGCGTCTCCACCCCCACTGTTCTGCCTGGACGCTGAGGTCCAGCGCCGAGGGCCTTCTGGCGGTTCCCTCATTGCAAGAAGCAAAGCTACAGGGAACCAGGCAGAGGGCCTTCTCGGTAGTGGCGCCCACCCTGTGGAACGCCCTCCCATCAGATGTCAAAGCGATAAACAACTACCTGACATTCAGAAGACATCTTAAGGCAGCCCTGTTCAGGGAAGTTTTTAATGTGTGATATTTTAGTGTATTTTTGGTTTCTATGTAAGCCGCCCAGAGTGGCTGGGGAAACCCAGCCAGATGGGCGGGGTACAAATAATAAATTATCATTATTATCATCATCATTATTATTATTATTATTATTATTATTATTATTAAAGTAACAAGGCATTTGAGAACCAAGGTACCACTGTATACAGAAGCAGTATGTCTCTCTCTGTTGTTGCTGCGAATCACAAGTGGAAAGTGCATTGTTGCAGTCATCTCCTGCTTGCGGGCTTCCCTTTGGCATCTGGTTGGCCACTGTGAGAACAGGACATTGGGCTAGACCAGCTTTTCATGTCAATCCAGCAGCAGGCCTCTTTTTACATTTTTAGAATATCGCATCTCTCTCATTCTTTTCAGGTGTTGTGTTCCTTTCTTTATTACGATGCTAAACACATTTTCAGTTTGGGATACAAAACCTGCCTAAACCCCTGAGACATTTTAGATGTTCTAGAATCTGAATGTACTTTTGGAAAGCTATAATTTAAGGTAGATGTTTGCCCTGATCAGGGTTACGGCCCACCCAGTCTTCTCTCATAATGGCTTTCATAGGGATTGGATACATTTGCCTTTTGGGGGGGTGTGTCAGAAAGTGCATGTACTTCATGTTATATATAATATTGGGAATGTTTTTATCTGTAAGAAATTGAGCCCTGCTTGCACATCATGGCAGAGCAATGAAATGTAAGAAAACCTAAGATACCAGGTAACTTACTGATGTATAAATAGTGCATCTGCTGAAAAAATGGCTGATAAAAGGTGGAAACTCTGGCTTCGCTGATAGAGGCATTTAGGATCTTGGTCTTAAATATTCATAGGAGATGCATTAGTGAAGAAGTACATGTGAAGACTAATCAGTCACAATGTTGATTAAGTGTGGTGGCGGCTTTTTAATTTAGAAACTTCAGTTTCTGATGTTTCAATTAATTACCAGTAGAAGTAAGGTGGTTTTGTATTAGTCTTTAGAGTTTAAAAATATTCAACTTGTCTTTAATTCTTTTTATTAGGTGTTCACACATGTTTTGTGTGTAAAGAGAAAAAGTCAGTAGTGAAACGCTGTATTGTATCCCACTGTGGAAAATTCTACCACGAAGCTTGTGTGAAAAAGTTTCGCCTCACGGTGTTTGAGAACAGGGGTTTCCGATGCCCTCTCCACAGTTGTGCGAACTGTCACGTTGCTAACCCTTCAAATCCCAAAGTATCCAAAGGTATTTATTTTCTGTTTCTTCCCCCACCTTACATATTTAGAGTACTGGCGCAGAGGTGATTCACACACCATGTTATCCACAGCCTAGATGCTACTGCCATTTGTCATGTGAACCCTCACCGAAAAGCATGAAGAGCTTCCATGCCAGCAGCAGAAGCTCTCAGAAATAACTAGTACTAGGATAAAATTCCATATACAGTGGAACCTCAACACCCTAGTGGTCCCGGGCCTTAAGGAAGTTAGATTAGCTTCAACCAGAGTCAGGGCCTTTTCAGCTCTGGCTCCGGCCTGGTGGAACGCTCTGTCTCATGAGATCAGGGCCCTGCGGGATCTGATTTCTTTCCACAGGGCCTGTAAGACAGGGTTGTTCTGCCTGGCCTTTGGCTTGGAGCCAATTTGATTCCCTCCCCCTCTTTCTTTTTTCTTTTTCCTTTCTCTTCCTGTGATGAGGCTGCATTTTAATATTTTAATGTTTCAATATTTTAATGTATTTTAATCTTGTTTTTAAGTTGTATTCATTCAACTTGTTTTTATTATTGCTTGTTAGCCGCCCTGAGCCCTTGGCTGGGGAGGGCGGGGTATAAATAAAAATTGTTGTTGTTGTTGTTGTTGTTGTTGTTATTATTATTACTTACGGACATAATCAGTTCTGGAGGTTCGTCCGTAAGTCGATCCGGGTCGCTGGTAGAAGCGCCGTTGTGCGCAGACGCATTCGGTGGCAGCTGCTTCTGCACGTGCGCAAATGGCAGAAGTATTTACTTCCAGGTTTGCTGTGGTCGCAACTTGGATTGGGCCCAAGTAGAGGCGGTCATAAGTAGAGGTTCTGCTGTATTGGGAATTTCCACATGGCCATTAAGAATGAAGCCAGGATGTGGAGAAGTCCTGTTTTGTCGAATGAATTTCATCGGAATGAGTTCTTCGCTATAAAACAGAAGCTGAGTGCCCAATCTTCCCCTACACACAGAGGGGAACCCAGAGGCGTCTCATGCTCGTCGCTGCTCATTGTACTAGCACCCCATGGTTTGGGAGGGTTGTCAGAACTGAACCATTATATTTGTAGTCGTTTAGTCGTGTCCGACTCTTCATGACCCCCTGGACCAGAGCATGCCAGGCACTCCTGTCTTCCACTGCCTCCCGCAGTTTGGTCAAACTCATGCTGGTAGCTTCAAGAACACTGTCCAACCATCTCGTCCTCTGTCATCCCCTTCTCCTTGTGCCCTCCATCTTTCCCAACATCAGGGTCTTTTCCAGGGAGTCTTCTCTTCTCATGAGGTGGCCAAAGTATTGGAGCCTCAGCTTCAGGACCTGTCCTTCCAGTGAGCACTCAGGGCTGATTTCCTTCAGAATGGATCGGTTTGATCTTCTTGCAGTCCATGGGACTCTCAAGAGTCTCCTCCAGCACCATAATTCAAAAGCAGCCATTCTTCGGCGATCAGCCTTCTTTATGGTCCAGCTCTCACTTCCCATTGATTCCCCAATGTTTTCAGTCAATCTTCTTAAAGGGGTGATGCACATGTTTATTTTATTTTATTCATTTTATTTCATTTTATTTTTGTTTCTGCCAGGCAAAATGGTGCGTTGCATCCGCTGCCCTGTGGCTTATCATGCTGGAGACGGTTGCGTTGCCGCAGGGTGCTCAGTGATCACTTCCAGCAGCATAGTTTGCACCAACCACTTCATTGCCACTAAAGGGAAGAGCCATCACGCGCATGTCAATGTAAGCTGGTGCTTTGTATGCTCGAAAGGTAAATAAATGGAGTGTCTTTATTTTTTTTCTTATAAAAGTAACGGGCGTTTAAATTTCACAGTTTTGAAAAGATGATTATATTGAAGCTATTACTGCAGTAAGTTTTCTTTCCTTAAAGTTCGCTTATTCTATTTAAAGAACTTGCTTTGCCATTCCAAAACGTGTGTGTTGTGAGGGTGCGTGCGGGGAGACCGCACCCCCATCGTTCAGCCCAGTGGCACTGAAATCCAGCGCCGAGGGCCTTCTGGCGGTTCCCTCATTGTGAGAAGTGAGGTTACAGGGAACCAGCCAGAGGGCCTTCTCGGTAGTGGCGCCCACCCTGTGGAACGCCCTCCCAGCTGATGCCAAGGCAATAAACAACTATTTTACTTTTAAAAGACATCTGAAGGCAGCCCTGTTTTGGGAAGTTTTTAATATTTAACGTTGTATTGTTTCTAATATTCAATTGGGAGCCTCCCAGAGTGGCTGGGGAAACTCAGCCAGATGGGCGGGGTATAAATAATAAATTATTATTATTAAACCCAGGAATTTGCATGTTCCTGCATTGCAGGGGGTTGGTCGCCCTAGGTCAGGCATCCTGGTAGATGGCGGGACCCTTTATCGATCGTGGGATTAAATAAAGTTTACCAAAAGTTAACAAATAAAAGCTGAAGAACTCTGGGCAATCCTACCCCCAAAGAAGCTCAACAACTCTGGGTTCAACAACTCTGGGAAATCCACCCACCCCACAGACGCTCCTCCTCCCTCCAGTGACAATGTGTAGATCACTGCCAGTTTTTTTATTCTGACAGTAGATCGCAGTCTCTTGGGAGTTGGACGTGCCTGCACAAGGTGAAACCTGGGGTCTCTTCCAACTCTACAATTCTATGTCTAAATGTATCGGTGTGTGGAGCACTTGCAGTAAGGCATGCAGACACATGTCCTTTTATTACAGTTTTATTGAGGTTAGAGAGGGCATAATATATCCTCTTAGAATATGGTTTTGTCCTCAGTCTTTGCCATAGATTCTATAGAGTCCCTCCTCAGTACTGGACAGTTAAGAAAACACCTGCCCGTTGTCATGTGCCTGGTTTTATGCCTGTATGGGTGACTGTCTTAGAACCGCATCTAAGCTACATTGAGATATAAGTCTCTCTCAGGTGTCTTATAATCGTTAGTTTTAGCTCATCATTTTTACGTAATTTCTTTCACCGAGGTTGTGAATTTGTACAAAAACCCTTCGCGTTCTGTCATTGGTTGGTTGACCATAGTAAACGCATGGTTAAAAATGCAAGCAACAAGGTTTGAGGATTGTAATTATTATTATTATTATTATTAATAACAATACCCCACCCATCTGGCTGAGTTTCCCCAGCCACTCTGGGTGGCTCCCAACAGAGTAATAATAATAATAATACAGCGATCAAACGTTAAAAACATGTATTGGTGACAAATACACAAAGGTTTGTGGAACCTGCCTCTTTCCACAGACAAAAATGCATTCGTAAGAAATAAAACCATTGCTGTGACTAGCCAGTTTTATTGGTAGCTCTTGCCTGCCTGCCACTGCCATGTGGCCCTTAGAAGGTTCCCCATGAAGAGATGTGCCCCCCCAGGCTAGAAAAGGTGCTCCACCACCCCCACCCCCGAATTAGAAGTGCAACCTGTTCCAAACAAAGTTGCATTACCCCTGAAGGATCACGTTCACCGTTCGGAGGCATCTGGGAGGCCAGGCGTTCAGGCAGATCACTGCGTGTTGTCCCAAGCTCCCTTTCTCCTCCCGTTAGGTGACTTGTGCTGCCGACCATTCAGCAAGTACATTGCTATTTAAATGTGGATTTCTTTTCTTGCAGGGGGAAGCCTTTTATGTTGTGAATCTTGCCCTGCAGCATTTCACCCAGATTGTTTAAACATTGAAATGCCGGATGGAAGCTGGTACTGCAACGACTGCAAAGCAGGAAAGAAAATCCATTTTCAGGATATTATTTGGGTCAAACTGGGAAACTACAGGTTTGGACTTCTAAAAATAGAATGACTATTTGAAGTGGCCTTTATTTTTATTAATGCATGCTTGTATCCCAACCTTTCCTTGAGCAGGGGGAATTCCTGTACAAGCCCATTCATGACGGGGCTGAGATTCAGCAACCTTTTATTGGTTTTCTTCAGAGAGAACAAGGTTCTCAAATTCTCCCTTCTTCTTTTGGGCTAGGTGGTGGCCTGCAGAAGTCTGCCATCCAAAAAACGTCCCTCCAAATATCCAGAAAATGAAGCATGAGATTGGAGAGTTTCCTGTGTTTTTTTTTGGCTCTAAAGACTATTACTGGACGCATCAGGCTCGCGTGTTTCCCTATATGGAAGGAGACAGGGGAAGTCGGTACCAGGGAATTAAAGGAATTGGAAAAGTCTTCAAAAATGGTATGGCTATTTAATCATTTAGCTAAAAACAGAGTACAGTCCTACCTTGGTTCTCGAACGAAATTCGTTCCGGAAGCCCGTCCAGGTTCCAAAACGTTTGAAAACCGAGGCGCGGCTTCTCATTGGTTGCAAGAGCTTCTTGCACTCAGAGGAAGCCGTGTCACATGTTTGGGTTCCGAAAAACGTTCAAAAACGGAAGCATTTACTTCTGGCTTTTCGGCGTTCGAGAACCGAAACATACGACAACAGAGGTGTTCGGGAACCGAGGTTCTACTGCACCATAGGTTCTAGCTACCTGGGTGCCGAAGCACCCACAAAATTCCCCATGAAGGGGCCAGGTACCCACAAATTTCTGTGCCAGGGTCATGCACCATGATTGCAGAGCCAAGATGGCACTCCTGCAGAGTACTGTAATACAATGTGATAGTTGTTGTTGTTGTTTAGTCGTTTAGTTGTGTCTGACTCTTTGTGACCCCATGGACCAGAGCACGCCAGGCCCTCCTGTCTTCCACTGCCTCCCGCGGTTTAGTCAAACTCATGCTGGTAGCTTCGAGAACACTATCCAACCTTCTCGTCCTCTGTCGTCCCCTTCTCCTTGTGCCCTCCATCTTTCCCAGCATCAGGGTCTTTTCCAGGGAGTCTTCTCTTCTCATGAGGTGGCCAAAGTATTGGAGCCTCAGCTTCACGATCTGTCCTTCCAGTGAGCACTTAGGGCTGATTTCCTTCAGAATGGATAGGTTTGATCATCTTGCTGTCCATGGGACTCTCAAGAGTCTCCTCCAGCACCATAATTCAAAAGCATCAATTCTTTGGCGATCAGCCTTCTTTATGGTCCAGCTCTCACTTCCATATATCACTACTGGGAAAACCATAGCTTTAATTGTACGGGCCTTTGTTGGCAAGGTGATGTCTCTGCTTTTTAAGATGCCGTCTAGTGATAGTACCATTTTTAAAATAAAACACCATTGCACTTCAGCCACAAACCACAATGCTATAAATGGACTGAGGCTGCATTGGTCAGCTTTCAACTCTCTTTGCTTCTGCTTGCAGTGCATTTGAAGAAGCTTGTTAACTTGCTTTTCACCCAAGGAAATGGGTATATTTATTTTAGAAATGGTATTAACAGAGGTTATTAAAAAAAAACAAAAACGTAACTGCAACTGTGGCCTTCAGCAGATCCAGCAGCGAAGAAACAAGAATGAGCAGAGATGATCGGAAGATGCTTTGAAACACTATATTCCCCAGAAACCACTGGGTCAAATCTTCTTTAGTGTCACACAGTGGCTAGGTGACCTTAGTCCAGCCACTCTATTTTCAAGCCTCTGTATCTGTACTATAGTGATTACTCACCTGCTTTACAAGCTTGTAAGGGTTACTGAGATAATGCATGTAATGCAATTTGAATAACTGAAAGCACTGTAAACACTAAGGATGCCAGAAATTGTCTGAAGGTGAAGGTCCCTACTGCCAGACTAATATCTTGTCTTTCAAGCAGCTAAATGATGTGTTTATGGTCACTGTATGGGGAAGTCTCTCACTGTGGTTCATTTGTATGTTCTGTTTACTCATTTCAAGTATTAGATTTTACTATTACGTTGTATGTTTTTAGGCTGCATTGTTAACTGCTGTAGGAACTCTTGAAGGTGTGGTGGGATAATGGGCAAATACATAAATATATTACATAAAAGAGTCTTGGGCATTGATTTTCCACGTCCTAAAAGTCCTCATAGTGGAGCTTCTTTAATTTGAAACCTGGCATTTAACATTGATGTCAACCCCAAAGATAATATGAAGTGCTGCTGGATCAAACAATTGAGGTACAAGTATCCAAGCACTTCCCTCAAATCCTGTGAGTGGGCATGTTCATAATCTCTGCCTGCGCATTATACGTTAGAGGGTAGGGTATGTTCATGTGGATAAAATATTTGTTCCTACAATTCATGCAAATAGTTTATTTTTAAAGCTTTGCAAGAAGCTGAAGCCCGCTTCCGAGAGATAAAGTTCCAACGGGAAGCCAAAGAAACGCAGGAAAATGAGCGCAAACCTCCCCCTTACAAACACATCAAGGTAAGGTGCTTAAGGGCAGGTGCTGTTCATTTGATCCGCCCTGGAAGCTTAGTTCACCTGTTCTTTAGGACAGGATCCTAACATGCAGCCTATTGCTGTGTCCCAAGACCTTTTGAACTGGGACCAATGGATGTTCGCCTGAGAAACATTTTTCAAGCCCTTGTTCACAGTTGACCTGAATATGGCACTTTGAAGAGCTTTGCATCAGTCATAAGGCTGAAGAAATAAAAGGCAGTTCTTCGGTTCCCTTACCCGTCTAGTTTGGGATGACAACAAGTTCATAGATAAATCAAGGGTTTTAATTTCATTGGAATATTAGAGAAGAATATATAAACCTGTTGGTAATTAAAATCCATATTTGAACGGAGGTAGAACAAACCAAATCCTTACCCAAAACAATATTGTTCTTGAGGAATGGATGTGATTTTTATATGACTAGTTAATCTGTGAGTTTTAGGGTTGTTTACAGACCCAACTGAGGGCTCTTAATCTGTCCCTCACCTGGGGCAAGGCCTCACCTTGCCCTGAATCAGTTTGTGTCTGAGGGATGCTAATGCTTAATTATGGTTTATTTGGTCCATCTTGATTCAACATGCTATCTGGCATCCAAATGTAGGCAAAGATTGCTGCCTGTCCCTCAGGAACCATTTTCCTGAGTTGGGTGACATTAACTTCAGAAGCATCCACGCTGGTTCTGGTTGTAACTGTCACACCAAATTTGACAAAGTCACATCAAACTGGGTGGAAATATCTTCAGCGGCATACAAATCAGCACAGTTTGGACATTTAAAGCGAAGCCACGCCAAAGTCATGTTTCAGTCGGCCATCTTGATTCAAAATGGCACCAAAGATAAAGACTGCTGGTTCTCCCTCAAGGATCCTTGTGCTGAGCCAAGGGACAATATTTTCACAGGCATTTGAATTGGTGTGTGTTGGAACTGTCAAGCCAAACTGGGAGACGGTATCGTCAGAGCTGGCCAAATTGGTGCAGGTTGGGTTCATTATGCCAGATTTGGCAGTGTACTGCCAAAAGGGGGCTATGATATCTTCAGAGGCATCCGGGCTGGCACCGTTTGAATCAGGCAAAGTCACATTTCAGACCTACAGGTTAATTTGAACTGGTAGTCAGCACCCCAACACCACTAAAAAGTGCTTCTCCCACCTCAGGAACACTCCTGCCAAGTTTGGAATTTAAACACCTTAGTCCTGTCACACCAAAAATCAGGTAAAGTCATATTTCAGAGCGCCATCTTGATTGATGATTGCCTGAAATGGAATTGACTGCCGCTTCCGAGATTAGTTGGGGTGTGTGTGTGTGTTAATTTTAGAGATTAAACGAGTTGGAATATAGATTGCCTTTTTGAGAAATAATAGCCAATAACTGCTTCGTTGTTGTTGTTTTTTAATATGTTATTCAGGTAAATAAGCCTTTTGGAAAAGTTCAGATTTACACTGCTGACATTTCTGAGATTCCCAAATGCAATTGCAAACCCTCTGATGAGAACCCCTGTGGTTTAGATTCAGAGTGTCTAAATCGGATGCTAATGTATGAATGCCACCCACAAGTATGTCCGGCCGGAGAGCGCTGCCAAAACCAGTGTTTTACTAAGCGCCAGTATCCTGAAACGAAGATCATCAAGACTGATGGCAAAGGATGGGGCTTGGTTGCAAAGAGAGACATTAAAAAGGTAGGCGTTAAATGAGCTGGGTCCATTCATGGGAGCATCTTGTGATGCTTCGCTTTGGAACAAGAAGAATTCTTCCCTGTGCACGTAGCATTGGGTTCTCTATTTTGCTTCCCTCTAGGGCCACCTTCCCAAACTAGTGTCCCTCAGATATCTTGGACTCCATCATCCATGGGTTGACTTGAGTTGTGATACAGAACATCTAGGGGACACGAGGTCTAGAAAGGATTATCTAAGAGCATCAGTGGTTGCCATAGGCCTCAAAATGGGCTTTTTCTGTGGTAACTCCCTGTTTATGGAATGCTCTCCCCAGGGAGGTTCATCTGGTGCCATTAAACACCTTTAGGAGCCAGGTGAAAACATTCCTCTTCAACCAGGCCTGTGACTGGTTTTTAATGTGTTTGGGGCAGGGGAGTTAATTGGTTTGGTTTGTTCTTGTTTTTTTCTTATGTATTGTGTTTGTATCTTGTATTTTTTATAAATCAATAAAATGAAATATATGGGAGCAAAGATGGGGTAAGGAAAGAGAATGGGGGATAAAAAGGGAGATGAGATGGAATAGACAAGGTATGGATAAGACTTATTAGATTTATTTATTTTTTAATCTCCCTTCTTCAAAAAGACCATACATGATTTTGTTCTTTTCTGTTAAGTTTTATGCTGTACTTTACATTTAGGTTTTGTACGATTCTTATTTTGATACGTTATTATATATTATTGGATGGCACGCTGTTAATAAATAAGTCGTACCTCTAGATACGAACGGCATCCGTTCTGGAGCCCCGTTCGCATCTAGAAGCAAACATAGCTAGCGACGGCACATCTGCGCGCACGCACGGCACTTTTCGTCACTTCTGCGCATGCGCGTGATGTCATTTTGAGCGTCTGCGCAAGCGGCAAAACCTGGAAGTAACACGCTCCATTACTTACGTGTTGCTGCGGAGCGCAACTCGAACGCGCTCAACTCGAGGCATATTCAACCCGAGGTATGACTGTAATAAATAAAATTATCTATTCCTCAGGGTGAGTTTGTGAATGAGTACGTTGGTGAGTTAATTGATGAAGAGGAATGCATGGCAAGAATCAAGTTTGCTCAGGAAAACGATATCACCCACTTTTATATGCTTACTATTGATAAGGTATAGTATTTTAAAATGATTTGAATCTCATGGTTGACCTAGATAAAAGAAAAAACACAACTACCATAAACCATTGTGATCAGTGGCAGCTTGGCCATTTGTCAGAAGCTGCCTCGGGGTGCTTCTGAAACAGGAGTTTGTTGTGGAATTGGTGCTGCTCTTGTATACAAGCTATTCTCAAGGGTTTTTTTTCCTTATTTTTCTTATGTATTTTGTGTTTTTTTAGTATTGCAATTTTATGTTTTTTAAAAAATACTGAATTTCCATTTTAACACTCCAATAAAAACCACATTAAAACATTCCAAATTATAATACAGTTTTAAAAAGCCAAATATCAATGCCAAATCATATGACTTTTGGGTGTTATCCCATGCTCTGAAGTTCGGGGAACTCCTGTGGAATTTTATGTTGTTAACTGCCCTGAGATCTATGGACGCAAGGCAGTATGCTACAGTGGTGCCTCTGGTTACAAACTTACCGTATTTTTCGTCCTATAGGGCACACCGGCCCATAGGACGCACCTCTTTTTTTGGGGGGGGGATGAATAAAAAAAAATATCCCCCCCCCCGGCTGCCGCCCCAAGCCTTGCGCACACCTGCCCGAAGCACGGGGCACCCTCAGGAGGGCTCCACGTGTTTCGGGCTGCAGGCTGCCGCCCCAAGCCTCACGCGCCCGGCGGGACCTCCTGCCGGGCGCTCAAGGCTTGCGGACACTCGCCGGGGCTGCAGGCTGCTGCCCGCAAACCTTGTGAGCCCGCGGGAACTCCCGCCGGGCTTGCAAGGCTTGTGGATAGCTTCAGTGAAAGCCTGCATTCACCCCATAGGACGCACACACATTTCCCCTTCATTTTTGGAGGGGAAAAAGTGCGTCCTATGGGGCGAAAAATACGGTAATTCGTTCCGGAGGTCCGTTCTTAACCTGAAACTGTTCTTAACCTGACGTACCACTTTAGCTAATGGGGCCTCCCGCTGCCGCACAATTTCTGTTCTCATCCTGAGGTCAAATTCTTAACCTGAGGTACTATTTCCAGGTTAGCGGAGTCAGTAACCCGAGGTACCACTGTACTAATACTAATACTTCTCTTTGGCCGTCATCTGAGCAGAACCTGATGTTATGTGACTCCTAGCCCAAATGATATGAGTGTGTCTATTGCAGCCAGTTGCTTCAGGCTCCCTTGTCCAGAGCACCGCTGAAGTAGCAGCTTACATGAGGGTGTCAAGCTGTTTTGTAGGGGTGCCTGCCTCTTAGGCTACAGCAGGGGTCAGCCAACTTTCAGCAGGGGGCCGGTCCACTGTCCCTCAGACCTTGTGGGGGGGCCGGACTATATTGAGGGGTGCGGGTGAACGAATTCCTATGCCCCACAGATAACCCAGAGATGCATTTTAAACAAAAGCACACATTCTACTCGTGTAAAAACACGCCTATTCCTGGATCGTCCGTGGGCCGGATTGAGAAGGTGATTGGGCCAGATCCAGACCCGGGCCTTAGTTTGCCTACCCATGCACTACAGCAAAGCAGCATCTAAGCCACCTAGCAAAGGAGACTTTAAATGTCTACAGAGTAGATCTTCTAATATCCCCAATATTCTAGTATTTCCTTTAATACATGTGAACTAACACACGCTATCATTATAATTCTTCCTGCCAAATTCTCCAGACCCTCCATCCCCAAGCAAAGCAATAGGTTGGCTGCATTTTCATCTCCTGCTCTGTATCATTTTGAATGTTGTAGCTTACAGGATTCAAAAACTATTAGTATACTGTTTTTACATTTATCATTTAAGAATCTAATATTGAGTAAAGCTATGCCAATTTTAGGGATGCGGGTGGCGCTGTGGGTTAAACCACAGAGCCTAGAACTTGCCGATCAGAAGGTCGGCGGTTCGAATCCCCACAACGGGATGAGCTCCCGTTGCTCAGTCCCTGCTCCTGCCAACCTAGCAGTTCGAAAGCACGTCAAAGTGCAAGTAGATAAATAGGTACCGCTCTGGCGGGAAGGTAAACGGCGTTTCCATGCGCTGCTCTGGTTCGCCAGAAGCAGCTTAGTCATGCTGGCCACACGACCCGGAAGCTGTACGCCGGCTCCCTTGGCCAGTAAAGCGAGATGAGCGCCGCAACCCCAGAGTCGGCCACGTCTGGACCTAATGCTCAGGGGTCCCTTTACCCTTTACCTTTTATGCCGATTTTAGTTATCTGAAAGATACACAAATCAAGACTTCTTTTGAAAGATGCTTCCAGTGGTGCTGTTCCTGTCTCTTTTTATAATCTGGGAAGATTCAGCAAATGTAGTGCAGTTACAACTAGGGATACGTTGGGAGTTTGCCGGCCTGTTTTAGCATTGTGTTGGCGTGAAGAGCTACAAGTTCAACTCAACATGTATGATTAGCTCTGCCGGAGCAACGCTTGCTTTGCCGTTAAACCAAATCCCGTCTGGTTCTATTCCCGACTTTTAGGACCGCATAATTGACGCCGGACCCAAAGGAAATTATTCCCGGTTTATGAACCACAGCTGCCAACCAAATTGTGAGACTCTGAAATGGACTGTACATGGCGACACTCGTGTAGGACTGTTTGCTGTGTGTAGTATCCCGGCAGGTACATACGAACGTTAGGACGGCAGAATCATTTTCCGCAGCTCAGAGCCTTGTGTAAAAAGTGTACTCTGTAGTGTTCACAGGCTTCTTAATTTACTCCAGTGCCGGGACCAGTTCCGCATGTGTGGTGGACCTGCCTCGGTCACCAGAAGTGCTCAGGGGATCCTTCTTCCCACAGCAGATCAAGCTTTGCTTTGGAACCGACGTAAATCACTTGCATGCCTTTTGATCTCCCCTCTCTCTCTGAATAGAACTTTTACAGCATACAAAATATTTCCTTTGAAATCAGTCAGTGTTTCCCAGAAAGCGAGATAAAAAACTAAGATCTTTTTAGCTGTACGATCACAACTTTCCTAAAATGTAAGGATGTGAAACTTGAAAATGTAAACATCAATACGATATGGCACTGGGTCATGAACAGAAGAAACAGGCAAGAGAAGAAAGAATAGGTTGAAATACAATGTTAAAATCCTAATAACCATTGCATGGTTGTTCTTGCTTTTGTTTATCTTCAGTTCCCCTTTCCATCTCTTATACTGTAGTTGCTCCTATATTGCCATGGGAGGGGGGTTTCCAGGGGAAAGGGGTGAAGTTGCAGTGAAAAATCTATTTTGTTTTTTCTTACTCAGGGACAGAATTGACTTTTAATTACAATCTTGACTGTCTGGGCAATGAAAAAACAGTGTGTAAATGCGGTGCTCCAAACTGTAGTGGCTTTCTTGGAGACAGACCAAAGGTATGTATTATTATTTGTTATTACTTTGTTTTGTTGTTGTTAAATACCGTATTTTTCGTTCTATAAGACGCACCAGACCACAAGACGCACCTAGTTTTTGGAGGAGGAAAACAAGGGGAAAAAATATTCTGAAATATTGTGAAAGCAGCAATCCCTCTTGCTGTTCTGGCTTCTGGTATAGCTGCGCAGCCTGCATTCGCTCCATAAGACGCACACACATTTCCCCTTACTTTTTAGGAGGGAAAAAGTGAGTCTTATTGAGCAAAAAATACGGTATAGATGATACCTAACACCATGGAAGCTGGCACAGATACACCCAGAAACTTCATCTAAATGCTGGAGAGATTGAAACGCAATAGGCACATAACGTACCTCCACATGTGGGAATGGCCCCAAATCCAATCCTTCTGGATATTGGTGCTGCAGGAAATTTCCAAAATAACAAAACAGACAATAGGGAAAAAGTGAGTCTTATAGAACAAAAAATACGGTATATACGCTGCCCTTCATACGAAGATCACAGGGCAGTTTACAACATGCACAGTGAATAAAGAATACAATGCATTCATGTTTTCACTTAAGTTTCCATTTCACCCACCCCAAGTTCTTAGGGTGACATATATGATATGTGGAAATTGGTGCTCAGTTACGGCCAGCACTCCCTACCCGAGTTCTTCTTAAGAAGCTAGGTTCCCTGGTCAGTGAAAATAAGAGAGGGGCCAACCAGGCAAAACCCAAAGCAAAGCAGGCTGTTAAGCCTTTTATCGTTTATTTGTCACAACAAAGATTTGACCTCTCTAAAGGCAACAAGAAAGAAGAAGAAGAAAGAGTTTGGATTTGATATCCCGCCTTTCACTCCCTTTAAGGAGTCTCAAAGCGGCTAATATTCTCCTTTCCCTTCCTCCCCCACAACAAACACTCTGTGAGGTGAGTGGGGCTGAGAGACTTCAAAGAAGTATGACTGGCCCAAGGTCACCCAGCAGCTGCATGTGGAGGAGCGGAGACGCGAACCCGGTTCCCCAGATTACAAGACTACCGCTCTTAACCACTACACCACGCTGGCTCTCTTGAGAAACCCAAGACAGGCTGTTCTGTCTGTTAAAGGTTTACACTTGGTGTGAAACAGCAAGAGGTCCCGCCCACGAAAATGGGTAATCGAAGATACGCCACCAAATTAGGACGGTTTACTGTGGGTCAGGGAGGTCCAATTATAATGTGTCAATCAAAGCATCTGGAATTGGCAAGTCTTGGACCTTTTCAGACAGAATTTACATCTGGTGACATTACATACAGGCGACATTTAGCGCAGTCGACATGATTGGTACGTACTAGACAGCAGATAGTTTGGGCAAACATAGCCATACACCGTCGAAGGGACTCCGCCCAAATGCTTCTCCTGGAAGCTGCAGCCTGCAATGACTCGTTCTCAGGGTGGATTTGATTTAAATCACTAGTTAATAAGACTTGGTTTAAATTTTTACTTTTTTTACAGAAAGATTCATTCTTGCTGGAATAATCTTAATATTTACAACCAGAGGAAGGTTTCATTTTTGGAAGAATAAATTTTCAGAGTAGTTTTTACAGTTATATCAAAAATTGCTGATTTGGTTATACTGTTAGAAATACATAGACAGATAATTATGAAACTATTGTGAGGTTTAATAAGTTAACTGTTTATATTTGGACAACTTTTTGCGGTACTTTATTGGAAGGAGAAAAATAATCATTTCCTTAATAGCAATTTAAACAATTTATTTAAAGCATAAACATAAAGCAATAATGTTGTAGCATATGTATCCATGTTTGTTAACTGATGTGGTTAAACTTTTTTTGTGGGGGGGTTTTTTAAACAAAAAACTTAAGACTGAGTTTTAGCACACATGCAAAACTTAAAACAAATCCTTATTTCCTGATGAATAGCCTCTGGACTATAATGTAACTTAAATAGAAAACTTATCTTTAGAAATACTTTTCCTCCAAAAGCATTTTAAAAACCTGATTTAACTCCATTTTTTAAAAAAAATAAAAATCATTGATTTTTATCCACTCTGCTCTTCTTCCATGAGTGAGCTTATGATAGGTGGCAGTTGTTCACGGGGTGCTTTTTCTGTCTTTTCCCTGGTAGTCTGTTTCTGCTTTCTGTGACCTTACCTGGTGGTGCTTAGATGCTAATTTGGGCTGGCTGATCCCTACCAGTCCTTGGGAGGGCTAGTATGGAAACCAGCATTTTCTAAGTCCAAGCTGCTTAGAGAAGGTGGGAAATCTTCAGCCCCCCTCATGGACACCCTGCCACATGCCAGTGGTGGGCAGGGCAAAAGGAGTGTCTCCACCCCCATCGTTCTGCCCAGACACAGAGGTCCAGTGCCGAGGGCCTTCTGGCGGTTCCCTCGCTGCAATAAGGCAAGTTACAGGGAACCAGGCACAGGGCCTTCTCGGTAGTGGCGCCCGCCCTGTGGAACGCCCTCCCACCAGATGCCAAAGAGAAGAACTACCACAGACTTTTAGAAGACATCGGAAGGCAGCCCTGTTTAGGGAAGTTTTTAATGTTTAACAGACCACTGTATTTTAATACTTTGTTGGAAGCCGCCCAGGGTGGCTGGGGAGACCCAGCCAGATGGGCGGGGTATAAATAATAAATTATTATTATTATTAAAAGGGGGCAGGCAAGCAAAATGTATTACCACAGTTCAAGAACGTAGCCTGTCTGGGCAAAGACACTTAAGGAGGTCGCAGAGCAGGGGTCAGGGGGGACTGGGCTGCAGAGAGCATGAAACTCAGCAAAGAGTGGCCTGCATTTGGACCCCTGGGCCTGAGAGTCCCCATCCTTGGCTGAGCACTTTATATGCCATCAGATTTAGCAGTTACCTTGAAGGTCTGGTCTTGTAAATTCATTCCAGCCTATTCACGGCCAAAGGCAAGCTGCCACATTTTCCGCAAAATTCAGAATGCCCTGCGCTGATCACATTGCCACATTTGCCCACCTCAGTCGCAGGACCCTATCTGTATTTAGCCTCCAGTTCAAGAAAATAATATGAGCCTGCTGGACTGGACCAGTAGCCCACCTAAACGCTTATTGGAAAACCTAGAAGCTGGACAGGAGCCCCCTGCTCACCTGAGATGCCCAATAGCTGCCTTTCAAAAGCATACTACCTCCAACGTGGATCTGGAACAGAAGCATCATGGCTGGTAGCTGCTAGTAGCCCTTTCCTCCATGAATTTGTCTAATCCTCTTTTAAAGCCATCCAAGTTGGTGGCCATCACTGGCTCCCACGAGAGCACATGCCAGTCTTCCAATATTTAGCTTTGCCAGAGGTCCGTGAGTTCAAGTGTTGCAAGAGACAAGAGAAAAACTTCACTGTAGCCACTTCCTCCATGCATTATTTTATATACTTCTGCTAAGTCACTTCTTCCTCATCTAGTTTGTCAAATGCTGCTCAGAAATATAAAATATTTGAGAAAAGTGGCTGAACTGCTAGAGCGGTCCAGTGTTTAGCGGCTCTGGTTTGAGTCCAGCAACCTACTCCTTCTGGGGTTTCCTTTTTGCTCCAGATCTTTGCAGGCAGGTGTTCGAGCCTTGCGAGTATTGATTTCTGCAATTTCTCTTGGGAAGCTGTAACTCTGCAATGAACTGTTTGCTGCTGCTGCTTTTTTTTAAAGAATTCATCCTCTAATGCTTCGGAGGAGAAAGGAAAGAAAACCAAAAGAAGAGCAAGGAGACGCAAAACAAAGAACGAAGCAAGGAAAAAATCTGAGGATTACTGCTTCCGTTGTGGTGATGGAGGCCAACTTGTATTATGCGACCGAAAATCTTGTACCAAGGCTTATCATCTCTCATGCCTTGATTTGGTGAAACGCCCTTTTGGTGAGTAAAAGTGAAGGCATGACTTTATGGCCTGCTCCCCCTTGTCTTACTTTTGAAAAGGACAAGGGGAAGCTTAAGCAGCCTTTACTTTCACCTTCTTTTAAAACTGGCTTCTTCAACCACTACCCACCCTAGTCTGGACTTTTATCTCAAATTCTGGTTGGTTTGAACAAGACACCTTCATAACATGTCGTTTGGAGTTGCTTGTATGGAAGCTGGCCAGAGTTTGTGAGCCAGCCATGAACTCTGACCTGGGTAATGCAAACAAGCTGACAACAAGGGGAACAGGGTGGTGCTGAAGTCCTTCTCCCAGGAAGATGAAGCGGGGAGAGCATGGGAGTCCAGGGCTCATGCCCTGTTCATACATGGCTTGCATAGGTGACCCGAATTTCATGCGGGTGGTAAGGGAGATTAAAAACAGAAAAAAGGGTGGCAGAAAGAGAGGGAGAAAATGGACCTGTGGCCCTTGGCATACCTACCCCCCCCCAAGGGAGTGCTCCACCATGGCACTGAAATTGTGTGTCCAAGATCAAGTGAATTCCTAGAAATCATAGCCCAACCATCTTTTGCCATTGCCTTTTAGGAAGTCTGAGTAGATATTATCTGCCCATGCTTTGGTTTAACACACGTACAGTGGTACCTCGGGTTAAGTACTGAATTCGTTCCGGAGGTCCGTTCTTAACCTGAAACTATTCTTAACCTGAAGCACCACTTTAGCTAAGGGGGCCTCCCGCTGCTGCTGCGCTGCTGGAGCCCGATTTCTGTTCTTAACCTGAAGCACTATTTCTGGGTTAGCGGAGTCTGTAACCTGAAGCATATGTAACCTGAGGTACCACTGTATATGAATGAGAGGGTGGAGGGATCTTTAGCGACTGCCTTACAAGCTCAGAACTTGGTTCCTCAACTTTTTAATCCGCAGTAGTACCTCGGGTTACAAACACTTCAGGTTGCAAACTCCACTAACCCGGAAATAGTACTTTGCCCCAGGATGAGAATGGAAATCACATGCCAGCGGGAGGCCCCATTAGCAAAAGCGCACATCAGGTTAAGAACGGACCTCCGGAACAAATTAAGTTCGTAACCCAAGGTAATTGTAATTGGCACTGCTGAGATTATTTGAAACAAGAATGTTCCCTTAATGCAGCTATTTCTGAATTGACTCTGTACCCTTTTTCTGCTGGCAGGAAAATGGGAGTGCCCTTGGCACCACTGTGATGTTTGTGGCAAGCCTTCTGTCTCCTTCTGCCACTTCTGCCCAAACTCTTTTTGCAAGAACCATCAAGACGAGACAGTGCTTGATTCTAACTTAACCGGACAGTTGTTCTGCTCGGATCACATTGGGGAGAATTTTGCTGAAAAGAAGGCGAAGAGACCCCTTAAAAAACTGGCCGCGCTGAAGTGCAAACGAAGGCAAAGAAACAAATGGAAGAGGAAGGAATGTAAATAATGACGAACTGCAGTTCCTGCTGCCAACGCTGTCTTGTAGATAAGTTGTGAATAGGGTCTGGGAAGGACACGTCTTTTACATACATTCTGCAGGAACTGGGTTTGGGGCAGATCATTTTTAATCCACTGAGCCAACTGCAGCAGTGTGTTCTGTTGCTTCTGCACTGATCATGAACTGTGGCATGCAACGTTCAGCCACTTTCAGGAGAAACCAGGTTTACTCTTCAGCAATAATGACCACACTTGAACTGTTAGGAGTGAAAAAACCAATTCATTCCAGAATTTCCTAGTTGGAGGTGTGTTAATTTCCAACCAATTAAGGCGTATATGCATAGCTTTTTGAAATAGTAGTCACCACCCAGCAAGTGTTTAAATAGTGCTTAAGAAAGACATGATTAGCCTTTAAAGCAAAATGTTGTGCGTAGAGCTGCCTATATTACCTGCATTAAGTGAGGCATATGGACGTCATACAGTTTAGAGGCACAGAGCTCAGTATAACCATATGCACTGAGCTTTGTCCAGAAGGATGTCTGGTTTGCTTTGGATTTTATTTTTGTTTTATTGTAATATTCTGCCAAGGAACAAGAACGTGATGGAAACAGGCAGCATACCACAACAGAAGCTTTGAAAGAAAGAACTGTCTCCTGTTGAGTTTCAAAGAAGGAAAATGATACCGTGACCTAAGTCCACATTTAAATTGATATTAAAATCTATGCCCATTTTTTTTAGATTGTATTTGCATAATAAAAGCCTTTAAAAAACCAAACTAATGCTCATTTACTCTTTAAAAGCCATGAATGTCTTCAGCAGCTAAATAGTGGTTTTTTTGTATCAAGGTGATAATGAAAAAGAAGTTGTTAACCAGCAGCTTCTAAAATGCGGGTGGTATTCAAAAAAGTTTTACTCAAGTAGACCGACTGGAATTAATGGACCTAACTTAGAATAGACACTCTTGAAATTAATGAACATGGCTGAGTAAAACTTACATAACACCCTAGATTTATTCTTTGGGTTCTTTTGAGTGTGGCATTGCAGTTATATAGTTGCCCTGTGACATGAGTGGTTTTATTTTCTGTTTCTTAGTGTTTCTAAATTTTGTTACCAACAGTCCTTCAGCAGATGCAAACAGTTACACAGACAATTGGGTTCCTTTCCTATTAACTTTTTGCCAGTTTGAATGTTGAATTCTAAAGTGAGAAAAATATCTAGTCTGCCATCTTTAAAAAACTGGACATTTTAAAGTTTAAAACATCAAATAAAAAGTGCGGCCATTTCATGTCCATGGAATGAGCAGCCTTGTACTGAAAGGAATGAAGTTGACAGCCCATCTTGGTTCATGCCATTTGTAAACAGTGTCATAGTTTTCCCAAATCAGCGTCGTTGGGAACCATTTCTTTAATGAAACTCTATGATTCTTCCAGCAGTCAGCTATATGAATCTACTGGCAATTTTAACACGAGAAGTTTGACTGTCTCAGAGCATTGTACTCCACAGTTTCAAGCTGCCACAATTTGACATAACCCTAAATTGGCACAATTGGAATTTGCGGCTACCACAGCTGTCTTGTCATGAACCAATAAATCTCTTGGTATTCTTTTACCGAGATCTTGAGAAATACAGAATGTTACACTGGACCTACCGTGAAGGTCCATTTTCTGCAGGGAATGGAGGAGAACCTGGAACGGTTTGTCCTGCTTGCCTGACTAATATGCAAAGTGGATGTCACTACCTCATGTGAAAGGCTGGTCTTCCTTCCGATGCAGTTACACCAGCTGAAAAGAAAACCAGTTAAGCAGCAGCTACTAACACAAGCACAGAGAGGTCTGAGTAAAATAAGTGCCAATTAAACAAGATGGAACCACCGCTAACATGAATATGAGCAGTAGCAATATTGTGTACCACTGACTCAAAACAGACCAAGTTGAAAAAAAGAACCATTAGATACTTTGCACATGTCATCTGTGTAAAACCTAATTAAATGTTAAGAATAACTGCTGTTAATAATTTTAAGAAAATACTACTCCAATACAGTACAGGCCACAATTAAAAACCAATGGGAGCAGGACATAGGACATGGTTTAAACCATGCCCAGTGGTCTAGAGACTAGGGTCTAAATCACCATTCAAATCCATCTCGGCCAAAAGAACTCACCCTAAAACTTATACACCGTATTTTTCGTTCTATAAGACGCACCTAGTTTTTGGAGGAGGAAAACAAGAAAAAAAAATATTCTGAATCTCAGAAGCCAGAACAGCATGAGGGATCGCTGCGCAGTGAAAGCAGTAATCCCTCTTGCTGTTCTGGCTTTTGGGATAGCTGTGCAGCCTGCATTCGCTCCATAAGACGCACACACATTTTCCCTTACTTTTTAGGAGGGAAAAAGCGAGTCTTATTGAGCAAAAAATACGGTATAGATGATACCTAACGCCATGGAAGCTGGCACAGATACACCCAGAAACTTCATCTTAATGCTGGAGAGAGTGAAACGCAATAGGCACATAACGTACCTCCGCATGTGGGAATGGCCCCAAATCCAATCCTTCTGGATACTGGTGCTGCAGGAAATTTCCAAAATAACAAAACAGACAATAGAAGCCACTCCAGAACTTGCCCGATTAAATATCTTCCAGGACAACAACACATGTACAGTACAAGGAACTCGTAAGTCACTCTCGGCAGCTAGAAATATCATAACTAGACGCTGGAAGGACCTATCGGGAGTGAACACTGGTACCAAAACGTATGAGAAACCGCTGTACAGTGGTACCTCGGGTTAAGTACTTAATTCGTTCTGGAGGTCCGTTCTTAACCTGAAACTGTTCTTAACCAGAAGCACCACTTTAGCTAATGGGGCCTCCTGCTACCGCCGCCACGCAATTTCTGTTCTTATCCTGAAGCAAAGTTCTTAACCCATGGTACTATTTCTGGGTTAGAGGAGTCTGTAACCTGAAGCGTCTGTAACCCAAGGTACCACTGTACTAGAAAAGTTAACCAACAAACTCGAACTAGCACGGGGACAAGCTACAGAGGATGCCTTCACCCCAGTGGTAAAGGGAAAGGGACCCCTGACCATTAGGTCCAGTCATGGCTGACTCTGGGGTTGCGGCGCTCATCTCGCTTTATTGGCCGAGAGAGCCGGCGTACAGCTTCCGGGTCATGTGGCCAGCATGACTAAGCCACTTCTGGCGAACCAGAGCAGCGCGTGGAAACGCCGTTTACCTTCCCGCTGGAGTGGTACCTATTTATCTACTTGCACTGTGTGCTTTCGAACTGCTAGGTTGGCAGGAGCAGGGACTGAGCAACGGGAGCTCACCCCATCGCAGGATTTGAACTGTCGACCTTCTGATTGGCAAGTCCTAGGGTCTGTGGTTTAACCCACAGCGCCACCCGCGTCCCTCACCCCAGTGAGGTTCCCCTTTATTACACATGCAGGACAATGACCTACCCCCCCCCACAACAGCATACAAATCAATATGGCTAACCTGACCCAACAACCCTCACACAAATAAGACACAGTGCAATCGACTAAACACAACCAACCAAGCTCGGGAACCCCAACTTCTCACAATATCAATAAAAAATACACAAAGGACACCACCCAGTGATGCTGACAACACCCCCCCTCTAAAGAATAGGCAATAGAACAAAAGAACAATACCCCCATCTCCCCCTCCCCTTCCCCCAATTGTAAGATATCTATGACAAAAATGTCTCAACAAATGTAAACCGTGAAAAAGACTACGAATTGAAAGTGGAGACAACAAAGCAACAAAGCAGTGTAACACAAAGAACCCAATAGAAACAAATTAGAAAGAATAGCTGCACATTATCATGCTACAAGAAGGAAAGATTATTAGAAAAATCTGAACTTTATTATACATACTATATTATGCTGAAAATATGTACCCAAGGACATGAGGTTTTGAATTTACATCTGTACAAACACAAAATAGATTAGAAAACATGCAACATTTTACAAAACATTGCTTGTTATAAAGGTACCAGTTTCCCAGAGGGCTCCGACTTAAAACTTTTGCCTGGTCTTAAAACATTTCTCCGATGTCAGATTTTGCTGTGAAAATGCAATTCCAAGCTACAGTATCAAAGTACCTTCGATAAGTTTGGCAAGTGTCACTTCAACATGATCCGTGGGGGAAAGAGTTGTGTGGTTACCAAAGGCAAGAGCCAAAGCTGAATTTTTCAAAGTGCAGTTAACCCTTTAGGGTCAAGGTCTGCATTAAAGCTTTGTCAATGGAACCGGTGGGCTTCAATTGCTCTTGATAACCGGGCAAAAAGAAACTGAAATTTTGTGACAGCCGTTCGCGTCTGGCTTCTTTCATCACTCAGGCTGAAGATCCAGGATGGATGAGCAGAACGATCTTGCCAGCGATGAAAGGAGTGGCCTCTTTGTCTTGCTATGTCTGGCAGCGGTGATCTTCGTTGCATCACAACTGGGTCGCACATTTTAGATTGTATTCGCCTGTTGTAGATCTCCCCCTCTGAAGAGACTTAGCAATTTCTCTCCCTAATGAGAGGGTTCATATATTATTTTGAAACCGGCAAGAAGTCTTCCCACATTAATGATGGGTGACAAAAAAGAATTGGGAATGGTTATCACATGTAAAAAGCATGTTCTCAAGACCCTCTGGAGACACCCCTACCTTCAAATTGTAACATGAATTGGCTTCCTCCTACCACGAAACAAGCTGTTCAGCTTTGGCTACGTATGTCAACAGGTTACAAAAGATGGGAGGTTTCACACAAAAAATCTCTTTACAGAGCATATTGCCTCTTAAGCACCTCAACTGGTGGTGTTTAGCTAATATAGTTTCACTTCTAGCTTCCTTCCAGCAAATTTAAACATCACCAGACCCCCCAGTAAGCATTTTTGTACCCACTAAATGAACTAAACATCAGAAAAGGGAATGCAAACTTCCATTTGCCAAGATGTGTGGCATATTGTGGCTAATACAATATGCTATCGTGTTGAAACTAGTGTGTGCTTTGCTTACTGTTATTGTCTGCCCTGGCAAGCACATCTGTATTTCAAACATCTGTACTGTTATTTCCAAAATATTCACAGACATTCAAATGCTTTCTTTATCCTCACTTCTAGAACTGTCTGATCATGTTCTCAATGTTTAATTATCGTGGCGTGCAGAACTTTTGATCCATTGGTTTATATCATTTTAACCTTTACAAGATTAAACCTGCAACTTGTAGCTTATGTTTTAAACAACATTCCCATCTGAATAATTTGCCATTAACATTCATGCCATACTCAAAACTGACCAAAAAAAAAAAAAAAAGGAACAAGATAAACATGTCAAAATAATTAACATTTTAAAAAACAATCACATTGTTTGTGGTAGCTGCTAAACCTTTTTTAAAAATCTTATGTCCTAAACACTTGGCCTTCCTATCATAGCTGAAATTTAGATGTGAGAGAACTAGAATAGAGGTCAGGTCTCTTACATCTTGCCAGCTGCCATTTTAAAACGCTCAACATACTAACCTTTTCGTAGCTTCTAATTTCAAAAATATAAAAACTATAAAAGATTCTGAATTAAAGGCTAGCCAAACTGATAGTTATGTTTTGGGGGTTTTCTGTGAAACCAAAACAAATGGCCAAAAAAAACCCCCACCATCCTGTTTTTAATCCGTATTACTTCATAGTCTAGCATTAAAGGTAAAGGTAAAGGTACCCCTGCCCGTACGGGCCAGTCTTGACAGACTCTAGGGTTGTGCGCCCATCTCACTCAAGAGGCCGGGGGCCAGCGCTGTCCGGAGACACTTCCGGGTCACGTGGCCAGCGTGACAAGCTGCATCTGGCGAGCCAGCGCAGCACACGGAACGCTGTTTACCTTCCCGCTGGTAAGCGGTCCCTATTTATCTACTTGCACCCGGGGTGCTTCGAACTGCTAGGTTGGCAGGCGCTGGGACCGAGCAACGGGAGCGCACCCCGCCGCGGGGATTCGAACCGCCGACCTTTCGATCGGCAAGCCCTAGGCGCTGAGGCTTTTACCCACAGCGCCACCCGCGTCCCAGTCTAGCATTAGCTGTTTACAAAATTAAATAAATATGTGACCTTATCTGGAACCCTTCCTGAAACCTTACATTTGCTACTGATCCCTAATAATCGTTTGGCTGAGGAGCAATTTTTTTCCTCCCAGAACAAAGGTTATTCTATTGTCAATACTCATTCCCACCCTTCAAGTTCGGGGCAAGTGACATCAAACCAGAGACCACTGAGACACAGCTTGGTTACATCAGGATATAATGTAAAATAAGACCTTGTCTCTTTTCCTAGCTTTAGATTCTCTTAAGTGGATTCTCTGATCAGGTGCAGTTTGATAAATGCCAATATAAGCCTGGCTTAAAAGCTAGCATCCAGTTTGCTCCAATTTAAAGCCCGGGCTGACACAAAGCTCTCTTGTATCTTACACTGCGAATGATCTGTGCCTCTCTTCGACATCGGCTTTATTTATTTTTTTAAAAAACTGTACCCACCATTTCTTGTGGAAATGCCAGTTGTAAGATTCCTTCTATATTATCGTCCAAGCATAAACTGTTGAAATGATCAAGTTCCGAAAGCACGGCAGTTAGGAAACTGCTCCGAAGGCAGTCTCCTCCGTTTCTCCCTCTGAGAGCCTTTTGCAACAGGACTGCTGCTAAAAGGTGCTCTCCGGTCTCGCAAAGCTGCAGGTAACGTCCGTGTGAATGGGGGGGGGGGAATTCCGAAGGATGCCATTCCTTGATAAATCCATCTTCAGCAACGGTAGCTAAATTAACCCTGGAAAAATCAGAGGTGTGCCAGCCAATTGCCAATATGACTCGTATTTAACACAATCCAACATGGACACAGGGATGCTGTTCCAAAGTAACTTCATGCCATGACATTCACAGACACTGTTTCGAAGGCCAGTCTTTGGTAGATTCAAAAGGTACCAGCTGGGGGGAAAAAAAAGCGGGAGGGAGAAGGGCTGGTTCCAACATAAAAGCAACATGCTTCAATTTCTCAGAACTTAGTTAAGTGACCCTGAAGCAGAGCTGAACCTTTAAAGAGGGCAAATCAAGAGTCCTGCATTTCCACACAGAAGAAATTAGGTGCCATCCAGACCAAAACAAACCCCTTAACCTTTTGGTCTTTAGTGCTACTTTACATTTTTTAAAATGTATACATGTAAAAAAAAGTAGCCCGTTTACAGGACAGATGCATGTAAGTTGATGTATCTGCCATTACGCAGTCCTATGAATCGACTGTGCTGTTGGGCTTTACACAAACAAACAAACAAACAGCGTTACCCTTCATGTTTTCACAATCACTATTTGGGGGGGGGGTATCCAACACGTCCTAAGCCAAAGAAGAGAAATGCAGCCGTGCCCATTTTAAACGCAGAACCTAGAGTCAAAGTAGGCCTCGCTGCTGCAAAGAATGGTCTCAACTGGAAGGCAATTCCTCTCACGACATTTGAACATAAATCTTTCTGCAAAAGGTAGAAGCATTTCAGCTCTTCAATCTGCTGCAATCGCTGCACACACGCACACACACACACACACACACACACACCCCCGGGACTCTTAGACAAGAATAATAAAGACAAGCATTGCCATTTTGCTCTTTTTCTTCCTGCTTCCGGAACTGATCGCCGCGAGTACAATGAGGCCTAAACGGGAATGTTGTTCTGCCTAGTCAACACACTATGTACAATGCTGGCTTTTTCTATGGTCTGTTTGGTCTATACTTTATTACTGAATTGTTTAAGAAACGTTAGTTATTGGTTTGTATTTCTTCAGTCTGGTCCACTGGCCAGTGGCGTAGTTCATTTCAAAAACCGTGTCCACCAGCATCGTGGTGCTTCCTGTGCCATCAGCCTTTGGCAGCAGTTCCGTGTGTTCGCTCAGTTTGATCTGAATTATGTCGCCCTGTTCTTGACAAGGGTTTTCTGTGGAAGCAACAAGAGACACACGTCACAGGCGGGAGCTTAGCAAACGGAAAACGGTTCAGGCCAGGAGCAATGCAGAAAACAAGATCTGCTCTGGTACACACCAGCAGCACCCTCATATACTTATTTCCAAGTCTGTGCTGCTATTCTGAAATAATTGCACCTACGACATTCAAGGATAGCTTTGTATCTCAGTGCACACAGATCCCCTACGCCACCCCCAAGAGGAAGGTCACTGCAATGCCTCTGGGATTATTAAGCAGCCTTTTGCATCCCAGGCCTCTGCATAAGATGTCTTCATCTGACCTTGCCAGTTATCCCTGATCCTGCCAGCCACAATATCTGAGAGATCTGCATTGGCTCCCACTACGTTTCCGAGCACAATTCAAAGTTGGTGCTGACCTTTAAAGCCCTAAACAGCCTCGGTCCTGTATACCTGAAGGAGCATCTCCACCCCCATCGTTCACTGAGATCCAGCGCCGAGAGCCTTCTGGCGGTTCCCTCGCTGCGAGAAGTGAGGCTATAGGGAACCAGGCAGAGGGCCTTCTCAGCAGTGGCACCTGCCCTGTGGAACGCCCTCCCAGCAGATGTCAAGGCAATAAACAACTATTTTACTTTTAGAAGACAACTGAAGGCAGCCCTCTTTAGGGAAGTTTTTAATGTCTAATGCTTTATTGTTTTTAATATTCAGTTGGAAGCTGCCCAGAGTGGCTGGGGTATAAATAAATTATTATTATTATTATTATTATTATTATTATTATTATTATTATTATTATTATTATTATATCCAGGCACCTGGCTTTGATATTCAAGGCAAAGAAATACAGTTCAGAATACATGCCTCTGGATCCAGCCATGAACCCAAGGATGAGAGCCTTCTCTGGCCTCGTGACTTTGTTTGCTGTCTTGAACATTTCTTGCGCTGCATACATTTGTTCCTTCTGCAAGGAAGAGTCAGTAAGATTTTATTTCAGGAGAGGAAATGATCGGGAGAACAGAAAATAACTTAAGCATCCAGCCTCATTGTTTCTCAATTGGCAAATCCCTTATCTTGTGCTGGAACAGAAAAAGCATCAGCGCCCCTCGATAGAACCTCAGAGCTTTCATTCTAATCTATTTTTCATATAGTCAAGAGCGGTACGTTGGCCAGAGCTCTTCATATTCTTGCAGCTGATATTCTCTCTCTCTCTGTGTGTCTTAAATCTACTATTATATTCCAAGATAGAGGTACAGAGCAGGCCATCACTTGGGTATCTTTCTGGGTTTTTTTGGCCAAGTACCCAAATAGAAAGGTAAATGAATGCAAAGCCCTCTGGGAGATACACGGAAGCCCCAACCATCAGCCAGTTGTTGGGGTTTAAAGGGCTCACCGAGAGCACTGAAAATCAGCTGAACTCCCTGGTGTAACCAAGGGGGCCTGGAGGAGTCACCCTGGATTCTAGCTGCTCCCCCCAGTGCTCTAGGAATCCAAGCTGCTTCCTCTGGAGAGTTCAAAGTGCCCCACTTCAAAATGTAGTTATTATTTTTCTGGGGGAAGACCCTTGAATCCAAACAGCTCTTTCTGTGGAAGGGAAAATCTCTGCTTTTTAAGAGCATGCCGCCCCGCCCCAAAGAGACTTCAAAGGAGTTGCAGCATCTTTGATGGCACATCTTCAAAGGAGCTTGCTGCAACCACCATTCAGCTGAAGGGCTGTTGCAGCAACCTCTCCTTCAAGCCCTTGGCAGGTCTCAATGACCTGAAGCCATTATGACATCTGGTAACTGACAGGTGAGCGGTCTCACCCACTTCTCAAAACTGGCTCATGGGCACGGGTGGAAGATGGGTTGTCACAACATAAAAACACAAAGTACGTAATAAAAATAAAAACTAGAACAACCCAATAACCCCACCAACACATTTCAAAGACCTTGTTAAAGAAGAACGTTTTTGCCTGGCGTCTAAAGGTGTATAATGAAGGTGCCACCTGAACCTCCTTAGTGGGTCAGAAGTTGTACAGGCAGGGCACACATCAGTTCTCATCAGTATTGAGGTCTATTTGTAATCAAAGAAAATCCTGAAAGTGTTCTTAAAGAGCTACAAGGTAGGGCTGCCATACACTCGGATTTTCCCAGACATTACCAGGATTTCAAAGGCAGAATTGACATGGGGGGGGGTGGATTTCCGAAAGGAGGTGCTTTGCTCTGGATCTTAGGCAAGTCAATTGAAAAATCAACAACTTTCAGGGCATCATGGTTTTTACTTTTTGAAATGTGGCAGCAAGGTTATTAGCATCCATACCCTGGAATGTTAGCGGTCTTATGGTTTAGTACTACCCAGATCTGCATATTCATAAACAAGATTGCAAACGCCTGGCTATTTCTGTAGAAGCAACGGAAAGGATCCAAGCGAATCGTCTATATACATTGTGAGAGAGTTCTCTTAGCTTACTGTTAGAGAGAGGTTCTTCTTGGGCGGCGCTTGCTGAGGAGGAGCCGCCGGTGGCGCCTGCACTGCTGGAGGGGCGGCGGGAGGAGTCACAGGAGAGGTAGGCGTCGCTGCAGCTGTGTTTGCGTTGCTGTTATACATGGGTGTCCTTTGCTTAAACTGAGTCGGGACAGCAGTGCCAGGGGGCGTCGCAGGCTCTTCTTTCGCTTGCAAGGGTTCCCGGACAGAGCCAGCTGTTTGCAGCAAAAGATGTCATCAGCAACAACAAAATGGCGTTCGTACCGTTTACTCTCATTACAAATTTTAACGCTTCCCTACTTTTCACTAAAGGATAACATGTAACTTAGCAAAAAGGTCCCCCTCCGACAGGCAGTGACAGTCTCTCAACCTTCTTCCTGATGCCCTGCCTTCATTTACCTAAAGCCTCGCTTTTGCTTGTCTGCTTTTCTGTCTTCCTTGCTTGCCTCCACAGCACAGGGAACACAGGTGCTTGCAGAAACCCAGAATTCCTCAGGCCATACGTGAAATTAAAATCCTGAGTGCTGGGCGGGCTTGAAAGACACCATTTGGGTACAAACTGGGATTATTCAACTGAAGCCTTTCCCCAGAAAGAGAAACAGCACACCTGCTTCCTGTCAGATATGAACTCGCCAATCGCTGCTTGAAGCTTAGGTTCGTTTCTCTCAGATCTGAAACCTTTTCTCACATCCCTCCCTACACACACTCACAACTCTAATTTCAAAAAGGTAGATTCTAAATATTACAAAGGCAAAAATGGATGCACAAAGGTTATGCACAGAGGGTAATGTGAAGAACTTGGGATACCACGCCATGCTTCCCAGATACAGGGGGAAATGTTCTCATGACACTTCCTCTGGGTAAAAAAAAAGAGAGAGATATATAAAATAGCACCACACAAAGGCAAGATCCTATAAAATTAATGTTACGTGCTTCAGTCCAGTCATGGGACACGAGCAGGGGAGGAAGGCATGACCCAAAAGGAAAGCCACATTTGGGCAACCTACAGCCCTCAGCTACTCTTCCAAAGCCCCACAAGCCCAGTCACTTTCCAGGAACACCCATCAGCCGTCAAGTGGGCAGCAGCGAAAAGATCCCTCGACTAAGCAGGATGGAGGCAGAGATGTTGTCTGGTTGGGAGCCCTGTGGAGGTTTCAACCTTCTCCTCCCCTCCATGCTCCTGAGGCAGCTACCCAGTAACATCTGTGCTGAGGGTGTGCTGGAAGAAGCTGAGGTGAGAGAGAGGGTGTGCAAGTGTGGAATCGCCCTGCACATTGTGCCGTAAAGGTAAAGGGACCCCTGACCGTTAGGTCCGGTCGCGGACGACTCTGGGGTTGCGGCGCTCATCTCGCTTTATTGGCCAAGGGAGCCGGCGTACAGCTTCCGGGTCATGTGGTCAGCATGACTAAGCTGCTTCTGGCGAACCAGAGCAGCGCACGGAAACGCCGTTTACCTTCCCGCCGGAGCGGTACCTATATATCTACTTGCACTCTGATGTGCTTTCGAACTGCTAGGTTGGCAGGGGCAGGGACTGAGCAACGGGAGCTCACTCCGTCGCGGGGATTCGAACCGCCAACCTTCTGATCGGCAAGTTCTAGGCTCTGTGGTTTAACCCACAGAGCCACCCGCGTCCCTCACTGTTCTCCTACATTAGCCCAAATCTTATATGACGTTTGCAGTACATTCAGTAGACTTTCGGAGATGACACTTGAAAGTAAATAGAGGATTGTTTACACAATAAACAGTTTATTTAAACCATAGATGTGCTGCCCTTTGCTTCGTGCCAGAAATCCAAGATGGCTAACTATAAGGCTTAGCATTGCAATATAGCATAATTTAAATACTGTGGAATTAAATATTATTATTTTTTAAATCCAGATTGCATCAGTGTAACAATAAAATGATATAAAAATCACGCCTAGCCCTAACAACAAAAGCCTTCTTAAGGCTTTCTTAAGCCTTAAGCCTTCTTCTTACTCTGATGTGCTTTCGAACTGCTAGGTTGGCAGGGGCAGGGACTGAGCAACGGGAGCTCACCCCCTCACAGGGATTCGAACCGCCGACCTTCTGATCGGCAAGTCCTAGGCTCTGTGGTTTAGACCACAGCGCCACATTGTGCCATGCAGCCACCAAATGCCTCCCCACCGCCAGATGTGGATTTTGAGGACAAAAACGTTAACACCCCTCCTTTATGCCATCTGGTATCTGTTTCCTCTGAAATGCTTATATTCTGGTTTGCTTCAGAAGTTTCTGCAGGATCTGGTTTAAACGCGACACCCGAAACCCGGTAATCTTTGAGATTATCCCAGGAGTTCAGACAACTGCCTGGAGTTGAAATATCAACAGCCACATCCCTCTTTTTTACTCAATCCTTTATGAAACTGCTTTGAGGTTTTATTACAATCAAGCAGCCTAATAAATGCTGCGAAATGTAATAAATAAAGAAGCACAAAGTGACCAAGTGTACTTCGTTGCTACACAAATTTCCTCAGTGCTTTTCCAAGAAGCTTTGAGGAGCCTGATTTTTGCATCCTGGGATGTTAACTGAGAGAATCCTGTCATTTTACAGAAATGAGTGGATGTGGCAATTAGGGCAGAAGCTGACATAACTAACCTAAAGGAAGATGAAACTTCATCCATCCATCCATCACTGGCCAAGCAAGGTCTCTACATGATAGCACACAGACCAGGCCCAGAAAGGATTCAGTCTCAGTAAGTATTATTCACAACAAGTTTGATACTGCTTCATACATTTGCATTGTAACTTTAGTACAGACTAGGGAATCTCCAGTTTGCAGGCCTAATCCGGCACACCAGGCCTACCCATTTGGCCCAGGGAGGATGCTTCTAGCAAGCCATGCCCATCTGCCCTACACCTGATGTCATACATGTGGGTCAGGTGGTGGGGCCTCCCTCGAAGTGGCTTAGCAGGCACGGCTGAGAACCACCTGCAACCCTATGCACAGGGCTTCCCAGCGGCTTGCAATGCCTTTGCGCAGGGCTTCTGGAGCACCAGGCAACCAGCTGGTTGGGAAACACTGACGAACTGACTCTGACAGGTGCCAATCAACTGTTGTTGGATGATTGGCAGGTGAGTTGTTCCTTCCACCTGCCGGTGTGTGTGTGTGTGTGTGTGTGTAGATAAGGATTGAGCTTACTGAGCCAAAAATGTTTCCCACCTCAGCTCTAGGCAATATTGTTATTATCTTTGGGCTTATTATAGAAACCGAAGCCCTGCACATCTTCCTTGAATTCAGGTATTTTTGGCTGTTTGAATGCAGAACAGATTCAAAGCTTGTTGCAGGCGATGTGTCCTCATTTGACTTGCACTCTGCGCACTGTTTTAAAACATTATTCTGATGAAAGTACTTGCCATAGCCTTTTGAGTGTCACCGTTTTTACAATGTGGAACATATCAGTAACAAACATATTCAGAAGTGTAGTAATGGGAAACTGTGTCACTTACCGGGCTGCGTGGTGTCGGAACTTGGAACGTAAGAGGAAGATGGAACGACACTGGGTGCTGCAGGCAGATAGCTTGTAGAAGCTAGGGCAGGGTCATTGTTCAAAGAGGCAATTTTCTGTAAAACAGCACATGCATCCTTAAACTATTTCAAAAATAATTTTGACAATTCAGGGTACATTGTTTGTGCCTGTGATTGGAGAGCAGAGACCTGCATGGATGAGGCTTAGAAAGCAGCCCAATATTCAATACCGTTCTAAGTCCTACCTGAGTAGATACGAGACCAGCGGCATAGTCCGGAGTAGCATTTTCGACGACTGTCTCTTCTTTTGCTTGCTTTTCCACCACTTCTGTATCTACACCAATAACAAACATAGAAGCTACTTAGCCATAACTGCTACCTTGTTTTGGTTACCCAAATAAAGAATTTTTAAAAATCCAAAAAATACTTCCGAATTTTGAACTCTCTTTACAAGCACCGATTCCACAGGGGAATGGTACAAGAAACAGCTGGAAGTCAAGTCTGGGCTGCAGGAACTCAGAACGGACATAACCGCTCTCACGTCCTCAAGAACCAACAAAATGATTAACGTGTGCAAAATGACAGCATCAATATGAAATAATATCCATTATGTCTCGTGACAATAGAAATTCAGAAAGCTTTTACTCTATTGGCATCTGTCTCGAGAGACAATGGAATGTGCCTCCAGGGGTGAAGTCAAACTGCTGCGTTTGTAGCACCAAAGTAACTTCCTTGGGGTGCAAGCCTGGGCAGTGTGTATGGAGGTCCTGGACTGCCCAGACAACAATATAATAATAATAATAATAATAATAATAATAATAATAATAATATTTGTGCCCTCCCATCTGGCTGGGTTTTGCAGCCACTCTGGATGGCTTCCAACAAAATATTAAAATACAATAGACCATCAAACATGAAAAGCTTCCCTAAACAGATGTCTTCTAAAAGTCTGGTAGTTGTTTTTCTCTTTGACATCTGGTGGGAGGGCGTTCCACAGGGCAGGTGCCACTACCGAGAAGGCCCTCTGGCTGGTTCCCTTGCACTTGGCTTCTCGCAGTGAGGGAACCGCCAGAAGGCCCTTGGCGCTGGACCTCAGTGTCCGGGCTGAATAATAGGGGTGGAGATGCTCCTTCAGGTAGACTGGACCGAGGCCGTTTAGGGCTTTAAAGGTCAGCACCAACACTTTGAATTGTGCCCGGAAATGTACTGGGAGCCAATGTAGGTCTTTCAAGACTGGTGTTATGTGGTTTCGGCGGCCCTCCTCACTGATGTGGTCCAAAGGAAAGCAGACAAATAATGCTGGGCACCAGCTCAGCTGCAGTTGCCAGAAAGAGGCGTACTAGGCACCATCCAACTGTCTTAGGGACTTCATTCTGGATTTATGCAGGGTTAGCCTTTCCTATTTCATGTACTGTATTCATTCTCATGTACTAATCTTAACTACCACCTGTGCACCTTTATGGAAATTTTAATGTTCTGTATGTTGTTTTATTCTGCTGTGGCCCATGGCTATTCTATTCTATTCATTTTGCTAACTCTCAGATCCAGCCAAATTTGTGTACAAATACAACAGAACAATTCAATTTGCCTCCCTAGGTGAGTCCAAGCGAATGGCAGCCTTCATATAGTAGTTTTTCTTTATTAATGAAAACAGATTTAGATAGATGAATCACTAATGATTTAAATATTCCCTTTTGTTTCCCTGCATATATTTTTCAAATTATGTGTGTTACTATTTTCCAAACCTCTCCACTGGTCCGCAAGCAGGTGCCCGATTGTGAATTGTTCGCTCTCTCAAGCCTATCACAAGTTAACACAGACAATTATTCCATATTATCAAATCTCAACTCCCTATAATTCCACAGCAGCTTTAATAAGTGGCAAATGAACAGAGAAGCAAACAATTATCCTTTAGCTCTAAATTTAATTTGACAGATTAAGTACAAAAGACTTTGTACTTAACCCTATATACCAGTTTGTAACCATATATACTAACCTAAGGTCTTTCTTCTCCTTTTGGCTTCCCGGCCAGCACCAACCGTATCCAACTCCGAGATGTCGAGTAACTACAAATACACCAAACGAACACTTACTTTCACATTTATTGCAGAGTTTACTAGCTTCTGATGCATGGATTGCCCTGTCTACCTTTTACATACATGCATCATGTTAGAGCTACTTCCCTTATACAATATTAACAGGGGGAAGCGAATTTAGTATATGTATCCATACTGTACCTCACAATACCAAAGAGTACTGTGTGATTTTTTTAATTAAAAATCAAAACAAAACTGCGTAAACACAACAGGAATGAAATAATGAAATAACACCCAAGCTAGTTGGACAAATACACAGGGCTGTTGTTTTTTAACTTTTAAAAGACTGAATATTCAGAAGGCAAGGGAGAGTGTCAAGGAAAGAACACTTGAAACTGCATAAATACCTTTACTCCTCTCTCTTTGCGCAGAGGAGTTCTCGAGGGTGGAATCGGAGTTCTGTTTCCGGCAGGGCTAAATACACTCGGGGTAGTGGGATTCCTGAAAGGTGCTTGTTTAGGTATCCCTTTGAGTGGAGCTATACAAAAACAAAAGGGGAAAAAATCACCGAACTGAACACAGCGGTAAGGCTCCTACTGAAGACGAAAACATTTCAAAGCAATACTGATTATACATATAGATGAATTCACAAATGTAGTCCAGAGGACATTAGTGCTGTGAAGCAACACATACAAGATGCGTGCTTTTTTAAATGTCCTTTTCCCCTTTGCTTACTTCCATAATCTGACTTCCTCAACACAGTACTCATTCTACTCCATTAACTCTCAAACACTGTTAACGCACTTCTGTAAAAATTGGGAAAATATGGCTATTACTTTGGCAACCCATGAATGCTTAGGGGAAGGAAGGCATTTTTAAGACACCAAGTATGGAAATGGGCGACTCCTCACTATTAGAAGTTAGCTCTCAGAAGGTATCAGAGTACACAACATTACCAAATTTTACCATCTCTTATGGGAGGCAGCAGGTGGGGTGCTATAGTGGTTAGAGTGTCAGACCTAAGGGGACAAGGGTTCAGATCCCCAGCCATGAATTTTACTGGGTGACCTTGGGCCGGTCACTGCATCTCAACCTAACCTACCTCAGAGGGTTGTTGTGGAGCATGGGTAGGCAAACTAAGGCCCGGGGACCGGATCCGGCCCAATCGCCTTCTCAATCCGGCCTGCGGACGGTCCAGGAATCAGTGTGTTTTTACATGAGTAGAATGTGTCCTTTTATTTAAAATGCATCTCTGGGTTATTTGTGGGGCATAGGAATTCGTTCATTTATTTCTTTTTCAAAATATAGTCCGGCCCCCCACAAGGTCTGAGGGACAGTGGATCGGCCCCCTGCTGAAAAAGTTTGCTGACCCCTGTTGTGGAGATTAAATGAGGAGAGGGAGAACCATCTACACTACTTTGAGCTCCTTGGAGGAAAGCTGAGGTATAAATGGACTGAATGAATGAATGAATGAACAAAGCAACTTTGCTTTTTCCTGGAATCAACACAGCCAGTGCCTATTCCATTTGGAGAGCCCAAGTATAAAGAGATCTGAGAAGAATGCACCCTGCAACCCCCTGAGGCAATACAACAATATATTCCAGCATGTGGATAGGCTACTTCGTTCAAAAAGAGAGGATGTGGCAGGATTCTCTGTAATGCAGCCTTCAGTACACCTGAACCTATAAGCATCTACAGTGCCCAGAGATCATGGTAGCTGGGCAAAGGGGAGGCAGGGTGCTTGGAAGCAGATTACCTGTAGTTGTACAGTGGTACCTTGGCTCTCAAACACCTTGGTTCTCAAACACCTTGGAACCCAAACACTGCAAACCCAGAAGTAAATGTTCCGGTGTGCGAACACTTTTCGGAAGGCAAACTTGCTCCGATTTGAGTGCCACACTTCCGTTTGGAGTGTTACGCTGACAATTTGAGTGCCATACTTCCATTTTGAGTGCCACACTTTCGTTTGGAGTGTTACGCTGAGGTTTGTCTGTTTTTGCTATTTATTTTGTGTTTTTGTGGCTCTTTTTTGGTGTGTGACTGTGTGGAATCCAGTTCAGCTACTGACTGATTGTGTGACAGCAGTACATTGTTTATTGCTTTCATTTTATGGACCAATGGTCTTGTTAGATAGGAAAATTCATGTGGAATTGCTGCTTTAGGGGTTGTTTTTAAAAGTCTGGAACGGATGAATCCATTTTGCATTACTTTCTATGGGAAAGCGCCCCTTGGTTTTGGAACGCTTTGGTTTTGGAACGGACTTCTGGAATGGATTAAGTTTGAGAACCAAGGTACCATTGTAATGGCAATGCTTGCTCATTATTCTGTATACGTAAGAGTGAAATATGCTCATCAGTGAAGGGGGGGGGTATGACTGTGCCCTAGATATCAAGGTCTCAGAAAGTTCAGTTCCCAGTATAGAGACAGGACAGTCAGTATTCAGACTGTTATTACTGAAATCACAACATGCAGCTGTGAGCCAAATCCCAGGCAACCAGAGATAGGCTGAGCGATCATGGCTGGCTTAATTAAGCAAGTGAAATGGTCCATAAAGGAAAGATGACATTTCACCTCTACTGGAGTTGCTGGCTAATCTTGTCTATGGGGAAAAATTCTTCCCAGGTTGTAACACTGCAGCTTATGGCTGGAATTGTTCTTCTGTGAGAGAAGCAGCAGCAATAGTAATTTCTGCTGCAGTAAAAGAAGAGTTAGAGAGAGAGAGAGAGAGAGAGAGAGAGAGAGAGAGAGAAAGGGGCAAGAATCACAGAGGAACCGCAGCAATGAAAATACATGGACTGAGTATGGGGAAAAAGAAATAAGCTGCAGAGATACAGAGCACCTGTCTAGGTAAATACGGTTGATGCCTGGATTGCATGAAAAGATGTTGCCATGAAATATAAAACAGAAAAATTCAGAAAGAAAAGGTAACAGAAGGCAAGGAAATGTGAAAAGAGGAATTCCTTTTCTGGGAATAGCCAATTACACTTAATACTATTGCCAGAACCACAAAAGCACAAGTAGGATTCCTGAACATTAACTTGCATGAAAAGCTTTCACCAAGCTACATTCCTCATCCTCCCCTCCCATACTTTTAGACAACCCAACTTTTATTTTAAATCTACTTTTAGGACAGCATTTAATCTGAGTAGCCAGACAGTTAATTGCTCTTTCACCTTTGGAGATAAAAACGCTAAAACCTCCAATTGCATGTTTGCCTACAGTACCTTCTAGGAGACAGGATATGATTCTTGAAAAGAAGCATATGTGATTTATTTCAATATTCTGTGGAACACTTGTAGAACGCTAATGCAGAACTTGGTTTTCCAGTATTCCAAAACCTCACATGGCTATTTATCTTTTAATAATATACCACTGAATGACAAAATGCTACTGAAAATCCCAATTTGGTGACACGATCAAAACCCAGAGGCAGCAACATTTTTCACAGGGGGCCACCAAGAAAGTTTGTTAACCATTTTCAGGCTTACCTGCAAGGCCTAGAAACAGTGCTTGACAAATTACCCTTCTTGAAAAAGGTATCTCATACACCAAAAGTATCTCTTTGCTATCAGAATTCTTCTATGAATATTGAGGCACAAGATCGCTTGGTGCCACCAATATATGCAAACTTCTGGCTCATCTAAGACTTTATAGAACTTAATACTCAATAATGATTTAACTCACATGTGGAGAATACTTTTATTTTTTATATATCTTTATTATTTTATAAGGGAATCTTTGAATGACTTAATACTTTATTATCCCTGTGCTGTATCTTTGCACTTTTGTCCTTCTAGACTGCAAAGTTTTATGTTTTCGCATTTTTTTATTCTTTATCTTCTTTCTTTTTGTTATCTTTGCACTTTTTAAAAATAAGTCAATAAAATATTTTAGAAGAACAAGAAATGCCTAGCATTGATTAAATAAAAATGTGGGAATTTCAATGTTCTAAGATAACACAAAGGTATTATTCAAGAAAGGGGGTGTGTGACTGCAAGATTAAATACTCATTCTATCTATCTATCTCTCTCTTTATATATATATCCTTCAAAATAGCTGTTTCATGCTTTGCATATATACGTGTCTCTTAGATCTAAAAGAAAATTAAAATCCTACTTGTTGTATCGATCTTTTTGACTAGCCCTCTTCCTTTGGCATGGAAAGGCACTCCAGCTGTCTTCTTGAGCTGCTGTGCAGTTTCAGTAGCTACAAAAAATAATTCTAATTAATACTCCACCAGGAAAACATATCAAGTCATTCTTAAACAGGGCTCTTCATGGAACAATTAAAACTTGACCCTCTCCGGAAAGAAATCATACCGCTCAATAATGCACAGACTGGATTTACATACAGAGCTTCCCCCTTTTTAGTGCTATACCTGGAACTGGAAGAACCCCTGGTCCTAGGGTACCTGCACATTTTTCATTCTAAAATATGTTGATATTGATCAGTGCCACCAGCTCTCAGCCCACCCATTCCAAAGGACCTTTTGTATTGTGCATGCCTGCCTTTTCCCTTCACACACATGACATGATTCTTGCCCCTTTAAACAACTCTGTAGAACAAAGGGAAATTTTAAGGTGTGCAGCCTGAAAATCAGAAGCGAAAGAAGAAAAACGTAAAGCTGTCAAAATTCACTGTTCTACATTTATCTTTTTTAAAGAGAGAGAGATTGGGTAGGGGGAGAATGGTGGGGCTCAAAGTTCTAGACTACAAAGCATCAAGACTTCCTCCAAGACTGGTTTCAGCATCTCAAATTCTACTGTGCATGTTGCATCTTTTTCAAATACTGTACAATATTGAGGCTATTCCTCTGGTGTTTTTCTTAACAGGTGCCTTGATACTTACACTTCTGCAGCAGCTCTGCTCGGAGAGTAGCGCTTTTTGGTTTACGTTTCAGCTGGAAGTGCTTCACCGGAGGAGTAAGTGGTCCAGCCAACGTGGTCAAGGCGTTCTTATTTAAGTACTGGCACTCCAGCGGCAGCATAGCTGACGATTCACATTCACTCACTATGTAATCAGAAAACACACAGGAAATGAGTTCCTGTAAGAACCAACATTAAGAAAAGCGTTCGTCCTTTGGGCAGACAACTACATCTTCCTCCCAACTTGAAAGACCAAACGTTTTCTCCATTTCCTCAAGTTATTTTGCCCATCACGTTCCCCATGGGGAGCTCACTTGCACAGCTAATCCAGCAGGCTTGGACTACTGATGGCCCATGACTTCATCCCAGCTTTCTCCAGAGATCGGCTGAGTTCCCCACGTGTAATTCAGCTGTGCAGCTGAGCCGGCTTTGTCTTGCACCAGAGGTCACATTTAGGGACAGGAGTGCATGGCTTGGGGAAAACGGCTTCCTGTGATACTTGCGCTGGGTGAACTTTGGACCATGGGGCAGAGGCTCCCTACCCTGATTTACACTCATCAATTCAGGCAACTTGTTGTGCAAAGAGATTTATATTTTGGAGCAGCCCTCCCCCAATGTGTAAGCTGCAGGAGAGGCTCATCAAGCAGTGAAACAGAACTGTGCTGCCCCCCTGCCAACAATGGGCTTCTCTCACCTGTGTTGTGGCAGCGCCCACAAAGCACTGGCTTCCAGTGGGATCTCACTGAAATCTTGCGATATTTCAGTGCTGCTGCCAACGCCCCTTTTCCACTGGCGGGTCTCTCACCTTGCCTCATAAGTGGGCCAGGTCTGATAAGCTGACCAGGTATGGGGTTTTAGCCTCCTTTTCAGTCTCAAGGAAAAGTGGCAAGAGCACAGGCTATATTAATAAATAATAATAATAATTTTTATTTATACCCCGCCCTCCCCAGCCAAAGCTGGGCTCAGGGCGGCTAACAAGCAATAATAAAAACAAGTTGAATGAATACAACTTAAAAACAAGATTAAAATACAACATTAAAATATTAAAATGCAGCCTCATCACAGGAGGAGAAAGGAAAAAGGAAAAAGAAAAAAGAAAGAGGGGGAGGGAATCAAATTGGCTCCAAGCCAAAGGCCAGGCGGAACAACTCTGTCTTACAGGCCCTGCGGAAAGAAATCAGATCCTGCAGGGCCCTGGTCTCATGAGGCAGAGCGTTCCACCAGGCTGGAGCCAGTTTTGAAAAGGCCCTGGCTCTGGTTGAAGCTAATCTAACTTCCTTAGGGCCCGGGACCTCTAGGGCGTTGCTATTTATGGACCTTGAGGCTCTCCGTGGGGCATACCGGGAGAGGCGGTCCCATAGGTACGAGGGTCCTAGGCCGTGAAGGGCTTTAAAGGTCAAAACCAGCACCTTAAATCTGACCCTTAAATATTAGCACCATCTCACATCCCTTGGGCTTTACCCGTCAGACATATCTTGAGGCATAACTGAGCCAGCAGAACATGAGACCCTTAATCTCAGGGTTGTGGGTTCGAACCCCACGTTGGGTGAAATATTCCTGCATTCCAGGGGGTTGGACTAGATCAGGGGTCGGCAAGGTTTACCTCGCCTGGGCCAGTTCATTCCGGCGGAGATCCTTCTGTGGCCGGATTGCGCGTGCGTGTGCGTCCGCAATTTCCGATGTCTGCATCTGCAATTTACGGCGTCTGCGCAGACGTGATTTCCAGCGCTGCAGAAGAAAGTCCCCACGCCACACCATGCCGGTTTAGCGCAGCACGCAGCGACTCAGCAAGCAGGTGACTCAGTTCAGGGGCGGCTTGTGGGCCAGTTAAACAACCCCCGTGGGCTGCTTCTGGCCCATGGGCCTTAGGTTACCTACTCCTGGACTAGATGATACTCATGGTCCCTTCCAACTCTGCAATCATGCTCTGCCCCTCGGGTGGGTGACATTTTCTGTCAAATGCTCCCTTTGAACTCCCCTAAGGTTCCACCTCCAAAAATCTTTCCTCTGAGCCTCAGACCCAGAACACCTGGCAATCCTACTCCTACATCCTGAGAAACACAGGATTAATCTATTAATCTAAACATAGCCCAATCCACAATTTACCAAGCAAACACAATACAACAATTTCACAGGAATTTACATGAAATTTACCTACCTTTTTCTCGCAGTTCTCCTAAAATATCCTGAACATTGGGATTCTGCTCTTCCAGATCAAGGTTCAGGGAACCTATATCGGGAAATGATTTCAAGATATCGGCCACCATTAAGACCCAGGGGTCCGGATCCAAGGTCGCAAGCTGGATGATTTCTGTCAGCGCATTTTTCATCTAACAAAAATGAAGAGAGAAGGCAAATCAAGAGTGGAATGTTCAAAGCACATTAAGAGCTGCTTTCTCAAAACTTTACTGAATAGACCAAACCTGTAGCTCACATTCGCTGGGGTAAAAGATGTAGAGTAAGGAGTAGGGAATACAGAGGCAAATTTGCCCATCCCTACATCTGTACACTGACCACTGAAGGAAAATGGGTGGCAGCACTTCTACAGCCCTGTCTCCAAAGCAGATGCCCTTCCTTACAGCGAGGCTGCCCCCCAAATGTGCCTGTTTAAAGTTTAGTACGAGTAAACTGTGAAACTTTAAACGGTATTTGTCACAAATGGCAAAGGCACAGGTGCTCTCTGGTCATCTCACCCACAATTTCTCTCCCTGTGAAGAAGGACACTTCCTCACAAGTAAGAGAGTCTCAAAGAGTCTAGGAATGCCCACGCTGCTGCCCCAAATGCAGCGGCAAAATTTTTCTATAGCAGGTCTCAGAAGCAGGCATGAGTGCACAGGGGGAGGTCTCAGATAGCAAAACGTTTTGAGCCAGCCCCAGCCACACCCTGATATCACTTAAATAGCAATGAGGTCTTCTATTTTTTTCTGAACAACAGAGGTTAAATAATACTTTGTTGCACAGTGAGGAACGATTTTCCTCTACTTAAACGGAATACAAACCATTTAAACTAAATGTTACTCCAACACGGTCCATTTTATAAAAAATAAAAAAACACGGTCCATTATACAGTCATACCTCGGGTTAAAGTAGCTTCGGGTTGAGCGTTTTCAGGTTGTATTCCGCAGGCGACCCAGAAGTAACAGAACGGGTTACTTCTGGGTTCTGCCACTCGCGCATGCAGACGCTCAAAATGACGTCACGTGCATGCGCAGAAGCGGTGAATCGTGACCCGCGCATGCGCAGACACCGGTTGCATTCTGCTCAGGATGCAAACGGGGCTCCAGAACGGATTCCGTTCGCATCCAGAGGTACCACTGTACAGCGATACCTAGGGTTAAGTACTTAATTCATTCCGGAGGTCCGTTCTTAACCTGAAACTGTTCTTAACCTGAAGCACCACTTTAGCTAATGGGGCCTCCCGCTGCAGCACGATTTCTGTTCTCATCCTGAAGCAAAGTTCTTAACCCGAGGTACTATTTCTGGGTTAGCGGAGTCTGTAACCTGAAGCGTATGTAACCTGAGGTACCACTGTATAGGGTACTGCAATGACAGATATTTGTGTTGTTGTTTTTTAAATGATATTTATTAAAATTTCAAAAACAAAAAATTACATAATTAAAGAAAAAAGATACAAGGAAAAATATATAAAAAAGAGAGAAAAACATACAAAATACAAAGTACAGATAAAATGTAAGAAAGAAAGACTTAAAAACAAATTAATCCTTCCGTATCTTACATTTCATTTCCTTGCTTCTCTGACCTCCTCTCACCTCCCTTTTTTGTATTCCAGTTCAATTGGTTAATTCAGCAATTCCTTTCCTCTTTGTTTATATCTTAGTCCTTTAACTTAATATTTTATAACTTTAGATTCTCACCTATTAACCCCATTTTTACATACACCTTTATGACATTGCTACTAGAACCACTTAATTTCATTCTAGCATCATCTAACATTCATTAATTTTACAATATTTCTGTAAATAGTCTTTAAATTTCTTCCAATCTTCTTCCACCGACTCTTCTCCCTGGTCTCGGATTCTGCCAGTCATTTCCACCAATTCCATGTAGTCCATCACCTTCATCTGCTATTCTTCCAGAGTGGGTAGATCTTGTGTCTTCCAATACTTTGCAATAAGTATTCTTGCTGCTGTTGTGGCATACATAAAGAAAGTTCTATATTTCTTTAACACCAATTGGCCGACTATGCCCAGGAGAAAGGCCTCTGGTTTCTTCAAGAAGGTATATTTAAATACCTTTTTCAATTCATTATAGATCATCTCCCAGAAAGCCTTAATCCTTGGGCACGTCCACCAAAGGTGAAAGAATGTACCTTCGTTTTCTTTACATTTCCAACATTTATTATCGGGCAAATGATAGATTTTTGCAAGCTTGACTGATGTCATGTACCACCTGTATATCATTTTCATAATATTCTCTCTTAAGGCATTGCATGCCGTAAACTTCATACCTGTGGTCCATAACTGTTCCCAGTCAGCCATCATTATGTTATGTCCAACGTCTTGTGCCCATTTAATCATAGCAGATTTCACCGTTTCATCCTGAGTATTCCATTTCAACAGCAAGTTATACATCTTTGATAAAGTCTTAGTTTTGGGTTCTAACAGTTCTGTTTCTAATTTTGATTTTTCCACCTGGAAGCCAATTTTCTTGTCGGAATTATATGCCTCCATTATCTGATAATAATGAAGCCAATCTCGCACTTTGTTTTTTAGTTTCTCAAAACTCTGCAGTTTCAATCTGTCTCCCTCTTGTTCCAGAATTTCTCAATATTTCGGCCATTTGGCCTCCATATTGAGCTTTTTCAGTGCTTTCGCTTCCATCGGTGACAACCACCTTGGGGTTTTATTTTCCAATAAATCCTTATATCTTATCCAGACATTAAACAATGCTTTCCTGACAATATGATTCTTAAATGCTTTATGTGCTTTGACTTTGTCATACCACAAATATGCATGCCATCCAAATACATTATTGAAACCTTCTAAGTCCAAAATGTCTGTGTTTTCAAGAAGCAGCCATTCTTTCAGCCAGCAAAAAGCTGCTGATTCATAATAGAGTTTAAGGTCTGGCAGGGCAAATCCACCTCTTTCCTTTGCATCCGTTAATATTTTGAATTTTATTCTGGGCTTCTTGCCCTGCCAGACAAATCTAGAAATATCTCTCTGCCACTTCTTGAAACAGTCCATTTTGTCCAAAACTTGCAATGTTTGAAACAAAAACAACATTCTAGGCAATACATTCATTTTTATCGCAGCAATACGGCCTAACAGTGAAAGCTTCAGGTTTGACCAAATTTTTAATCTTTTTTCACTTCAGCCCAACATTTTTCATAATTGTCTTTAAATAGATTCCCATTTTTAGCTGTCATGTTAATCCCCAGGTATTTCACTTTCGGCAATGACAGATATTTGAGAGGCACATTAAAAAAAAAAAAAAGCTACAGATTTGCTTTTTAAAAGTCAGAGCAGGAAGAATCACAATTATTACAACATAGCTCCAATTTAGAACAAAACCAAGCTTGATTAGAAAAAGGAAATATATGATAAAATCCTGTTAAGGACAAACAATTTAAAGCAATCATACAGTATAAGCTGAAAAATTGGGAGATGTGTTAATGAAAAGTTACATAAATATTCTTAAACTGTGGATAGTATTAACAAATGCATTGTTATCAAGTCCAAGGAGAGTCACATGGTTGTAGAGAAGATCTGTGATGCCATACTTAAGATTACTATATTCAGCTTTTGACACAAAGAGGTATGACCAGTATTGGAAAAGTTCAGAAGCTTTACACAAATGAAAAATAGACTTTGAAGCAAAATGGAGTGCTAAGGGAGTTAGGTGATCTATATAAAATGAAAGCATTACAGAGAAGAAACAATTCTCCCTCTCTTCTGAGGATAGGGCAAGGAACAGTGTATAAATCAGATCAATATAAGGTGACTAGGGATACCTGTGAACCTTTCTTTGCATACAGATGCCTGCTCATCTAACCTTAACAGACTATGCAGCAGGCAACCTGTTCCAGACTAAGGCACTGGATCTGATGATCCACTGGATTCCTACGCACACATTTTCTAAGAATGGGGAATCCTTAGGTTCAAGTTCCTGCTCAAAAAAAGCTCAGCAGGTGGCAATACAGTTTCAGCTTGAGGGATTGTTTTGAGATTCAGCAATAAAAAATGTTGGGAATTAGAATTAGGACCTTTCTTGCATATTTTGGTATTACACATGTGGCATATGTTGGGAGCATTACTGGAGATGTCAAAGTGCAGGTGCCAAGCTGTCACATGTCAAGCTGTAGGACAGAGACCAGTTTTACTGAATCCAGAAAGTTCCTAAGTGCATTGAAATGAAATGAAATTTATTACGGTCCCAGACCAGATTCACATACCGTTTCCTATGTGCATTTACTACAAAGAGAGGCCCAGTTGTTTCAGTGGTTCATGCACACGTATTTGAAAGTAAGTGCATGGGCGACTTCCGGGGTGGCGCCATCGGTAATGGCGGATTCCCTCTGATCCGGAGGGACCGGCTCCATGGAAAACGGGTCTTTCCCACTACGGCGAAGCGGGGACCCTTTGAAAAATCACAGGCGGATGAAGCCTGTGACCATGGGACTCGGGCACCTTTCACGCCCCCCCAACTCGTAAAGGAACCCAGTTACGGGGTCCGGAACGAAGAGGGGCTAGTGGCGCGGTGCTGAGAGTCAACTGCTTCTTCCGTGGAGCGAAGCCGCACAGCCGTTGCCAGAGAGCGCTGCCTTTTTCCTGGGACAATTTGGCTACTAAAACAACTACCCGTGAGTAGCTTAATTTCGGACAATTGGACTTTAAACAACGACTTGTGAGTAGAAAGGAAAATTGGACTAAGAAATTCTTTTTAATTTGGCACTGAAACGGGAAGGTCTAAACAGGAAGTCAGCCTTCCGTTTCTTGTAGACAGATTAAAGCAAAGACATGGCAAACTAGAGTTCAGAAAATCGTTTGTAAAGGATTAACTTCCATCATCTAAAATTGTTGAACCCCCTTCGGAAGCAGGAGAAGAGGGGGGAATTTTTCCGGACTGCTTAAACCTGCAGAAGAGAGTGTAAGAAAAGTAATTTTCCACCGTCTCGAACCTGGGAGCGGGGTGTCAGGACTGACGTTCTTGGGAAGTTCATTGACTATAGACAAACGTCTTTGACAGTCAGATAAAAGAAGAGAAACATAGTGATTCCATTGTTCTCCTTCGCATTTTAAATGAACAAATATTGACAAAATATCTGAAAAGGGAAACTTTGTTGTTAGATCTGCTTTTAAAAGAAAAAGAAAAGAGATGGATACAAATGGAAGTTCTTCCCCTAGAGGGAGCCTGTGAAACTGTTACTAAATTTGAACCGGGGAGCTCTGCAGCTGCAACAATTTAAGATCGTGGGAACAGACTTCTGACCTTGTATAACAATGTATTCAGAAGCTCTGGTGCGTGCTTTCTGTAAAACAAGTGCCTTATTGGAACAGTTACATGAGAACTGTTGACTGTTGCGATCAGAAATTTTGGACAGGTAGTGGGTAACTATTTAGAACCCACCCAGGAATCAACTCAGGAGTGTGCTCTGACAGATCAGATGAGGGAGGAGGATGTTGCTGGACCTCGGGTGGCAGAGATAGAGGGAGCTGTGGCCCAGCAGGAACATGAGTTGTTGGATCTGACAAATGAACTTGGAAAAAGCCAGATTTGGAGAGATAGAGTTTGGTTTGGAAATGGGGGGTTGGATAGACCCCCCTATGCAGGGATGTTTTGACTCTTCAAGTCTGGCAATGGGCCGTGAGATGTTTGGGGTTGTGGGGGTTCTTAACACTGGAGGGACTTTGAAACATGTTTTTAAATACCACATGGAGTTTAGTGTGGACTATGGAAAAGGGGCTGATTTGTCGAGAAGGGACAAAAATACTGTCAAGTTGGAGTTTCCACAAGTGAAAGGAGCAGGAGACAAAGTAAAGTACAGGTATAAATATGAAGAAGATCTGCGGAAGGGACATGGAAGGGACTTAAGGGCCTCGGACATAAGATTACCAGGTTAATGAGCTAGATGGATGGGATAGAAAGGACTGACAAAACCCGGGACCAGGAGGAAGAGACGTTGGATGAAGATTGGAAGAAAGTTTTAAAAATTTTTATTAGGATTGTTTTATAAAATTGATGAATGTTAGAAAGATGTTGGAATGAAATTATTTGGCTTTAGCAGAAACGTTAAAAGAATTATGTAAGAATATGTTATGGTTATGAGAAATTGGTATAAATAAGATCTAAGTTTTAAAGTTTTAGGGTCTTTTATAGTAAGATAAGATTAAAATAGATTAAGGTAATTTAATGACAGAATACTATGAAAAATGGAAAGGATTTGCTGTGATAATTAACAACTAGAATACAAAAAGGGAGGAGTGAGGAGGTCGATGAAATAAGGTAATGACAGTTAAGGATTTGGGAATATTGGATTTGTTTTTAAATTTTTGTGGTTTATTTTTGCTTTTTGATTGTGATGTGTTACGTGTTTTGTTGTTGTTTTTTGATTTTGATTTTTATCAATTTGTATTGTTTGATTGTGGTTTGTTTTTCTCCTGTTTTTTTTTTTGTTTTTTTCCCCTTCTTTTTCTCTTTGTTTTTCCTGTAATTTTAAAATTCTTAATAAATATCATTTTTTTAAAAAAAAAGAAAGTAAGTGCATGAAACTGCAGCCTTAAAAGTGATGCTGCTTAGACAGAAATCTGCCTTTTGCTTCTGAGACGTAACTGCAGTGCAAAAGACATGCAACTGCAAAACCAAAGGTTTTGGATTCTGCTTCTAGATTGTGGGAAAGCTCTATTTAGTTGCAAATCAGTATGCTTTCACTGCTCTAGCAACTATTTAGTACCATTTAGCATGTTTCCCCAGGTGCATTCATGCACCTGGAAAGGATGCTAGCAATATCTCTAGCTCACAAAAACTGGGATGCTCAAATCAGTTACTACGGCTGCCAGTAACTGCAGTTGACTGAGGCACATCACCACTAGTATTTACTTCCAGCTTTCCTCTGAATGGTTACCTATCTATTTTCTGGACCTATCAATATATCTGGTAGTTTGTTTTCCCCATGGAAACAATCACCAATGCCCCAACAGCAGAAATGGTAATGCATACCCATACTAGTAGAGCAATGCTTCAAAATGATCTTGCATCAACCTAAAAGTACAATACTACGTAGAGTAAGAATGCTGGAACCCACTGAAACAAACCATTGGGTTTGGAAGTTCACATAATCCTGGGATGTGGCTCATAAGCCATTTGGAAATCACACCCTGTAGCACTAGACCTTACTTCCCAGTTACGACCAGCAAATCAATACTAGCTAAAAATGGGAATTCCTCTCTAAAGCAGTCATAAAGACTTTAATAAATATTACACTCCCAAGCCAGTATTAAATAAATGTACTGCCAGAGCCCATGCCTACAAACAGTAGCAGAGTTTTCTAGTGGGCCTTTGCAATTTTAAAGATGCCTGTGTTGCCATACATAAATTTGTCGTAACATTGCACTATGTGATTTATGTGCTTTTATCCTTTCGTTTCAATAAACCAAGGTTTCCTTTTCCAAAATTTGGTTTGTTGCACACACACACACTTCAGAAAAGTGCCTACTGCTTTCAGCAAAAGGGTGTGCTCCTCTCTGGAAGGGAGACATTTGGAGGGTTGAGTGAGAAGCAGATGCTCATGGGATCAATTCAGACATTTGTATGGAGTCTTTCCCTGAAGCTGTATGAAAAGTACCGTATTTTTCGCTCTGTAAGATGCAGCAGACCATAAGACGCACTTAGTTTTTGGAAGAGAAAAACAAGAAAAAAGATATTCTGAATCCCATAAGCCAGGACAGCGCAGCAATCCCGCTTGCTGTTCTGGCTTATGGGATAGCTGCGTGCAGCCTCTCCCAACCAGGGAAGCTACGCAGCTAAGCAAGAAGCCAGGAGAGCCAGCGGGATCGCAGCGCAGCAATCCTGCTGGCAGTCCTGGCTTCTGACTTAGCCGTGCACAGCCTCTCCCGGACAAGTGGAGCCTTCATCCCCTGCCCGGGAGAGGCTAAGGCTCCCCCAAGAGCCGCGCTCCCTTTAAAGAGCCACACACACGCTCCACATGGCTCTTTAAAGGGAGCGCTGAGCAGAGCCTCCCGCCTGCATTTGCTCCATAAGACGCACAAACATTTCCCCTTACTTTTTAGGAGGGGAAAAGTGTGTCTTATAGAGCGAAAAATACGGTAAACCAACACCTTTCTGTGGTCTTAAGCAGAACAGCCCAAGTAAAGCACTAGCACTCAGCTCCACTGCATGCATAAACCAAGTCTGGGATGAAGTTGGGAAGGGATCTTGCTTCAAACTCTTGCAAGAGATGGGCTGGGCCAGACTGAACGTACATCGGTGATGTGATATGGCAGAAGCAGGCAGTGATTTCTGTTGACTCACCTAGTGCCTACTGTCTACTAATATCCCCCCCCCCAAAGAATTAAGCACATCTCCATCCGATTTCCCCTCCCCCAAAAGCACTTGTAAAAAATTCGGAAACAAGAGTGCATTCTCTCAGGGTATCGTCCAGAGTTTAACATTTTGCCTTATCCGATTAAAAGGTCACAACTTATGGAGCCTTGCTTTGGAAAAGGGGGTAAAAAAAACCCAGCCAGGTGGACCTCAGGAATATTGTGAGTATTTGTGTGTTTGTGGGTGTGTATAAATAAGAGATCGGTCAATGAGGAATTGCAGCCCACCCCTGTGAACAAGGAAAACCCATATTGCAGGTTTGCTGCAATGGACCTTGGGAATAGTTTTGAGTATTTGTGTGTGTTTTTGTGTATGTGTATAAATAAAAGATCATTCAATAAGGAAGGGCAGCCCACCCCTTCAAAAGTGCACCTCATGGTAAGCAAAGGACCTCGGGAAAAGGTTGCGTATTTGTATGTGTGTGTTTGTTTGTGTGTGTGTATGTGTATAAATAAAAGATCATTCAATAAGGAAGGGCAGCCCACCCCTTCAAAAGTGCACCTCATGGTAAGCAAAGGACCTCGGGAAAATTTGTGTTTGTGTGTCTGTGTGTGTATAAATAAAAAATCACTCTATGAGGAAGTGCAGCCCACCCCTTCGAAAGTGCACCTCAAAGTAAGCAAAGGACCTCGGGAAAAGTTTGAGTATTTGTGTGTTTGGGTGTCTATATATAAATGTGTATGTGTGTGTAAATAAAGAAAAGATCACTCAATTAGGAACTGCAGCCCAGCCCTTTGAAAGTGCACCTTTGGGTAAGCAAAGGACCTCGCAAAAAGTTTGAGCATTTGTGTGTTTGGTTGTCTATATATATATGTGTGTGTGTGTGTGTGTGTGTGTAAATAAATAAAAGATCACTCAGTTAGGAAGTGCAGCCCACCCCTTCAAAAGTGAACCTTAGGGTGAGCAAAGGACCTCGGGAAAAGTGTGTGTGTGTAAATAAAAGATCTCTCAATTAGGAACTGCAGCCCAGCCCTTTGAAAGTGCACCTCATTGTAAGCAAAGGACCTCGGGAAAAGTTTGAGTATTTGTGTGTCTGTGTGTGTATAAATAAAAAATCACTCTATGAGGAAGTGCAGCCCACCCCTTCGAAAGTGCACCTCAAAGTAAGCAAAGGACCTCGGGAAAAGTTTGAGTATTTGTGTGTTTGGGTGTCTATATATAAATGTGTATGTGTGTGTGTGTGTAAATAAATAAAAGATCACTCAATTAGGAACTGCAGCCCAGCCCTTTGAAAGTGCACCTTTGGGTAAGCAAAGGACCTCGCGAAAAGTTTGAGCATTTGTGTGTTTGGTTGTCTATATATATATATATGTGTGTGTGTGTGTGTGTGTGTGTGTGTGTAAATAAATAAAAGATCACTCAGTTAGGAAGTGCAGCCCACCCCTTCGAAAGTGAACCTTAGGGTGAGCAAAGGACCTCGGGAAAAGTGTGTGTGTGTAAATAAAAGATCACTCAATTAGGAAGTGCAGCCCACCCGGGTGAAGGAGGAAAACCCCCCTTGCAGGTCTGGCTGCAACGGACCTCAGGAATAGCTTCGAGCCCTTTCTTGGCGCGTGTCTATATGGGTGTGTGTCTTGTTGTCGTTGGCCCCCGTCTGCCTCGGCGGGAGACGATGCAGGACTGTCACCTTTTCCCTACGGCGCGTGTGTGCGGCGATGGGATGTGCGTCCCCCCGAGCCCCCTGTCCCACCCCTGGGGCGGAGGAGGGGACCCCCCCTTCCCCAATGGGCCTCGGGGGGCAGGAGGAAGCGGCGCCCACCCCGGGGGGGGGGGCCGAAGCGACGACTGAGGGGCGCCGGGGCCCGTCCCCGGGGGGGGGGTGTCCAGGCTTCCCTCATGGCTGTTTGGGGGGTGGGCGGCCTCCTCGGGGGTCTCTCCCTTCGCCTCACCTCGTCCACGGCGCGGCGAGGCAGGTGCAGCATCCCCAGCAGGAGCTTGAGCTTGACGGGCGACGAGAGGCCGTGGAAGCAGAGGCGGATGTTGTCCACCACCGAGGCCGTGAGCAGCGAGGCGATGCTGGGCGGCGCCCACAGCTCGTCCGCCGAGCCCAGCTTGTTGTGCAGCCACAGGCCGGTGTCGCTCTCCCGCATCGACGCCATCTTGGAGCGGGGGGGGGGAGGGGAGACGAGGCGCGCGGCGGGCATTTTATGAAGACACCTAAAAAAAAAAAAATGGAGGGAAGGAAGGAAGGAGTACGGCCGCAAGGCCCCGCGGCCCCTTTTCCCGCCTCTCTCCGTCCGTAACGCAAAATGGCGCCGCCCACGCGCCGGGGAGAAAAAGCTGACGAGGGCTTAAGAGCCGGGCGGCGCAAGGTCGCCGTGCAAAATCGCGGCGCCCGCGTCAAGAGCGAGCGAGCTTCCTTCCGGGCAGCAAAATGGAGCTTTTTCCGTACGGGAAGATGGCGGCTCCTAGGCAGGATGGGCTTATGCGGAGGTCGAAGAGCGGCTGTTTCTTTTTATATACTGTATATAATCACACACACACACACATATTTATGATACGTAAAATGAACCGTGGAAATAGAAGAAAGGAAGTCATTAATATTTTAAGGATGTAAAAATGAGTACTTTAAATTGTAAAACAAAATTTAATTTATAAAAATTATATATATATATATATATATATATATATATATATATATATAATGTTCTGTTTTACAATTTAAAGTACTCATTTTACATCCTTAAAATATCAATGACTTTCTTCTATTTCCATGGTTCATTTTACATATCATAAACCCCTACATATTTTACAGAAACTATACCATTCAGGCGTATTGCATCCATCAAAACGTATTTACACTTGCATTTATCTTAATGCTGCCTGTGTTTTTGGCTGTACCCAATTATTTCCCATAAATTCAATAAACGTTTTCCAATCTTCTCTAAACGTATGTTCTTCTTGTTCTCTGAGTCTATATGTTAAGTCTGCGAGTTGTGCATCTTTTGTCAACTTAAGTTGCCATTCTTGTTTAGTTGGGACCTTGCTCATTTCCCATTTTGAGGCTAAGGAAACACGGGCCGCTGTAGTAGCATACATAAATCACCTTTTTTGACACCTGGGAATTTCGGTCTGAATTATTCCCAACAGAAAGGACTCTGGGTTTGGGGGGGGGAAGTACTTTTAAACATTTTTTTCAATTCATTATGGATCATTTCCCAATTCTCTCTTGCCCTTCTACTGAAGAGCGGCTGTTTCCACGGGACAGAGCAACCGTTTTTCACTTTGCTGCTTCAGAAATCTTTTGATAGGGAATGCCCTCAGTGGCTCTTCCATTTACCAATATGTCAAATACAGCAGTTTTGTTGTTATCAGTGCTCTTTTTTCTACAGAAAAAAGGTCTGGTACTCATCATGAAATTATTACAGTGAGTGCCACACTTTTAACACCTGGGGGGGAAAGGTGCTGGTATTGCATGTCCCCTGAGTACCCCCAGAAAAAAGCACTGATAATTATATTTGTGTATGTATTATATTTATGTACTGAAGTTCTCACCCTGGGCCAGCAGGGGGATACTGTAGATAGTTTTCACTCAGGTCCACATATGCAAATAACAGATTGAAAGTGACGTTCAGTGATTGGATAGTTACAGAAAATGGTTACTGTTGCGTTCTGGCCTGTGAATAAACAAGAGCTGTTTGAAGAATCGCTGTGTCGTCTGATATGGTCACTCACAACTTAACAGGTACTCTGAAGCATGGTTGCTTCCAGATGTAGAGGCAGAGCATAGCCATCACAGCTAGTAAACGTTGATCGAGAACTTCGTGGAGGAGAGGGCTAATTCTTTTTTAAAGGCATCCAGGTTGGTAGCCAGGTTGCAAAGTTCAGGCCCTAAGAGGCCATGGCAAACTTGTTTTTAAAGCAGTATTAGTAAAAATAAAAAAGAAGTAAATTTATTTACTAAGCAACAGTATTAATAAAATAATACAGGACGTAATGCATCCGTAATATAAAATTTCATAATATAGAAAAGGCTTTGCGAAGTTCCTGGGCATTAAAACACAGTTTCCCTTGTGCATCTCGGACAGCTCCGATTGTAATATTTTCATAGAATCATAGAGTTGGAAGAGACCACAAGGGCCATCGAGTCCAACCCCCTGCCAAGCAGGAAACACCATCAGAGCACTCCTGACATATGGTTGTCAAGCCTCTGCTTCAAGACCTCCAAAGAAGGAGACTCCACCACACTCCTTGGCAGCAAATTCCACTGTCGAACAGCTCTTACTGTCAGGAAGTTCTTCCTAATGTTTAGGTGGAATCTTCTTTCTTGTAGTTTCGATCCATTGCTCCGTGTCCGCTTCTCTGGAGCAGCAGAAAACAACCTTTCTCCCTCCTCTATGTGACATCCTTTTATATATTTGAACATGGCTATCATATCACCCCTTAACCTCCTCTTCTCCAGGCTAAACATGCCCAGCTCCCTTAGCTGTTCCTCATTTTGCCCTTTTAAAATCCAGAGAGAGAAAGCAGAGACACCTACAAACGCAAATCCAGCTTGATTTGATATTAAACCTCTGAATCGCCACAAGAATTTACAGGGATTTTATATAACTCCTTTTTGTTGCTTTTTTTTTTTTTTTTGCAGGCAGTTCACAGTGAGCTACTCTCTGTGTTACAAAGCTATTAATGTCACTCAAAAGAAACTGAACCATTTGTGCCAGGGAAATGCAAAAAAACAACAACAATCTCTTGGGTCTCTATATAAGCGGCAGACTAACAGATAATGAGTTGTATCTTCCACCTGAGGTTGACCACAAATACAAAGTCTGTCTGAATATGGGACCTTGTAGCAGCCATCTAAGCCTTCAGTGGGCATCACTCAGAAACACAGCTTAATAAAGGCATTTCTTAAGGAAGCTGATGAGGGTTTGGTCCGATAACTAGCTCTAAAATGCTCTGTTCTCAAAAGTGGATTCCAAGGGGGAAATTAGCATTTCTAATTAGTTGAGGTCCCTTCTGGATTCTATCTGCAATAGCCAGTCTCTTGGTTGACACTTACTCAAGGTCAAAACACTTCTGCAAAGGTCAGTTCTGGAAAATAATAACAGTCTAAAACATATTGTCAAGTATGGGAAACAAGGAAGATTAACTGGAGCTTTTAATACAGGATGGCAAATATGACCTGTAGGCATTACTGAAATTTGGTGGAATGACTAATGACTGGAATGTAGGAAATAGGGGGTATAACCTGTTCAAAAGGAACAGACCAAACAGGAATTGGCAAGGAGGAGCATTATACATAAAAGATGTGTACGCTTGTGAAGAAATCCATGACCTGGAGCATGGAATGACCTTAACAGACTGGAGAACTAGGCGCAAGCTAACGAAATGAATTTCAACGGGGACAAATGTAAGGTTTTGCACTTAGGCAGGAAGAACCAGGTGCACAAATATAGGATGGGGGACACCTGGCTGTACGAACTGTGCACGCGAAAAGGATTTAGGGGTCTTGGTGGACCACAAGCTTATTATGAGTCAACAGGGAGTGATGCTGCAGCAAAAAAGGAGAATGCTATTCTAGGTTGCATCAAGCATAGTGTCCAGATCAAGGAAAGTAATAGTACCGCTCTATTCTGCCTTGGTCAGACCATATTGTGTCCAGATCTGGGTGCCACAATTTAGGAAGGATGTTGACAAGCTGGAAAATGCTCAGAGGAGGATGAGTAAGATGATCAAGGGTCTAGAAACCAAGCCTTATAAGAGTGGTTGAGGGAGCTGGGTATGTTTATCCTGGAAAAGAGGAGACTGGCATAAGAAATGCTTCTGGCCTACCTTATATGGTTCTCCAATGCCTCAGTCAAATAAAAGGTGATTAACGAATTTCACACACTACATACACCATTTACCTACCTCAAGAGAGCTTTCCACTCTCTAAGCCAGTGTGATGTAGTGGTTAAGAGCGGTGGACTCATAATCTGGTGAACTGGGTTCGCTTCCCCGCTCCTCCACATGCAGCTGCTGGGTGACCTTGGGCCAGTCACACTTCTCTGAAGTCTCTCAGCCCCACTCACCTCACAGAGTGTTTGTTGGGGGGGAGGAAGGGAAAAGGAGATTGTTAGCCGCTTTGAGGCTCCTTAGGGTAGTGATAAAGCGGGATATCAAATCCAAACAACTCTTCTTCTTCTTCTTCTTCTTAATGTCCTGAGGGAACTCTACATTTGGAACAGTGTCACTTGTTTCTGCAACTGTACATTACACCATGTGCATGCCCCCCCAACTTATATGCGACAGACTTGCGTGCGACTGCACATACGCGCGGTCCTGGGAAATAAATAAAAAATTCAATTCAAACCTGGAAATGGCAGGAGAGAATTGGAAAGTCCTGGTAGCTCACGAGGAGACCCTCCCCAAAACCCAAAGAGGACATCAGTGAGGGCAGAGGAAGCCCCAAAGATACTGGAGGAGCCCTAGGGCTTTGTTTAGGCTGCTCAGCCTCCCTGCCTAGCCGCTAATGTGCAGGGTGGCAGCTGGTCCCAGAGCTTCAATTCTAGTTGTGGATATTTTTGGATACAGTATTTTTTGTCTGGATTGGAGAGAGAACGGCAGAGAGGGTGTTTTGAGGGTGCTCCCTATTTACGTGATTTTCACTTAATGCTCACGTAAGTGGGGGAAAGACTGTACTGTAACCTGCTTTGATTCATTATGGCAAAAGGCTTAAATAAAATTAAGCTTTTTAAAAAAAACAACACCACCACACAGACAATTTGATCCATTATTTGACCGGCGCTGTGGGTTAAACCACAGAGCCTAGGACTTGCCAATCAGAAGGTTGGCAGTTCAAATCCCCGCGATGGGGTGAGCTCCCGTTGCTCGGTCCCTGCTCCTGCTAACCTAGCAGTTCGAAAGCACATCAAAGTGCAAGTAGATAAATAGGTACCGCTCCGGTGGGAAGGTAAACGGCATTTCCGTGCGCTGCTCTGGTTTCGCCAGAAGCGGCTTCGTCATGCTGGCCACATGACCCGGAATCTGTACGCCGGCTCCCTCGGCCAATAAAGCGAGATGAGCGCCGCAACCCCAGAGTCGGTCACGACTGGACCTAATGGTCAGGGGTCCCTTTACCTTTACCTTTATTAGCATAAACTTTCTACCCTTGTAACTCCCCCTGTTTTCTTAAATCTGAGTTCCCAATACATGGGTGGGTCTTATAGATGGAAAAATACGGTATATTTCTGCCTCTATACATGTATGGGAAGCAACATATACGCTTTGGGGCCAGGATCAGATGGCCAATGTGGAGACTTCATGAAATCCAGAGGGTTCTCTTACAATTTGTAATGCTTTATTTTATTTTATTTTTGCAATTGCTGACTCTTTCATCAATCACATCCAGAGGTTGGGGGTGTAATTGTGTAAAAAAAAAAAAGCATTCTGAATATTGGATTTGATTGGTTAAGAGACTGGTGGCAAGAAAAGATAGCTAAACTGAATTTATTCCTCCGTTCCAGTTGTGACTCATTACCTCTTGGATGCTCCATCTCAAAAGCAGCAAACTTAGGGATAAAATCCCTCCCCCTATTTTCTCTTCCATCCTTGGGTGGGGGTGAGGAGGTTCAGCATCTTGCCTGATAAAGAGTTTTGGAGAACTTGGGGGGGGATGTTCATGATTCTGCCATATTTTAGATAGTCCTGGTAGAGATATTACAGTACTGCGGCTTTGGGATTAAAACTAAGGCAAGTCTTGGTTGACTTTTCCACTGGGGTGTTGCTTCCCTCTATAAAGTGATACCATTCATAATAAACCAGCAATACCCAGCCCATTGTTCTTGAAGCCTCTCCTTGAGTAGAGCGCTGTGCCGCGGCGTTGCCATGGTAGATTCTCTCCCCTTTCAGGGAAGGATAAAGAGAGCCAGTGCACATGCTCAGAGATGCTCACTAGCAGTTTGCTGCAGCCATTCAAAGAGACCATCACAAAGGCAAGTGAGACACCAGGTACTTCTATTTTATGATTTGCTGCAAAGGGGTTTCCCCCCCTGTTTTATAAAACTGAAAAGATGTCGTGCACTGGCTCATCGTATGCTATAATTTGTCCCTGAATAGCTATCGCTGGCTGTGCAAAAAATAAACGGCAAGGTAACTGGCAGGAAACAGGTGATTTCTTCTTGCCATCTTTCCTTGCCAGAGCTCTTGTGATAAGCCGGCCTGCTGGGGCTGAGACCAAACAAGCAAGAGCTTCTTTGGGAAAATAGAGACAATGTTTGTTTTACGGGTGCAATGAGAAGGCTTTTTCATCATTCCAGACAACAAAGACTTCCATGAAGCTCAAGTCACTTCTAGGCAGTGATCATCATTCCTAATATATACGGGTAGGAGAGATCCCTGCCTTTGCAGAGAATTATAGCGAGAATTAAAATGTAATATATTGGCAAATGGCTGGTTTTAAAATGCCCTCAGGTTTTCAGTCAATATTATTTAAAGAATGAAAACTATGCGGAGTAATATGTTTGTGTTAAGCAATTTTATTCGGAATTGCAAAATTGGTATTCTTTACTTAGGGCTTTTGCAGGTAGCCGTACCCCTGACGGTCGTGTGTTTTCATGCAGCAGCTGTGGTTCAGAAGCCACATATTGGAAGAACTGCCTTTGCAGTTGTTTAACGGCATCTTTGCTCTCGATATAAAATGGGGAAAATTCCAGCATTGCCCTCTGTGCATGTCAAATGAGCATTCTTATATAACATCATCATGTATAGATGCTGCCTTCCCTCACAGTACTTCTTCATGGCTTTTGACTGTGAGACCCACCCACCCCCCATGGCAACACGTTCCATCGTTTTGCTTTGAACATTTGTGCCTGAAGAACATTCTAACAACCTTTGAAAGTTTGTGAGATTTTAAAATGACTAGCTGTTGTAGTAAACAATGTCACTTCACATACCGCAAGAACTTCATGTATAATGTTTTGGTAACTTTAAAACTGTGGTTTGATTTTGTCATTTGTCACCTTGAGTTTTTTTATGAGGAAAGGGGGGGTTAATAGGGTGTTAAGAAATAACTAAATAGTAGCACACTGTTGATATTCTGGGTTTGTAAATGAATAATTGCTCAAGTATCTCAGGTGTCAAGACGTTTAGAGTTTGTGTGAGTTGCCATAGTGGTATTTTGCTACATCATGTGTCTGTCACAATTCCTTTCTAAAATGTTGAAAGCAAATACTGAACATGCAGATTTTCATGGCTGTAGGCTGTAGGCTGGCTAAAAAAAAGTTAGGATAGTTTGCAGCAGAGATTATTATCCTCAAGCCCACCTGATGTTTGGGTGTCATGAAACAATTGTGCAATGCTGAAACACATTTTCAGCTGTGTGATACTTGTACCTGTGAAATATAACAGTTCAATTAAAAATAAATAAAATTGCACAGTGAAGTTTGTAAGACTTGAAGTTTCACAGCTTCTCAGGTAATAATTTGGACACCTGTAACAAACCCTTATGGGACGCGGGTGGCGCAGAGCCTAGGACTTGTTGATCAGAAGGTCGGCGGTTCGAAACCCGCGATGGGGTGAGCTCCCGTTGCTCAGTCCCTGCTCCTGCCAACCTAGCAGTTCAAAAGCACGGCAAAGTGCAAGTAGATAAATAGGTACCGCTCCAGCGGGAAGGTAAATGGCGTTTCCGTCCGCTGCTCTGGTTCGCCAGAAGCGGCTTAGTCATGCTGGCCACATGACCCGGAAGCTGTACGCCGGCTCCCTCGGCCAATAAAGCGAGATGATCGCCGCAACCCGAGTCGGTCACGACTGGACCTAATGGTCAGGGGTCCCTTTACCTTTACTAACAAACCCTTAAGAGATTTATATCTTCAGGCCTAAAGGTCAGGGGTTCCTTTACCTTTACTAACAAACCCTTAAGAGATTTACATCTTCAGGCACATCCATGCAACTGTAGACAAAGTAGCAAATAGTATAGGGCTAGACATAATTGTAGTATTGTATTTTGGCTAAGAAACCATATGATATTTGCTTGGCCCTGTGTCAGTTATTAATTTGTTTGCAGTTTCAAGGATGTGACTAGAGAGGGGGCTAATTAAGATGTTTGGAATTACCTGGGGATTTTGATGTGTTCCTGATGCTGCTCTGGATATTCGGTAGATAAAAACTTAGGTTTGCTTACCAGGATGGCCATCCAAATAATGTACTACTTCAAAATGCTACTTTGTCTCTGAATTCCTGTTTTCCCTAGTGAAGGAGGAAGACGCCACTAGCGAAATGGTGAAGCCCTGCATAAGCAAAGTGATCGTTTTAGTGCCTTTAATGCTTGTAGTTGGGCTTTTTTCTACCAAGCCAGCTACAGCCGAAGAAGAATCAGGAACAACAATCCCTGCTGAAAGTACGTACTGCGTTCTACCTAGTCTCTCACGCCAATACCCCAAGGGTTGTTTCACACAAATCACAGTTTGCCACTGGCTGCAGTTCCTTGCTTGAATATCCACTCAATTATGATTCCTATATGTATGTTCCTTATGTGTGTGTCTATAGTACACATGTTTGCATGCAGCTCCTATTTATTCTGTTGCTGCCAATACAACACTGCCCAAATCCTTCAGAAGAAGAATCAGTACGCAAACAAATTTGTGAACTCTGGATAAGCCAATAAGCCATAATAATAGCAATAATAATAATTGTTTGTTTGTTTGTTTGTTTCTACCCTGCCCATCTGACTGGGTTGCCCTAGCCACTCTGGGCAGCTTCCAACATATATAAAAACATAATAAAACATTACACATTAAAAAGCTTCCCTAAACAGGGCTGCCTTCAGATGTCTTCTAAAAGTCAGATAGTTGTTTATTTCCTTGACATCAGATGGGTGGGCGTTCCACAGGGCGGGCGCCACCACCGAGAAGACCCTCTGCCTGGTTCCCTGTAACCTCACTTCTCACAGGGAGGGAACTGCCAGAAGGCCCTTAGAATTGGAGGTTGTTTCTGTCAGTGCAAATTATATTACACAGACACACACATGCAGTGCTTTTTGGGGGGGGGGAACGCATGTGTACGCATACCCCTAAACATTTGTGAATCTAAGTTTGGCCTCATTGAGGGGCAGTATTTCAATATGAGTAGGAAAGTGAGAGTACCCCTTAAACATTTTTTTAGAAAAAAAGCACTGCAGACATGCATATATATCTCAAGTTATATACGAACTATTTCAATTGATTTGTATTCTTCTGTAGTAGAAGAATATCTATGGTGCCACACTCCCATGTGATGTGAAAACATCATCCATAGTCCGAGTGTTGTCAGAAATGCGATTTGCATAAGCTACAAATTGTGATCGAACCCACCACACATCCTTATAGGCTTTCCATGTGTTTCAGTGCAAGACTCCACTGTTCTCCTGCTTGTTTTTGTTTCCCATCTATTGGCATGAAATGTTGAGGCCTTCTGCTATCCTTCCCAGGTGTCGGAATGGTCTGAAGATGAGGACTGGGGAATGCATTCTATGGCAGGCCAGCTTCTGTCTGGTGGAGAGCTGGAGGAGGAAGAGTTGCCCACCTTGTCCACAGCATGTTCAGAAGCAGAGAGAGAGAGAGAGAGAGAGAGAGAGAGAGGGAAAGGAGATGAACAGCTTAGGAGGGAGTTACCCAGTTATCAGATAATGACAACAGAACCAGGAGGGAGGGGCAGCTAGTTGAGACGTCACTTGAGAGTATGGGGGACCCCCCTCACCACGGACTCGGAAGTCTGAACGTATCAGAGAGCAAAGGGGTCAGAGGGAGCGAGGAACGTCCATTTGGCACCCAAAATGCCGCAAAAGCCGGAAGGAGGATTAGACTAGCCAACTGCCCTCCTTTCCTTTTTTTTTTTTTTGAATGGGATTTTTTTAAAAAAATAAATTTTTATTAAATTTTCCACCGTAATAACACAAACCACAAAGCAAAATGAAAGCAAAACAGAAAAGGAAAAAGAGAAAGGGGGGGAAGAAAAAAGGGAGGGGGGAAGGGGGGAACAATAAACAAATAGACAATAATAACAAACTTAATTCTTCACAAATCCAACTTTTTAAACATCTTAATTGACTTCCTCAAATCCCTCCCTTCTGAGTTTCCTTGTAATTTAAAAGTAACAGCTTTCCAATATCATTATTAAACTAAAACAATTTCCAATTATAGTCATCTTATTCACTTTTCTTGACATTCTGAATCCCATTTATTTAATTATAACTTAATTTGTCCTAGGCCTATTTGTTTCTTTCAAGTAATTTCTAATTTTTTATATTACAATATTTGTTCAAATAGTCCTTGAATTTCCTCCAGTCCTCTTGAAACTCCTCTTCTTTCTGGTCGCGGATTCTTCCAGTCAGGTCAGCTAACTCCGAAAAGTCCATCATCTTCATCTGCCAATCTTCCACTGTTGGTAGTTCTTGTGTTTTCCAATTTTTAGCAAGTAATATTCAAGTGCCCTCCTTTCCTTGCGGAGAGCTGTGTGCTTGTGCTTGCAACATGATGCTGTAATAAAAGGACTATAAATCTATCAACTGCTTGTTAATTCTTATCTGTGCAGTTCCTACAGCGATGGGAGGACTGATACCAAGGAAACCACTGAATTTCAGATAGGCAGACCCCTGGTTCCAGCTAATAAGAGAAGTCCGGTCCTCCTGTGGATCAGGAACTGGCTAAGTTGCCGGAAGCAAAGGGTAGCAATAAAGGGACAGTTATCCAAATGGAATAAAGTGGAGTCCCTCACAAGGATTGGTGTTTGGACCTCTGCTTTTTAACTTGTTCATTAATGATCTGGAGTTAGGACCGAGCAGTGAGTTGACCAAGTTTGCGGATGTGTTCAGAGTTATTGAAACAAAAATGAGATTGCGAAGATCTCTGAAAGGACCTCTCCAGACTGAGCGTGTTAAGTTGTGGGTGAACATATCAGACGACACAGTGATACTTCAAACAGCTCTTGTTTATTCACAGGCCAGAACAGAACTGAACTGAAGGGTTCAGCCAGCCTGCTTATATAGCGCTCCACTAGAACGTAACAGTAACCATTTTCTGTAGCTAGCCAATCACTGAACATCACTTTTGATCCCTTATTTGCATATGTGGGCCTGAATTATCTACAGTATCCCCCTGCTGGCCCAGGGTGAGAACTTCAGTACATAACAGAGTGAATGGGCAATAAAATGGCAAATGCAACCAACAAGATAACAACAACAATAATTTTATTATTTACACCCTGCCCATTTGGCTGTGTTTCCCCAGCCACTCTGGGTGGCTTTCAGCATAGATCTAGGGAGATGGTGCGACTTCGCTGCGGGAAAAGGTTGCAGCGTTTGGGACGTTTTAGTTTAGAGGAAAGGCAAGTCAGAAACACGATAGAAGTTTATGAAGTTCTCCACGCAAGGCATGGAGAAAGTGGAGCCAGAGAGAAAGGTCCCCCCGCCTCCTCTCTCATAACGCTAGAACTCTTAGACATCCAACGAGCCTGCATGGTGTAGTGGTTAAGAGCGGTGGACTCGTAATCTGGTGAACCGGGTTCGATTCCCCGCTCCTCCACATGCTACTGCTGGGTGACCTTGGGCTAGTCACACTTCTCTGAAGTCTCTCAGCCCCACTCACCTCACAGAGTGCTTGTTGTGGGGGAGGAAGGGAAAGGAGAATGTTAGCCGCTTTGAGACTCCTTCGGGTAGTGATAAAGCGGGATATCAAATCCAACGAAGCTTCACGTTGAAAGGTTCAGGGCAGATAAAACAAAGTTTCTTTTCATGCAGAGTGCAGTTAAATGATGGAACTTGCTCCCACAGAAGGTACTAATGACCACTAATCTAGATGTCTTTGAAAAAGGATTAGACAAATTCACATGGAGGAGAGGGCTATTGAAGGCTACTTCGCCATAATGGCTAGGCTCTGCCTCCATAGCTGGAGAATACGAGTTGCTGGAGACCAGAGGAGGGAATAATACTCCCGTGCTTGAATCCTGCACGTGGGTTGCCCAAAGGCAGAAACTTGCATGCACTACTTTGGGGAGCTTATCTGAACTCAGGGTGGCGAAAGGGCATGTGGCACTGGGTATGTCTGCCTGTTTGACCAGCTTTTGTGTTTCCCGGTGACTTTTATATAGCTAATTTTTGTTTCAAGGTGAGATTTTTGCATGTATGCACACTTAACTCCCAGGCACAGGACAGCTTCCCAAGAACATCCTTTGGATGTGCATGTATCCCATCGGCAAATCACAAGGAACGTCCTAATGGTAGCAAAAATGAGGGTGGAGGGGAGAGTCTGTGTGGGAGGTGTTGGAAATCATCACCGTGGAAGGAAATGGAGTGAAAGTACTGCCCAAAACACTTCATTTGCACTGTTATTGGAAGTTTATCCAAAAACCGTGAAGCATAGCTCTGAATATATTTTACGGTTAATATTTACTTTAAATATTAGTGGTTTTTTTGTAAAGAGGTATAAACTTGCCCTCTTGCTCTGCACATAAGAATTTTGCAGCATTCAGCTTTGATCATATCTCTCTCTTCCCATCTCTGTGCTGGTGCCATTCTCCAGACCGCAGCGCTCAAATTCAGTTGCTAAAAACTCCCAATTATCTAACCTTTGCTGGTACAGTGGTACCTCGGGTTACATACGCTTCAGGTTACAGACTTCGCTAACCCAGAAATAGTGCTTCGGGTTAAGAACTTTGCTTCAGGATAAGAACAGAAATCATGCTCCGGCGGCGTGACAGCAGTGGGAGGCCCCATTGGCTAAAGTGGTGCTTCAGGTTAAGAACAGTTTCAGGTTAGGAATGGATCTCCGAAACGAATTAAGTATTTAACCTAAGGTACCACTGTACTCATTTAGTTTGCATGCTCAATTTTGGTTTTGATATTTGGGTAGACTATTTATATTTTGCAATTCAGCTAGAGGTAGCAATTTAATCGGGCGTTTGAGGCACGTGCTGTTTCTCAGATTGTGAGCCAGGGACTCCTTCCCAAATCTGAGCGGAACCAGGATGTTATTTTGTGCAAAGTCATGACCCAGTGGCAAAATTGCTATGTCAGGATAGTTCACGCTGAGCCCTTTGCAGACATTCTTGGGCATTGTGCAATTTTCTGCTGTGTCACAGGGACTCAAAAACAAAAGCTGAAATTGCACTGAGTATGGAAAAGCTATCGGACTCATGCTGTCTTAGGCAGATTGCCCTATATTGATACACTACATATTTCTGTGTGTGCTTTGGTTATTTGACTAAAACAGTTGTTCCCCAGCCTGGACCCCTGCCAGCTCTGCTGGTTGGGGCAAGTGGGGGAGGTGGTTCAGAATATCTGTAAGGCAGCAAGTTAGGGAAAGCTGTTTTTGTCAAATCAGTGAAGTCATGAATAGAAACTGGGTATATAGAGTGCTTTTCTCCATCTGTCCAAATACTAGGAAGTCATTCTGTGAAGTCATCCTGTGAATGTTGGAAGACTCAGGAGGTACTTCTTCAGTGCATAATTAAAACAACAGAATCTGCTGCCAATTTTAGATGGCTTAAAATTAGACACAAACTTGGATGGCTTAAAAGGCGGTTTAGACAAATTTGCTGAGAATAACGCTACCAAGCCTACTAGCCCAGACCCTATTTTACAGGGACAGTTCTGGTTTTACAGAAGCCGTCCCAGTTTCTGATCTGGTCCCAGAATGCCCCGCTTTTCCTTAAAAAGGTAAAGGTAAAGGAGCCCTGACAGTTAAGTCCAGTCGCAAACGACTCTGGGGTTGCGGCGCTCATCTCACTTTACTGGCCAAGGGAGCCGGCGTTTGTCTGCAGACTGTTTTTCCATGTCATGTGGGCAGCATGACTAGGCCGCTTCTGGCAAAACCAGAGCAGCGCACGGAAACGCCGTTTACCTTCCCGCCGGAGTGGTACCTATTTATCTACTTGCACTTTGAGGTGCTTTCGAACTGCTAGGTTGGCAGGAGCTGGGACCGAGCAATGGGAGCACACCCCGTCGCTGGGATTCGAACCACCGACCTTCTGATCGGCAAGCCCAAGAGGCTCAGTGGTTTAGACCACAGCGCCACCCGCGTCCTCCGCTTTTCCTTAGTACGTCCCTATTTTCGTTGGAGGGTTTGGAGTTAGCCGATCCCCCAGACATCTGAAGGCAGCCCTGTATAGGGAAGTTTTTTAAATGTTTAATGTTATATTATGTTTTTATTTATGTTGGAATCTACCCAGAGTGACTGGGGCAACCCAGTCAGATGAGGGGTATTATGATTGTTGTTGTTGTTGACTAGGACATCCCTATTTTTATCAGAAAAATGTTGGAGGGTATAGTAGCCAGAATTGCTATATTCTACCTGCACTGGGGACGCAGGTGGCGCTGTTGGTTAAACCACAGAGCCTAGGACTTGCCGATCAGAAGGTTGGCGGTTCAAATCCCCACGACGGGGTGAGCTCCCATTGCTCAGTCCCTGCTCCTGCCAACCTAGCAGTTCGAAAGCACATCAAAGTGCAAGTAGATAAATAGGTACCGCTCTGGTAGGAAGGTAAACGGCATTTCCGTGCGCCGCTCTGGTTCGCCAGAAGCGGCTTAGTCATGCTGGCCACATGACCCGGAAGCTGTACGCCGGCTCCCTCGGCCAATAAAGCGAGATGAGCGCCGCAACCCCAGAGTCGGCCACCACTGGACCTAATGGTCAGGGGTCCCTTTACCTTTACCTGCACTGTCAGAAGTGATGCGTCTCAGAGAGCCATTTGCCAGGCAACACAAGTAGGGTGAGTGATGTTGTGCTGTGGTTCTGCATGTGGACTTTTCATAGGCATCTGGTTGGTCCCTGTGAGAAGAACAGGATGGATTATGCTTGAGCTTTGGTTTGGCCCAGCAGGCTCTTATGCCGTTGTTTTCATTTCCATTAATATTTCGTGCTTGTCTGCTAACATTTCTCCACCCTTAGGTCGCCCATGTGTTGACTGCCACGCATTTGAGTTCATGCAGAGGGCTTTGCAAGATTTAAAGAAAACGGCATACAACTTAGACTCACGGGTAAGGCTTGTAACTTAATATGGGCACAACATGTTTTTGTTTCTTTTAATGCTCTTCCAAAAGAGAGCAATTGTGTGTGGGGTGTGTGTGTGTGTGTGTGATCTTTCCCCCTGTCCTCTTTATCTCTCTCTCTCTGTCCCCACGTTAATCGTTTGTCTCTACCCTTGTTGGTGCCCATTTCTTGCTCTCTTGTCCCATTGTGTGTGAACTCTTGCCCATGCCCAGAAATCAGTGAACCATCCAAAAGGTTTTAATAGTTTGCAAACCGGCACACAACGCCAGCTCCAGGAAAAGCAAAATGTTTTAAAGACTGGTTTGGAATTTAAAGTGTTTTGAATTGAATGTGGAACAAAGATTGGGTCATCTAACGTGGAAGTGCAGAGGCTCGCAATATCAGAAAAGCAAAAATTCTTAGTGAGTTCCAGTGTGTTCCTCAAGACCCACTTACTTACCCAGCCAAAAAGAAAACCTGCGTTGGGGGATTATTGGCTTATTTATTTATTATGCGTGTTCATGTTCTGCACCTTCAGGCAAGCATGACTTTTTCTTAAACTATGTGCTTCAGTTCAACTGTTTAATATTCAGAGACGGCAGAAGCTGAGGAAGCCCTTTGTGAAATCTGAGCAGGGAGAAAGTATGAACTCATCAACAATCTGCATGCAGCCTGTTTTGAAGCCAGTTTCCAAATAATTTAACCTGACGTGACTTTCCTGAAAGAACTTAGGGGGCATGGCTTGCTGAGGATGCTGAGAATTATTATTTGATAGCTTTGGCTGCTGCACAAAAAATAGAACCCCAAACGTTCTACAACCAGACGCCGTAAGAATTAAACAGATATAAAATGTCCATATAGCACCAACACACTGCTCTGAAAACAATAAGTACAGTAGTTCTCACAGAATGGGGGTTTCGTCTAACTCTCTGATTTCAGTATTGGTTCCCAAGCTGCTTTCAAGTACATACTCAATTAAGCAGAACAGCAATGGTTACTATAGTTGTTAACTGGATTCAAAGTTTGCCTGGCAACAGCAGAGGCTGCAAACACACCCTCCATTGGCTGAGTGGATTACCACAGATCCCACATTTCAGCTCCCACAAATGCTGCTGGTTAGATCTTTTCAGCTGGATTTTCACTCTTTTCCGTCCCTAAGATCAGGGCCCTGGGAATTTAATTTGTTGACTGGATGAGACCCAGAATGTGCTGCTAAGCTGAGATCTGGAATACGTGCACTAATAATTTAGAATATTGCCAACACATGTGCAAAGTACCTTTTTGGTCACCAGAGTTAAAGAACAGGAATTCCAGGGCAGATAGCAACTTTATTTTGTGAGGGAAGAGGAAATCAGTTCCTCATTTCAACCACTGTTCCAAGCCACTTTGGTCCTTTTTTCTGGACCTGACTAAAGTGTCCTAAGAGAGGATTTTCTTTTTTAAAAAATTAGCCATGAAAAACCTGGCCATTAGTGTAGAGCCAGGAAATCAGGCATAGGCAAACTCGGCCCCCCAGATGTTTTGGGACTACAACTCCCATCATCCCTGACCACTGGTCCTGTTAGCTAGGGATGATGGGAGTTGTAGTACCAAAACATCTGGAGGGCCAAGTTTGGGGATGCCTGCAGTAAGTGAAAGAAGCTTCAGTCAACGCACCACCTCCCTTTTTCTCTCCTAGAGAGCAATCCTGATCTATTCCCACTTCCTTTGCACACTAACCGAGAAGGTTTTCATCTGCAACACAGGATGCTATCGAGAGTTCAAAACAACGCCTTTCATGGCGTCTCCTTTCACTTAAATCAAGTGATATCTCTCCGTAAATGCTGTTCCTTGCAGGGACACTACAAGGTTCTCAAAAGGTCTGGGCCCAGGGACATAAAATCGCCTAGCATTTGCATATGCAGTATTTTGTAGAATTTGAATTTTAACCAGAGTTGTGGCTCTCCCTGGAAAATAACCACAGGTTACTGGAAAGATGACGGAAATGGACATTGTTTTCTGGTCAAGGGTGCCAACTTTAATAAAACATTGGGGAAGTGTCATGTAAGCCCTGCCCCCACATAACTGATCACAATTTGAATGGCAATGCTCATCAAATTTGGGAGTGGTCTGGCTCTCTCAAAAAAATTTTTAAGGGGGCCAAAGGGATCTCAGCCCCTAGGAGTTGGCTCCTATGTTCCTATGCCTTCTTAAATGGTTCATTTTTCACAATCTCTATCAATAGGTTTAATATTAGGAGGATAAAAGTACAGTCATCTAAAATAAAGATCTGGGCCTTAAATTCCACAAATGTTTAAAGAAAGAAACTATACACACAGCTTATCCGATGAACTTTGTGCCCTTGTCATAATTCAGTTCAGTTCACAGCAGAACCTTATTTAAGGTAGCAAAGGTGACATTTTATTTTATTTTATTGGTTGCATCCAACTACTGTATTTTTCGCTCTATAAGACGCACTTTTTCCCCTTCAAAAATTAAGGGGAAATGTGTGTGTGTCTTATGGAGCGAATGCAGGCTCCTTGGCTTCAGCGATAGCAACGCGAAGCCTCTGAAGCGCAGAGGGAGAGCTCCCCCTGCGCTCCAGAGGCTTCGCGTTGCTTTCACTGAAGCCGCTGGAGCGCAGCGCGAACTCCCGCTGTGCTCCGGAGGCTTCAGGCAGCTATCGGCAAGCTTTCGGAGCGCAGCGGTAACTCCTGCTGCGCTCCGAAGGCTTGCCGATAGCTGCCTGAAGCCTGGAGAGCTAGAGGGGCCGGTGCACACCGATCCCTCTTGCTCTCCAGGCTTCGCTTCACTAGAGAGGCGCTGCACAGTTTTCCCTCTCTGCGCAGCGCCCCTTCAGTGAAGCGGGAGGAGAAGTGGAAGGGGTTCCGTTTCTCCTGCCGCTTCACTGAAGGGGCGTTGAGCAGAGAGGGGGAGAATTTTTTTTTTTCTGTTCTCCCCCGCCTATGGTCCGGTGCGTCCTATGGTCCGGTGCATCCTATAGAGCGAAAAATACAGTAAGTTTTACTCAGACGATTGATATTAGTGGACCTAGCTGTCACATCCATTCCTTTCAGCCAGTCCTCTCTGTGTGAAACTTCATTGAACACCACCCTAGATGTGCTTTGTGTTGGCTGTCCGCGAGATGGGCAAACAAGACAAGCGTGTTTGCCTCAATTTTAACTCCTGCAACAAAATTGCTGACACATTCTTGGAGCTCATTTACATGATAGCTAAAGAGCAAGGGATGCTGAGTCAAGATTTGCTGCTTCTGTTATGCCACTGAGATGGTAACTTGAGGACTTCACCTTGCCTGCATTTCAAAGGAGCACATTTAGTGGGAATGAGAGAGATCTGCCTTATCCTTGTGTCAGGCCAAGGCTCCATCGTTGCAGTAACCTTACTGTGCCCTTCAATTCAGCTTCATCTTGATTAAATAATCAGGCAAGTGCTTAGAAGACAGGGAGAGACCCAGAAGCAGACACATACTGTTAGCATCACAGCGTATTTGAGGAAAGCTGCATTCCTATACAGATTTTGGGGATTATTTCTGAGTAGATTTGAATAGGTTTGTGCTGCAATGCAGTTGCTTTCAGGGCTGAAATCTCCTCTGCAACCACACCTGGAGCCAGCAGGAGACCCATCAACTTGATCTTCTTCCCCTATAGCAAAACCCTGAAATAACCCCCTCCCCACAGCTGAAAATGAACAGGGTTTGTGGGCAGGGGCAGATCTCCCATTCAGCAAACTGAAACAGGGCCAGGACACCAAAATGGAAGCTCAAGGAAAATGTCATCTTTTGAGTTTACAGAAACGAAAGGATTGGACTGTAGGGAAAATGCCACAATTCTGTTCAGAATTATTTTGGTCTCTAAATCCACAAGGACCGTCCTCCTGTCTGGTTCGGTACTTGCTGCTAGCTGATTCCTTCTCGTTAAGAGTCTGTCTGGACTAGATGGGGTGATTCAGTCTGCAACTCCCTGTTGTTGTTGTTTAGTCGTTTAGTCGTGTCCGACTCTTCGTGACCCCATGGACCAGAGCACACCAGGCACTCCTGTCTTCCACTGCCCCCCCCTCAGTTTGGTCAAACTCATGCTGGTAGCTTCGAGAACACTGTCCAACCATCTCGTCCTCTGTCGTCCCCTTCTCCTTGTGCCCTCCATCTTTCCCAACATCAGGGTCTTTTCCAGGGAGTCTTCTCTTCTCATGAGGTGGCCAAAGTATTGGAGCCTCAGCTTCAGGATCTGTCCTTCCAGTGAGCACTCAGGGCTGATTTCCTTAAGAATGGATAGGTTTGGTCTTCTAGCAGTCCATAGGACTCTCAAGAGTTTCCTCCAGCACCATAATTAAAAAGCATAAATTCTTTGGCGATCAGCCTTCTTTATGGTCCAGCTCTCACTTCCATACATCACTACTGGGAAACCATAGCTTTAACTATACGGACCTTTGTTGGCAAGGTGATGTCTCTACTTTTTAAGATGCTGTCTAGGTCTGTCATTGCTTTTCTCCCAAGAAGCAGGCGTCTTTTAATTTCGTGGCTGCTGTCACCATCTGCAGTGATCATGGAGCCCAGGAAAGTAAAATCTCTCACTGCCTCCATTTCTTCCCCTTCTATTTGCCACAACTGTAGCAAGCATCTCCCTCATCTTCTCAATCTCCTCTCAACTCTTTCCAAGCGCACACACGCGCACACACATGCGCGCACACACAGAGCGAGTGGCTGGCCAAAGCTCGTAAGGCTGAATGCTGACTTCTCTAATTCTCTGCTCAGCTCTTCTGCTTGCTGTTGTGTTGATAAACTCAGTTGCGTTGTACACAGTGCACATTGAGCTCCATGCAACTTGAGAAATGAAGTGAGATGAGCGCCGCAACCCCAGAGTTGGTCACGACTGGACCTAATGGTCAGGGGTCCCTGTACCTTTACCTTACCACTCGGATCCATGAATGACAAGTTTGGTTCCTTTTCTCCAGCTTCCTCGTTTGTGACAAAATGCAGGAGATTGTGATGCAATCGGTTTATGCTAAGTTTGACCCGCCCCCAACGTTTATTCCTCTCTCCCCTCCCCTTTCTATTCCTACAGACGGAGACCTTGCTTTTTAAAGTGGAGAAGAGAACTCTGTGTGACTGTTTAACTGCAAATGCATTGAACTGAATACTGGAGACCCACCTAGCAGCCGCTGGTTCGTCAACAACTTTTAAGATGCTGCTGTTAATGCAGACAGATTTAGGAAATAAAATACTGCGAACATGTAAGCCTCAGGGCACTTACGCAACTAGGTGGAGGATTTGGGTGTGATATTGATGTGTCTCTCCTGTCTGAATGCTTGTGTAATTCTTTGTCTTCACCTGTGTTGATGTCATCATGAGCTCTAAGATATTTTCCAAAGAAAGGGAAAAGCTGGAAGGGGCACGGTTCTAATTTATTGCAAAAATATTAAAATATTATTTGGGGAAGCTCTGGGGTTTTTTAACTTTACATTTCCCTCCGCACACGAAAAGCAAAACACAGAGCACATCATTATTCCTGGGATTTCTTCCCCTAACAGACACACACACATTTCCCTCTAATGTTTTAGGAAAGTCTTTTTTCCTCTCTCACATGCAAGATGGGGACTCCCGACCATAGGACGCACCTTGTTTTAGAGGGGGAGAACAGGGGGGGGAAATCTCAGTGAAGCGGCAGGAGAAATGGAGCCCCTTCCATTTCTCCTCCCGCTTCGGTGAAGGGGCGCTGTGCAGAGAAGGAAAGCTGCGCAGCGCCTCTCCAGCGAAGTGAAGCCAGGAGAGCAAGAGGGATCGGTGCGTACCGACCCCTCTCGCTCTCCAGGCTTCGCGGCTATCCCTGAAACCTGGAGAGCGAGAGAGTTCCTGCTGCGCTCCGGAGGCTTCAGGCGGCTATCCCTGAAGCCTGGAGAGCGAGAGGGGTCGGTGCGCACCGACCCCTCTCGCTCTCCAGGCTTCAGCAAAAGCAACGCGAATGCAGGCTCCATGCTTCAGCAAAAGGAGCGCTCCCACTGCGCTTCGGAGGCTTCGCGTTGCTATCGCTGAAGCCATGGAGCCTGCATTCACTCCATAATATGCACACACATTTCCCCTTAATTTTTGGAGGGGAAATAGTGCGTCTTATAGAGCGAAAAATACAGTATGTCGTCTAACATGGTGGTTTCAAAAATGCTGGTTGCTTCAAAAATATTGTTTATACTCATGAGCAAATTATAGATAGATTAATTGATCAAAATAGTAAAACTCATATGATTAATCGATTCCAATAAGTTTGAACTTTTTTTGTTCAAAAAAAAACACCTCCAGGTATAGGGTGGTATATCAATTCAGTAAATAATAATCATAATAATAAAATAAGGAATTGATGCTCTGAGTCACTACATTGCACCAAATATCTGCTGCTCCTCCCAGGGAAGGTGTTACTGTCATAGTGGCGCAGAAGAGAGAAAAAACCCCCAAACCCCAGATCCTTTATGACTGCACTAATATAAAGAAATGTAACCCAACAGTGATGAGTCAGATTTCTCAATAAAAAAATAATATTTGCCACTTCAGTAACCATTGATATTCTGTTGAAAGTCTTTAGGGTCCTACTTGCTAGCAAGAACAGCTGTAGAAACTAAAAATCCTAAAACAGTAGTTCTTGGCTTGAGGGTATTTTGAGAATCCTCCAGAATCAGAAGAAAGTGAATGTTAAAACAACTGGTGGGTCTTCAGGAATTGAGCAGCCTACAGCCTTTCAGAAGTTATTGGGGATGGTCCTCTAGGCAGTTTCCCAAACTTGGGTCTCCAACTGTTTTGGGACTACAGTTAACATCATCCCTGACCACTGGTCCTGCTAGCTAGGGATGATGGGAGTTGTAGTCCAACAACAGGTGGAGACCCAAGTTTGGGAAAGCTTGCTCTGGAAGACCATCTCCACCGTCTCATCACAGATGTATGGAAGTCCCCTTGTAACCACATTGTTGCTAATATTTGTGTACCTGGATATATGGTGTACTCTGCTGTCCTGATGTTGTATAGTCTCCTAATCACTTCGTTGGTTAACTTTCACAGATTTACACAGATGGACTTAAAGAGTTTGACTGACCTGATGTTCTACCACTAGTTGCGTATTGCTTATTTTCAAACATTACTTCCCAGTTTGAGTTTCCAAAATGAAAGAACATCAGCCCTCCAGAAATGGAGAGCTAATACTTCTTAAAATCCAGTTCATTGATTATTATTTTTTGTTTCTACAAGAAACTCACACAATTTCTGGAGTATATAATGTCTTCCTCTCGAGTCTTGCTAGAAGCAAGCCAGGTCTCTAGCTCATAGTTCCCCCTGTCCTCAGCACCTTGCTGTGACGTATATTGCCTGAATTCCCCGTGATAATGACCTTGCAATTGCCTGATCCTGTTTCTGGATTATGTTTAGACCTAGATCGATATGCTGTACTTGACCTTGGCTTGTTGGGACTGTGCCACCTCTTCAACCCTGGCTGTATTGGCAGGTACCTGCTAGGATTGAGAGACTAGCCCCTGAGAGCACCTCCTGGAGTGTTATAGCTGATTTAAATTATTACCGTATTTTTCGCTCCATAAGTTGCACTTTTTTCTTCCTAAAATGTAAGGGGAAATGTCTGTGCATCTTATGGAGCAAATGTGTGGTCCCTGGAGCCGAATTGCCCAGGGGCAAAAGGCAGATCATGCTTCTTCTTTTTCTTTGAAAGAAGGAAGTGGGTGTTGAAACAAAGCCGCTGATTGTTTGCCAATCGGGGGGAGAGATAAGGGACGCTAGAGATAAAGGAGGCTGCCTGGGAGGGGGGAGGTAAAGACAGCAAACTTGCAAAGGGGGGAAACAAGAAGACTAAAGTAATAAGGAGAGAAATTAGAAGAAGAGGAGCAAAAAACTTATCCAGCTAAGGAAAAGACACTAAGGCAAACAAGAGGGAAGGGAGTGTTGAAAGGAAGCAGCTGATCGGTGGGATCAGAAGAGAGATAAGGGACGCTAGCGGAGGCTGCCTGGGAGGGGGGAGGTAAAAGCCCATGGATCCTCAGGATTTTTACATTGGGTCACCCCAAATTCACCATCAGATCGCATAGCATGTCCATGGCTATAGCCTGCACCAAAAAAATCATGCACCCACTGTTGCGTGGGGCCGCAATGGTGCAAAAACGTGGTTACAAAGCATGGCTCCACATGGATCCTCAGGATTTTTGCATTGGGTCACCCCAAATTCACCATCAGGCCACATGTCTGTGGCCACAGCATGAACCACAAAAATCATACATCCACTGTTTCATTCAGAATATTTTTTGTTTTGTTTTCCTCCTCTAAAAACTAGGTGCGTCTTATGGAGCGAAAAATATGGTAATTTGTTCATTTAAATCGCCTTGCTTTACGTCAATCCGCTCTGACATGCTGCTGTCATACAGCAGATACTGTAATTGTAAATTCTGGTCTGGGCCCAACTTCAACCTTCAAGTCGGCCAGTTAGTGTAATTCCGAGTCTCGCCTTCTATTGCTTATCCTATCCCATATTGTCAGTCTAGGATAGTCAATACACTCCAGACACTTTCCCCACAAGCTTTGTACTTATTCTGATGGTTTCCCCCTCCTTTGGTTTTGCTACGTATGACCCATCTAAATTCCATCAGAAAGTACTTTTGATGCAGCTGCCCAAGTTTGGGCTCATGAGGCTGTATTCCTGAACCACCCGCCCCACACCTGATATCCTATGTGACGTCAGGAGTGGGGCAGGTAGGGCAGATCTGCTGCGTGACAAAAGTTCTCCACGATTCCTGCAAAAATCAGCTTTGCCAGCCCCGGGCTTGGCTGTTGGCCTCTTGGGACAACTGGCCTGTCCATTGATTTCATGTATTTCCTTGCATGTGAACACATCTGTTGTATATAATGCAACTCCCTTCTTGTTTGGTCTGTTCCTTTTCAATAAATTGTAACTTCCAAACCCTACATTCACATAACGTGTCTTCTTTCACTAGGTTTCGGTAATGCCTATTAAATCTTATTCACCTTTCTCTATTAAGAGTTTAAGTTCATCCGGGTGGCGCTGTGGGTTAAACCACAGAACCTAGAACTTGCTGATCAGAAGGTTTGCGGTTCGAATCCCCGTGACGGGGTGAGCTCCCGTTGCTCAGTCTCTGCTCCTGCCAACCTAGCAGTTCGAAAGCACGTCAAAGTGCAAGTAGATAAATAGGTGCCACTCCAGCAGGAAGGTAAATGGCGTTTCCGTGTGCTGCTCTGGTTCGCCAGAAGCGGCTTAGTCATGCTGGCCACATGACCTGGAAGCTGTACGCCGGCTCCCTCGGCCAATAAAGCGAGATGAGCGCCGCAACCCCAGAGTCGGTCACGACTGGACCTAATGGTCAGGGGTCCCTTTACCTTTACCTTACTGTGTGAATTATAGAGGAATTGATAACCCTAGATTGAACAAAACCATGACCACATGCTTACTCTTTTTCTTGCACACCCCTTTTACCCATGCTCCTCTAAGTAACCAAAGAACTGAACAAAACTACCCCAAACGATCGCAGCCTCTGATGTTTGTGCTGAAGTGTCGCTCACCAATTCATTGTAATGAGATTGGAGTTGAACTTCATGGGGTTTAGGGGTCCTCCAGCCCTACAAATCTGTTCGTAAAACAAAGGTTCTTCTCTTCTTTCCCCCATTATTATTCCCTCCCGCATCTGAGCCTTCTCTCGCCTCCTCCCCGTTCAATCTAATGAGGTCGAACTGGAGGGTAACCATAGCCTGGCAGATTCTCTTTGGTTGCATAACTAAAGAGAGGGTCAAGTACAGGTGATGTTCTGCCACAGAAACTAAAAAAAAACTGGAGATCCTTCTGGAAGGCTGAATGCTTTCATTCTCTCCCAATGCCTGCCAAGCTCGAGGTGATGTCATTAAAATGCCGCATGTGCAGTAGACCAGCAGTCTTGGAACTGGGTCTGAGAGGTAGAGAGGTCTGATTTGCGGTCAGTGAAAATCCAATACCATGGCATTAGTAGCCCCTGGAAACCTAATAGGGCAGCCCTATCTATTGGAGGTTAATGCGGTGAAGTTTTCATCTTATGCTCAAACCAGTGTATGTGCAAATCATAATCATAATAATTATTTATTATTTATACCCCGCCCATCTGGCTGGGTTTCCCCAGCCACTCTGGGCGGCTCTCAACAGAATATTAAAAGCACAATAAAACGTCAAAGATTAAAACCTTCCCTAAACAGGGCTGCCTTCAAACGTCTTCTAAAAGGCAGATTGTTGTTTATTTCCTTGACATCTGGTGGGAGGGTGTTCCACAGGGTGGGTGCCACCACTGAAAAGGCCCTCTGCCTGGTTCCCTGTAACCTCATTTCTCACAGCGAGGGAACCGCCAGAAGGCCCTCGGAGCTGGACCTCAGTGTCCAGGCTGAACGATGGAGGTGGAGACGCTCCTTCAGGTATACTGAGCTTTCTCTGGTGACCTTCAAAGGAAACCAAACTCAAGGTATGTGCAGGAACCCCTTAAACCATGGGTCAGCAACCTTTTTCAGCTGTGGGCCGGTCCACCATCCCTCAGACTATGTGGTGGGCCGGACTATATTTTGAAAGAATGAATTCCTATGCCCCACAAATAACCCAGAGATGCATTTTAAATAAAAGGAAACATTCTACTCATGTAAAAACACACTGATTCCCAGACCGTCCTCAGGCCAGATTGAGAAGGTGATTGGGCCACATCCAGTCTCCAGGCCTTAGGTTGCCTAAAGGTAAAGGTAAAGGGACTCCTGACCATTAGGTCCAGTCATGACCGACTCTGGGGTTGCGGCGCTCATCTCGCTTTATTGGCCGAGGAAGCCGGTGTACAGCTTCCAGGTCATGTGGCCACCATGACTAAGCCACTTTACCTTCCCGCCGGAGTGGTACCTATTTATCTACTTGCACT